AACAGCCTCTCTAGGTGCTTGGAAGTTCCTGGACTCCCTTGATGGCAATCATGTTTTCAGGCACTGGTTCCTTTGAGCACCTTCTCTTTCCTCCTTGGCTCAGCCAGCTGGCAAGAGAGGGGGAAGGATATGCTGAAGAGGTCACTGAAGGGTGCAATCTGGCTGGAGGTGTTGGTGAGAGGAGCAAACCATTCCGTTTAAGCCAGTGGTTACCAATCTTTTTTTGGCCATGCCCCACCTAAACATCTCTAAAATCCTGGTGCACACCCCACCCTGGAGCGCTACTCTCCATGAATGCACCCAGTGTATTTTCTGTTTAGATAATCTCTCCATTGTCACCAGCTGACCGCCGTGTACATTCTGATTTTAATTTTTAAAATGTGTATGTCACAATATATATGTATATACTGTATACGAGGCCCCTAGAACCATAAGAAATGCAAATTCGCTGTTAATAACTCATTCTCGAATTGCCCCCCTTAAAAATCAAATTGCCCCTTGTGGGAACCACAGGTTTAAGCCCTGGTGTCAGTCATGAAATTACATAATCCCACTTCCTCCCGAACCTCAGGGCATGGCTTGCAACCACCATCTCACTTTCCTCCCTCTCCTCAGGTCAGAACACTGGGGAAAACTGCTATATTTATTAATTTGTTCACTGCTTAGCAGTTTTACTTACAACTAAGTGGCACAATTTTTCTTTTGTTAAAGGTATTGGCTGGGAGCCCCGGAAGACCTGCCCCCCCCTCCTTGCTGGCCTTTCCCTCCTGGCCTGGGGGGGTGGGATCCTGACTGACTCCAGCTGCAAAAGCTGAGGCTGATGAACAGACTCTAAGACTGGGGTATTTTTTAGGGGGGTTTATTGCTGCTGTTGATATTATTATCGTATCTTTGTTTTAAGATCTAATGATTTATGTGGAAATCGATCAATTTGGTTGTGTTTTTTTAATGTGCTTTTTATAATTTGTTACTACTTTTGTTATGTTGCAGTTCTTTCATATTTTTAAATTAAAAGTTGATTGGCATAAACACATACACAATGCAATAAAAATGATGGGTATGGTAAATAAAAATAAATGTCAAAGTAGAAAAATAAAGCACAGACACAGAGGAGGGATCAAATACCAAGAAGCTACTGAAGATACAGCGCTGCATTCAGTTGTCGCATATGAGAAGAAAAAGGTGGGTCGATTCAGTTCTCATTTTTCATATTGTAAGCCACCTTGAGCATAGTTTTAACCACGGAAAGATAGCTTGTAAATGAAATGATGATGAAATAAATTAAATGCACCAAGAATTTATAACCTTCCCTCCCAACGCAAATGCCAATTGCATGGAGTTGGACTAGATCCCTTTCGGCTCTACAATTCTATTACAGTGGTACCTCGGGTTACAGATGCTTCAGGTTACAGACTCCGCTAACCCAGAAATAGTACCTCGGGTTAAGAACTTTGCTTCAGGATGAGAACAGAAATTGCGCGATGGCGGTGTGGCGGCAGCAGGAGGCCCCATTAGCTAAAGTGGTACCTCAGGTTAAGAACTATTTCAGGTTAAGAACGGACCTCCAGAACGAATTAAGTTCTTAACCTGAGGTATCACTGTATTCTGGGCTTAGACTCAGAAGAGGCTCAGGTAGAGTCACTACTCCAGCTTCCTGGCGGGTGGGTTGCTCTTGCTTCCCAGAAAGGAGAAGGGCAAGGAGGTCAGCATGGTGCAAACACAGCCAATCCAGTTTACATACTGGTGCATTTGTTCCAGGTGTCCTCCTTGCCACCATACTACATGTTCTCTCCCTTCCAGGAATCAGCAGTGATCCACCTTCTGGGAAGCTGACATCGCACGTCTACTGTGTGGTGGGGCCTCTTTTGCTCCCAACCATTTTATAATTTTACTATGAAAAAGTAAATATAACCCAAAGCACTCTATTATGAGCTGGTTTTTAAAAGCCTTATTCATAGGCACATCAGCAAAACTGACCCACCAACTCCAGGTTGTCAGTGGGGAAGCAGACTTTGTGGATGTCTGGTGGGTTTTTTGTAGCTTATTTTAACAACAGTCACAAGAATGGCAAATTCCATCTAAATATGATTTCATCCAGCGCTGTTTTTGATCATGTGAGTTTTTGATCCATTGTTTATGTCTTGTCTTGGAATGCTACAGTACCACTTTTTGAACAATTCTCCCTATAATCTCCTTACCTTATATGTGACCATGCTAAATTGTTTTCCTTCCTTTCTTTGAAATGTTGGGGTGCTTCATTAGTCTTGTTTATTGTACACTTAATAAAAAGCAGCCACTATGGAGAAAGTGCATTAATGCTTTCATTTGAGGCATAGCAGAATCCCTGCTCATGTTCCACATCAGTGGAAAGTGTGCTAGTCTGTTCTGTCCCGTTCCACCCCACACTGTTCCGCCCCACCCCTTTCAGCACCAAAAATGGTTTGTGTGTCAGTGGCCACATATGTGCTGATCGTGTGCAAATGGGGAATTGTCTGTATATCCTGTGGATGTGAGCTTAACCTGTCACATAAAAGATTTTCCAAAATTGTTTTGATGCCCCTGCATACAAGACTTAGCATATGTATTTGTCTTAGAATACAAGCACTTTGGGTTTGGTAATTGTTTTCAATAAGATTTGCAATAAATAAACATAAAATAAAAGAAGAAGTGGGCAATGTGGGGGCTCAATGCACCACTCCAGGGAGTTCATTTTGTAATCTGGGGGCCATAACTGAAAAGGCTCTGCCTCTTGTCCCCGCCAACGGAACTCCCCCAGGGCAGCTCACATTGCAGCACTTGCAGCTTCAGAAGTTCAGAAACAAAGTAGTACATTTGGGGGCTTCTTTTCTTCCTGATTTTGCAGGCACACTGGGCCACTAAAACATACCTGGCTGGATTGGGGGGGGGGGGTCCAACGTATGTGCTGCGCTTGTTGTAGGGGCCTTCTGTCGTTCATCTGCACCAGGTGGCAAAGAGATGGGGAAAGAATGGCAACTGTAGGTGCAATGACGTTCTTGAGGCCTTCCCTGGGTACCCACAAACCCTCTGAGCCTCTCACTTGTTTGCTCCTTGGTCATGAAGGTGTTTTACCATTTCCTCCCTCTAAAAGTACATAAAGTGAAAAGAGAAAGAAGGTCACTCTTTCTCACTTCCTCTTTCAGCCCCATGTGCTTCTCAAGTCCATTTAATTCATTTGGGTTTGACTTTCAGCCGGATCCTTTGGGAAAGCAAAGTGTGCCTATTTATCTGTTTCTCTCTCTCCATCAGGGTGGAGTGGGGGTGCTGATCTAGGGGAGAGGCTACAGAAGTCACCAGAGGGACTGGCACTTGCTACTATCACTCCCCAAAATAAAAATGTGCCCACTGGCCTAATAAGAGTGATGGTGATCCCTGTGCGAGGAAACCCCCCCCCTCCCCACCACCTTCCAAGCCTGCCCCTTTGGCTCGTCTCTGATGGCTGCCCCAAGGAGATGTGTTTCCTGCGCCTGTTGAAATGTGGGGTGAGGAATGTGTGTGTGGAGGGAGAGGGCTGTCATATCCTTCCCCCTCCCAACATTCCAGGCACGCGCCATCTCCCACCGAGGCTTCACCGGCTGGAGGGGAGAGGCTCTCTTTCCTTGCTACAGACGCACAGCCTGTTCCTGTTTATCACCTCAGGCTCCTCGACCTCATTTGATGACTTCGACATCTGAGCATGTTTTTACAGTCAGCTTCCTTCCCCGTCCGGCGTCTCTCTAACTCCAACTACAATACAGTGTGCAATCTTCATTATACAACCACCGGCCTCCATGGTAACTCCAGTTTCTCCTCAAAGCCCTACAGCTCCCAACCACACATTGTCATCCTTTTCTTCAGCAGCCTGCATTCGATGAGGAGGTTGGTTCTTCTCGCACTCGGGACTTGCTTTGAGCAACCTTCCTGGGAGGTTCAGAAAAGTATCCTCTGACGGATCCAATTGGCTAATGGCCACAATGAGGCCGGCCTGGCCCAGCAAATTTGGTGCCTGAGGCAAAGGGCAAGATGGCCGCCCACTCCATATTCCACTTACAGAATCTGACAAAACTCATAGCTGAATCTCATCTCAACTCTGGCAATGGGACAACATCCTGCACCATCCTGAGGCACCAGGGTAGCAGAGCATGATAGCTAAAGGGGATTCAGGGGGAATGGCTGCCACCACACCCATCTGCCGCCTAAGGCAACTGCTTCACACAGTGCAAGTTTTAGAAGATTCATTGACTGTTTCAGGGCATAACCCTATACCTGAAATGAGAAGGTGAGAAGAAGAAGAGTTTGGATTTGATATCCCGCTTTATCACTACCCGAAGGAGTCTCAAAGCGGCCAACAATCTCCTTTCCCTTCCTCCCCCACAACAAACACTCTGTGAGGTGAGTGGGGCTGAGAGACTTCAAAGAAGTGTGACTGGCCCAAGGTCACCCAGCAGCTGCATGTGGAGGAGCGGAGACGCGAACCCGGTTCCCCAGATTGCAAGACTACCGCTCCTAACCACTACACCACACTGGTGAGGAGGCATAAGAAGAACCCTGCTGGATCAGGCAAAGGGTGCATCTAGCCCAGCATCCCGTTCTGACAGTGGCCCAACTGATGCTGCCATGGGAAGCCTGAAAGAACGGACCTGAGCGCAACCGTCCTCTCACCCCCTTTGATTCACAGCAAGTGGGATTCAGAGACATATTGCAGTGGAGATAGAAGATAGTCACCATGGCTAGTAACCACTCATAGCCTTATCCTCCATGAATTTGTCTAATCCTTCATTGAAGTCATCCAAGTTGGTGGCCATCATCACAAATTCCATACTTTTATGCACTGTGTGAAGAAGTGCTTCATTTTGCGTCCTGAATCTCCCAAGATTACAGTTTCACTGGAGGTCCTGGAGGCCCAGTATTAGGAGTGGAGGAGGAAAATGCCCCCTTTCTTCAACACCATGCATCACTTTAGATGCTTCTATGATGTCTCCTCAGATACCCATTAAGGGACGCCCACAAGCAGGGCCTGTGCCAAACAGGGCACTCTCCACCTGTGATTCCCAACAGCGGGTGTTCAGAGGCAGACTGTGTCTGACGGTGGGGGGAGAACAGAGCCTTTGTGGCCAGTAGTTCCAACCAAGAGAGGAAATGCCAGAAAGGTTGGCGATGACATAATGCGCGCACACACGTTACATGGTTGCCATTCTTTTTACTCTTTAATAATGATATGATAAATACATTCGGACATTAGGCCTGCGGACAGAGGGCCTTTAAGACTCTGGGTGGGATGCAAGGGGGCTTCCCCCCTCTCCCCACTTATATAAATATTAGAAATCATTGTACAAAAGAACTGGATACCGTTATAACGCATCTGGGTGCATGCGAAATGCTATCTGTGAGTTTGGAGTGCTCCAGTAATCAGAGAGAAAGAAAATGAGGCACAGTGTTCACATTACAAAATCCCACCCGAGTTCAGGTACACCATCCCGGGCTTCGGTTGTGTCCCACCCCTCCCCACTCCCAAATCTCTCTCTCCCTGAAGCATAGGGAGCTGGGATGGGAGGCCTTCAACCCTCCAGATGGACTCAAACTCTCAATCAGCCCAGGCCATCATGGCCAATGGGCAGGGATATCAGAAGTTGTAGTTCAGTAATATAAAGACGGCCAGAGGCTCCACCTGCGATGTAGAGCCATGTTCTTCAACCTTAGGTCCCCAAATGTTGTTGAACTACAACTCCCACAATCCCTGACCATGGGTGAAAGCTGGCTGGGGCAGATGGGAGCTGCAATCCAGCATTATTGGGGGCCCAAGGCTGAAGAACTCTTGATTCAAAGTCTCCCTACAGCTCACACAGGAAACCTGTGGCTCTCTAGATACTGCTGGACTACAAGTCCCATCATCCTTGCTGCCTGGGGCTGATGAGAGGTGGGCTCCAGCAAGTCCCCCATTCCTGCTCCACAGAGACAGAGAAATAAGGGAGACTGGCAGAGATGGGCTCCTACTCAAATATTTTCACCAGCAGACCAAAGAAAAAGGCACATAGAAGCTGTCAATTTGTAGTTTATGGCTGCTAAGGGAATGAAGTGGTAAGGGATTAAATGGGGACAAGGGGTCGTCTGGCCTCCAGCCACCTCCTTTCATAGCCCACTCTAGGATGAAAGTTTACATGCCTGTTTGTCTCCTTCTTTCAAAGGAAGAAATCTCACTGCAAATTAGTTTTCTGTTGAGATGGGTAACACAAGATCCCCTTAATTTTTCTGTGATTATGTTTTTAGAAACCCAGCAGTCTTCAACTGGAGTCTTAGATAAACCACTTCAGACTCTAGGTGGGGGCTTATTTGAAGGAATGGGGCCTGACCTCCAACCCCCATTGTACACAGAACAAAGTTTTCCCTCATGATGTGCTGCTTTTCTAGGTGTACAGTTTGGAGAGTGGGGAACAGAGGGGCATTTGGTCACAAGGATCTCACTTGCAGCCCACGAAGCCGTTAAAAGCCTCCCATTGTACTAGAGGAAAAAGACCACCTTTCTTCCACTGAAAAACTGGGTCTCTTATTTGTGGTTGTGTTCCTGGGCAGGGGCATTGTTAGGAGATGGCCCAGGGGTCCCCAAACCCCAGGCAGTGGGTCCCCTGTCCCCATCCCCACCTTTAAAACTTAAAAAAAAGCTTTGCTCATAGAGTAGCAGGTTACCAAGCTAACCAACTTAATTTCCCAGAAGTGTCTATCCGTATACAAGTGTGTATGGGGAAATTTGTGCCAGTTTCCATCATGGGCCTGTGCAAAAGTCCTTTAAGTATCTGACCACACCCCCTTCCTCTATGCCACCATGCCATGTTATAGCACAAGCAGTGCTATTTTTCTAAAAAAAGAGGTGCCAGAACTCAACATGTTCTCTTAGAATGGCAATGGTGCCCACCTGAGAGGTGCTGGAACTGAGTTCTGGTAAGTTATAGCTGGAAAAAAGCCCTGATATCAAGTAACCACAGAAAAATCACAGGGGTTTCTTGCCCTGGGGTGGAGCAGCTTTCCTTGTAGAAGCAGAATTACAGCATTCAGAGGATGATCCGCAAACTAAATAGGGATGGGGAAATCTGCCACTTTTGGTTCTCCTGGGTTCTCATTCCCTGCCTCTACCACATTGCAAATTCATTTTCACAACACATCAGTTTGCAAGTTTTTAAATTAAAGCCCCCATCAAAAATTCATCAGCATTTTAGTGCAAATTTATCCCAATACACACATTTTGTACACAATTTCCCCTAATTACATATTTTTACAAAGTGATTTATTGGGTTACATTTCAAAGGGTGGAGAGAGATTCCCAATTATCAGCAGCACCTCTCCTGCCATTGATGAGTAACATCAGCCAATCATTTCAGAGCATTATAAAGTGTTGGTCTTCACTAAAGATGGTTATCTCAAACAATAGGTAGAAAGCGTGTTATAACCATCCACTTAGGTAGAAAGCGTGTTATAACCATCCACTTGCAAGCCAAGCACTTTAAGTTCTTATGTTCCAGCTTCCATGTGACAAATTATTTTGACTAATATTTGTGTTTATATTTGCAACAGACAGGTGCTGTTATCCTGCATTATAGGGTGAAACTCTAGCTGCATTTTCAAAGCAGGCTCTGGGTTTTTAAAAGATCATGACCCAGCCTTAGCTTTTCTCTGGCATTCCACTGAATTACTAGGATCAGAGAACGTCCCCTTTGCAGCCTCATTTTACATGCCACTCATCCAGAGAAAATAAGATCTCCTTCTCTGAATACTCTGCAGTGGGATAAACATGCAGTTTCCTGCCCTTAATCAACCTCTGAACATAACATGAGAGCTTTTCCTGTTAAAGAAGGAGAAGGGGGAAGGGGGTAAAAGATAAAAAAAATAACATCTCAGCTCATGAAAGTGAACTTTACTTTGGAGAGAAGGTTAGGGAGCCAAACATAATGTCCTTGAAATTTCCTCCAACGAGGCTCCGTCCATGAAAACAGGATAACACCACTTCCGCTGTCACAACCCCTGAGATGAAATCGGAGATGAAGCAGGCGAGAGGAGGGGGACTAGAGAGGCTCACGTGGGGAGGCAAAGACGGGGCTCCTCTGCAAGGATCTGAGGCAAGATTGAGTGGGAAGGGGGAGAGGCATCAGGAAGGGAGATTCACTGGTGGTGGGGAAGAGAGTGAGAGAGGAGGGAACTGTGGGGGTGGGGGAGGGGGGGTGGAGACCAACAGGTGCTCTTGCCTGCGCTTTTACTTCAGGGCATCCAGGTGAGTGCAGACCTGTTGGAACACTTCGTCCACTGAGCCTTCGGCATTAAGCTGAGGAGAGAAGGGAGCTGCATTTAGCAATTTGGGGCAGCCAAAGCCTTGCCGCTAGTACAAAACACTATCATCACACTTTGAGCAAAACCTTAACACCCCCCCCCCCACCGCACAGCTGACAGCATCGCCAGCAATTCTAAGCCATTCTACTATGCACCCACCTTAATTTTGTGATGGTGAAAATTGTTTTAAACTGTTTTCAGTATTGCTTTTTAATGCTGTAACCTGCCTTGGGACCTTAGGGTGGAGGGCAGGTAAAGAATAAAGTGGAGCCCACCAACCCACTTTGATTTTTATTTTATTTTTGGCATCCTGGTCATGGCAAGAACCCTATAAAAATTAAACTGCTTGATGCATTTGTATAGAGTACAAGTAGAAAACACCTGTGCCCCCTCCAGATGTTGCAGGACACTAACTCCCATCAACCCCCACTGCCATGGCCAATGGGCAGAGATGATAGGAACTGGAGTCCAACAACAACAACAACAACAACAACAACAACAATTTATTATTTATACCCTAAGGGACGTGGGTGGCGCTGTGGGTAAAACCTCAGCGCCTAGGGCTTGCCGATCGCATGGTCGGCGGTTCGAATCCCCGCTGCGGGGTGAGCTCCCGTTTCTCGGTCCCTGCTCCTGCCCACCTAGCAGTTCAAAAGCACCCCTAAGTGCAAGTAGATAAATAGGTACCGCTTTATAGCGGGAAGGTAAACGGCGTTTCCGTGTGCTGCGCTGGTGCTGGCTCGCCAGTGCAGCTTCGTCACGCTGGCCACGTGACCCGGAAGTGTCTCCGGACAGCGCTGGCCCCCGGCCTCTTAAGTGAGATGGGCGCACAACCCTAGAGTCGGACACGACTGGCCCGTACGGGCAGGGGTACCTTTACCTTTACCTTTTCATTTATACCCCGCCCATCTGGCTGAGTTTCCCCAGCCACTCTGGGCGGCTCCCAATCAAGTGTTAAAAACAGTACAGCGTTACATATTAAAAACTTCCCTGAACAGGGCTGCCTTAAGATGTCTTCTGAATGTCAGGTAGTTGTTTATCTCTTTGACATCTGATGGGAGGGCGTTCCACAGGGCGGGCGCCACTACCGAGAAGGCCCTCTGTCTGGTTCCCTGTAGCCTCACTTCTCGCAATGAGGGAACCGCCAGAAGGCCCTCGGTGCTGGATCTCAGTGTCCGGGCTGAACGATGGGGGTGGAGACGCTCCTTCAGGTATACAGGACCGAGGCCGTTTAGGGCTTTAAATGTCAGCACAACACTTTGAATCGTGCTCGGAAACATACTGGGAGCCAATGCAGATCTCTCAGAACCAGTGTTATGTGGTCCCGGTGGCCACTCCCAGTCACCAGTCTAGCTGCCGCATTCTGGATTAATTGCAGTTTCCGGGTCACCTTCAAAGGTAGCCCCACGTAGAGCGCGTTGCAGTAGTCGAAGCGGGAGATAACTAGAACATGCACCACAATATCTGGAGGTGCTCCATCCCTGGCACAGAGAATTGTAGGAAGGGGTGTTTTGCCAGTGCACAGGACAGCATGTGTGCATCACTAAATCTCCAATACAGATTCATGTGCAACGTCTGTGTGTGCGCCCAAAAAGCAAAGGAAGCCAGCCACCAGGTGGGTCCATAAGAAAAGATTCAAAACCCACCTTCAGACAATACCTCTATCAGGGCCATCATTAAAAAGTCCCAAAATAGCAAGCAAGTGTTCATGTCCTCCAGAGCAATTCATAAGGCTAGATGTTACATAGCAAATGGCGGGGAGGTGACAGACAAAGAAGAAAACTATTAAAAAATTAAATAAGGGAAATTGTCAGGGTGTCACAAGCAGGGCTGAACTGGGGTGAAGGAAAAGAGGGTCCTCCCCATCAAGGAGACAGGTGGTCAGTTTCACTTGTCTAAGCAGCCTGTCCACGTCCTCAGAGGTAACAGGTTGAGGTTGATCCCATACAACCTAACTAGACAGAGCTCTGGCACTTTTCCACCCTGACCCTGCTACCATGATGCAGTCTACCTCTTTCCAAATCTGAGCGATTTTATCTGCAAAAAACTTCGCAAAATCATTGCAAGAGATCTTGGGGTCCTCACCAGGCCCCGATGGTGGAGGTGGTTCTGTTAGTTTGCAAACCACCTGAAAGAGTCTCCTGCTGCTGTTTCCTGCAGATGCAACAGAGGCGGCGAAGAAGGTCCTCTTTGTGTCGCTATCACCACCTGGTAGGCTCGACGTTGAGCTCTAACCAGTGTCTGGTCTGATTGAGAATAAGTTTTCTGCCACAGGCGCTCTAGCTGTCTCAGCAATTGTTTCATCGTCCTCAGCTCCGGGGGAAACCACGGGGCTGTCCTTGCCCCATGCAATCAGAGAGGGCCCTTTGGAGCCAGACAATTGATAGTCCTGGTTAACTCCGCATTCCAGCGGGCCACCAGGGAATCAGCTAAAAGGCCATCAACATGGGATAATACATCCCATATTGCTCTCTGGAAGCCATTTGGATCCTTTAAGTAGTGGGGGAGGACCATTTGAATCGGTCCCACCTCCCTGCAGAGGGGGTAGCAGAGAAGGCTGGTTGCACCAGGTAGTGCTCCTGGTGTACCCAGGAGAACATTTGTCACGACACAAAGCAGCTCAGGCAGGGAATCCTTAGTCTAGCCAGTGGCGGAGCTTCATGTTCCAGCACCGGGGGGCGGTGCTGGAACATGTCCCCCCCCCCCCCGGCACTCCTCTTCCTCTGCCAGTGGGTACAGCAGGGACGTAGGTCCACCAATAGGAATGCTGTACTGCTCCTATTGCCCAATTTCTAGACATGAACTCAGAAAACTGGTCTCTCTCCCTAATAGAACACCTGATGATAACTAATGACTTCCTAAAAATCACTGCAACCCCTCTCCCTGCTCACATGCTCTGGGCTGCTGTACATAAGAAAAACCTGGTAAACAAGAAGGAGCAAGAGCACCTGCCATATCCAACCAATTTTCTGTTACACATGCCGGGTCAACTCCTCCATCCATGTTCAAATTATGGATGGCAGTGGTCTTATGAATCTTTGACCTGGCATTGCACAGCAGCACCTTAAGGTCATGTGGGACACCCTTGTTGATACCTGCATCCTTCTGGTCAGGACCAGACCTGGAGGCAGGGATACTCTTCAGATAATGACTAAACTTGGGCAGTGGGGCTGCGTTTCCTCTGAACAGTATGGTAATAGTTGAAGAAGTCCAGCTTTTGCCCTTGCTTTTTAAAATTTAACGTTTCTAGCCCTTAAGGATGCAAAAGTAAGCTTCAACACTTGAAATGGTTTACGGGTGTCTCAGAAGCCAGAGGAGGCTCTGAGCAGAATTTCCAGTGGCCAAAGGTTGACTGCCATGCTATTTGCTTTTGTCCATGAAAACCAGAAGCAGAATTAAATAAATGGATCCATGTTATCTTGATTTGCATGATTTGTAAAGGTTGCAGCTTTGGAGGTAGGGAGGTGCATATGTGTAGAATTTCCATTTTAATAATAATAATAGTTCTTTTTAGTAGAGAGCAAGCATAAGCCCCGGTTTCATGCTGCCCATGTGTCCTGGGAGTGTAGTCAAAAAATGATATGCTGCTCAAGAGATCTGGATGCTGGATCAGCCCACAGGCCCCTCTGGTCTATCATCCTGTTCTGACAGTGGCCAACAAAATCCCAACAAGAAGTCAGGGCCAGAGTGCAACACTGCTCTTCCCTCCTCTGACTCCCATCAACTCGTGTTCAGAGGCATACTGCCTCTGTAGCCGTTGATAGCCTTATTCCCCATGAATTTGTCTAAACCTCTTGTAAAGCCATCTTTCCAAAATTCTTTTTAAAGCTAAGTTTCTCACTACTTCTCTCTCTCTCACACACACACACTTTTTAAAGTAGCATCGGAGGACTCTAATTTTGATCAGAGTAGCAGCTTGAAAGGATATTTAGCCCCTTTAGGAATTTTTTTTTTGAAGATTTTACCAGGACTTGTATACGGCTGGAAAAGAAGACTTAGAAAAAAATCAAGGACTATCTAAGGAGAATAAACTACCAAGATTCCAAAAGAAAAGAAGGATCAGTTGAATGCACCAATTACAATGATGGAGGTACAATCAGCAATAGGACATTCCAAATTAGGCAAATTGCCAGGCCCAGATGAACTGACTGCGAAATATTATAAAAAACGAAATAATCAGCTAGCGTTACCATTGAAGGATGTTATGAATAATATAATGAATAAAGGAAAACTACCAAATTCATGAATGGATGCCTACCTAGATTTCATTAATTCCAAAACAAGACATTGATCTACTTCTGGTTAAAAATTACAGGCCAATTTCACTACTGAACAATCATTATAAACTTTTTGCTAACATATTAGCAAATAAATTAAAAGATGTATTAAAAGGCATTATTCGTAATGATCAAGCGGGTTTTCTTCCTGGTCAACAAATGAAAGATAATATAAGGAATATAATAGGTGTAATAGAATATTTGGAGACCAGGAATGATAAGCAAGCGGCATTGATGTTTATTGATGCAGAAAAGGCCTTTGGCAATATTTCCTGGAATTTTATGAAAAAGAACTTAGAGATGATGGATGTAGGGCAATCCTTCCTTACAGGTCTAGGAGCTATATACTCCGAACAGAAAGCCATGCTGATTGTTAACAATGTTATAACTGAAAAAATGTGAAGTTACAAAGGGAATGAGACAGAGATGTTCTTTGTCACCATTATTATTTATTACTGTTTTAGAAGTTCTGTCGAGAGCTATAAGATCAGATGAAGGTGTAAAAGGAATCAGGGTGGGGCAGAAAGAATATAAATTGAAAGCCTTTACAGATGATTTAGTAATAACAGTAGAAGATACTTTATCCACTGTACCAAAAGCACTGGAAAGAATTCAGGAATTTGGACAAGTAGCTGGTTTCAGACTTAATAAAGTAAAAACGAAAATGTTGATCAAAAAATATGACTGTACAATTGAAAGAAAAGCTTCAACAGATCGCATAAATAAATCCCAAAGACCAAATATTTAGGGGTATGGTTAACTGCCAAAATTATATATTTAAGGACAATTACATACCTATGTGGAAAGAAATAAAGAGGGATTTGGAGGTGTGAGGAAGGATGAAATTATCATTTTGGGGAAGGAATTCTGCTGTGAAAATAAATGTGCTACCGAAAATGTTGTTTTTATTTCAATCAATCCCTGTGGTGAGCGGGGTGGGACACTTCAGGGAATGGCAAAAAGTAGTATCTAGATTTATCTGGAAAGGGAAGAAGCCAAGAATAAAATATAAGTTTTTAATATATAACTTAAATATAAGAGGTGGCTTCTCTCTGCCAGATCTTACATTATAAGGTTTTCTGTCTTTGCTTGCTACAGGATTGGATATTGTTGAAAAATACGGATTTAATAGATCTGGAAAGTTATGACAACAGTTTTGGGTGGCATGTTTAAAAAGACATTTGTTAAAAAAATGAGAGACCTTTTTGTTAAATATAGTAGGTGAAGAGATACCTAGAGAAGATAAACAACTATTTATGTATGCAACAACACCAGGGAGAGTATTGCTAGCCCACAATTGGAAAAAAGAAGAGGTACCATTGAAACAAGAATGGCAGATGAAACTGATGAACTATGCAGAGATGGTGAAATTGACAGGAAAGATCCAAAACCAGGAAGAACAAGTATTTGAAAAAGACTGGAATAAATTTTTACACTATCTAAAGGACCACTGTAAACATTTAAAATCACTGGCAGGAATGTAAAGATGCTTGTAATGTGAAAATTATTATATGGTTTTTTTTAATGGAACAATTAGTAGTTGGATAATTTAAAAGGATGAAGATAATTTTGTATTATAGTAAGAACCCATGGAGGGAGGGAAGTCTGATGGTTCAAAGGAACCTTTTATTTATTTTTATTTTTGGATATGTGAAATGGTTAATGTAAAGATATATAGAAATGTGAAAACTAATAAAAAATTAATTAAAAAAAAGAAAAAGAAAGGATATTTAAGCCCTTTCTTGCCTTGCATTGCTTACCTCAAGCCTTCTAAATATTCAAAGTAGAAATATACGTTTACAAAAAAACCAGAAGCCTTCCTATTACGTATAGTAGGTAGAGAAATACATAAGCAGGATAAAACATTGTTCTTATATGAAACAACTGTAGCGAGTATGTTATTAGCCCAAAGATGGAAAGAGGAAGATTTCCCAACGAAAGAAGAGTGGCAGATGAAATTACTGGACTACACCAAATTGGCGAAACTGACGGGAAAATTTCGGAACCATAAGGATCAGACTTTTCTGAAAGACTGGAATAAATTTATGTTATATTTGAAAGACAACTGTAAAGAACTAACATTGCTAGTAGGGTTACTGGAAGGTTAAAATTATCACTTGTTATTTATTGTAGCTAAGTAAGGTAAAGGGACCCCTGACCATTAGGTCCAGTTGTGACCGACTCTGGGGTTGCGGGTTGTTGGCTGAGGGAGCCGGCATGTGGCCAGCATGACTAAGCCGCTTCTGGCAAACCAGAGCAGCACACGGAAACGCTGTTTACCTTCCCGCTGGAGCGGTACCTATTTATCTACTTGCACTTTGCCGTGCTTTCGAACTGCTAGGTTGGCAGGAGCTGGGACCGAGCAACGGGAGCTCACCCCGTCACGGGGATTCAAACCATCGACCTTCTGATCAGCAAGTCCTAGGCTCTGTGGTTTAATCCACAGCACCACCCGCGTCCCATTGTAGCTAAGTAAGTATCCATAAAAGATTATGATTTAATAGTAATAAGAAATACAGGAAAATGCAGTATATAGAGAATAGGTTTGAAAGCCATCGGTCGGGGAGGAGGGAAGTCACAGGAAGCCAAATGTCTTATTTATCTTTGTTTATATGATGTCATGCATGAAAATATGTCTAAAACCAATAAAAAAAAATTAAAAAAATATTCAAGGTGTTCTTATGTCACTTTCAACAGTCATGGCTTCCTCCAAAGAATTCTGGGAAGTGTAGTTTGTTAACAGTGCAGGGGATTTCCAGCTCTGTGAAGGGGCCTCCTAACAACCCTCAGCCCCCAAAACAAACGACACTCCCCTTGATTCTTTGGCATAAGCCATGTTTTGACTCTGGCTTCTCGCTAAACTTGCCTGTTTGCATTTTATTTCATTCTCATTGCTTTCTGTATAAAGCAACTAACAAATGTAATAAATAACACTAGCAAGACGCCGGATATCTCCTTGAGCTGCTCTTCTCAGGGAGGATTCCAGCACAAGGCACCAAACGCAACCAGAGCTCTCTGTGCCAAAGTGCTATGAATCTTGGGAGTCACCTTCCTCCCCGCCCAAGCACAGCTTCCTCTCTTCTCTGTCCACTTCTGCCCCTAAATCCTCACACTGTCTCCATCAGCCTGGCGCCCCCTCTTCCGTCCCGTGGGGCCTGTGGATTACTCACTGCCTTGCTATGCCAAGCATCTGGAGGCCTGGTAGACACTTCCTTTGGAGTTATGAATGAAGCCAGGACATCTTCAAGAGACACAGTGAGGCATCCCATGTTGTGACTGAACTCCCCCTCGCCCTCACTTTAAAATGAACCAGAACCTCACCGCCCCCTGCTGAAAGGAAGGGCTCCTCCAGAAAACCCGTTTATTCAGCATCCATCCTGATTGGCTTGCACAAAGCTTGCTCTGTAGTTAGACAGAAAAAAACCCTTTCTATTGCTCATTCAGGATTATTTGTGCTTGTGATGGCATCAGGCTTTCAATGCTGTTTGTACCTGCAGACATTTCGGGGTGCACACGCTGCTTTGTTTCCATACAGTGAATATCCTGCAACTTCCTGCTGAAATCCTGTAACTTTTCATAGCACAAATGGTCCAGTTCATTATTATTTTTTGTCCCACTTTTGTCGTGCTCAAATAATGTTCAAATAATGCAGTAACCTTGCGGGAAGTGTTGCAGGACCACTGACAAAGCAGAATGATGTGAGGACTGTCTAATATAAACCCGCTTGAATCTCCCTCACAAAATACTGACAGTCTAGAGCAGGCATAGGCAAACTCAGCCCTCCAGATGTTTTGGGACTACAATTCCCATCATCCCTGACCACCGGTCCTGTTAGCTAAGGATGATGGGAATTGTAGTCCCAAACAAATGGAGGGCCGCAGTTTGATTATGCCTGGTCTAGAGGTTTACTAAGCCTAAATAAGCACAAACTGGGGCCCAGATCAGGGGTTCCATATACCCATACCACCCCCACTCCCTTAAAAAGCTGCAACCTGCAAAAGTGATGCAAATCAAGCCAGCCTGCATCCATTTTATTTAATTCTAGCTTCTGTCTTTCATGGGAAAGGGGAGTATTGTGGAACATGGAAAACTCCCACCCTCCCTACCCCTGGCTACTGGAAATGGCTACTGGAAATCCTGTACCAGGGAAAGCAAATTGGTGGCCAAGTTGCCCAAAGAGAGACAGAGACAGAGAGAAACAGAGAGAAGCTCTGCTGTTTCTGAGCTAAAAAAAAAGAAAATAAAAGAGAAAAAGATGCCATTGCAGCTCATGGTGCCTCCTCAAGCTGGAACTGTTGAACAAACAAATCATTCCACCCCCAGAAAAATTATTTGGACAATCCAAGTTCATCACCCATGAGTGAGAAGCGGTGGAGGAGCGGTGGCCATTTTGCAACACTTAGTTGCTTTCTGCTCTCCTGCATCCTATGTCCTTGGGAGCGGAGGGAGACAGATGGGTGGACGATGGGACATACCTTACGGACAATGCCCCTTTTCTCATAGAAGGCAATGACAGGCTCAGTGGCCTTGTAGTACGTCTCCAGCCGCTTCTTGATTGTCTCCTCGTTGTCGTCGACTCGTCCGCTCGTCTCCCCGCGCTTCAGCAGGCGCTTCACCATTGTTTCCTTGCCAGCGTCCACATAGAGCAGCAATGTTGGGGGTGCAATCTGAGCAGGGAGGCAACATGGAGGGGTCAGGGAGTGGGGTGGGGGAGAGGAAGAGAAGAAGGAAATTCTCCAGTCCCAGCCAGCACAGCAGCTAAGCAACATCTGGAAGGCCACAGGCTCCTCAGGGCCTGGTCTAACTCAAAGTTCCGTACGTGGTTCTCCACCCTCATTTAATCCTCACAACAACTTTGTAAGGTAGGTTGGGATAAGAGGCAATGACTGGCCCAAGTTCACACCATGAGCTTCATGGTCAAGTGGGAATTTGAACCCTGGTCTTTCAGGTCACAGTCCAGAACACCGGAAATGGCAGGAGATTGAATCTGGGAGCTCCACCTGGGGAGAGTGGCTTGGACACCAAGCTACTAGTCACCTTGTCCAGGTTTTTTCAATCTGTGCTCAAGTCTTATCTGCCCAGGCTTCTAGGAATGTAGAATAAACCAGCAGTTATTTGCCAAGCTTAGACCAGGCTAGGGGAACAATGCTGCCATCTTGTGCTGTCTCAGGGAATCCCAGGCAGGAAATGCTCAAAATAATACTGCTTCCAAACCATCACCACTGATGCACAAGAGGGAAGCTCGCTTTCCCCAAATACACACAACACTGTACACACTCTTGGGCTGGAAAACTGCAATGCAATGCCTGGAAAAGTGCAAAAGTTGAAGGATAGCTGGATTTCAGTTTGCATGTCATTTCAGAAAGGGCAAACCAGGTAGGTTCAAATCAGAATCCGTAGCAAACACCTCCCCACACCATTCCTCTTCATAATCCTGAATGTTTAGGGTTCCAACCAGAATAAAGGGTCTCTCTTTCCATCCACCCCACTCTGGTTGGGTCAATCATCCTCCGGTTCAGCCCTTCCCAAACTTATCCCACCCACTCCACTCTTACCTTCTTCTCGAACTCCTCGCCCTGCTTCACTTCCCGGGGGTAGCCGTCAATCAGGTAACCCTTGGAGGTGTCTGCCTTGGCCACCATGGCGTCCCTCAGCATGTCCAGGACGGTGTCCTGTGAGCAGAGAAGGGAAATGCCATGAAGTTAACACCACAGGAGCACTCTGCAAACTGTGGGGGCCTGTGATCAGGAGACCTAGAAGTGCCCCAGCAGTGGCTAGTACCCATTATGACTGGCAAAGCAGGATGGCAACAGTAGGTGGCGCCAGAGTCAATGGCCTCTGAGGTCCCTTCCAACTTTATGATTCTGTGATTCATTTCAGTTGCATACAGACTTCCTTTCAATAAGAGGAGAGGACAAATGGGTTGGAGGGATCTCAAGTAAAAAAAAGGTGGCTTTATGCAAGTATTCTTTGAGGCAGCTCCCGTCATAAGGCATGGAGTCATTTGCAAGGGACCTTCTACTTCAACAGGTGGTGGAGCTGATATAAACACTGATATCGAGACCAAGGAATTATTGACTGTTCTTTAAATGGTTGCTCAGCTACCTATAGCTCAAATCTGGAAGGCCTTACACCTGATGGTGTAAAAATGTTTTGCAATCAACGACCATTGAGAAAATAACTCATAACTTAAAAGTGATAAATGGAACACTAAAACTGGGCAAATTTTATGCAATATGGTGGCCATTTATCACAAGCGCTCGAATTGGAGAACAGCCTTTACCAAAGGTGTCATGGACTTTGAAGACACCCAAACTCAGGAATAAAGGGGGAAATGTGCTAAGAGGAAGGCACATTTGGCAAACCCTCACCTTGATCAACTCCTGCCTGGAAACCTATGTCTCCACTGAGGAAGGAGGTGTGGATCCAGAATTAGCCTCCACAGTAACTTTAAGACCATGTTCAGGGAAGACAATCTTACTCAACTATGAGTGATTGCCAAAGAAGAAGAATACTGTAATGCACCCTACGTGCACTACCTTTGAAGGTGACTTGGAAACTATAATTAATCCAGAGTGTGGCAGCTAGACTGGTGACTGGGAGTGGCTACTGGAACCATATAATACCTGTCCTAAAGGATCTACACTGGCTCCCAGCAGATTTCTGAGCACAATTCCAAGTGTTGGTGCTGATCTAGCCCTAAAAGTCTTCAACCCTATATACCTGAAGGAATGTATAGCATTGTTCAGCCCGGACCCTGAGATCTAGCTCCAAGGGCTTTCTGGCAGTTCCCTCACTGCGTTCTTGGTAGTGGCACCCACGCTGTGGAACGCCCACCCATCAGATGTCAAGGAAATAAAGAACTACACAACTTTTAGAAGACACCTGAAAGCATCCCTGTATCAGGAAGTGTTTAAAGTTTGATGTTATATCATGTTTTTATATGTGTTGGAAGCTGCCCAGAGTGGCTGGGTAGGGCAAGGACGTTTGGATAATTTGTATGGATGAATAAGAATCAATTATGTTACTGTATAACCTGTTATCTGCTTTGGAGGTGGTGGTGGAGGCGAATGTTATGTTATGGGGAATGTTATGTTATGGGTTTGTTATTACATATGTATATATAACACAATAAAAACAGTTTAATTGGAAAAGAAAGGTGGCAGACTGGTAGAGGGAAGATCTTAACTAGGTAGAAAAAAGAGGGAAATTGGGTATGTTTAGCCTGGTAAAGAGGAGACTGAGAAGAGATATGATAGCCATCTTCAAATATCTAATGCGCTGTCACATGGAAGATGAAGGAAGCTTGCTTTCTCTTGCTCTGGAGGGTAGGACCCAAACCAAGGGCTTCAAGTTTCAAGAAAGGAGATTGTGGACTCTCCTTCTTTGGAGGTTTTTAAGCAGAGGGATGCTTTAGTGGAGATCACTGCAGAGGGTTGGAAGAGAACATTAGTGTCCCTTCCAACTCTACAATTCGAAGAAGAGCATTGAAGGCCGGGCCCTGTCAGAACAAACCCCATTTATTCCCACCATAAACTCACCAGTGGGACTAACTCTCCCTTCTCCATGATGGCCGACAGTTTCTTCCCCCTGTCTGAGCCAGAGCTGACCTCCGCTCTCAGGAGGTCGCCAGTGGATAGGTGGGTGTAACCATACTTCTGAACAATCCTCTCGCACTGTGTCCCCTTTCCTGAGCCAGGCCCGCCTGCAACACAACACAGGACATTTCCGCCACAGAGTCTAGGAAGAGAAATGGCTGAGGGAGGGAGTGGTAGATCATGAAACCTTCTCAGGCAGTGGCACCTGGTACCCACTGGGACGGATGAGGTGGAGGGAATGGCAGGTGCAAACAGAGCCAAAGACAGGCAGAACCAACTAATTATATACCCCCATCCTCCTCCCTGCTTCTCTTTTTCCAGTCTTAAGTTCAGTTTGCCACATGGCCACATCAGTTTGCAAAGGAAAAAAAAAAAGAACCTCATGAAAATTCATCAGCATTGTTGTGTGAATTTCTCCTCATAAACTCATTTTTGTATGCAAATTTTCAAAACAAATGCTATTTTGCAAAGCAATTCCCCCTAGCATAATGCACATCTCTATGTTACTTTCATTAATATACACAATTTAATGGATGCCCACCCCCACCCCAGAGTGTAAGTGCATTTTTGTAACACATTACTTGGCAGGAGAACTGCATTGCAAAACTTGGGTAATAATGAGTTTTAAAGCTCTGCTGCGTTTCGTTTCGTGGTACTGTTTCTGAAAGTGTGGGTCAGACAGGTTCACCTTTAAATGCAAACTCCCCTACACCTACTCCAACTGTGACTGCCTACTGGGGAGAGGTAGGCTGAGGATCCCTGGAAGGATGGAAGCCTGAACAGCTGGGGGGGGGGGCACCAGGAATCCTATGCTTGTTATTGTTGTTACTCTTCCTTGGGATTTTAACATGCCCCAGATCATGTTACAGCAGGGGGCCAGTCCACTGTCCCTCAGACCTTGTGGGGGGCCAGACTATATATATTTTTTGGAGGGGGGGAATGAACAAATTCCTATGCCCCACAAATAACCCAGATATGCATTTTAAATAAAAGCACATATTCTACTCATGTAAAAACACCAGGCAGGCCCCACAAATCACCCAGAGATACAATTTAAATAAAAGGACACATTCTACTCATGTAAAAACAAGCTGATTCCTGGACCGTCCGCGGGCCGGATTGAGAAGGCGATTGGGCCAGATCCGGCCTGCAGGCCTTAATTTGCCTACCCATGCCCCAGATCCTTCCTTAATATACCCCAGCCAACCCTTCAGTGGTAAGTTTCTCACTTTTATTAATGTTCCTGTTCCTGTTTGTTTGGAAATCTATGAGCTGGATGAGAGATCTATTTCTGCATCAGGCTGACCAGCAACTTCTCCTATACTTACCAACTACAAAGATGATCTTGTGGTTTTTCAATTTTTCTGGGAGGGGGAAAAGAAGGAACAAGACAACGTTAAGCTCTGGGAGGCAAGCACTTGTGGACATTTACCAGATGCCCGCCCAGGGAGAGATATTCAGCAGAAAGCAAGTGCTGACACACACACACACACACACACACACACACACACACACACACGTGCTATTGCTGCTGCTCTCCACCCCAGCCCCTTGCCAAATGGAAGGCGCTCAGCCTTTGCTTTTGGGCAATGTGAACAGAAGCCAGCTTCCAGCTTTCAAAGGATTTCAGACAAGCCCTAAGGCCTTCCCTCCCAGGATTACCTTTGCCAGCTTTAACTATGGGATCTTCGACACAGGAGCACTGGGCACCCATCTTCCCTCCAAAACTGGTAGCTCCTTTTTGCTGCTTTGATTCCCGTCCTGTCCTTCCTCCTTGTTCCCGCCCCCCAGAAAGCCTCTCTTTTCCTGCTTAGTACATTTTTTGTCCATGAGCCTCTGGGCACCCTGCCCTCCACAGCTGGGACTGGGCTGGGCTTAGTCTGGGCTTTTTAGGGAGGCCTTGTGGCTCAGAGTCCAACACAGGTTGCCAGGGAGACCGTTGCTAAGGCCCAGTAGATGCCAGAGCTCAATTGTTTCATGCAGCATCTGCAGGGGGCCAAGAATCCAATACGGGTGGAGGATTCCAGATGTGCTCCTTTTTGCAAACAGAGCCTGGATCCAGCCCAGGAGGACCCAGAGTCATACAATCATAGAGTCATAGGATCATAGAGTTCGAAGGGACCTTATGCACTGCTCCATGTTAGTGTAAGATGATCTGTTGCTTTGAGTGCCTCTCCTCAGCACAATTCAAATTTGACTCTTGAGAGAAGCTGGAGGAATCTTGAACTCATTTGAAAAATTTATCAGATGTATTCCAGTTACAGGAAGAGGAAGCAACTTGAGGTGAGGCAAAATAAAATCCAGAAATATGGGGAGAGCGGATTCTTTATAGTCTAAACCCCCAGCGGCACTAGCTGTGGGAAGCTTGATTTGTTTTGGGTAGTAGGAAACAGAACTTCTACAACAGAAACCAACACAAGTAGGACCCGTTACATTCACAGCCCGCTAAAGTGCCAGTTACAGTGGACAGTCTTAAAATCTGGATATAATTTAAATCTAAAAATAAAACAATCTAAATGGAGGAGGCCGTCTCACTATGAATCTTTTTCAACTCCAATCTGCACTCAGAATCCAAGAGAGGCTCTTGCTAAAATTAGTAATAATGTAAGATGGTATGAGACTGAGCAAAGAGAGCTGGAGAAACTCCCCCTCAAGGCACCTTTTGTGAGGGTGCAGGCCTGCCTGGGATGTGTCCCAAATCTCTGATTGCGCCCATTCCTTGCCTGGGCAGAAGTTAGAGAAGGGGGTGGGGTGGGGGAGTCTAGAAACTAGACTCTGGCCCCGTCCACTGTTTGCACGTGGCCCTTGGAAGGTTGCAATGGATGGGTGAAAACCTAACTGACAGCGAAGGCAGCATAGCTAAAAATAAAGAGGGTTGGTTTTGGAGCAGTCCACAGCTCAGGGCATCATCAGCAAGCAGCAGGGTGAGGTCTCCTTTAATTACAGCTTTCTAGAATTACAACTGCCTACTTGGGGACATGTGTGGCTTGGGGAAATCTTTTGATATGCCTGAACCAGAGATGTTTATGTTCTGGTTTCTGTACTGCAGACCAACCTAAAACGCAGAAGGGGTGTTCCAAGGAAAGCCACGTTTGCAGCTAAGAAAGGACAAAGTTGTCTGATTATCATGGTCTGTTGTAGATTATGGGCATGCTGTCATTCCCAAGGCAGGATAGTGACCCTTGGGACTGGTGGGGCGGAAGACAGGGAAACCAACAGTAGGTGGTGCCAGAGCCAATGGCAGACAGAGCCGACTAGTTCTAATTTTGCTCCAATCCTCCTCCCTGTTGAGATATACAAAGGAAACACTAATGGGGAAGAGGTCAGTGAGTGCCACCCCCTGGACTGGTTGCAAAAAGGAAGATGAGCAGCTGAGGACCAGCTGAGTTCAATGGGGAAGGGGCCTTCTTGTCCCAATGGACCACCCCCCGCTGACCTTACTCCTCCTCTAGCACAAGAGGGAGAAATAAACAAGGCAATTTACCAGCCATTCTTTGCTTGCCTCTAATGAGCTAGGATTTATGAGCCAGTAGTTTTAAGGCTTGCTAGCAGCACTAGCTTGTCAGGGAGGAGCAAACCTTGACGCTGCGTTTGGACATTGTGGGAAGCCAAACTTAACTGTGGCTTCCTGGGTTGCTTCTCTGACATGTAGCAGAGGAGAAGCACACTAGGTGTGGTTGGACAACCGAGACCAGCACACCAGGAACCTGCAGCCCTTGCTCATCATGACATGTGGACATGGCTAGTAGCGGCTGCAGCTCAGAACAGAGCAGCTGCTTTTCCTATGGAGGGTCCTCAGTACAATCTCTGTTTAAGAGGATCTCAGATGCAAAAGCCAGGAGAGAGCCTCTGCCCAAGAACTGATATCTATAGAGAAACTTTCAGACCTGTGAGCCTCCTCCTGAAGCGGCAAAGCCCAGACACAGGCTGACCACCTCAGGAAAACCAGTCAGACCCACACTTTCTGTGCACAGGACAAGTGGAAGTGTGGGTGAGACATTGCTTTCCTCTTGTCCCGTGTGGTTTAGCCTTTGCCCTTCTGCTTTCCCCCAGGATACCTGCTCCTTATTGCTAAATAAAAGCAAATGTCAATCTGGAGAAAACCCAGTAGACATTTGCACCAATTCTGTAGTAAAGATTTGAGTTTTTCTAGGGGAAAGCAGTGGGGAAAGCAGAAGTGTGGATGAGCCCTAAGTTTGTGCAGTGAACTCACTTTTGTCAGCAAACCAGGTTCCCATTCATTCATTCATTCATTCATTAAAAAACAGACGGGCTAATACAGCCAATTGTATTTGAAGACATGACAAAAGCATGCAAAAACAATGCTACTCTCAGCCCACATGGTGCAGATCAGATGGCTGAGCTTGCAGAGACTAAGGCAGCAGTGGAGCAATCTGGCAGGCACAGACACCCCCTGGTTGTAAGAAAGAAGGCAGGCAGGCAGGTGGAGGCTGGCCGAGGGAAAGCTGAGATGAGTAGGGTGATGCCCCTTTCGCCTTGATGCACCAGCCTCCACTGACACTCACGTAATGCAGCTAGAGTAACGCTGCAAGGCATGCACCTACTGGCAAGATGGAATACAGTGTATTTGGACTGTCAAAATGTGTCCTATCACTATTCAAATGACATGTAAGGCCAATCAGAAGGCATGAGAGTCGACTCCAGGTTTGAGGGGATCCCACGGCAAAGGGGACCCTTCTGTCCTGTGTAAGGACTGCTGCGCTCTGCTGCCCAGGAGGACTCTCCTGTGTGAGTGTCTGAGGGCCCTGCTCCTTCCTGCCACTTACCACCTGGCCCAGGGCGGGGCCTGATGGGCCTCCCTAGGACAGTTGCTGTTACTGCTGGAGGGGTGCAGAGTGCTTTTAAAATGTTTTTAAAAAATTTCTTTTGAATTTTTTGTAAGTGGGGGTGGGATGGATGTTTATTGGGCCTGGGAATTTGTTTGATTTTATGTTTTTGTAATTTTTACTGTTTTTTGTTTGTATTGTTTTATTGTTGTTGTTTTTTAAGGTGTTATTTTGTTCTTAAGGGGAGGGGTCAGGGCTGCCGGGGAGTGGGTCCCAGCCAACAAAATGGCTGGGGCATGTTCCACAGGGGGGGATGCACTGGGACAACCGATCTCAGTGATCACGGGTAGGAGGAGGAGTTACGCTAAGACCAGACCATGTCATTACAGAGGAGGCAGGTTTAGTCGTTGTCTGAGGACTATTCCTGCCTCCGGGTCTGGTCCTGACCGGATGGATACTAGAATCAGCAAGGGATACCCACATGACCTGAAGGTGCTGCTGTGCAATGCCAGGTCAATGATTCATAAGACCACTGCCATCCATGACTTGATCATGGATGGAGGACTTGACCTGGCATGTGTGACAGAGACTTGGTTGGATGAAGCAGATGGGCCTGTCCTTGCCGCTGCTTGTCCACCAGGTTTCTCTTACGCACAGCAACCCAGGTCATGTGGGCGGGGAGGGGGGGTTGCAGTGATTTTTAGGAAGTCATTAGTTTGCACCAGGCATCCTATTGGGAAGACCCAGTTTTCTGAGTGCATGTTCTGGAAGTTGGGCAATAGGGGCAGTACAGGATTCCTTTTGGTGTACCGACCTCCCAGCTGCACCAAGGATTCCCTGCCCGAGCTGCTTCAGGTTGTGGCAGATGTTCTCCTGGAGACACCTAGCTTGGTTGTCCTAGGGGATTTTAATATCCATGCCGACACGACCTTACAAGGGGCCGCTCGGGACTTCGTGGAAAGCATGGCCGCCATGGGGCTGTCCCTGAATAAGTCTGGCCCAACCCATAGCCACAGGCATGCCTTAGACCAGGTGTTCACCTCTATGGATGTTGGTGATCTGACACTAAGTAAAAGCGAAACGAAAGAAGTGCCATGGTCAGATCACTTCCTGGTGCAACTGGACTTCTCTGCAACCCATCCCCTCTGCAAGGAGGTGGGACCAATTCGGATGGTCCGCCCCCGCCACTTAAAGGATCCAAATGGTTTCCAGAGAGTGGTAGGGGATGTTTTATCCCATGTTGATGGCCTTTCAGCCGATTCCCTGGTGGCCCACTGGAATGTGGAGTTAACCAGGGCTATTGACTGTTTGGCTCCGAAGCGCCCTCTCCAATTGCATGGAGCCCGGACAGCCCCGTGGTTTTCCACGGATCTGAGGGCAATGAAACAATCATTGAGACAGCTAGAGCGCCGGTGGCGGATAACTCATTCCGAATCTGACCGGACACAGGTTAGAGCTCAACGTCGAGCCTACCAAGTGGCGATAGCATCTGCAGAAAACAGCAGCAGGAGACTTTTTCAAGTGGTTCACAATTTAGCGGAACCACCTGCGACATCTGGGCCCAGTACGGGCCACATGATCTCCTGCAATGATTTTGCAAAGTTTTTTGCAGATAAAATCGCTCAGATTCGGGAAGAAGTAGACTCCACCGTGGGAGCAGGGCCAGGGCGGCAGAGTGCTAGAGTCCTGTCTAGTCAAGTTGCGTGGGATCAGTTCCAACCTGTTACCTCCGAGGATGTGGACAGGCTGCTTGGACGAGTGAAGCCAACCACCTGTCTCCTTGATCCTTGCCCATCCTGGCTTATAAAAGCTAGCCGGGAAGGACTGGGCGATGGGCTTCGTGGGGTGGTGAATGCTTCCCTCTGTGAGGGAGCCTTCCCAGACCCGCTGAAAGAGGCGGTTATTAAACCTCTTCTTAAAAAACCATCTTTAGATGCAGCCACGATGGCCAATTATCGCCCAGTCTCAAATCTTCCATTCTTGGGCAAGGTGATTGAGCGAGTGGTTGCTGAACAACTCCAGGCACGCCTGGAAGAAGCGGACCATTTGGATCCCTTCCAGTCGGGATTCAGGCCTCATCATGGGACTGAAACTGCCTTGGTCGCACTGGTTGATGACCTCCGGCGGGCTAGGGACAAAGGTGAGAGCTGTTTCCTAGTTCTGCTGGATCTCTTAGCGGCGTTTGATACCATCGACCATAACATCCTTCTGGACCGTCTTGAGGGGCTGGGAGCTGGGGGCACTGACATACAGTGGTTCCGCTCCTTCCTCCTGGGCCGTGTTCAGAAAGTGGGGGGGGGGATGAGTGTTCAGACCCCTGGGCTCTCACTTGTGGGGTGCCTCAGGGTTCTGTCCTCTCCCCCATGCTTTTCAACATTTACATGCAGCCACTGGGAGAGATCATCAGGAGGTTTGGGCTGGGTGTTCATCAGTATGCAGATGATACCCAGCTCTACCTCTCTTTTAAATCAGAACCAGTGAAGGCGGTGAAGGTCCTGTGTGAGTGTCTGGAGGCGGTTGGAGGATGGATGGCGGCTAACAGATTGAGGTTGAATCCTGACAAGACAGAAGTACTGTTCTTGGGGGACAGGAGGCGGGCAGGTGTGGAGGATTCTCTGGTCCTGATTGGGGTAACTGTGCCCCTGAAGGACCAGGTGCGCAGCCTGGGAGTCATTTTGGACTCACAGCTGTCCATGGAGGCACAGGTCAAATCTGTATCCAGGGAAGCTGTTTACCAGCTCCATCTGGTACGTAGGCTGAGACCCTATCTGCCTGCAGACTGTCTCGCCAGAGTGGTGCATGCTCTGGTTATCTCCCGCTTGGACTACTGCAATGCGCTCTACGTGGGGCTACCTTTGAAGGTGACCCGGAAACTACAACTAATCCAGAATGCGGCAGCTAGACTGGTGACTGGGAGCGGCCACCGAGACCATATAACACCGGTCTTGAAAGACCTACATTGGCTCCCAGTACGTTTCCGAGCACAATTCAAAGTGTTGGTGCTGACCTTTAAAGCCCTAAACGGCCTTGGTCCAGTATATCTGAAGGAGCGTCTCCACCTCCATCGTTCTGCCCGGACACTGAGGTCCAGCTCCGAGGGCCTTCTGGCGGTTCCCTCACTGCGAGAGGCCAAGTTACAGGGAACCAGGCAGAGGGCCTTCTCGGTAGTGGCGCCCGCCCTGTGGAACGCCCTCCCATCAGATGTCAAAGAGAACAACAACTACCTGACATTCAGAAGACATCTGAAGGCAGCCCTGTTCAGGGAAGTTTTTAATATGTGACATTTTAGTGTATTTTTCATCTTTGTTGGAAGCCGCCCAGAGTGGCTGGGGAAAACCAGCCAGATGGGCGGGGTACAAATAATAAATTATTATTATTATTATTATTATTATTATTATTATTATTATTACTACATCGCAGCTCTTGGTCACCTGGTGCTGTTTGCGGGTACCATGAAAGATGGGGTGGGGTGGGCATAACAGGTGTTGATGGGCTCCATTGCAGACCTGAAGCTGAGTCAGGCCAAAGGGGTCTCATGTAGTCCTACATCCTGTTCTCACGGGGGCCATCAGATCCCCCTTCTGGGAAGCACTCAAGCAGCAACTCAAGTGCAATAGCATCCTCTCCACTTGTGATTCCCAGCAATTGGTGTTCAGAAGCTTACTGCCTCCAACAGTGGAGGGAAAACACAGCTACCATGGATAGCTGTCATTACTAGCCTTATCCTCCATGAATTGCTCTAACCCCATCCAAGTTTTGCAGCCATTGCTACATCATCGTTCATGCGCTGCTTCCTTCTGTTTGTCCTGAAGAGCCCAACATTCAACTTCACTGGTTGGCCCTGAGTCCTAGCATTGTAAGAAAGCGAGAGAGAAACTCCCTCTCCCTCTCCACACTATGCAGAATCTTATGCACCTCTGTTACGACCCTCTTGCTCGCCTCAATCAAGCTGCAGTCCTCGTTCCTCAGTTGTTCCTCTTACTCTCCTCTCAACCCCTTTCTAAAACCAAGTTGGTGGACATAACGTCTTGTAGCTGGACAGAGAGGGAGGTTGGATAAGAAGACCTGAAGGATAATAATAGAGCCCACTGGATCAGGCCAGTGGCCCACCTAGTGTAGGATCCTACTATCAGAGTGGCCAACAACGGGAAGCCCCCCAAAAAGGACCTGAACACAAGAGCACTCTCCTCCGCAGTTGCAATTGCCAGCAACTGGTATTCAGAGAGCTAAACTCAGAGACCTACCCCCTCAAATCCAGTTTGTGTGGGCTGGTCTGTGAATTGGGCTGAAAGAGCAATAAGGCAGACTAAGTCAGGGAAAGAGTAAGAGGATTCACTTACCAGCTGCCATCCTGAAAAATTCTGGGACAAAGAGTTCTTCTGCCTGGAATTAAAAAATTAAAATTAAAAAAGACAACAACAAAGGGCTCAGTTAGGCTGAAGGCTAACTGTTGAGATCCTTGGGGAAGCTTCAGTCTCCTCTTTCGCAACTGAGGGGAGCAAAGTTTCAGTCAGCTCCCAGCTTGGCCTAGTCTGCAAAACATCAAGATGCTGCTGCTTTGCTTCTTAACCTTTTCCCTTGCTGAGCAACCTCCTTCACTCTTTCTCTGTTCTCCTGCGAGATAAATGGAGGGGAGGGAGGGAGAGAATAAAGTACCACATCAACAGCACAGGTGGTTGGGCAGGGGAACCTTTTTCATCCCAAGGGCCACACTTCTTTCTAGGAAACCTTCCAGGGGCCACGTGCCAGTGGTTGGCAAGGCCAGAGGCAAAATGAGCAGAGCAACTGATATCAATTTTACTTTTGGACATAGGTTGGTTTCTGCACCCATCCATGCCTCCCTCCCTATCATCCATCCAGAGGCACAACTGGAGTACAAAGACACCCTCCAGCCAGGCATGGCTGTTCTCAACGCTAAGCAGGCCCAGTGAGAGGTGTGGCTGGCAGAGACAGGGGATGCGATCTGGAAGAGCTACGAGGACCAGAAGTGAAGGACCACATTCATCCTTTGGGCCTGAGGTTCCTCACCCCTGCGGTGGGGGAAGAAGCTGTCCTATTACAGATTGCCTACACAAACACACTCATGGGACTTGGTGCGTCAACCCAAATAACCATTTGCTGGCTCTGCATCAGATGAGAGGCCAGAGCTGGAGAAGACAGTTGATGCCCCAGAGGTTCTTCTTGGGTCTCCAGCTGTTGTTGGACTACAACCCCCATCATCCTTACTTAGCAGGACCAGTGGTCAGGGATGATGGGAGTTGTAGTCCAACAACCGCTGGAGACCCAAGTTTGAGAAACAGTGCTCTGACACATGCCGTCTTCCACCCCACCAAAGATCCAGGACTAAAGATCCTAGCCTGGGACATGTGAAGACTTCCTGCCTCAGAGGAGCAAACCCAAAGCGGCATGTCTCTAACAACGGTGGCCAGCTTTGAAAGGCAAACAGGCAAGACACCCACCGGTCTGGTTGCAGCTTCTGAGAGAACACAACAGCCCTACACAAACATATCTAGGAGAAGCAGGGAAGGGGAAACGGTTGCACCACAATGGGGATTGCAGATGCCTTAGGATGGAGTTCCCGTGGCAACAATTACCTGGCGGCGGTGCTGCCACCGTCAGTCGCCAGGAGACGGAGAGCAAAGCAGAGCCAGCCAAACAGAGAAGATAAAGGCAGACATTCAGTTCCACAGGTGGAAAGCAGAAAGAGACAGAAAGCAAGGCGACATAAGAGAGGAGCAGGGAACATTTTGTTCCACAGTTGGTGAGAGCTGGAGCACAACAACATCTGGAGGGTCACGGGTTAGCTGCCCCTGGAGTAGAAGATGCTGGGCTGGGTGGACAAATAGTTTGACCTGCTGTGAAGCAGTTTCCCAGGTAACTGGTATCAAGTTCAAACCCTTAGCATCTTTATTTAATAGGCTCTGAGGTTGAGGGAATGGGAAAGACCAATGCCTAAGAAAGGTGTGGGGAACTTGTGGCTCTCCAGCCGTGGTTGGGCTCGAACTCCCATCTGCCCTGGGCAACGTGGCAGGGATGATGGGGGCTATAGTCAGACACCAGAAGGAGCACAGGGTCCTCACTCCTGGTAATACCATGGAGAGTGGCTGCCAATCAGAGTCCTAACCTCTAAAACAGCATGTGCATAAACAGGGATGTGGGACTTGTGGCTGGACCACAGCGCCCACCATCTCTGACCATTGGCCATGTTGGATAGGGTTGATTAACTTTGTAGTCCAAAAAAATATTTGAAGAGCATGGGGGTTTGAGTGTGTTTGTGTGTGTGTGTTGGACTTAAGACCTGGACAGACTCAGTTCCAAATCCCCATGAAGCCCACTGGAAGACTCAGTTGCCACCCCCCAGCCTAGGCTAGCCTACAAGGCTACTGTAATGACAAAATAAAAATAAAAATGTGTGTGGTGGTGGCTGCTCTGAGCTCTTTGGAGAAAAAGCTGGGATACGTTACTGTGGCGTCTCTTAACCTGAAACCTTGCTGTGGTTGCCTTGGAGAGCAGCTGCAATTGCTTCATATTTAATGGAGGGAGGACAGCTTGGATTACACCACAAGCTCAAGTCCCTAGGACCATGAATGCCTCCCCTCCAACACATGAAAATAGAGACACATACCACAAAGCACTGCCAAAAACCTCCCCTGCTCCCACACCAGCAGTGTTGCATCCTTTTTTGGCGCATGGCAGGGGCAGGATGCTCAGGGCCAACAGAATCCCCTCCACTAGACCAACCCTAGCCTGCTTCTGGGCATGGGTGCATGGGGGCCAGAGGGCGCATGGAGCCCATGTACCAGCTCAGCCCTGGCCACCCATGCAGGGAGGAGTATGCCCAGTCAATGTGGCCCTGGGCAGGCAAATCCCCACCCCAACACTGGCCAGGTGGCCATTCAGCAAGGGGGCCAGGGACGCGAAGGTCAGCCCGGCCAGGCCAGGCTCTGGGGCTCACAGGACGGGACAGGGATCCTTGTGTGGGGGTACCTGGCTCATGCCCCCTAAAAATCATGCACCCAGAGCTATGCCCCCCCCCATGCTACGTCCCTGCTCTGTTCTTTTTTAATTAAGAAACTTTCTGGTGCAAAAGTATAAACAGAAAACAGCTCAGCAGCAAAACAGCATTGCATTTCCCCCTCTTTTGTTACAAAGGGCAGATCCACACCGTAAGGGTGCTGGGAACTATAACTCTGTGAGGGGAAAACTACCGTCCCCATGATTCTTTGGGGCAGTCATGGGCTTTAAATGTGCTCTGCATGTGGTTAAAATATGTGGTTTGCATCTGCCCTTTTGAAGACAGCAAGAGAATACCCTTTCCCAATTCTTTTCTGCTGACATCAACAACTGCAAATTATAATGCTGGCTCCACAAGTCCGAACCTAGACATTAACCCCAACAATTTCTATTTGTGGTCTTTGCCCACTGTCACTATTTCGAGGAGGGGGGAGCTCATTGCTCTCCCCCACATGGAATAATAAATAAAGATACAGCCTAATACATTTCTGGTTTGGTTAGCCCCTTTGATCACACATTTTTGATAGGGAAGCTTTTCTGCTGCATTCCAAAGCTTACTGCACCAACAATCTATGGAAAATGGCACACAGCACTTGCAATTTGGTGCAGTAACAAGTCTAGCTGCAACTAGCAAGCTCTTTTGACCCCACGTGTGTGTTGTCTTCCCAAAACATGAAGGAGCGTCTCCACCCCCATCGTTCTGCCCGGAAACTGAGGTCCAGCACCGAGGGCCTTCTGGCAGTTCCCTCGCTGCGAGAAGCCGAGTTACAGGGAACCAGGCAGAGGGCCTTCTCAGTAGTGGCACCCGCCCTGTGGAACGCCCTCCCACCAGATGTCAAAGAGACAAACAACAACAACTTTTAGAAGACATCTGAAGGCAGCCCTGTTTAGGGAAGCTTTTAATGTTTAATAGACTATTGTATTTTAATATTCTGTTGGAAGCCGCCCAGAGTGGCTGGGGAAACTCAGCCAGATTGGCGGGGTATAAATAATAAATTATTATTATTATTATTATTATTATTATTATTATTATTATTTGTTTTGCACTTCTCACCATCATTTGCCTATTTGCAAGGGTTACTTCATTTGGCCCATGAGGCCATTTCCCCTAAGCCACTCTCACCTGCCCTATAACTGGCATCATACATGACATCAGGGGTAGTAGGTAGGGCAGGTAAATATGCAGCTTGAAAGTAAGTACCTGGGGACTTAGGCCTCACCCAACTTCCTTTTGTGCTGTGTTTCTAAGCACACGTCTGTGCTGTAAAGCACTGCGTCAGAGTGCTCCCCCCCATGGCGCTTCCCCCATGGAAACCCATTCTTTACCGTTGAACTGGAACAAGCAGCAATCCACAGAAAATCCAAATTGTCATTTGTTCTGATTCACTGTTAAAGAGCAGGTTTTCATGGAGGAAATGCAAGGGAAAAGAAGAAGAAGAGCTCATGGACGCAGTGCTTTACAGTGTGGACTGTGCCCAGAAAGGGGGAAAAGTAAGTGTAGACAAGCCTTTAACAGCATTTCTGATTGTTCCTTAGCATGCTGTATTTGTCACTTTTTAAAATTTGGTGCTGGGATTGGTTCCATTCAGGAGCTCCTGAATGGAGTTTCCAAGTGGAGTTCATCCCTGCCTAAAATGCAGTTCACGGTTGGTAGCAATGAGCGGATCGCCACTGACGGCACACTCCTTTTCTGCATCCACCCCACACAATTCACTGTTTTAATGTCTATATTCAGAGCACAAGAAAAGCCTTCTGAATCAAGTCCAGGGCCTGCTAGTCAAACACCCTGTTCCCAAAGTGGCCAACCAGATGCTACAAGGTGAACCCCAATAGCAGGACCTGAACACAACAGCATACCCATCAACTGCCCCGGAAAAACCGGGACTTCCCATTTTTTCCCAGGTGAGCAAGGCAGCCATTTTGGGTGCCCTGCTTTCGCATGATTTCTGGCCAAGATCTCACCCCCCCAAAAAGTAGGAATTTGGGGGTCTCGTTCACTACCCCAAAATGTGTGTTTTTGGGTGCCATGACTTTTTTCACATCTGTGATTTTGTGCGGGTCTCGTGCATCACGCAGGATTTCAGACCTGGAAGATGGTGTTCCAGATTTGGGCAGCATCACATTGGAGGTTATGCAACAGCGCTCTCCAACAGTGGAGGCAGAACACAGCCATTATGGCTGGTAGCAATTGATACCCCTATGAGAATTCCTCTGTTGTTGTTTAGTCATTTAGTCGTGTCCAACTCTTTGTGACACCATGGACCAGAGCACACCAGGCCCTCCTGTCTTCCACTGCCTCCCACAGCTTGGTCAAACTCATGCTGGTATCTTCGAGAACACTGTCCAACCATCTTGTCCTCTGTCGTCCCCTTCTCCTTGTGCCCTCCATCTTTCCCAGCATCAGGGTCTTTTCCAGGGAGTCTTAGAATAATCTGCTTCTAATACTATTCTAGATGGTGGTCATAGTGCATCTTGTGGGAGTGAATTTCATAGTTAAACTAGGCAACCTATGAAGAGTTTCTCTTCTTTTTCTCTGTCCTGAATCTTCCATCAACATTATAGCTTCATTATTTGTTCCCAGGTTCTAGTATTATGAGGGAGGGAGAAAAATGTACCCCTATCTACTTTCTCCAAACCACACATAATTTTATGCACATCTGTCGCATGCTCCCATTGTTGGGGGCAAGGGACAAAGCCCCGAGGAACAGCAAAAGCTAGCAACTCATGCCAAGCTTCCCCCCACCCTTTTAATAAGGTATCCTAGTGATTAACAAGATTAAGGTTTGGCAACTCTAGCAATAGATAGGAGCCAAAAGGGTAAGTATGTTTCTGAGCACAATTCAAAGTGTTGGTGCTGACCTTTAAAGCACTAAACGGCCTCAGTCCAGTTTACCTGAAGGAACGTCTCCACCCCCATCATTCAGCCTGGACACTGAGATCCAGCGCCGAGGGCCTTCTGGTGGTTCCCTCCCTGCGAGAAGCCAAGTTACAGGAAACCAGGCAGAGGGCCTTCTCGGTAGTGGCACCGGCCCTGTGGAACTCCCTCCCACCAGATGTCAAAGAGAAGAACAACTACCAGACTTTTAGAAGACATCTGAAGGCAGCCCTGTTTAGGGAAGCTTTTAATGTTTATTAGGTTATTGTATTTTAATATTCTGTTGGAAGCCACCCAGAGTGGCTGGGGAAACCCAGCCAGATGGGCCGGGTATAAATAATAAATTATTATTATTATTATTATTATTATTATTAGGGGCCATCATTCACAGTCCCTTCTCCCTCTCTGTCTTCCTGTATTCCAGGGATACACTTTATGATTTGGAGAACAAATACGTCATGCAGCAACAAAAATTAAAACTCCTGTCTCTAAAAAGCACGGTGTCTGACAATGCCTTCCTGCTAAGGCTCTGCTCTCTTATTAGCTTGTCTCTGTTTTGTTTGCATTCAGGGTAAGACACGGGATTTGAAAACTGTAATTAAATAGCAGCTTCAGGCACTGATTACCACTGGGGAAATGGTACGATGGGGGCGATGATTCAAATGTCTCTCCCCCCAGGGGTTAAAATACGTACTCTCTTTCATAGAAACACAAACAGTGTTTATGAAGCATAAGCCAGAGCGTTCCAGGAGCCCTGTTGCACCCAGCCTCCCAAAAAACCCCTTCTGTCTAGGAAGTCTGACTTCAGTCCCTAGCTCTGCAAGTCACTAATATTTCTGGCCTCAGTCCTCTATCTGTAAAATGGGAATGCCCTGAGGGGGAACACTATACAATAGATAGTTTTGCTGGCAAACACGTAGCCACATCTCATTCCTGCACCAAAGTAACAGCCTTGCTTTTGGGAAGAGTCCCAAAGGAGCAGGCACTGAAAATAGACCTGTGGTTCTTTGCAAAGATCACTGCGACCCACCTCACTGGTCTGACTGAAGAGGGACGGAGTGGGGTCCAGTTACACACCGCAACAGACACACCTAATAAGGCCAGATGACCTTGAGGTTTTGCTGGCTTCAGAGTTCTAAGTATGGGGCACCCATAATAAATCTCAGAGGGGTCACATCCTTGCAATGGAGAAGACACACTGGTATTGTACAGCAAAGTGGAGGTTTTTCTAAAGTTAAAAATGACCTGTGCATATGGATGGATGGATGGATGGATCTATCTATATCTGGCCCATGTCAATTCTGCATGTGCTCATTCACAATGTGTTCAGTCTCATTTCCACATTAAAAAAAAAAAGAATGGAAAAGCATATCTAAATATGTTAGTTAATTAAGTAACCTGCTCTTCATTGATACAAATAGCAGGGCAGGAAAAAGAACACCACAAATTATAAACAACACACCATATGCGAGGTGTGTGTGTGTGTGTGTGTGTGTGTGTATCAATCACACACAGAGTGAGACACAGGCAGTGTCAAATAAACGAAGAAACTATAAGCAACAAAGTAACAGGCAATAATCAGACAATAAACAACACAAAACATATATATAAATACCGTACATGGGGCAGCACCCCTGTTCACTTCACTCACCATTTTCTCTCCACATTCTCTCTAGGGAATTTCTCTCCTTAGAGCACCCCTTCCCACCCCATGGGGTTGATATTGAATGATATACTGGTTCTGGACATGGAAACTTCATAAAGCCATCGTGATTAAATGGCCACAGATAAATTGAGCATCTTCCATGAATTTGCCTCATTCGCCTTCAAAGCCATGTTTAACCGCATTTAAACACACACCTGCAGAGTCATTTGGAATATCCTCCTCCTCTATTATCCGGGGTTGCCAATGTAGTGCCCTCCATAAGTTGTTGGGACTACAACTCCCATCTTTCCACATTGGCTACCCCTGCTGTGCACACTACTAGCAAACTTATTGTCCAAGTGTTAGCCCACCTGCTTGTTCATCTACCCAATAGTGGGGTACAGTGGCATCAGGTGATCAGAACCACAAGCACAGAGCCTTCCCATCGGCTGGTTCTTTTTAACTGGGAAGGAACCTGAGGCCCTTTGCCTACACAGCTCTGTAACTGAGTTATGGGCCAACCGCATCTTGGTAAACCTTACAAGGTAGCTCTGGATCATTATTCCCATAATTGCTTGGAGACCATCTCCATGGTGAGGAACGGGAACTCTGCCTATCCTCAGAAGTGTGCTTGACTTTGTTATAAGCACCCACCAATGGTAGGTTCAGAATAACACTCTGATATTATATATTATATAATATAACATATGCTTGGTAATATCCACAAATTGGCTCGCAGGGGGTTGGATTTGTCAGATGCAATTGCCTTGCACAAGCTGATGTTCTTCAGATATTTTGGCCTACAACACCTTTACATAGAATTATAGTTGGAACAGACCATGAGGTTCCCTGCATTGCGTGAATCTTTTGCCCAAAGTGGGTCTTTGAACCCACAACCTTGGGAATAAGAGTCTCATGCTCTACCAACTGAGCTATCCCCAGCATCATACAACCATGCTGGCTGGAGTTGACAGTCAGACTCCAAAATGTATGTCACCTCAAAATTTCCATAAAAACTGAGACCTCTAAATGGCCCTTCCTAACCCCCCCCCCCAAAAAACATAGGGGGCTTGCAAGTGCCTTAGAGTACTTTGCAGTGCCTTGATTCACATGCTTTCCAAATCCCCACAACGGCTACCTTCAGGTGAGCTGGAAAGCTGTTATTTGGGACACATGCTCCAAGACACCTTGATGACTAGAGGAGTCTAACAACTGACACCTAATGTTCAAAGCTTACAGCAGGGGTGAGGAGCCTCAAGCATGGGGGGGTGGGGAGGAAAGCAAATTTAGCCTTCCAGGCCGCTGTATCTGGCCCTTAGGACTCCAGCCAAGTCATGCCCCCACCCCAGCGGCTACATTCCTCACAGGTCCTGCTCTGCACCTTCCCTGAGTGTTTTTGATTAGTTGCAATATGTCCTTGAACGCTGACAGTGCCTCTTGCCTGCCGGGGTGGTGATGCCCATCTTTGAATGTGCATACAAACACCTGACTTTGGAGTGGGTGGAGCACAGCCTACAGTACAAAGTTTAAGAGTCATATTGGTTGCTCCACCCACTTTGGCTTTGGTCCTGCCCACAAGGGGATGATGCCCTTAGGCTTCAAAAGAGCCAGATCATCTTAGACTGGTTCAGAGGTGCCAATATTGAACAAAATATTGGGGGGGGGGGGGGTAAGCCCTGACCTGTATAATCTATCACATGATGTGTTGTACGCATGCCATTTGAATGGCAATACCCATCAACTTTGGGGGGGCCAGCCCCCTCAAATATTTTAGGTCGGGACAAAGCCCTGTCGGCCCCTGGGAGTTGACTCCTATGGACTGGCTATAATGGGCCAGCCCACCACTAAACAAAATGCTGTGGCAAGGATGTTCTTCCTTGATTCATGCACTTAAATCAGCCTTGGGTGGATTTTGTGCAGCAGTCAGGAATTTTACACACACACACACACACACACACACACACACCTCTTCTCAGAAATGAGTTTCACCACTAGCTTCTTGCTTTCCCCCAAAAAGGTTTCGGTTTGGTTGCAACAGCCTGTCATGCCAAGCCTTTGGCACCTTAATTTGAAATGGCTGGATCCAAAGTTGGTTCTCTTTGGAGGAGACCCACTGAAATTGATGGACATGACTACTTAGTGGAATTTAGTTGTATGAAAGGCATATATATGTGTGTGTTTGTACACACACACACACTATTTTTAAAACAACAACCACTCTACAGGTGGCAATAATAATATAATAATAATAATTTATTATTTATACCCCGCCCATCTGGCTGGGTTTCCCCAGCCACTCTGGGCGGCTTCCAACAGAATATTAAAATACCATAGTCTATTAAACATTAAAAGCTTCCCTTTTTCCAAACACCCAGGAGGAAAGCATATTTCTAACATGATGCTACGACACATGAGCGCACCATCAGAAAACAATTCAGCACTTTTCTTCTTTCAAGCTATTATTTGTTTATCTCAGATGCAGCTTTAACCATAGCCAGCTGCCATATCCAAGGTCGAACTCTTTGTTCACCTAATCCTGGAAGCAGCGTTGACTATGGACTCTGACTTGCAGCAGGTCTCCAAGGTCTGGGGTGGGCAGGGTTTTCCACCTGTTGCTCCTGGGTCCTTCCAGCTGCAGATGATGGGAACTGCAAAGCAGGTGCTCTACTACTCAGCTACATTATGGACACAGAGAGCTGCCCTACACCAGCTCAGGCTGTTTGTCTGCCCACCCCAGCACCCTCTATCCTGGGGACTGACAAGATAACACCAGCTCCCACCATGGTCGATGGTCCGGGATGATGAGTGATGTAGCCCAGAAGCATATGATTGCCACTAGTGTGCACTGGGGCCGGTAGGGCAGAAGACAAGGCCAACAGTAAGTGGTACCACATCCAATAGCTGGAGGAGCCAACTAATTTTGGTTTTGTTCCCATTCTCCCTGCTGTGTTCTACAAGGAGCAACTCTGAGAAGGAAGAAGCTGGCAGGCAGGGCTACCACCTCAGCTGAATAATGATGAGGATGTAAGTAAGAAAGCAGGTGGCTGACAACAGACTGAGGTTGATGGAGCAGTACCTTGTTCAGCCTAATGGACCAGCCTCTGCCATCTTGGTATCCTCCAAGAGGCAGCTGTTTTGCAAGGACCTGGACCAGGGAGCCTTCTCCTGTCCTTTCAGTCGGAGACGACAGGATATAAACTCTGGAGCTTCTGCGTGCAAAGCAACTGCTCTCCTGTTGGCTTATTGCAACCAGTCAAGCTTTCTTGTACAAACGCACACCTCAAGTGCATTTGCACATCCTGAACAGCAAAACTCCACATACCTGTTATAGTTATGTAAACAGAAATTTCAGCCCATGCTCACCTGCAGGTTCCCAGCTTGCAAAGCACCCCACTTTCTTTCCTCCCACTCTTGCTGGCTCTTTTCAGTCTAGCATTTCAATAAGCTGCCAACACTGGCTGCAGCTCTCCCCCCACCCCCCGCCCGAAGTTTCTTAGCAACTAGCAAAGCGATTCAACATTTCCAGCCAGACTCCGGTAAAAAAAACAGAACGTGCCGTTCACAGGGATCTCCCTGTGGCTGGAGGTGTGAGGCTGGCCATGGGGGGGGGGCGGGGAGCGCATACACACTGCGATTTCTCTTAATGGCATGACTTTGTGGGGGGTGGGGTGGATATCCCAGCGATGCAAGATGGAAGGAACACTGACCTTGAGCGAATTAACAGGGGAGATTTCTGATTATCCCAGACGCACAATCCAAGCAAGACATGGGTGTGTGTATTACACACACCAGCGCCACCACAACAGCAACACGCACGACTGACAAACCAGCCAGAGGGATCAAATTCTGAAAAGCGCACAGCACTGCATTGTTCCATTGTTACTTGTCTGCAAGCACACTGAGCTGCAAAAGCAGCCAAGCCAGGGTTGTATCCTTCTACTGAATCCCTAACGACGACGACAGAGACCATGAGCAACATAATGAAAATATCTGTCCTGCTTCCTCGTTCTGCCGGGTGGTACCCAATGAATGAAAACAATAAAAACAAGAATTGCAGCGTGCTTTCCCTGGCTGCATTAAGCGGTTGCGTGTGTGTGTGTGTGTGTGTGTGTGTGGCGGTGTGTCCTTTCCCCCAGAAGCCCTGCCCCAACAAAAGATCCATACGTACCTCTCAGCGCTGGGGTGCAGGGGGACAAGAAAGGGGGGTCGAGGAAGACGAGGGCTCTTTCTCGCCAGAAGCCTGCCCCTGCATGGGATATCCAGCTATTTTTACCACCCTATATACACGGCTGCCAGGCGCGTGGCATGCTGGGAGCAGGGGGGGGGGACGCACACTCTCGCTGCCTGACACGGTTGGCGACGGAGGACACCCGATGCCCGGAGACCTGAGCTGCACAGAAATGCTATGGGGATCATGGGGGGGGGGGGCATAGCTGTCAACCTCCCCCTTTTTTTGCGGGAAATTCCCTTATTCCAGCGCCACTTCCCGCTGCTATCCCGGATTGTTAGATATCCCGTAGACTGTCCCCAGGACAGGTGAGGCTGCTGGTCCCTTATTTTCGAGGCTGCTGATCCCTTATTTTCAAATCTGGAAGTTGACAGCTATGGGGGGGGGCACACAAAAAGAGTGGCAAGGAAACCGCAAGAAGGTGCAGGATAGCGAAAGGGATAAGCAGATAAGGAAGCGAAGCTCTCCCTGAGTTTTCTATGTCATCACAATGACAAGAAAGGTATGGGGGGGGGAACCATTATCAAATTAATGTGCTATTATATCTATCTGGGCTTTGGGGTGTTGTCTTTTTAAAAAAAGAATGCTGTCTGAGATCCTCTTCACTAGAGATCCTGAATCTTTATTTACACTTCGATTTGTTTGGTTTTATTGACAATCTTTATAACTATTTTATGTTATGGGTAAGGGAGCCTTTTTTGCTACCTGTCCCGACCTCCGTGGGCTAACTTTGACAGGTGAGTGGAACATCCCACCTGTCAGTTGCCTGATGCCATTATGATGTCAGGTAACTGACAGGTGGCTTTCCAACTGCCAAGTCATGTGCGTAAAACTTCATATAACTGGGTAAAAGTGTGTAGAAATGGGTTTGTCTTTGTGCAAAGTAGCTTGCAAAAAAAAAAAAAAGCATTATATGAGGAATAGGTGCATGAAAAATGTATGGTCTTCAAAACTGTTATCAGAAATCTTTAACTTAGGAGAAATTAGTACCAAAATGCTAATGAAGAAAGGTCTTTTTCAAACAAACAAACAAACAAAAACTTATGCGGAGAACTGGAATTAAGATTGGGAAAAATGAGAAACCAGAGTTAACAGATTCTCCCATCCAACCCAGAAACCAAAATGGACAGATTTGCCCTTCCAAACTACATTATGCAGGTGCAGGGGGTGGGGCAAAGAGGAGTGAAGGATAATGGAAAGCAAAGGAATGTCAATGGAGGAGTGAAGGGCATGTGGCCTGGCTGCTTCTGGGAAGACACTGCTGGTGGTGGAGGAAGATGAGCCATATCTCAGTAGCAGGACACCCGCTTTGTATACAGAAGGGCCCAAGTTCAATCCCCAGCATCTCCTGTTTGGAGTGGGGCTGGAAATCTCACACACCAGAGCTAGCAAAGAGAGCCACTGTTGATCAGCACACAATGTCCTGGGCTAGACATATCATGGGTCAAAGGTAGAGCCCCTGCGTTGCATGCAATATTTGTTGTTTTTCCCAGTTGTGAGCCCAGAGTAGCGAAGGTAGGAGGGGACGGAGGAAGACGCATCTGTCTCTGAGACCCTGGGAAGATGCCAGTCTGGGTAAAGGCTGTCTGAACAAATGAACTTCTCAGAGGCAGCTTCCTATAGTACTAGTGCAGGGATGGCGAACCTATGGCCTTCCAGATATTGTTGGACTCCACCTCCCACTAGTCCCAGCCAGCATGACCAATGGTCAGGGACGATGGGAGCTGCAGTCCAGGGGGCCACAAGTCTCTCAAAGCTGCCCCACACAGTTTGTAAACTGGGACCCTCCAAATGAGGTTGAAATCGATTTCCATCAGCCCCCTACACCTTTAACAGGGGTCAGATGATGAAAGATGGAAACCATTATGAGGGGGAGGGCTCCTAGCTCAGTGGTAGGAGTTTACTCTTTGCATGGTGAAGGTCAGGGGTTCAAATACTGACATTTCCAGGTGAGGCTGGGGGTAAACCTCAGAAAGCTGCTGCCATCAGAGCAGATAGTATGAGGGTAAATGGACCGATGGGTGCAATGTAGGCAGCTATATGTGTTCATAGGAGCTGGGTCTTATGGAAAAAGAGAGCATAGTAAATCAGGTCCCCACACAAAAAAGATCAGGGAAATGTTTCAAGAAGCAATGGGGCAAAGGCACCAATCACCAGGCAACATTTCACAAAGGTCCTCAATCCTTGGCACCTCCAGGTGGGAGTGGGAACGTCCCCCATCTGAAACCCTGAAAAACTGCGAACTAGATGGGCTAATGGACCCATCTCAAAATGGATGGATGACTAACTTAGGCAAATTAAATGGGTCTACTCTGAGTAGGATTAACACTGGATACAACTCCCCTCCCTGCTCCACAGGGGCATTTGAAGGACCATTTTGCTCTGAGGGGAGAAGCAGCAGTAATAGCTTTTTCTAAACAAGCATGTTGCCTTTCCCATTCTTTTGAAACTCATCCCCCACCTCCCAAAAATAAGAGTAATCTTATGTAAACCACTTTGTCGAGGTCCACCTGAAAAGTGGTATATAAATCCTGCAAGCAAGCAAACCAAGCAAAATAAAATAAAAGCAGCCTCTGGTTGCATCCAGTACTTTACTTTCTGCTTAATGGACAGGGGTTAACTGTCAGCCAGTAGTTGACCAATGCCAGTTTTTGACCTCCTGGGCCACTGACTCTGCTGTTTTCCCGTTGTGAAGTCCCGCTTCCCACCCCTTCCCGTTCCTGTTTTTGACCCAGAAAAGAGGAAGTGGGGCTCCAATCCAGCCTCAGCTCTGGAAGCAAGTTGGGAGGCTTTCTGCCAAGAGCCCAGGCCTATGACATGCCACTGCTGCAACCTTACCTGCCCCCAGTTCTGTTCTTCCTTCGGAGAGTCTTGGCTGGGGCTAAACAGATTGTCCAACGACGCCAGCAGCGGAGACTCTGAATCAAGAGACAGAAAACAGGAAACAAAAGATGCCTGGAAGGTTCCATGTGGTGGTGGGTGGCAGGGGGAGCAACGCAACACACCAGGGTGCTGACAGAATCCTCCCAGGTGGTAAAAGCAAGTCTCGGTCTCAGCTGCCATCGTTTTGGGATACTGGAAAGCAAGAAGCTACATGGGTCTTTGTACAGCTAGTCCTTGAAATTTGTCCACCATTGTCCCCTGGCAACCTGAAGCTTCATATGAGAAGAGCCCTGTTGGATCAGGCCAACGGTTCTGTTGGTTCATCATGCTGTTTCCAAATGGCCAACCCAATTCCTCTGGGGAAGACCGCAAGCAGGGCACAGAAGCACAGCAGTGCCACCTCGTTGCCATTCCCAGCAACGGGCATCCAGAGTGGACACTGTGTATAGGACCAGGAAAATATCTAAACTCTGCAGCTGGAGTAAAATTAGGCAAACATTTATAGTAGACGCCCTACTCACTGCAAAGCAACTCATTCTCAGCCTACAAGTGCACGGGCAGTAGCCAAGGGGGTGGGTGGTTGCCCCCCCCATCAATACAAATCAGTACAAATCTGAGGTTCTGCCCCCACCCCCAAATACTGGCTACACCCACGTACAAGTGTGGTATCAGCCGAGGACCTGGGAGGTAAAAGGTAAAGGGACCCCTGACCATTAGGTCCAGTTGTGACCGACTCTGGGGTTGCGGCGCTCGTCTCGCTTTATTGGCTGAGGGAGCCAGTGTACAGCTTCCGGGTCATGTGGCCAGCATGACTAAGCCGCTTCTGGTGAAGCAGAGCAGCGCATGGAAACGCCATTTACCTTCCCGTCAGAGTGGTACCTATTTATCTACTTGCACTTTGACGTGCTTTCAAACTGCTAGGTGGGCAGGTGCAGGGACCGAGCAACGGGAGCTCACCCCGTCGCGGGGATTCAAACCGCCGACCTTCTGATCAGCAAGTCCTAGGCTCTGTGGTTTAACCCACAGCAACACCTGTGTCCCAGGACCTGGGAAACCAGGGTTCAAATCCCTCACTTGGTCATGAAGCTCATTGGATGAACTTGGGCCAGTCACTGCCTCTCAGCCTAATCTACCTCACAGGGTTATTGTGGGGATGAGATTATGAGTTAGGGTCAATCTCCTCTCATCTCCCACCCTTCTGCAGGTTCTCTGATGGTGTTGTCTCCCCCACTCACACCAGAACTCAGGGACAAACTAGAGGTGATGAGAGGCATCTCTCTGTTAATTTCATGGACATGACTGCCCTGCCTATGTGCACGGGGGGGAGGCTGTTGAAGGCTACAGCTGAAGGCCACAGCTCTGCCTCTGCCCCTTCACGGCCTAGGACCCTCGTACCTACGGGACCGCCTCTCCCGGTATGCCCCACGGAGAGCCTCAAGGTCCATAAATAGCAACACCCTAGTGGTCCCGGGCCCTAAGGTAGTTAGATTAGCTTCAACCAGAGCCAGGGCCTTTTCAACACTGGCTCCGGCCTGGTGGAACGCTCTGTCTCATGAGACCAGGGCCCTGCAGGATCTGATTTCTTTCCGCAGGGCCTGTAAGACAGAGTTGTTCCGCCTGGCCTTTGACTTGGAGCCAATTTGATTCCCTCCCCCTCTTTCTTTTTTCTTTTCCTTTCTCCTCCTGCGATGAGGCTACATTTTAATATTTTAATGTTTCAATATTTTAATGTTGTATTTTAATTTTGTTTTTAAGTTGTTTTCATTCAACTTGTTTTTATTATTACTTGTTAGCCGCCCTGAGCCCAGCCTTGGCTGGGGAGGGCAGGGTATAAATAAAAATTATTATTATTATTATTATTATTATTATTATTATTATTATTATTACAGGTGGAGGCAGCAATGTTCCCAAACACCAACTGCTGGAAGCAGCAAGAGGTGAGACTTGCTCTTGTGGCCGGATCCTGTTTGCAGGCTTCCCATAGAAGCTTGGCCACTGTGAGAAGAGGATGTTGGGCTAGATGGGCCAATGGCCTCATCCAGCAGGCTCAAGGTGTAACTCTTTCTCCTATCACTTTTCTCTATTGCCCCTGGCACTTTTCACCTACCTTCCCTGTTTTATTCCTTTGCGCTCAGTTTCGTTCTGATACTGGAAGGGAGGTTTTTTTCACCCTTTACTCTTCCGGTATAAAAAATTAGGCCCGTCTCTTCCTGCCTCTCTGTCACTCCCTATGCCTTCATCAATGAATGGAGCAGACACATGAGCAGCAAAGGTGCATTTTGGCAATAACTAACAGTTTTGTTATTTCCTCTCCTGGCACTTGGGTTTGTGCACTTACTCTCCCATTGAAAATTCAGCTTTCCAAATATTAGCCGCAGGTTTATGATTCTTGCCTTCTTTGCCAGCAGAACATTTTGTAGAATTGTGGGCTCCTGCTACCAGGACTGAGGCATAGACAGGTGACGTCCAGGTCCAGATCCAAGCTGAGCAACCACCAGAGTCACCAAATCCCAAACTGGGAGTCTTTTCAATCCTCCCAGTCCTGGGCAACTAATGACCAGCCAGGGTCAGTATGATGACTCCAGACCCTGAGATATACTTCACTGTCTGGGATGAGGCTCCAAGCCACCATAATAATTGTTCACCAGACACGACAGGTACGCAGAGAGCCAAGGATTGCCGGTTCTAGTCCTGGCTCCTCTTGAAAGCCCCTCTCCCACCTGGAAGTATCCGGGGGGGGGGGCAAGCCCTGGATAGAAGGAAGCTCTGCCCCCTAAGGCAACCATGCAATCACAGGCTTGACTCAAGTTTTTTTTGCAGAGTGCTGTTACCCTTACCTTTCAGACCCCCCACCCTGATGAAACAGGTGCCCCCCCCCCGCTCTCACCTGGAAACTCCATTCTTTTCAAGTGCAGCCGCTGCTGAACACAGGAGCCAATGTCTGCAAAAATCTCCTCCTCCTCTCTGTCTGCAGCAAACTGGAAAGGGAAAGCAGGGGGAGAGAGGTGCTGTTAAATCTTTCTCAGGCTGGTTACAAAGGAGGAGCGCAGGGCCTGCTGTGTTCATTTTGAGAGGCCCCCATCAGGATGAAGCGATGTGCACCTTAAGGGATCAGGCCAAAGATACCATATTTTTCCATGTATAAGACTAGTTTCCCCCCCTTAAAAATAATGTCAAAAATTAGGGGGTGTCTTATGCACAGATACATCCCCCCTTTTCTTAAATCTGAGTCCCCAAAAATAGGGGCCGCCTTATACATGGGGGCATCTTATAGACGAAAAAATACGGTATGTCTAGGCCAGCTGCTTCTGACAGGGCATAGATGTGTGATACCACCCTTGATCGCAGCGGCTGCCCTCCAATGGAGCTGGACTACATCTCCCATCATCCCTGTCTATTGGCCATGGTGGCAGGGGTGGATGGGAGTCCAATAACATCTAGAGGGCTGCAGATTTGCCTATCCGTGATCTAAGAAGATACCTTCCCTGCTGTCTCGAGGAAATGCCTCTTCCAAGCAGAGACATTCATCCATTTCTTGCACACAGTAGGAATTGCTGCTTCTTAGATCTGTAGCCTGTTTCTGCTTCTCTCCTCACTCTGCCCCCCATCCTACGCTCTCCCTCTTTCTCTGTGGGTGTTCACAGGTTACACTAGAGAGATTAATAGTCTATATACCTATGTAAACAATAGCTAAACTGTACAAATAACAACGTGTGAAAAAGCCTCCTCTCAGTTTCTCATTTTTCCAACCTTAAGTTCAGTTCTCCCTGTTTCCACATCAGTTTGCAATGGTTTTGAAAAACAAGGCCCCATGAAAATTTATCAGCTTTTTAGTGCAGCTTTTTCATCATCAGCCTTTGCCTTGCCTTGGTAATGAACTGGATGAGAGTCAACAGACTGACACACAATTCAGATAAGACTTGAGGCACTGTTGGTGGGTGGTTCCCTAGACCGGATGGCTGGGAGATCGCCTGCTCTTGATGGGGTTACACTCCCTCTGAAGGAGCAGGTTCGTAGCTTGGGGGTACTCCCAGATCCTTCACTGTCAGGTGGCCTCAGGGTGCAGAGTGCCTCCCGTCAGCTTTGGCTGGTGGCCCAGCTACGCCCCCATCTGGACAGGGATAGCCTAACTCTTGTTGCGTATGCTCTGGTAACCTCTAGGCTAGATGACTGCAATGTGTTGTATGTAGGGCTTCAGCAGCCAAGTTGTCCACCAGGACAAAATGTTTTGAGCGTACAATGCCAATCCTGGCCCAACTGCACTCACTGCCACTTAGTTTCCAGGCCCAATTCAAAGTGCTGGTTTTGACCTATAAAGCATTAAATGGCTCAGGGACACAATTACCTCAAGGACCGCCTCTCTCCAAAGGAACCTACCCAGACCCTGAGATCATCTTCTGAGGCCCTTCTTTGTGTGCCTCCTCCATGAGAGGTCCAGAGGGTGGCAACACAAGAAGGGGCCTTTTCTGCAGTCTGGAATGCTCTGCTCAGCAAAGTTTGGCTTGCACCTTCTTTACATATCTTTATGTGCCAGGCAAGAATGTTTCTCTATAACCAGGCATTCGGCCAGTTCCATGGCCTCCAAAATGTGTTTTGGGGAGAATGAATGTTTTGGGCTTGTTTTTGTTTTATTATGTATTTTGTGTTCTTGTTTTGTATTTTTATGTTGTGAATCACCTGTAACCTTTGGATGAAGGATGGTATACAAATGTAATGAATATTTTTTTTGGTATGCTATTTTCTCTAATAAAACATTTCTGCAAAGAAATCTTCCCTTGTATAGTGGATTTTGTACATTATTTCCATCAATATATGCATTTTATGCATGCTTTATACTAGTATATGTATTTTTGTATGCATTACTTGGCTGGAGGAAGTGCATTGAAAAATTCAGAAAAGTGCAAATTTTGAAGGACGTCTGTGCTGCAGCTTGTGTACTGCTTCAGAAAGTGTGAGTTAGTTCAGCTCGCCTTCAAATGCCAACTGAAATTAATTTCTGCTCTGTCTCCAGTCCTGATGAAAGCAAATTCTCTTTCCCAACGCCTTAGAGCATCCCCACCAACTCAGTTCAGGAAGGTCCTTACCCGGACAATGGTTCCCTTTTCCTGGTAATACTTCACTATCAGTGGCACATTCTGCTTGAATGTCTCCAGCCTGCGCCCAATGGCATGGGGGTTGTCGTCCAGGCGGCCTTGCTCCTGGGCACGCTTCTCTAGCCTCTGCCGGAGCTTCTGGCTGGGGCAGGCCAGGAAGACGACAAGATCTGGGGAGCCGATCTGCCAGAGAAGGGAGACAAGTGTCAGGCTTTAAACATGGCGGCCATCCTCTCACCCTCTTCGCTGCCCAGGGTATGTCTGGAGCACTACAAATTGACACTGGTTTCATCCTTTTTCTCAATGTTTCCCTTCTCTTCATTTTCTCCTCTATGTTCCTCCACTTTGGTCCATCTAGCTCAGTATCCTCTGCAATGACTGGCAATGGCTTTCCCAGAGTTTCTTTCACTCTGCCTGGTTTGTCTCCTACCTGCTCCTCAAACGTTAACACCTGGCCAATGTCTCGGGGGAAGCCATCCACCACAAAGCCTTTCGCATCTGGCTGCTTTATAAATTGTTGCTTCAGCTCCTCGATTGTTGTTTCCTGAAAGGCAAAGAGAGGCATCACTGGGAAGCCTGAGGCTCTCGGCTCCTTGCTTGTGGGTAAGCAAGATGAACAGGGAAATAACAAAAAGTGAGCACCTTTTTAAAACGGTGACGTTGCCAAGTTTCTGTAAGCCCTGGCTGGGAAACAGATGAATCTCGGTGACTCCCAGTGTTCCAGTCAATTACACACTGAGCATCACAGACTAAAGTTTTTAATCTGAGCCAGAAAAGAATGCAAATCTGCCTTCTCACCTCCAAAGCCCTTCCTTCTCCCTCATCCACTCATTTCCTTTCCTGCTGCTGCTCCAGCAATTGCAATGGGAGGGAGATAAATTCTACCCCCAAAAAATCCTCTTTCTCAAAAGACACCATCTTCCCTTCCACCCTTCCAAGCAAGTTTAATTATTATCTTTAGAGACAGTCAAGCCTACTGGTGCCAACTTGTGACTGTAGGTGCCTGGGGCCATGCATTACCACTGGGGACGTGCTCTACATCATCACATCCCCAGTGTGCCAACTTCACTCATGCACGTAGCGGGGTATGGCGAAGTAGCGCACACATGCCGGGGGCGTGATGATGTACTGTACCCAAGCCCCGCAGCATGCACACGTGGCCATGCCACACTTTGTGGAAGCCATGGCACCCAGGGCCCTTGGACTTGGTGCCTATGGCCAAACCTATGCCAAAAATGGACTTAGTCATGTCAAAATGACATTTTGGTCCACCATCTTGATTCAAAATGGTGGCTGGCATCTAAACATCGAGGAAGATTGCTGCCCCCCAGCTCAGGAACCCCCGTGCCAAGTTGGTGATTGATATCTCAAGAACAGATGGACAAAGCACTTTCCAAAACTTATAGAAGATTCATCCTAATTTGCTTATAGAAAGCTTACACTTATGTCTGGTCTTGACTTCAGTGTTAGTTCTGATTTGTGATTTGTGGGGCAATTATACAGTGATGAGCATTCACCCTGAATTCATCCTGATCTGTATGTCTTCCTGTTAGTCAGCTGCTTATCCTATACATTTCAGTGACTTGAATCCACCTCTGAAAGTCTTGAAACAACCCTGGTTGCTAAAATTCTGAAAGCCAATCATTCTTACCGGTGGGGCCAGCTCCCCATTGGCGATGATCTTGGCGATCAGCTCCCACTTCCTGTCGCTGTTGGCATGATGAATCATCTGCTTGCGCAGGATCTCACCAACGGAGATGCAGGTGAATCCAAAATGGGAGGCAATCCTATTGCTCTGAGTCCCCTTCCCACTCCCAGGGCCCCCTGCAATCCAAAAAGACAGCTGAACAATGCATGTAGAGCAAGGAGTAGAGAACCTTTTCAGGTGCTGTAACCATAAACAATAACAACCAAAACACCTCACAAAGTACACAACCAAATGGAACCATATCCACATGAGATCTAAAAATAAATATACAGAAAGTAAAATCAGTAAAAGCAGCAAAAAACAAAACAAAAACAAAAACATATCCCCCTAAGCAATAACCCAGACCATGAGCCTGTTCAGCAACCGCAGCTTCTGCAGCTGGAGTCAGTCAGGGCCAAAATGACCCCCCCCCCCCAGGCCAGGTGGAAAAAGGCCTATAAGGCAGGTCTTCCAGGGCAGCCAAGAAATTGATCAAGTGCACCAAAATAACCACAAATGGGTCTAAGCTTTAGAACAGACTTCCCCAACTCTGGGTCCTTATTTGTTGTTGGACTATAACTTCCAACACTCCTAATCTCTAGCAATGCTGGCTGAGGAGGGTGAGGTACGTGGTGCAACAACATTTGGAGATCCAACATTGGAGAAGGCTGCTCTGGAGAAATAATAATAATAATAATAATAACAACAACAATAATAATATTTATTATTTATACCCCACCCATCTGACTGGGTTTCCCAAGCCACTCTGGGCAGCTCCCAATCAAATCTTAAAGACACAATACAGCATTAAACATTAAACATTAAAAACTTCCCTAAACAGGGCTGCCTTCATATGTCTTTTTAAAGTAGGATAGTTGCTTATTTCCTTGACATCTGATGGGAGGGCGTTCCACAGGGCAGACGCCATTACTGAGAAGGCCCTCTGCCTGGTTCCCTGTAACCTCATGTCTCGCAGTGAGGGAACTGCCAAAAGGCCCTCGGAGATGGAGCTGTTTGGGATGAAAGATGGGGGTGGAGACACTCCTTCAGGTATACAGCACTGAGGCCATTTAGGGCTTTAAAGGTCAGCACCAACACTTTGAATTGTGCTCGGAAACTTACTGGGAGCCAATGCAGGTCTCTCAGACCGGTGTTATATGGTCCCGGCGGCCACTCCCAGTCACCAGTCTAGCTACCGCATTCTGGATTATTTGCAGTTTCCAAGTCACCTTCAAAGGTAGCCCCACTTAGAGCGCATGGCAGTAGTCCAAGTGGGAGATAACTAGAGCATGCACCACTCTGGCAAGACAGTCCACAGGCAGGTAGGGTCTCAGCCTGTGTACCAAAGGGAGCTGGTAGACAGCTGCCTTGGACACAGAATTGACCTGCACCTCCATGGACAGCTGTGAGTCCAAAATGACTCTCAGGCTGCACACCTGGTCCTTCAGAGGCACAGTTACATTCAGGACCAGGGAGTCCTCCACACCAGCCCACCCCCTGTCCCCCAAGAACAGTACTTGTGTCTTGTCAGGATTCAACCTCAATCTGTTAGCCACCATCCATCCTCCAACCGCCTTCAAACACTCACGCAGGACCTTCACTGCCCTCACTGGTTCCGATTTAAAAGAGAGGTAGAGCTGGGTATCATCTGCATATTAATGACTGTTCCCACCATATACGCACACACATATATACACACTCCTCTCCTTGTACCCTGTGGTGGTACAGTCCATTAGGGACACGGGTGGCACTGTGGTCTAAACCAATGAACCTCTTGGGCTTGCCGATCAGAAGGTCGTCGGTTCAAATCTGCTTGACAGTGGTGAACTCCCATTGCTCTGTCTCAGTTTCTGCCAATGTAGCAGTTCAAAAGCACACCAGTGCAAGTAGATAAAAGAATTTACCCAAGTCTCCAAGCAAGCATTTGCCCCTCTTCCCACCGAAGAACCGTTCTTCCTCATCCCAGTTAACTTCTCACCTATTACAAATATGATCTTAGGACGAGGTTGACCAGGGACAAATACATCATATTCTTGGATCAGGCCTGTGAATTCTGTCATATCTGAGTCACTCTCAATGGAGAACTGGCTTTCAATGGGTGGTAGGTGCTGGTACTGGTTGTATGGTGCCAAGCCTAGTCCTGCAAGGATAAAAATAAATCAGAATGTCATTGCAAATTACAGGGGTTGCCAACATGGAATCCATGGGTTCAATGGTGTCCTTGAGGTGCCTTCCCCAGGTGCCCATGCAGCCTCTGAATTCTACCCCCAGCCACTGTTGAAGTTGGATGAAGTTGCAAGAGATGCTCTTTTCCACTTCCTCCAGCTTTATACGAAAAGGGCCACAACTCAGTGGTAGAACACACGCTTTGCATACAAAGTCCCAGGTTCAGTCCCCGCTGGCATTTCCAGGTACGGTTGAGAAAGATCTCCTCTGAGGTCCTGGAGAGCCACTGCCCATCAGTGCAGATTAAATGGACCATTGGTCCAACTCTGAATAAGGCAGCTTCCTGTGTTCCTGTTTAAGGCTCAGATAAATCCTACTGGATTAGACTTTTAGCTAGATGCTTTAGAGAAGCAAAGAGAGATTGAGAGAGAGAAAGCACACTTGCACTTCCATCCTTCCCCTTCAGTAGGAGGATCCAGGGAAAGGGGAGAGAAACACCAATTCAGGGTGGCACCCACAGCATGCATCAAAAATTCAAATGTGCCCACAAAGGTTGGTGACTTCTGACCTAAGCTCTTAAACATGCCGTTCAATGAGGGGGCATCCAAACCTGTGCAGAAGAAGGTTTTCTTGCCTTGCCCACTGCTGCCATTGCTGTGCATGGCCCGTCGTTCCTGAGTGATGAATGTATCCCATTGCACCATCTTGGGTCCACCCAGCTCCCGGACTTTCTGCAAGCAGTGCTCCAGATAACTAACCGGGTCTTCTGGTCGGTAGTACATGAGGCCCGTTAACATGCTCTGTGGAGAAGCAGAAGTGGGGGAGGAAAGCACAGGTTAAAATTATCTGTATTTCAGAAGGGGTGGGGGAGTACATGGCCAAGTCTCAATGCTCTTCCCAGATCTATGTTTTGACCTCACCAGCTCCAAGTCATAGCAGAAAGTTATGGCCCAGGGGCCAGTAGCACTAGGTGGCCAGTCACTCGCACATCACATTCACCTGGCTCAAGCAGGTGAAGCAAATGAGAAAGTAACAATTACAACTCACTCTGTTTAGAACGCACAAAACCCCTGGTCTAAAACAGCAGCACTGGTTGCTAATTCATTTTCAGGCCCAGTTCAAGGTGCTCACATAAGTTTAAAGCCCTAAATGACTTAGTCCCCACAACCTAAACTTCCTCCCAGGAAGTCGACATACCCACCCATTTGTCATTAGGGTCTAGGGCAGGTCACAATATAAAAAGACAATATTCCTCTTGTCCTAGGTAAAGTGGTGTGTCTTAAGTTATTATTATTATTATTATTATTATTATTATTATTATTTACCCTGCCCATCTGACTGGGTTGCCACTCTGGACGGCTTCCAGCATACATCAAGACATGGTAAAATGTTAAACTTTAAAAAGCATCTGATGAAAGATAACAATGAAGATACCAGGTGCACCTCTCTGGGGAGGGGATTCCACAGGGGTCAGCAAACTTTTTCAGCAGGGGGCTGGTCCACTGTCCCTCAGACATTATGGGGGCCCAGACTATATATTGGAAAAAAAAACCTAAACAAATTCCTATGCCCCACAAATAACCCAGAGATGCATTTTAAATAAAAGCACACATTATACTCATGTAAAAACACGCTGATTCCTGGACCATCCACGGGTCGGATTTAGAAGGCTATTAGGCTGGATCCAGCCCCGGGCCTTAGTCTGCCTACCCATGATATAAAAACATAATAAAATAAAAACATAATAAAACTACCTGATACAGGACTGCCTTCAGATGTCTTCTAAAAGTTATGTAGTTCTTTATCTCCTTGACATCTGATAGGAGGGTGTTCTACAGGGTGGGTGCCACTACCGAGAAGGCCCTCTGTCTGGTTCCCTGTAACTTCGCTTCTCACAGTGAAGGAACCACCAGAGGACCCTCTGAGGAGGACCTCCGTGTCCAGGCTGAGCGATGGGGGTGGAGACGCCTCCTTCAGGTATACTGGGCCGAGGCCATTTAGGGCTTTAAAGCTCACCACCAACACTGTGGTGCCAAATGTAATCTTGTTACATTGATCAGTGCCTGGTTTGGCTAACCTTTATGTAGCAGTCAGAAATCAAACATTAACGGTAATAACACTCAGAAGCTGGGTATGTAGGTAAGGAAGCGAGAACATTACATTCTCCCTCGATGTTTTGCAACAGATTTGAAAACCAAGGCCACAGGTATGAAGTTTACAGCATGTAATGCCCTAAGAGAGAATATTATGAAAATGATATACAGGTGGTACATAACCCCAGTCAAGCTTGCAAAAATCTACCATTTGCCTCATAATAAATGTTGGAAATGTAAAGAAACTGAAGGTACATTTTTTCACCTTTGGTGGACGTGCCCAAAGATTAAGGCTTTCTGGGAGACGATATATAATGAATTAAAAAAGGTATTTAAATATACCTTCTTGAAGAAACCAGAGGCCTTTCTCCTGGGCATAGTCGGCCAATCGGTGTTAAAAAAGGATAGAACTTTTTTTATGTATGCTACAACAGCAGCAAGAATACTTATCACAAAGTATTGGAAGACACAAGAGCTACCCACACTGGAGGAATGGCAGATGAAAATGATGGACTACATGGAATTGGCGGAAATGACTGGCAGAATCCGTGACCAGGGAGAAGAGTCGGTGGAAGAAGATTGGGAGAAATTTAAAGATTATTTACAGAAACATTGCAAAATTAATGAATGTTAGAGTGATGTTGGATTGAAGTTAAGTGGCTTCTAGCTGTACAGGTTTTAAAGTTATAAATATATCAAGATTAAGGATTAGGATTAAAAGGTTAAAAGAATGGAAAAATTGGTTTTAAATAGGTAAAAATCTAATGTCATAATATATTAAGATTAAGGATTGGGATTAAAAAGGAGGGAAAGAAATTGCTGGACTAACAAACTGAATTGGAATACAAAAGAGGGAGGTATGAGGAAGTCCGGGAAACAAGTAAATGTAAAAGAAGTTATGAAAAGACGGAATTGTTTTTAACTGTTTTTTTTCTTTCTCTTTTTATCTTTTTGTATTTTGTATTGTGTATTTTTCTTTTTTCTTTTTAAATTACTCTTGTTTATTAATGTGATTCTATTTTGTTCTGAAACTTTAATAAATATTAATTAAAAAAAAAAAAAACAAACCAAGGGAGTTCCAAAGGAGAAACCCCACTGTAAAACTGCTAATACTGGGTTGGGAATCATTTGCAAATGTGACACCAAGAGATTTCGGCTCAATAGAAACTGGAAACTCCGGCGGGGGGAGGGGGGCGAAAACAGGAGAATAGATTATTTTCAGGTCTGTTATCTCTAGGAGCAACTAGTTTTCTACAGAAAACTGTCAGCTTGTTTGGATATTCATGAGCACCATTGGCACTCTCCTCAAGTGCTTTTGTCCGGCTGGAAATTGTCCTTGAATTGTGGTAATGCCTCTAGGCTTTTCTGGGTGGAGAGAGGTGTGTGCAGAAACCTCTGAGCTGGGGTAGCTCAGTTGGCAGAGCCTGAGACGCACAATCTCAGGAGTTTGGGTTTGAGCCCCATGTTGGGCAAAAGATTCCTGCATTGCAGGGGGTTGGACTAGATGACCCTCATAGTCTCTTCCAGCTCTACAGTTCTATGATTCTGACTTTAGCGTAGCTGGAATGGAGGCTCTGCCATAAGGGTCACCTCCATAGCTCCTCCCACTTGTGCCTCTGGCCCCACCATGAGCTTAGAATGGTGTACATCAGGGCCCCCAACCTGGTGCCCTCCAGATGCTCCAGGCTTCCAGCTCCCACCATTCCTGACCTCTGGCCATAGTAGCTGGGGCTGATGGGAGCTGGAGTCCAACCACACTCAGAGAGCACCATGCTGATGTTCTCTTCCATGCAACCTTCCAAAGGCCACATGCCAGTAGAGGGCAAAAGTGGGCAGGACAATGTTTTCCAATGCTCTTTAATTAGATGTCTTCTGCATTGCATTGCAACAACAGATAAAGCCCTAAACAGCCTCAGTCCAGTATATCTGAAGGAGCGTCTCCACCCCCATCATTCTACCCAGACACTGAGATCCAGCGCCGAGGGCCTTCTGGCGGTTCCCTCACTGCGAGAAGCCAAGTTACAGGGAACCAGGCAGAGGGCCTTCTCGGTAGTGGCACCCACCCTGTGGAACACCCTCCCATCAGATGTCAAAGAGAACAACAACTACCAGACTTTTAGATGACATCTGAAGGCAGCCCTGTTTAGGGAAGCTTTTAATGTTTGATGCATTACTGTATTTTAATATTTTGTTGAAAGTCGCCCAGAGTGGCTGGGGAAGCCCAGCCAGATGGGAGGGGTATAAATAATAAATTATTATTATTATTATTATTATTATTATTATTATTATTATTATTTGTGGAGGTTGTGATTCTTTGAAATGAACTGAAGTGAGTTGCAACTGGTCATTCAAAAAAAAAATCTTAAAAAATCAAAATCAAGGCTGTAGATTTATGATTCCAAAACATGTGTGCAGGTAGGAATAGTGGACAATTGCATATACATTTGTAAACAAACTGACCCAATGTGCATGTTCCAAATGAACAGGGCAATCCAACACACCCGTAGTGTCCCCCCTCCCAGGTGTGCCAGCTAAGCAGGCCTCCCACCAGCTGCTACTGATGGGGTGAGGCCACAGTGAGTGCAAAGTTCCCCATCTGCATGCCAAACGGGCAGGATTCTCCCCAGCAGTGGCCAGTGGAAGCCCCCAAGGGGATCCATCGGATCCTGAGTTGGCCCCACCACTGCTGTGTGACGGCGCTGGGCCTGATCAAGACCCGATCCCTGTGTTTCCCCACTTCTGCCACAGCCACCATGTGTCTGTGGATGTGGCAGCAGCCCGGCCACTCCATAAAGTCATACAAATCTGTGGATGGAGTTTGGGTTGCAGCCTAATTCACAGACTGAAGATTGGAGTATTAAACTTATCCTTTGGATTTCCCAGTTCTCCAGATTTTGCAATGCTGATTTCAGCGCCGAAAAAAAAAAAGGGGGGGGGGGGAGGTACCAATATACCTTTCTTTCTTTTTTTAAGGATAAATTACATTTATAAATGTGAACAGGGGTGTAGCTTATACTGGAATATAAATAAATAAATAAATAAATAAATAAATAAATAAATAAATAACTGGCACAGTCTAGGTCCACACATACTGTGTTTTTTCTCTGCTGGGGCTGTCTTGCTAACCCTATGTCAGCGCTGGAGGTGCTGGCTGGTTCTCTTGCACAGGGTGTGAAGCTGAGGGGGCACAGAATGATGCTGATACTACTATTAATAATAATAATACCACCTCTATTTATATGGGTACCTACCAAGGATGTCCATTAAAAAAGTAACAGTACCAAAATAAATAATTGTGGGGAGAAAGGAAATATTTTTTTTGGGGGGGTGTGCCAAATTTTGTCCTTGCTCAGGGCGCTGTATTACCAAAGCCTCTACTGTATCTGATGTTTATCATCTTGAACCAACTTGAAATTAAAACTACGTCTTACGATAAAATATTTTTAGTTATTATTATTTTATTGCATTTATGTCCCATGTTTTCTCCTAGGAGCTCAAGGTGACATACATGGTGCTCCCCCTCCTCATTTAAACCCTACAACAACCCTGTGAGGTAGGTTAGGTTGAAAGGCAGTGACTTGCCCATGATTGTACCCAGTGAGCTTCATGGCCAAGTGGGGGTTCAAACCCTGGTCTCTCCCAGGTCCTGGTGTGACACTCTTAACCACTGTCCCACATTAAATGTATTTAACATGCATTTAAATACATTTTGCAACCCATAATTAATGACGGAAGTTGCATTTAAGTACATGTTCCAAGCCATATAGAAATATGAATGCATGTAGCTTATTTAAATGACACAGACTAATTAATGTGGAAACAAGAATGGAGCCAAAAACTTATGGTTCCTTTTGCTGTTTTACCCCTGCAGGGGTGGATGGGAATGTAGTCCTCTACAGAAAAAAGGTTCCTCACCCTTGCCTCAGAATAAAATCGTCCCGTCCCTCACTTTGTATGCTCTGGTAAGAGGTGTGTCTGGGAAAGAGGAATCCAGGGTTTAGCCATGGAGACAGTTACTGTGTTGGGATGCTACAATGGTGTAAACACACCTTGAATTACTACAGAGCAGTGGAAAGGGGGATACATAATCATATCATCCATTATAACAGGGGCATTGGAGGAGGGAACCTGAGATCCAGGGGCCAAAGTCTTTTTGTTTGGCCCTTGAGATATCCCCCTTACTACAGCCTCTCCCCAGCCATACTCACGACTGCTCCCTCTTAGGTGTTGTTGAATGCTTGCCTGGATGTATGGCAGAGCAGGGTGCTGTGAACAGGGGGTGTAGCTAGCTGCTCCGTAACCCAGGGTGGTGAGGGCGGGGCGATCTGCCCATGGGGGTGGGGTGGCGATCCGCCCACAGAGTCCGCCTGGCGGACGCAAGCCCCACGCTGCCATTTTAGGCAGCACGGGGGCCCAAGTCACTGTGTCACTCGCAGGAGAGACGCGTGGCTCGGGCGCACTGCAGGTCAGACCCCGCAGTAAGTGCCCCCCCCCGTGGTGTGCCATTTTGTCACCCCCTTAGGCATGACACCCGGGGCAGACCACACACCCAGCACACCCCTTCCTACGCCCCTGGTTGTGAGATTGTGTGAAAAGAAGCCTACCAGACTAACGTAATATTTACATTCCTTGCTCTGCCAACTCTTGTCTCTGGCCCTTCCACCACTGGCCAGTGCCTTCTACCCATCAGAAGAAGACAACAAGGCCCTCAGATTGAAAAAAAGTTCCCCATTGTTCTTGTTGCTGTTGTTGTTGTTCTCGTCATCCGTCTGTCGTGAGAGACAATGGAGTGTGCCTCCAAGTGAAGTCAAGCCACTGTGTTGGCAAAACTAAAGTGGCCTCCCTGGGCAGTGTGTGTGGACTTAGGCAAGACCCAGATGGCAAGACCTTCCTCTTGGCTTCACTGAGGTGGTCCAAAGGAAAGCAGAGCAATATGCTGGCACCAATCCTGCATTGTAAAATCTGTTGCCCCAGGATGTGAATTGGCTTGCGGCTTCCCAAGGGTATTTGATACATTTGCAGAATGGGATTTGTCAGTGGCTGCTAGCCACAATAAGCAAGGCTGCAGTCCTATACCTGAGAGTAAGCCCCTTTGAAGTCAAAAGGACTTTAGACAAAGGTTTTCCCCTGCCCTACCTGGAGATGCCAGGGGTTAAACTTTGGACCTCCTGCATGCAAAGCTAATGTCTTTCCCTATTAAATGCTATGGGAATTTTTTTTATGGGGCACCAGCACTTGTGCAAGTCAACACATATGGTGGTACCTCGGGTTAAGTACTTAATTCGTTCTGGAGGTCCGTTCTTAACCTGAAACTGTTCTTAACCTGAAGCACCACTTTAGCTAATGGGGCCTCCCGCTGCCACCGCGCCGCCGGAGCACGATTTCTGTTCTCATCCTGAAGCAAAGTTCTTATTTCTGGGTTAGTGGAGTCTGTATCCTGAAGTGTATGTACAGGTACCACTGTATAAGAAAAGCATTCTGTAAGTTCCTCAGCTGTGCTTACACCCCTGGGAACTGTGTTTTGGATTGGAGCCTCACATTTCCTCTTTAATTACTGGCTCTGCGGGGACCTGATTGACTGTGACAAGGAGCCAAATACAAAACCAGCCATATGAAGAAAGTTCCTCACAACAAAGGTACTTCCCTCTGGACGTTGATTTCTGTCTTGTTTATTAAAAACAGCTCCCTGGGTCTCACAATAATGGCAGCTTAACAGCTTGATCACATAGGCTCCCTTTCAAGAGGGCAATAATTGAGTCAATTCATTTAGCAATCAATACAGGTTAATGCCAGCTAGGTTGCTAAGCTGTCGAGGCATCAAGCAGGCACATATCTTCTCCATGCAAAGGTGGTCAAGAAACAAACACCTGAGGGCATGGGGGTGGGGCATTATCCCTCACTCTCCTCTGCCAAAGGGAATTTTCCATGCTGCTCAATGATTTCTCAGAGGTGACGCATGCTAGGTTCTCTTGACCCAGAAGCCGTGGTGTTGTAACCTCAAATGCATAGTGGAGCGTTAGCACTTGGCACATGCTAAGATACTTGCTTGTTCTTCATATTAATACATGGGACACATCACTCCTGGGTCTTTTTATGTATTACATTTATATCCCCCACCCCCTCCCAGGACCTCAGGGTGGTTTACGTGGTTACCAACCTCCCCATTTTATTCACAACAACCTCCCTGTGGGGCATAGCTGTCAACGTTTCCCTTTCTCTAAGAGAAATTCCCTTATTCCGAATAGGATTCCTCGCAAGAAAAGGGGAAAGTTGACAGCTATGCTGTGGGTAGGTTAGGCTGAGAGGCTGTGACTGGCAAAAGGTCACTCTGGAAGTTTCATGGCTGGCCAAGAAAAGATTTGAACTCTGCTTTCCCAGATCTTAGCCCATTACAAAACAGGGATGACGGCTAACATGAGGCGTGAGTTGCTCTGGACATGCTTATGGGGCACAATCTTCCCACCCAACTTTTAACTCGCCAGCGGGGACTTAATTTGGGGGCTATCATTTGTCAGGGTGCGGAAACAAGCCTTCCTGAACACTGCCCTCAGTTGAGCCCCCGACAGGTCTACCTTTTGTGGCCAGATTCCAGGGGACCCAGCCCTGGCGTTCAAATCAGCGGAGAACCGGGCGAGCTGCCCGCCCGCCTCCCTCATGTCCCGACCACGAGGCAAAGGGGCGTTTTGTGCATGCTCAGAGGAGGAGGTGGTGGACGCGCTCTTCTTCAGCTGCGACCGCGCACATGGCAAACAGGTGGCAAGGCTACCCCGGCAACGCCACCCCGAAAGGAGACCAGCAGAGAAGGAGCGCACAGGCGATCCAAGTGGCTGGCTCACCTCAAAAAGCTGCGGGATCTCCCGGCGGGAGACGTAGTCGCGGGCGTCGGCTGTTTCGCTCATGGCGATGGCAGTGTCTCTGAGCTGGGCAGGCGCCGGCGACAAGCAACAGCCACCCTGTTCGTGGGTCCGTCCGTCCAGCCAGCCGCTGCCTCTTTTCCCTCCCTCCCGCCTTCTTCCTCCTCCAACCGGGTCTACTTGCTGCGGCGATGAGCGGCCACTCCTCCGCCGGGGGACTGGAGGCAGGAGGCTGCGCAGCGCGCGTGCCGTCGAGCAGATGGCGCTGGAACAGCGCCTGGTCCTTGGTGGAATCCCCCGAGGGTGGGAGGGTAGACAGAGTGGGACGCGCCCGGGGGGGGGGGGGGCAAACTATTGCAGCGTCTAGGGAAGCCAAAGGCTAGGTGGGTGTGCTGCTGATGCTGCTAAGAGAAGGCAAGGATGCGTTTGGTTTCATCTGGATAGGCTGTGAGGTGGCCTGCTCTCGATGGCGTTACACTCCGTCTGAAGGAGCAGGTATGTCGCTTAGCGGTGGTACTCATGGACGTAGCCATAGCAAACCTCAGGTTCTGCCCTCCCCCCAACAACAAAAGGCCTGCCCCCTCCAAAAAAAATCCTGGCTATGCCCATGGTACTCCTGGATCTCAGGTGGCCTCCACAACATGGCCTGCTTTCCATCAGCTTCTGCTGGTGGCCCCGGTGCACCCTTACCTTGACAGGGACAGTCTACTTTCATCTATGCTCTGGTAACTCCTAGATTAGATTACTGCAATGCTTTATGTAAGACTGCCTCTGAAGATGGTTCGGAAACTTCAGCTGGTGCAGAACTCAGTGGCCGCTCACCAGGGCAGAATGGCTTGAGCATATAACCCTGATGCTGGCCCAATTGTACTGACTGCTAATTGGTTCCCAGGCCCAACTCAAAGTGCTGGTATTGACCTATAAAGCCTTAAATGGCTCAGGACCACAATACCTCCAGGACTGCCTCTTTCCATATGAACCAACCTGCAGCAGCGGAGTGTACGCTCTGCTGCTGGGAACGAGGAGCCAGGCGCCTGGTCGCACTCCCTCTCAAAAATGTGCCAGGGCAGTGCCCCCCAGCCCCCCCACTACACCCCTGCCTACCTGGACCCTAAGATCATTCTCTGATGCAGGGCCGTCTTTAGCAGATGCGGTGCCAGGGTGCAAATATCTGCCCAGCACCCCCAAATTACCACGGGTAGTGTTGGGGTGGCCGTAGCTGTTCACTGCCAGCCATGGGGGGGGGGCACAACTCTCCCCCATGCTGCTGCGGGAGAGCGATCCCCGCAGAGGATTGGGAGTAAAAATGTGCCCCTCCCAAACCTCCACGGGAGGAGAGCACAGCTTCCCTCCCAAGCCTCCTCGGAAGGAGAGTGGACAGTCAAGGAGGAGGAGGTAACAGTGGCAATGGTGAGGTGGTCCCAGGATTTTGGCCACTCAATAACCATGGCCCAATGGGAAAATTTATGGAAGATCAATTGGAAATTCACAAATTGTTACACGATTAGAGAGAACTTTCAAAAATGCAACATCGATGGTATCTAACACCATGGAAGCTTTCAAAAATGTATAAAAATGTATCAAGTAATTGTTGGAGATGCGAAGACTCAGGAACATTCTACCATATGTGGTGGATATGTAGGAAAATACAGGTATTCTGGGAGAGTATACATGCAGAACTGCAAAAAAATGCTAAAGATCTCTTTCAATAAAAACCAGAGGCCTACCTCCTGGGAATAACAGATTTGGATATTCCACAAAAGAGGAAGGGTATCTTTTATATGCGACGGTGGCAGCAAGAGTTTTGATCGCAGCACAATGGCAGAGTAATGAAATCCCCTCTATGCAAGAATGGATCCAAAAGCTGACAGAATATGCTGAATTAGATGGTTTATCAGAAAAATAAAAATAAATCAAAACAGGAATTTGTTTCTAAATGGGAGGTTTTTAAAGAATATCTGAAAAATAAATATAGTAGTTTAAATTCTGTTGCAGCATTCGAGGAACTTCAGTAATAGTTGCAAGGTAGATATAAGAAATTAGATTTAATGAGAATAAGTTTAATTACGAAAAAAAAAGTGTATTGGCAATAAGTAATATGAATTTGAAGTATGGAATAGACGGGAGGTTGGGTCTTTAGTGTTAAGACCAATAGATGTTTTATTGTTTGCTAAGAATATTAAGTGTCTATGGATATTTTTGTAATTTGTGTGTAATTCGGTATTTGTGTTTTTTGTTTGTTTGTTTTTCTTGTTGTGTAAATAATTTTTTTTTTTATTAAAAAAAAAAAAAAAGGAGAGTGATCCCCGCAGAGGCTTGGGAGGGAAGCTGCACGCCCACCAGCCTTATGGTTGGTGGGGCGCAGCTGGTGGGTGTGCAGGGAAAGGGAAGGCCACCAGCAAAGCCGCGCTGCTGCTCCACTTGCTGAGGCGCCCCTGAGAGGCTGGCACCCTGGTGCGACACACCACTAAGCCCTATGGGAAAGACGGCTCTGCTCTGAAGCCCTTCTTCGTGTGGCTCCTCAATGATAGAATGGGCAGTTTCTTCAATGGCGCCCTGTTTGTAAAATGCTTGCTCGCCTGCCGCCAATTTACAGGATTATAACTCTTCTAGTCAGCCAGCTGTTAAGCAACTGCCAGAGAGTCTCTTGCTACCTTTAAGCTTAGATTTGGAAGATATTTTCCTAACCTCTCTTTGTTCTTTGAACAAGAAATATAATGCACAGGGCCTGAAATTGTTGGAATTTGTGAAGGAATATATCCTTCATGGGAGTCCTGTAGGCATTGCTAAGGGTCCGTATTCTTATTTGAACAAATACAGTGGAAGTGCTATTAACTGCATTATAATCTCTCATTCATTATTCACTTTCGTGAACACTTTTTTAAATAATGGATTTATTGGAATTTAGAAAAAGCTATACATAAATTATTGTTAATTATATTTTTTGTCAAAGGTAAAAAGTTAACCTAGGTATAAGCACAAACTGCAACAACAAAAAAAGTAATAAAAGGAAAATAGAGAAATGAGGAGAAAGAGAGAAAGAAGAGATGATTGGAAAAAGAAGAAAGGAAAATCAATAACTTCTGATTCCTCATCTATCCACTATTTGTAAACATTATTCAATTCACCACTCCACTATTACACCTAACAAAACCATTTTCTATAACCCAACATTATCTTCAGTCTTCAAACCCAACTACCATTTTCTTTTTCATGCAAGAAGTCTATAAGTTTCCAACCTTTAGTAAACAGCAACTGTGTCTTTGATTAAACATGTCAATTTTGCCATCTCAGCTATATCCAACAATTATTAACAACAATTCTTCCATTGTTGGTAAAGATGAATCTTTCCATCTTTGTGTGTATAAAAGTCTCACTGCCATAGTCATGTATTGGAATAAAATTCCATGGTCACTTTTGTGGACACTTTTGAAGGGTTACGATGACCAGAAAGTGACCACATTCCAATATCAATGACCCTGTGTGCTCTAATAAAATGCATACATACAACCGAATCTGTGAGCGTAAGTAGAAGGTGAAAGACTGAAATGGTCTCACAGTGAATCCATCAAATGTAGGTTGGAATAGAAGAGTCTGCTCAAAAACAATTAAGCTGAAAATACAAAAACCGAGTGGCAGGAATTGGAACTAGCAGTAATGGAGCAGAGAGAAAACAAATTCTGGGAACTGGTGTCCTGGGATTTCAATGAAATGAGATCATTACATCTAGTTCTGCAGAACTAGATAAATTAACAGGATGGATTCGAAACCTGCAGGATCAGAGATTCTTAGAACAGTGGAGTAAATATATGAATTATCTGAAAGACAAACAAAAAATATATGATTATCTGAAAGACAAACAAAATATATGAATTATCTGAATGACAAACAAAAAATAGGAAAAAAGAGAAAAAAGAAAAAAGATACATACAACGTATTACCACTTAATTAATTAAAATTAAGTACCATCCATCTTCATAAACATGGTATTTGACTTCCTCGAATTTCTTCCATCCAAATTTCTTAGTAATTATATGTAGCAGTTTCCAATATCAGAGTTTCAAAAGACCATATCACAGTCCTGATCATATTACATAGCTTTCCTTATCGTACATTTTCTTATTTATAAATTTAATTCCATTTTAATCCTAGGCCTAATTGTTTCTTTCAGGTGGTTACATATCTTTAATATTACAATATTTATTCAAATAATCTTTATATTTCTTCCAGTCTTCTTGATGTTCCTCTTCTTTCTGATCGTGGATTCTCCCGGTGAGATAAGCCAGCTCCATAAACTCCATCATCTTCATCTGCCATTCTTCTACCGTTGGTAGTTCTTGTGTTTTCCATTTTTTGGCTAATAAAATCCGTGTAGCAGTTGTGGCATACAAAAATACTTTTACATCTTTTTTGGGCAGTTCAGAACCTATTATTCCAAGGAGAAAGGCTTCTGGTTTCTTCATAAATGTATATTTCATCATTTTTTTTAATTCATTATAATTTTTTTCCCAGAGGTCTTTTACCTTGGAGCAAGTCCACCACATATGATAGAAAGTACCTTCCTTTTCTTTACTTTCCAGCATAAATTATCACAATTGTGGTAGATCTTCGCCAGTTTAACGGGTTAAGTACCACCTATACATCATTTTCATAATATTTTCCTTTAACATTGTACATGCAGTAAACTTAACCCCTTTCTTCCAAAGTCTCTCCCAGTCCTCCATCATTATATTATGTCCCACATCTTGTGCCCAATCAATCATAACCGATTTTACTTGCTCATCTTTTGTATGCTACTCCAATAACAAACTATACATTTTAGACAGATTTTTAACATTAGTATCTAACAACTCCATTTCCAGTTTGGTTTTTTCAATTGCAAAACCTTTTTTCTTATCAATCTTAAATAATTCATTAATTTGGTAATATTGAAGCCAATTTATCTTTGATTTGTTCAAATGATTTTAACATAAATCCCTACCCGTCTTCAACCAATAAATCTGGGTATCTCAAACACTTATTTTCCATATTAAGCTTTTTTTGTGCCTGCGCTTCAGTTGGTGAAATCCATTTGGGTGTTTTTCTTATCAAAAGATCCTGATATCTAGACCAAACATTAAAAAGTGCTTTCCTAATTAAACCTGAAACTGTTCTTAACCTGAAGCACCACTTTAGCTAATGGGGCCTCCTGCTGCCGCCGCGCCGCCGGAGCACGATTTCTGTTCTCATCCTGAAGCAAAGTCCTTACCTGAAGCACTATTTCTGGGTTAGCGGAGTCTGTAACCTGAAGCGTATGTAACCCGAGGTACCACTGTATTAGTTAAGGACAATTAAATGTAATAGGAAATTAAGAAATTCAGAATAAGTGATAAAGAACAGAAAATCATTAAAGGTGTTGACAGAAGTAAAAAATACTGTATAAGATGTGAAGATATGTTGTATGACAGTTGGAACTGATATGTTAAAAAAATCAATAAAAATGTATATAAAAAAAAGAAAAGAAATGAGATCATCACAGGAAACCTCAGTTCCTGCCTCTGATTCGGTTAAATATTTATCCAATATATTTGGTGCTCAATTTGGGCAACTGCTTGTATCAACAGTATATTGATCAACTTACCTGAACGGCAACCAGTCTCCTGTAATGAGTTCATGGCACTTATTTACTATAAAATAAGGCTTCCTCTGGGGACGCAGGTGGCGCTGTTGGTTAAACCACAGAGCCCAGGACTTGCCGATCAGAAGGTTGGAGGTTCGAATCCCCGCAACGGGGTGAGCTCCTGTTGCTCGGTCCCTGCTCCTGCCAACCTAGCAGTTCGAAAGCACATCAAAGTGCAAGTAAATAAATAGGTACCGCTCCAGCGGGAAGGTAAATGGCGTTTCCGTGCGTTGCTCTGGTTCACCAGAAGTGGCTTAGTCATGCTGGCCACATGACCCGGAAGTTGTACGCCAGCTCCCTCGGCCCATAAAGCGTGATGAGCGCCACAACCCCAGAGTCGGCCACGACTGGACCTAATGGTCAGGGGTCCCTTCACCTTTACTTTTAAGTCTTCCTCTGTAAGGAATACATATAATGGCGGAGGCCTACCATGGCTGGTTTATTTATAACACTGGCAAAAACTATTGGTTGCTTGGCTTGTTAGACATCTCTTCAAAACTATATGCGTGGTATCTTCTTCAAAAGTTATCAGACTAGTGGCAAAATAATGTTATTCATGAAAACAAGCGAGGTTCAGAAAAGGACACAGTAACATTGATCAAATTCTGAACTATAGTACAGTGGTGCCTTGCAAGACGAAATTAATCCATTCCGCGAGTATCTTCGTCTAGCAGTTTTTTCGTCTTGCGAAGCAACCCTATTAGCGGCTTAGCGCTGTTAGCGGTTTAGCGGCTATTAAAGGCTTAGCGGCTTAGCTGCTAAAAGGCTATTAAAGGCTTAGCGGCTTAGAAAAAGGGGGGGGAGCGAAAAAAAAATCTCAAGACTCGCAAGACATTTTCGTCTTGCAAAGCAAGCCCATAGGGAAATTCGTCCTGCGAAGCGCATTGAAAACGGAAAACCCTTTCGTCTAGTGGGTTTTCCGTCTTGCGAGGCATCACTGTATAGGGAAATAGTCTAAAAACAATAAGAGTAATCTTTATGTAGCCTTTTTTTATCTTTCTGTGTTTGCCTCTATTAATCAAAACAGACTGTTTTGACTGGCAATTGCAGTCATTTGCCAATGTTGACTGCAGATTTCTGCTATTGATCTAATAACTATACAGCAATACTGAAATGAGGGTCAGAGTATGTTTAAATGTTGGTATGGCTGAGGCCTTTCAGAGGTTGCATTCTGACTCCCACTCTTTTTAACTTTTATATATTAATGACTTGGTGCCATATTTAGGCAATGCAAGCTACCCCTCTCCAGTAATTTGGAACAGAGAGATCTCAGTCTTGATGCATGCGGATGATGCGTTGCTCTTCTCTTTCGCAATTGGACCTCAAAAATCTCTTGGAGGTGTTCAGCACATACTGTAAACAGGAAAGCCTATCTATAAATTACTCTAGGACCAAGATTATGACTTTCGGCAGGCACAGTCCTAAGTATAAATGGTGCTTAGATCAGCAAGCTGTAGAACAAACTCATTCATTTAGATATCTGTGTGTGCTCTTTAGTGAATCCCTCTCTTGAAAAGGTTGTATGGAGGCAGTGAAAGTCAAAACACAGAAAACAGGAGCATTGATGAAGTTCTATTGCAATAAGGGAGGGCAGCTGATGGAAGCTGTCCAAAAGTGTTACTGCAGGTGGCCAACAATTAAGGCAAGAACTGATTGCACTCATAGTATATTAGAATAATTCCTGTTATACCAATTGAGTGTTTTCCTGTGCTGTGCTATAGGGAATTGGGTGAGAACCAGTGCTGAAAAGCAGCTTGTCAAGCTGTTTTATACTATAATTATTTTCCAGAACTGAACTCTGCATTTACCTTGAATACATGTCAACTAAGGGATTGGATCTTGATAGAATCCAGAACGGACCTGCAACTTATTAGAAATACTGAATTTCCCCCTTAGTATCCACTCCCGAGGGATGCGGGTGGCGCTGTGGGTTAAACCAGAGCCTAGGACTTGCCAATCAGAAGGTCAGTGGTTCAAACCCCCGCAATGACGGGGTGAGCTCCCGTTGCTCGGTCCCTGCTCCTGCCCACCTAGCAGTTCAAAAGCACATCAAAGTGCAAGTAGACAAATAGGTACCGCTCCGGCGGGAAGGTAAACGGCGTTTCCGTGCGCTGCTCTGGTTCGCCAGAAGCGGCTTAGTCATGCTGGCCACATGACCCGGAAGCTGTATGCCGGCTCCCTTGGCCAGTAAAGCGAGATGAGCGCTGCAGCCCCAGAGTCATCCGCGACTGGACCTAATGGTCAGGGCTCCCTTTACCTTTGCCTTTATCCACTCCCAAGAGCAGAGCATTTTTCGGCTAGTTATCTGATCAAACTCACCAGCTTCCTTAAGAAATGCCTTTACTGAGCTGCATTTCAAAGGGATGGCCACCACGGACTTGGACAGCTACTGCAACAAGGTCCCGCAAGGTGGTGTTTGTGGTCAACCTCAGGTGGAAGACATTACTTGTTATCTGTTAGCCTGCTCCTCAAATAGAGATCCAAGAGATCACTTTCTGAAAACATTATTCACAAAAGCAAGCAGGTGAAACCCAGCATAAATTGTTTGGTTTCTTTTGAGTGACAATAACTTTCCAATACAGAGTGCAGCACTGGCTGCAAAAAACAAAAAAAATCAGGGAAAGAGTTAGATAAAATCACTATGAGTTATTGTGGTGCTTCACAGGTTTAGTTTTAAATCACCTTCTCTCTTACATCATGGATGTTGGCTTATATGATGGGTGTATGTATTGTTTATTAGTACTGTTGCTGCAGATTTATCATGGCCTTTGGCTAGAACAATAAACTTATATTGAACTGAATTGGTTAGAAAAATTAAGAGATGGGCCCCCAAATGCATGTCTGAGTGAGTCCCCTGTATGAAAATGCTGGAGACGGCTGATATTGACTGTCTCATTTCAGAGATGAAGAAATCAGCTCAAGAATCAGCCACTGGGTGAACCTTCCAATTAAGTGTGCATGGATTGCAGCCCCAGTGTGATCCTTCATACAGTATGCTTATTCAGAAGCCAGCCCCATGGTGTTCAGTGGGGCTTAGTCTCAGTGGGGCTTGTGAATGCATTTAAGATTGCAGCCTAAGATGGATTAATTTTAGTCTTAAAACTGGTAACAGAGAAAAGGAGAAAAGACAAAGATGTAGCAGTATTTATTTCCATACAAATCATTACAAAACTTCCACCCTTGCTGGTTTGATGTGCAGTTCTTTACTTGGCAGTCAGCACATGCGAGTCAAGATGCTTCTACAAACATTAAACCGGACCTGGCACAATAAATTTTGACCAAACTTAGCCAAAGGAAGAATGACTGAAAGAGTGCTGGCCAGTGTCAGATATCTCAGCCCACAGAGGTCCAACGTGGAACTTCAAATCCAAACAAATGCCATCTTCGGTGTGCAATGCATTTTAAAGGTCTATGTCCTTTATCACGTCCTGCCTATGGGCTTCCCACAGGCACCTGATAGATCACTGTGCAAAACATATGCTTGACCCATCTTGGACTCATCCAGCAGGGCTCTTCTTCAGTCTTTTTATAGGAAGTCTTGTGGAGCCAATTGGCCATAAACTAATAGTGCTGTTCAAGCTTGAGGAAGAAAGACTTGGCCAAATTATTGTCCTGATTGTCCATGCTGATCGTGCTTCTTGTCTGCAAATGTAGTCAAAGCAGCAGGACTCTAAAATTATCCTGGTGTATGATTGTCAGTGAGAAGCCATTAGACACAACAGTCACTTATTTGGTCCTAGGGGAAGCCACAAGTGTCTGCATTTTGCAGTTATTTCTTTGCTGCAGGCTTTTGCATTGTATGCAACTCTTCATCAAGCCAAGTGATATCTCCTAATGCAAAGCTCTGTGTGAATAGAAAGCTTGAATACTACTTTATCAACCCAAACATGTGACCAATAGAAGAAAAAAAGAGAGAAGCACATCTGACTACCTGGGCAGTCTAAATGAACCCCAAGACAAAAAGTAGCTACTCTTTAGGGGAACTTGGGCCCCTAATTCTATTATGGTTCTGTAAGGCTAGGAAACAGTTGTGTATACAACACAGAAGAGGCAGCAGCTTTTTGATAAACCACGGTGATTTGTATGTGCCTAAGATTTTAGAAATACATGAATACATGGGACAATGGGATTAGCTACCAATCTTCTTGTTCTGTAACACTAAGCAGTGGGGAACCACCAGCCAATGGGCCTAACATAACGCACCAGGCCTTCCCATTAAGCCCACAATACCGTTTTGGTGAAGCCACGCTCACCTGCCCTAAGCAGGCAGGGCCAGCCCACCTATGAGGCAAAGTGAGATAACCACCTCAGGCGGCAGGATCCACAGGGGCAGATCTGGCCTCCCAGGAATGCATTGCCTGCTGCCACTGTGATGGCTGCAGCACACGCCTTGGCACTGCGCCTCTTTCGCAGCTTGCTTCTCCCTCAAATGCCACCTGCACAACAGCCTCTTGGCGAATAGGTGCTGCTGGTCTCCTCACCCTGAGGAAGGAAGTGGTAGGAGTTGCCCTCTGGGGTCTCCTCCCACCAAGTGATTCAAAGTGCCCTCACCCCCACCCCCCCAGTAATGGCTTTTGATTCCCACTTCAGCTTTCAGGAAAGGAATTTGATTCCTCCCCACTTGTTCCAGATGTAGATCTTCACTGACCCCTTCTTCCCTGGTGGGCAGGACACCCATTTTGTGGTTCGCCTCAGGTGCCAAAATCTCTTGGGCCAGCCCTGACAGCAGGTGTTATACATGAAATCAAGTGGGGAATATGTAAATACATGGCTGTGCCAAAAGGGACAGTTCAACAAAGGGACAGACAAAAATCTGCCAATTCTGGTTTCTCACATTTCCCCATTTTTTTATATTCTCATTCCTCAGTTCAGCTCTGCACATTTCCACATCAGATTGCAATTCCGCCCCCCCAAAAAAATCCTCACAGAAAAATCACCTGCATTTTAGCATGACTTCCTTGCAATATACAAGTTTTTGTACGCAGCTTCCCCTAACACAAACATTGTTGGTAAGCAATTTCCCCTAACAGAATGCATTTTTGTATGTTATACTCACTAATATGCACTGGCGGAGGGGAGCGCACCGCCCCTGGCACCACGATTCCAGTGGGGTGCCATTGTGGCTGCTCCTCCCGCCCCCCACACTGGGTGCCATGCCCCTGCAGGTGGCACGCCACACCCCCAGGACGCGTGCCACACCCTGCAGGCAGTGTGTCACACCCCCCAGGACGTGCACCAGCCACGTCCCCGCCTGCTCTCCGCTGCTGTTGCTGGAAAATGAAGCTCCGCTACTGCTAATATGTGCATTTCATTATAGAGTTTTCCCCAATATGCACATTTTACAAACATGATTTGCTTTGAGAACTGCATTTCAAAATTCAGGGAAGCGTGACTCAAAGGATGGGTGGCCTAGGAATGGAAGATCATCATTTCGATCTTATCTATCCTTCCAGAATTTGAGATCCAAGGACCTGTGCATCAATGTGACATACAAACACACAAATCAGTGTCGTTTAATTACCCTGTGCAACCTCTCTTGATAGCTACTGCCACTTCCCAGCATTTGTAAATTGGCTTCGAAATGGGCAAAAGACAAAAACAAAGACCAGCGATAGCTTGCCTTCCTTCCCAGTACCCTTCAGCTATCAAGTAGCTTATAGTACTGGTACAATCTACAGCTGGGTAAAAATAGGTGCTAAATCACATGAGAGCATTATTGCTTAAGGCAGGTTACAGGGTATGATAGTACCCTAAACACAAACTGGTGAACAAGCCTATCTAGGATTTGCATTCAGCAGTACAGTCGTACCTCAGAAGTCAAATGCCTTGCAACTCAAACGTTTTGGCTCCTGAACGCCGCAAACCTGGAAGTGAGTGTTTCAGTTTGCAAACATTCTTTGGGTTCTGTGGGTTCCATTTGGCTGCAGGAGCTTCCTGCAGCCAATCGGAAGTTGCGCCTTGGTTCGCTAATGTTAAAAATCTCTCCAAAATGTATAATTTGTTGTTAGAATGGCATACAAAGGACGAACAAGTTAAATCTGTGATGATTGATTGGGCAAGAGATGTTGGACACAATATAATGTTGGAAGATTGGGAAAGGCTGTGGAAGAAAGGGGTTACGTTTACTTCATGTACTGTATTAAAAGAAAATATTATGAAAATGATGTATAAATGGTACTTAATCCCGGTGAAATTAGAAAAGAGGTATCATACAAATGGTAATTTATGTTGGAAATGTAAAGAAAAAGAAGGTACTTTCTATCATATGTGGTGGACATGTCCTAAAGTGAAAGACTTCTGGGAAAAGATATATAATGAGTTGAAAAAAATGTTGAAAAATACATTTATTAAAAAACCAGAAGCCTTTCTACCTGGAATAATAGGACTGGAATTGCCCAAAGAAGATGTTAGACTGTTTTTGTATGCCACTACAGCAGCAAGACTTTTATTAGCCAAAAATTGGAAATCGCAAGAGATACCAACAATAGAAGAATGGCAGATGAAGATGATGGACTTTTTGGAGCTGACCTGACTGGAAGAATCCGCGACCAGAAAGAAGAGGAGACACAAGAGGATTGGAAGAACTTTAAAGAATATTTGGTTATATTGTAATATAAGATAAAGAGAAATTTATCGGAAGTAATAATTAGGCTTAGGGGTAGAATATGAATATGTTATTAATAAATATTAAGGATTAGAATATCAATAAAGGAGTAGAAGTTAGTAAATGAAAGAAGTTAATATTATTAGAAATATGAATTTGGAGAACTGCTAAATAGGTGATATAATGGAATTCAATTAGAGGGGATTCAAGGAAGTCAGTTATCAATGTAATGAAATTAAGATTTGGAAGTTAAAATTCATTTTTATGTGTTTTTCTTTGTTTTTTGTGTATTGTAACATTTTTCTTTTTTTCCCTTTTTTATAAGTGTGAAAATCAATTAAAAAAAAAACTGGGGGGGGAGGGGAGGAAGTTGCCCCTTGATTTCCGAACATTTTGGAAGTTGAACGGACTTCTGGAATGGATTCTGTTTGACTTCCGAGGTACGAATGCATCTTCCTTTGCTCTCTCTGATCTGCTGTGTCATGTGGAAGAGCAGTATGTTGGAGGACAAGGGTTTCATCCCAAGCATCTCTATTTAGGTCTGATAGGGACTCCTGTCTGAAACCCTGGAGAGCCATTGCCACTGTGTGTGGACAATACTAAGCTGGACAGAGCAACAGCTGTTTTCCTGTGGGTAAGATGACTTTGCTACCCTTCCTCACTTTGTAAAAATATGAGATTGCCACATTGCCCTCGCTGGGTGGACACGCTGCACGGACACCATACATGTACAAATAAAACGATATTGCTGTGTGATAAGGAGGTCATCAAGGTTATTGTTGGCTTTCTGATCAAAAGGTGGCAGCAGGGAGAAGCTGCCCCAGTCCAAACTCTGAGGAAACAAGCTCTCTGCATGCCAAATACAAAAGAGACCAGCTGAGTGGGAAAAGTTGCTGCCACAGGACCTGCTTCTACACATGGGTGACTCAGAAGCACCAAATTGTTGCTTCTGAGAATTGGAATCACAACTGTGCTCCTAGGCTTCTGAAACCTAAACCACATCTTGTAGTCAATTGGGCAGTTCCCTTCCCCCCCAGTTCCAATTGTTGTGGGGATTAAAATTGGGAGCATTATGGGTAGTGAAAGGATTAAATACCTTCAGTCCTCACTGCACCTTAGATTATAACCTTTCTTACCTCAGAGAAATGGGAGGAAATAAATTGTTATAAAGGCATTGATATTTGGAAAGGGAAAGGTTAACATGATAGAGTTGGTTCCTTGAGAAGAGAGGCATACCATTCAGAAGGGAATGGCTTGTGCAAATTGTATCCAGGCCATAACCAGCCAGGAATGCTACTGAGTACAGTGGTACCTCGGGTTAAGTACTTAATTCGTTCTTAACCTGAAACACCACTTTAGCTAATGGGGCCTCCTGCTGCAGCCGTGCCGCCGGAGCACGATTTCTGTTCTCATCCTGAAGCAAAGTTCTTAACCTGAACCACTATTTCTGGGTTAGCAGAGTCTGTAACCTGAAGCATATGTAACCTGAAGCGTATGTAACCCGAGGTACCACTGTAGTTGTGCAATGAATTATCTATACCTGGTGCAATTGCACAGCTGTTCCAGTGTGTTTTTTCAGGGGTAAGCAGCAACAGCACCACTTTTTGTTGTTGTTAAAATGTGTGGCATTCATTGTAACAACTTCATGGTGAGTACTGGCACCTATTTTTCTAGCTCATGGACATAGCCAGGATTTTTTGTTGGGGGGGGGCAAGCTTTCATTAGGGGGGGGGAGAACCTCAATTTGTATTGATTTTAATGATTGGGGGGGAGCTACCCCCCTGCGCCCCCTTGGCTACGTCCATGACTGAACTGATCCACTGTGTTTTAAAAAGTCAGATTTGGGCGAAGCATGCTTTGATGGCACTGTGCAGATGCCCCATAAAAAGTGAGCAAACGAAGGGTAGCTATTCCACAATAAATGTCCTTTTGTGGAAGCAGCCAATATGTCCCCGTTGATTTCTGACACTTCTGATTTCCTGGTCCCTGGTCCTATTTTAGCTTTTGGATAAATGCTGTGGTGTGTGGAAGGGTAAAGTTAAAGGTAAAGGGACCCCTGACCATTAGGTCCAGTCGTGGTCGACTCTGGGGTTGCGGCGCTCATCTCGCTTTATTGGCCGAGGGAGCCGGCACACAGCTTCCGGGTCATGTGGCCAGCATGACTAAGCCGCTTCTGGCAAACCAGAGCAGCGCACGGAAACGCCGTTTACCTTCCCGCCGGAGCAGTACCTATTTATCTACTTGCACTTTGCCGTGCTTTTGAACTGCTAGGTTGGCAGGAGCAGGGACCGAGCAACGGGAGTTCACCCCGTTGCGGGGATTTGAACCGCCGACCTTCTGATCAGCAAGTCCTAGGCTCTGTAGTTTAACCCACAGCACCACCCGTGTCCTATATGTGGAGGGGTACTATTTAAAAACTACAGTTGTGGACAACGGCTGGGCTACCACATGAGAGCTGTACCACCAGATGAAAAAATGAGTGTGGGGAGGAGTGTACGGTTTCTGGGACAGGGTAGTTGCAGAGTAAGGATGTGAATGGGAAGGGATGAGATCAGTGGAGGCTGGTCCATCAGGGTGAAAGGGGCACTGCCCCATCAACCTCATGCCTGTCCTCAGCCAGACCCCATCTCCTTTCCTTCTTATCTACAGCTACCCAGAGGGTGGCTGCTCCACTCAGCTTCTTTCTCTCTAGGCTCTGTGTTGCCCTTGCAGAACTAGAATGAGTTGGCTCTGCCTGTCGTTAGCTCTGGTTCCCCTTTCTGTTGGGCTACCTGCCTTTTGCCCACCTGGGCGCCAGGTACCACTGGACTGAGCTGAGGCTACCTTTGCTCCCTCCATTTTACTTTCCTCCCTCTCAAAGGGCTGGGCTCAGGGGTGCCAACTTGAATAAAACGGGGGGGGGGGGCAGGTAAGCTCTGCCCTGCATAATTGATCACAAGATGTAGTGCACACAGACCATTTGAATGGCAATGCCAACACCATCAAATGTTTTACCGGGAAGGCCGAAGAGACCTCGGCCCCTAGGAGTTGGCTCCTATGGCTGGGCTCATTTTGACCAGCTGATGCAAGCTTAATAAAATCTAAACAAAACACAAACATGCTTCTTAAGTAAACAGCAGACTAATGGCACATGGCTTGCCTCCCTGGAATAAAAACAAAATCTTCGATTTGTTCCACCCCATGCCACTCTTCTTTCCATCCCCTCTTGGGTCTATTATGGGATGTTCTGTTAGTAATGCAAATAGTTGGCATAGGAAGGTGAGCTAGCAGGTTTGTGGGGGTGGGGGAAAGAGGAGCCATAGCAGGTACTTGTGGGTTTGCTAGGGTTGATTTTGGTTTCTCTCAATTTCTCATTATTTCCAATCTCCAGTTCTCCACATTTCAACATTTGCCTTGCAATTATTATTTTTTTGGTAAAAGTGAAAAGTCCCTATTAAAAAGTTAGCAGCATTTTAGTTCCCCTCCCAACCACCGCAACCACTTCTCCCTCCCACAAGGGAGTGCTGTCCTTGACTCTCTCAAAAAGGTTGCCCATCCCTGTTACAAAGGGCTGGGTAAAATTCATGGTCTGCCCACAAGCTCTTAACCATGACAGCTGAAAACTGAACCTCCATGTACAAAGGAAGTCTACCTCTGTATACCCGCTCCAAGCAGGAGGCAAAACACAGCGGAGGGCTGCCACCTTCACACGCTTCCTTGTAGGCTTCTCGGAAGTACCTGGTTGGCAGATACAAGGTGCTGAGATCTCATCCTGATCCGACAGGGGTCGTTTTGTGTGCTAATACAAGCCCTCTGGTGGGCTTTCAAACCATGGGCTTCCCTGGCAGCAGCAGACTGCGACCTGTCATTAAGGGGGGAGGGGGAGCAGAGTCATCCAATGCATAATGCCCAAGGGCAATGTGGGAAATTTAAAACAGCAGCTGAGCAGGCCTGGCAGCCTGGCACACGGAAGGCCTGGGGCTAGGAGCAACGTTGGCCCTTGAGCTATCTTCACACCAAGGGCATCTCTTTCCCTCCTCCTGTTGTGGAGAGGGCCGTGTGCCCCAGAAGCTCCTCCCCACTGCCCCGCAAGACCATGGGTTTGGCACTTGTGTGGTTTCTCCTCCGCCCCACCCCATGGGGGGCTTCAGTCCCAGTTCGGGTGGGAGAAGGTGATGTTGTAGAGACTCGCCCACTTGGCAAAGACCCGCTTCTCAGTGATGAACCGGTGGTGGTGGCCCTTTCGGCTTTGCTCATTGTGGATGTAGGTGGCACATTCATCCGGACCCTTCGGCTCATAGTAGTGGTAGGGCAACTTGTGGGGCGGAGGCTTCCTGCTGTTGGGAAGAGAACCGGAGGGGGTGGGGAAGGTTGGGGTTCAGTGAGCAGGGAGCGGTGCAGAGAAGCAGAGGCAGAGATTGAGACAGCCCTGGGGCAACTCCGCCCCCCCCCCGAAACTGACAAGGAGCACGCAGAGTGCAGGACTTACATGCAGTAGTTGGGAGGGACCATCCCATAGACGTGGATCTTGTCACACAGCTCAACGCCAATCACCATGGTGAACCAGCCGGTGCTCAGCCATGACCGTGACGTCACTCTGCAAAAGCAGGGAGAAACAAAAGGAGGGGTTTTTTCAAAGGAAAGGGAATCCAAACACAACCTGTGAGTGATTGATGCAGATTAGATGCCGACCTGCAGCAAAACGTTGCAGTGTGGAATTCTCCACGCTGAGGATTCCAATCACTCTATTCCGTTTCACATCAATTTTTCATTCCACTCACCTCATATTCCACAGTCAGCCAGCATTCTTTTATCACTCAGCACACGCTAAACCCTCATTTGGCTGGTTTTGCTTTTTTGTTTTTTTGTGGGAGGTGCCTGCCCCTCTCTCTGCCGATCCAATGGGGTCCCAGGCACCCACACAGGGTCCGTGTCCCTTTCGGAGACTGTCATGGCTTTAAGAAATGTGGTTTATTCACCTATTTACACCTTCAGTCTGCATGGAGGGAGTCCAGATCTTATAGCATAGTTCTTTCAAGGGGCAGCAGGGCAGGCAACCTGCCCAAGATGGATCTCAGCTCTTGTTCCTCCTTCTCCTTCCTGGCAACCCTTGCTCAATAACTTAATGTACGTGTTCCCTCAAACACACATCTCACTACCTTTTGCCCCTTTTGCCATGTTAACAGATTGGTTCTTCTCTAGGCCAGCCAGGCTGGTTTGCATAAGCCAGCCCAGGGATTCCTTGTCTGGCACAGTTCTGCAGCCCATACTTTAATAAAGGTAAAAGGTAAAGGGACCCCTGACCGTTAGGTCCAGTCGTGACCGACTCTGGGGTTGCAGCGCTCATCTCGCTTTATTGGCCAAGGGAGCCAGCGTGCAGCTTCTGGGTCATGTGGCCAGCATGACTAAGCTGCTTGTGGCGAAACCAGAGCAGCGCACGGAAACGCCATTTACCTTCCCGCCAGAGCAGTACCTATTTATCTACTTGCACTTTGATGTGCTTTCGAACTGCTAGGTTGGCAGGAGCACGGACCGAGCAACGGGAGCTCACCCTGTCGCTGGGATTCAAACCACCGACCTTCTGATCAGCAAGCCCTAGGCTCAGTGGTTTAACCCACAGCGCCACCCGCGTCCCACCCCATACTTTAATCCATATCCCAATTAATTAATATCCTAGCATTTCTTCATTTCTAGGATTTAGCCCCCCCCCCCGCCTATTACCCTATTAACACCATTTTTCTTCTACTTCTGCAAATCTTGGGATTCCCCAGAACCTGCAGACACCTCCCTCTTGTAAATTAAAAGGAAAAGATACAATCAATCTATCTTTCCTCCCTCCCCACAGCAGGGCTTGCCTGGAAGAGGAGATGCAGAAACTATGCTGGAGGGACAACTGCAGGTGAATTTACCTGTCCTTCCCTGTCTCCTTTTTGAACAAGTCATCAAACTGTTTCATGCGCCTGGGGGAAGCTACGAAGGCCGTCATGTTGGGGAATGACATGCTGACGCGCTGGATGACCTTCAGCAAGCTCTTCTGCATCCTGACCGGTGGCCCCCAAAAGATTAAGATGGTGTCCGGAGTCTTGTTGACAAACTCCTGTGGTCTCTTCAGGACCCGGAATATACTTGAATGGGCCACCACCCTGAAGGTCGTCTTGTTACCAACATCTGCTTCGTAGGCCGTCGTGGGAGCATCGTTCATGCGAATTGTGCACTCCGACTGGTCGATTGCTGCCCCCAGCTTGCTCCCCAGCAGGTGACTGGAACTGGTGACGATCACGCATTGGCTGCAGTGATGATCCAAAGTCTGGGGGTGGGGGGATAAGAGTATTATTATTATTATTATTATTAAATTTTATTTATACCCCGCCCTCCCCAGCCAAGACCGGGCTCAGGGCGGCTAACACCGGTATAAAAACAATTGATTGAAATGCAACTTAAAAACAAGATTAAAATACATTAAAATGTTGCCTCATTACAGTAGGAACTCAAATCAAAAACTTTTTTGGGGATGAAAACGTCAAATCTTCACCAAGGCCAACTATCCAGACTGGTCCTACGTGGCCAGAAAAAGGCGAGGAAGTCCCCAAATAGGAGTTCCATCACAGAAGGAGAAAGGAAAAAGGAAGAGGGGGAGGGGATCAAGTTGATTCCAAGCCAAAGGCCAGGCGGAACAACTCTGTCTTACAGGCCCTGCGGGAAGAAATCAGATCCTGCAGGGCCCCGGTCTCATGAGACAGAGCGTTCCACCAGGCCGGAGCCAGTGTTGAAAAGGCCCTGGCTCTGGTTGAAGCTAATCTGACTTCCTTCAGGCCCGGGACCACTAGGGTGTTGCTATTTATGGACCTTGAGGCTCTCCATGGGGCATACTGGGAGAGGCGGTCCCATAGGTACAAAAGGTCAAAACCAGCACCTTAAATCTGACTCTGTACTCCACCAGGAGCCAGTGCAGCTGGAAAAGCACTGGGTGAATATGCTCCTATGGCAGAGACCCCGTGAGGAGCCTCGCTGCAGCATTCTGCACCCGCTGGAGTTTCTGGGACAGCTTCAAGGGCAGCCCCATGTAGAGTGAATTACAGTAGTCAAGCCTGGAGGTGACCATCGCATGAATCACTGTGGCCAGGTCGGGGCGGGAAATGTATGGAGAAAGTGGATAGAGAAAGGTTTTTCTCCCTCTCTCATAACACCAGAACTCAAGGACCTCCAATGAAGTTGAATGTTGGAAGATTCAGGACAGATAAAAGGAAGTCTTTATTCAAGCAGCGCATAATTAAACTATGGAACTCCCTCCCACCAGAAGCATTGATGGCCAACAAATTAGATGGCTATCAAAGAGGATTAGATAAATCCATGGAGGAGGAGGCTTTCAATGGTGACAAGCCATGATGGCGCTGCTCTACTTCCACAGTGGCACAGAGGCAGCAGTGCTTTTGAATCCCAGTGGCTTCAAACCACATGAGGGGAGAGACAGGGCACCTGTGTTTCAGTCCTGCTTCCTGCTTTCCCACAGGCGTCTATCTATTCAGCTACTGTGAGAACAGGATGCTACACTTACGCTATTACGTCTGATGTATGGAAGTGAGAGCTGGACCATAAAGAAGGCTGATCGCCGAAGAATTGATGCTTTTGAATTATGGTGCTGGAGGAGACTCTTGAGAGTCCCATGGACTGCAAGAAGATCAAACCTATCCATTCTTAAGGAAATCAGCCCTGAGTGCGCACTGGAACTGTAAGAGAACGATCTTGAAGAAAGGGAATTTTCTCTGGGGGCAGGATGTGTGTGTTAGCCTTGGAAAATGGTGAGTAAAATGGGTTCTCATATTAGAAATATATGCAATTAAGAATGGCATGGAACACACTGATAGAATCTTTTCTTCCTCTCTCTATTGGCAACCTCCAGGATCAGACAAGTTCTGAGAACCATATACACATAACAACTGAGGATCATACTCCATTGTAGGAAATGGCCCTAGTCCATGAAAGCTTATGCAATAATACAATTTGTCAAGTCTGCCAAGGTGCCACAAGCCTTCTTGTTTTTCCAGTTCTGCGGTGGCAAGTTTTGAACCATTCTGCATAGCATTCGTGTTCTCCCCACTTTTTTTGACTTTTTATGTTGTCATTTTTTTTTATTTTCTTACATTTCTTCATTTAATGTCTTCATTTAAAAACATTGCTTCATTTAAAAAACATCTTCTTAAAGACTGCTAACAACATCTAAAGCCAATAAAATAATACCATGTTGGTATTATCAAAGATGAAAATGGCAGATAAAATGTCTAAAACAGCTAACCTCTAAAACTCTATTTAAAAGCAAAAATCATGGAGAACAAATCAGCAGAAGTTGAGAATCAATTTCCCATACAGCCGCTTCAGAATCACTCCTCTACCATTCTGCAGCTGCTTGTTACAACAGCTGCCAAGATAATTCTTAAAGGCAAGATTTCTGAAATATACTCAGAGTTGAGAGTGGATTTCATGCTCTTTATTCAGCTCATAGTGGTGAGGAGGAATGAAAGTTTCCCCAAAGTATCTGCTTTATATACATTAATGTAAAGTTATCATTTTGGGGAAGAATTTCAACGATAAAGATGAGCGTGTTACCAAAGATGCTATTTTTATTTCAGACAATCCCGGTTGTGGATTCACTTCCATCTGGAGCTGGATTGGGTGGCTCCTGCAGACCAATCATACTGCTGCATTGTTCTAGGACCAATCAGACTGCTGCATTCTGAATCCTATTGTTCTAGGACCAATCAGAATGCTGCATTTTGGATCCTATTCAACTCAGTACATAACAATTTCCTTACCCATCATTCCATCCTTCTGGTTTATAGAACCAGGGTACAGTGGCTGGTGATGTGCCAGAAATAATTTCTCAAGATCCCTCCCCGCCCACTCCCCTCTCCAGGACCACCAATGATTAATCTACAGCCACAAAGCCCACTGGGAGACCCTGGGCCAGTAACTCAGCCTAACCAACCCCACAGGGTTGTTATGGGGATAAAAAGGGGTTAGGAAGTGTCTATAGCACGCCTTGAGGTGTTTTGGAGAATGTAATTTTTTGTGATGTAAATGTAATAATAAACAGAGGTAGGGAACCTTTTTCAGTCTGAGGGCTGCACTCTCTTCTGGGAAGCCGCTCAACGGACACATGTCAGTGGTGGGCAGGACCAGAGGCAAAAGTGGGAGGGGCGATGAATGTAAATTTTATCCGAGTTGCTTACACAGTCCTTTTTCTCCCAAGAGTTCAAGGATACTTTCTAGTTAGGCAGGAAGCACTTGAGTGTGCAGCAGAGCCAGTGATGGCGTGAGATCTGGGGAGACCTGAGATTCCCTCTCTATGACCTGCAAAACAATGGCAGCTGAAAGTTCACGCGCTTCCCATACCTTGTTTCCAGAGACTGGCAGGTACCCATTCTTCACCCCCCATTTTTTGAGGCTGGAAGGCAACGGGGGCTTCACTTTCACCGCAGTGTAGTGGAAGACTTCGCTCCTGCCATTGTAGATGATCAGCAGCATGACCAGGCCAAACAGAACCACAAAGACAACTGCGCGCTGGCCCTGCAGACACAAAGAGCGGACGAGGGGGCAAATGGTCAGAAGAGCCAGGTTGCTCTCCAGGGCATCTGTTCACACTGGGCACCTTTCTAGCTTGGCAGTAGCCTGCGTAAAATGGGATTCGGGGAGAGTAGTTGTTCGCAAGCAGAGCAGGAGCGAAGAGCCTGACGTGGCAGCAAAATATACAGGTTCCAAGTCATGGGAAGCGGGAGATCTGCTTGATCCTGGGTGCAGAGGGTCCACTCAGGGGCGACCTGTCCCACTTCACCACCTGAGGTAAAACAGGAAAGTGCTTCTTCCCCACAAAGCTGCCGCCGAAGCCTTGTGAATTAGGGTTGAGCAGCAGCAGCAGCAGCTGGGACGTGGGTGGCGCTGTGGGTTAAACCACAGAGCCTAGGGCTTGCCGATCAGAAGGTTGGCAGTTCGAATCCCCGCGACAGGGTCAGCTCCCGTTGCTCGGTCCCTGCTCCTGCCAACCTAGCAGTTCGAAAGCACGTCAAAGTACAAGTAGATAAATAGGTACCGCTCTGGCGGTAAGGTAAACGACGTTTCCGTGCACTGCTCTGGTTCGCCAGAAGCAGCTTAGTCATGCTGGCCACATGACCCGGAAGCTGTACGCTGGCTCCCTTGGCCAGTAAAGCGAGATGAGCACCGCAACCCCAAAGTCGGCCACGACTGAACCGTACGGTCAGGTGTCCCTTTACGCTTTACCTTTAGCAGCAGCAGCGGCAGCAGCAGCAAGGGTGGGACTCTGTCTGAGGTGGCTGCTTCAGTCTGCCTCATGGGTGGGCCACTCCTGAATTCACTGTTAATGCACAATTATTGTGTCTGTGAAGTGTTTCTTTGTTTGTCGTGTGTGTGTTTCTTTGTGGCTGATTAGCTGCTCTCCCTGTGCAAAGGTCAGAGGGGGCAGGGTTTCTGTTGAGGCAGGTGATTAGCTGTGGGAGGAACTTATCAGAGCTTGCAGGGCAGCGGCGCGCACAGTTTGATCCATCTTTTAGATTTAGGGGAGCTAGTCTCAAACGTTTGTTGGGGGAGACCTAGGTTTTTTTTGGGGGGAGTTATTTGTCCTGTCTTCACGCTTTTTATGATGGAGGACCGCTGTAGCCACCCCCAACGACACGTTCTCAAGATGGAGGGGGAGGGAACAGCTGCAGTCGCCTGCAGTTCCTGCGCAATATTTGCCATCTTGCCAAAGGTTGCAGGCAGCTTTACCTGCAGCAATTGCATGTTGATTGCCCTCTTAAAAGACAAAGTCCAGTAACTGGAGGACCGTGTAGCTACGCTCCAAAGAATTAGAGAGCTGGAGCTCTTATTGGAAGCAACAGAGCACACTATCTCCACCAAGGAGGAGACAGGGGACTCCCCTGAGAAGGAGGCTAGTTCACCAACACAGGAGCCAGATATATGGAGAAATGTGACTCAAAGAAGTAGGAGGCCCAGGGTTCGCTCTGATTGTTTAGAAATACACAATCACTTTGAGGTCCACTCCCCTAGCATGGAAGACGAAGAGCAGACTCCATTTGAGGATCTCTCCCTCATTACAGTCGATCAGGTATATGAAGACGAGCAGCAAAGTCAGTCCTCAGGGAATGTGCAGGCGACCTTGGAACGGACAGCTCACGGAAGAACCCCAACCAAACCTAAGAGGAGGCGTGTAGTGGTGATAGGGGATTCCCTACTGAGGGGAACAGAAGCAGTGATCTGTGGGCCTGACAAGATGTCTCGGGAAGTATGCTGCCTCCCCGGGGCTAAGATCCAAGATGTAACTGAACGACTGCAAGGAATCATAAAACCCACTGACAAATACCCCTTCCTCTTGGTTCATGTGGGAACCAATGACACTGCAAGCAATAGCCTCCAGAAGATCAAAAGAGACTACGAGGCTCTGGGCAGGAAATTGAAGCAATTAAATGCACAAATTGTCATCTCATCTGTCCTCCCAGTTGAACGACGTGGCCCAGGGAGAGGGGGAAAAATAGTGGAAGTGAACAGCTGGCTTTGCAAATGGTGTAAACAGGAACGGTTTGGATTCTTAGATCATGGACTGCAGTTTCTTGAAGATGGACTTCTGGCAAGTGATGGGCTGCACCTCACAACGGTTGGGAGGAATGTTTTTGCCAAAAATCTCAGAAACCTCATCAGGAGGGCTTTAAACTGACTAATGTGGGGAGGGAGACAGTGCTCCTGAAGGTAGGAGTCTATCAATTGATGAAGATGATCATCCAAATGTCATAGACCAAATGGAGCAAACAGCACGCAGACCTAGTGGTGGGAGGAAAAATCCTTAAATAAGAGACACGGGGAATGATTAATGGACTTCAATGTCTGTACACTAATGCGCAAAGCATGGGAAATAAACAAGATGAATTTGAGCTCTTGGTACAGCAAACTAAATATGACATAATAGGCATCACTGAAACCTGGTGGGATAAGTCCCACGATTGGAATGTAATAATGGAGGGATACAATCTATTTCAGAGAAACAGACCAGACAAGAAAGGAGGAGGAGTGGCGTTATATGTCAGGGATGTGTATACCTGTGAAGAGATCCAAGATTTAGAACCTCAAAGCCAAAGTGAGAGCATTTGGGTCAAAATTAAGGGAGAGAAGAATAACAGTGACCTCATTGTGGGAGCTTACTATAGATCCCCAAGCCAAACGGAGGACATAGATGATGCCTTCCTGGAACAGATGACCAAGCATGCAAAAGGAAGGGAGATAGTAGTAATGGGGGACTTCAATTACCCGGATATTTGTTGGATTTCAAACTCAGCCAAGAGCATAAGGTCAAACAGATTCCTCACTGGCCTTGCAGACAACTTCACTGTCCAGAAAGTGGGAGAAGCAACAAGAGGAACAGCCATTTTAGATCTGGTCCTAACCAATGTTGATGACCTGGTTAGTGGGGTAGAAGTGGAAGGATCATTAGGCGCGAGTGATCATGCTCTCTGAAGTTTACTATACAGCGGAAAGGAGCAGCCAAGCATACTAGGACTCAATTTCTTGACTTTAAGAAAGCCGACTTCATAAAACTTAGGGAAGTGCTGGGTGAGATCCCATGGACAGTAATACTAAAAGGAAAGGGAGTTCATGATGGTTGGGAGTTTGTTAAGAGGGAGATAGTAAAAGCACAACGTCAGGCAATACCAATGAGACGGAAACATGGAAGGTGCCTAAAGAAGCCAGGGTGGCTATCTAAAGAACTTTTAACTGAGTTAAGATTAAAAAAGGATGTGTACAAAAAAATGGAAAAGGGTGAAACCACCAAAGAGGAATTCAAACAAATAGCCAGCACGTGTAGACACAAAGTCAGAAAAGCTAAAGCACAGAATGAACTCAGGCTTGCTAGAGAGGTTAAAAGCAACAAAAAAGGCTTTTATGGGTATGTTTGTAGCAAAAGGAAGAACAAAGAAACAGTGGGGTCACTCAGAGGAGAAGATGGTGAAATGCAAACAGGGGACACAGAAAGGGCTGAACTCCTCAATGCCTTCTTTGCCTTAGTCTTCTCCGATAAAGAAAACAATGCCCGACCTGAAGAATTTGGAGCAAATGATTCAGCAAAGGAAACACAGCCCAGAATAAATAAGGAGATAGTACAAGAATACTTGGCTAGTTTAGATGTATTCAAGTCTCCAGGGCCAGATGAACTGCATCCAAGAGTATTAAAAGAACTGGCAGATGTGATCTCAGAACCACTGGCAGTCATCTTTGAGAATTCATGGAGAACAGGCGAAGTCCTGGCAGACTGGAGGAGGGCAAATGTTGTCCCTATTTTCAAAAAGGGGAAAAGAGAGGACCCAAATAATTACCGCCCAGTCAGTCTGACATCAATACCAGGGAAGATTCTGGAGCAGATCATTAAGCAAACAGTCTGTGAGCACCTAGAAAGGAATGCTGTGATCACCAATAGTCAGCATGGATTTCTGAAAATAAGTCATGTCAGACTGACCTGATCTCGTTTTTTGACAGAATTACAAGCCTGGTAGATGAAGGGAATGCAGTGGATGTAGCCTACCTTGATTTCAGCAAGGCATTTGACAAGGTGCCCCATGATATTCTTGTAAAGAAGCTGGTAAAATGCGGTCTTGACTATGCTACCACTCAGTGGATTTGTAACTGGCTGACTGACCGAACCCAAAGGGTGCTCATCAATGGTTCCTCTTCATCCTGGAGAAGAGTGACTAGTGGGGTGCCACAGGGTTCTGTCTTGGGCCCGGTCTTATTCAACATCTTTATCAACGACTTGGATGATGGACTCAAGGGCATCCTGATCAAATTTGCAGAGGACACCAAATTGGGAGGGGTGGCTAACACACCAGAGGACAGGATCACACTTCAAAACGACCTTGACAGATTAGAGAACTGGGCAAAAACAAACAAGATGAATTTTAACAGGGAGAAATGTAAAGTATTGCACTTGGGCAAAAAAATGAGAGGCACAAATACAAGATGGGTGACACCTGGCTTGAGTGCAGTACATGTGAAAAGGATCTAGGAGTCTTGGTTGACCACAAACTTGACATGAGCCAACAGTGTGACGCGGCAGCTAAAAAAGCCAATGCAATTCTGGGCTGCATCAATAGGAGTATAGCATCTAGATCAAGGGAAGTAATAGTGCCACTGTATTCTGCTCTGGTCAGACCTCACCTGGAGTACTGTGTCCAGTTCTGGGCACCACAGTTCAAGAAGGACACTGACAAACTGGAACGTGTCCAGAGAAGGGCAACCAAAATGGTCAAAGGCCTGGAAACGATGCCTTATGAGGAACAGCTAAGGGAGCTGGGCATGTTTAGCCTGGAGAAGAGGAGGTTAATGTTAGGATATTTCCGTTCCACCTTAAAAGGGAGCAGGCTGTGAGTCACAGAGTCTGCGTATTTCCTGTTCACAGGATGTTTATGTTTTCTGTTGCTTTCGTTTCTCTCTGTGTCGTAGACACTAAAGCAGGCAGTCATGTTTTTCTGTGTTCTGATCAACACTGAATAAACTTGTAAATAATGCTCTCCTGAGTGCAACTTTTGGCTGTGCCTTATCTGCTGATAGAGTGTGCATGAGCTCTGGAATGTGGCAAAATATTTTCTAGAAACTCATGTTGCTAATTGCTGATACTGCGTGCCTACGGGAGGTCGATGGATCGTCCGGCAGACGGCTTGGGGGCCTTGATGGACTTTATCTCCCTGGCAGTATCCCAACAACAGGTTTCGGGCCCAGATTCACGGCACTTACAGGAGAGTAAGACTGCGACAGACTGCGTTGAGGTATGTGGGAAAAGCGAAAGTGAGGCTTTTCTGTTTGCCGCGGCAAGGGCTTCAGATGTCCGGCTGGCCTAATTGGTCTGGGAGTCGAGCCAAACAGGCCTCATAATTTATGAGCTGCCGAGATAAGACGTTTCTGAAGTGAATAAGACTCACGGCTCAAGTAAAAGGCTGAGATGGATCTTTTACAATCCTCAGAAGCTGCTCCGTCTCCACCAAAGCTAAATGGCCACAACTATCAGACCTGGGCAAGGTACTGTGAGGGCCAGATGAGAAAGCTTGGAGTGTGGAATACCGTTTCTGAGGACCCCCCAGCCCCTGTGACAGATGAATGGACGGCACAGGACTCAAGAGCCATGGGGATAATTTTGCTCTCAGTAGCTCCTGAAGAGTTAATCACCCTGGCTGGCAAGGCCAGTGCCCGTGAGATGTGGGATGGGCTTAGAGCCTGCCATCTCCGACAAGAGGCTGGGTCTGTGTTGCTTTATTTCAGAAAGCTGCACAGGAAGTGTTTGGAGCCAGGGGAAGATCTTAGAGCCCACGTTTTATTTATTTATTGATTGATTCTAAGAGCCCTGCTGGATCAGGCCATAGGGCCCATCTACTCCAGCATCCTGCTCTTACAGTGGCCAATCAGCAGCCCTGCAGGACCTGATCACAAGGGCATCCTCCCATCTGTGATTCCCATCAATTAGTATTCAGTGGACGGAGAATGTAGCTATCACAGCTAGTGACCAGTGATAGCCTTATCCTCCATAAAATGATCGCAGAATTCACCCACCAACCCACCCCTAAAGACAACCTGCACACCAGTCTGCAGGGGGCCAGACATTTCCCGCTTCCCTCTCCCATCCTGCTAGAGCAACTTTCATCAACTGGTTTTGGACCACAGCTCTCAGCAAGCACAAATTTATGCAAAGCTTGCTTTTGGAAAACAAACAAACTTAAGTGCTTCATGATTGCCTTTTGTGAGTAAATTATTTACTGTTGTGATCCTGGGGAAATCTGAATAAGGAACTAATGGAACTGCTGAGCAGGGAGAGAGGGGGGTGAGCAGTGGGTGTGGTGGTGAACAGCCGCAAGAGAATAAACAGATTGAACTGCGCAGCAAACCCAGAGAACCAGAAGTGCTTTATGTGGCTCTTAACATTTAGCGTTCATTTACCCTCGCAGTGAGAAGCAGCAGCTTTTGCATAGCTGTCTATGCAGCATCCCCATAGGAAGGCACTATGAATTCCTGGCTTGGTGCAGGAAGCATGCCACTCCCAAAGCAATTCCCAAAGTTTGTGCAGAAGCTAAATGTGCCCATCCAGGCCTCTCTATCTGGTCCTTGAACCTAGGCCACACACTTTCCCAAGCCATGCCCATCACTGGCCCTGCTACATGGCCCAGGTGCTTTTGCCTGTATGGAATGTGTTCCTTGAACACTAATAAAGCTTTTGCTTATCTGGAGGGAGGGAGACGAGGGACATGTGAATGTGTATATCATGGGTAGGCAAACTAAAGCCCAGGAGCCGGATCTGGCCCAATCGCCTTCTAACTCCGGCCCGAATGGTCCGGAAATCAGTGTGTTTTTACATGAGTAGAATGTGTCCTTTTATTTAAAATACATCTCTGGGTTATTTGTGGGAATTCGTTCATTCCCCCCCCAATATAGTCCTGCCCCCCACAAGGTCTGAGGGACAGTGGACCAGCCCCCTGCTGAAAAAGTTTGCTGACCCCTGGTGTATATGAAAGCCTACAGGAGAAAGGTGTTCTTTATGTTCTTTCCTTTCCTCATTTTTGCCTCTGGTACAGTCCTGGAAACCAAGCCTCATGAACGGTTGAGGGAGCTGGGTATGTTTAACTTGGAAAAGAGGAGACTGAGAGGAAATGATGATATCCATCTTCCCATATCTCAAGGGCTGTTGCACAGAGGATAGAGCAAGCTTGTTTTCTCCTGCTCTGGAGGGTAGGACTCAAACCAGGGGATTCCAGTTACAAGAAAGGAGATTCCAACTAAACATCAGGAAGAACTTTCTGATGATAAGGGCTGTTTTGACAGTGGAACAGACTTCCACAAGAGGTGGTAGACTCTCCTTCCTTGGAGGTTTTGAAGCAGAGGTTTGATCTGCATGAGATTCCATCATTGCAGGGGGTTGGACTAGTTGGATCAGCTCTACAGTTCTATGATTCTATGTGGCACTTGGAAACTCTTTGTGCAGAAGGGAATGAGGCCATACAGGCTGAAAAAGATTCCCTGCTGCTGGTGCAGTACAGCAATGCAACATTCATATTCATAGATCAACAATACAAGGAAGAAACAGATTTCTCCTGAGACTGCAGGAGGCAGGAGTGGGGTAGGGGGCTCACCTTGTCGTTTTTCATGTCGCCGTCCTGGCCTTAGGTTGGAGCCTCGATCAGCGTAACTTGGATGCCTGCAATAAAGTCAAAAGGACAGGGTGACATTTGTGGTTTCTGGATGAAAAAGAAGGGGCTTTTACTAGCATGCAAGGTGTTCCACCACCCTGGGGTAGGGGTCACTTCAATGCGAAGGAGAGTGGGACATGGTCTACTTTGCGCCTGGGCTAAGCACTGGAAAGTTGCAATGTACTAATAAGGAAGCTGGGGTGCGGGTGGCGCTGTGGTCTAAACCTGCCTATAACATTAGCCAGGATTCCACACAGGTGGGGTTGGTAGGGGGGGTCTTTCCCCCAGGTACATCAAATAGTGGAACCTCATCCTCAGGAGCCAAATGTGGCCCTCCATGGGTCTCCACCTGGCCCTTGGGGCTCTCCCAGGCCCAGACTCCTCCTCAGTTGGGTCTCTTGTCCCCATACTTCATCTCTCACCAGCCCTGTTTTGCACTGTGCCTGGGTGTTTCTGGCAGGCTGAAATGTAAAAGCTTAAAGACTATTTGAAAAAAATATTTTAATATTTAAATCTTAGAATAGCTTTGGAAGTGGATACAGGCTGTAGGGTTAGAAGCAGAAGACAGTGTATTTTAAAATAGTATTATTTGTAAGTGATAAAATGTGAAGATTTTTATGGTAAAATTAAGTGTTATAAAAAAATGGTTAAAAATTATGATATATGGAACTGCTAAAGATGAGGTAAAATGAAAATCAGATAAGGGGGACTTGGGGAAGCTCACCTAACAATGCTTAGAAAAAATAAGGATAAGACAAGAATTTGTTTGTATTGTTTGTATTTCTGTTTGTATTGTTTATTTGTGTCATAAAATGAATAAAAAAAATGTGGGGGGGGATGAAATGTGTCTCTTGCAAACCTGGAGGAGGGCTGAGAGAGGTATGCAAGTGTGTGCAGAAGCTAACTAGCTGCACCAAGGTAGAACGGTTGTGTTCCAATTCATTTTCATATTTTTTTTAAGTACTTAAGATTACCCCAACCCCCTAGATAAACTTTCTCTCTTTCTTACTTCCCAAGAACAATGTGGCAGCTGGCATCTCTTCTTAACTGTCACGTGTCCTGGATATTTAAATGCTTTTTTTAAAGCCCTAGTTTTCCCCTGCACTGCACTCAGAGTGATCAGGAAAATGCTCTAATTGACGAGAGGGAGGACCGGGGAGGGGGAGGGGGGAGAGGCAGAAAACCAGCAGGGTCTATAAACAACAGGCAGGAAAAGCAGCAGTGAATGGAAAATCTAGGCCTGACCTTAACGCACTGGACTGGGTTCTCCAAACAGGCCCAAGGACAGGATTGCTACGCATGATTAACTTGGGTAAACTGATTTCCTCGTGGGTTAGGTGTCAGGAAAGAGGCCAGGAGAATCAGGCACGTCCGGAATGGAACATGTGCCATTTTAAGCACAATAAAAGGCTTGTTTTCAGTGTTCTTTAGCAATCTGGTTAGATGAATTTTAACAATGTGTGGGTGTTAAAATGAAATCCCAGCATCCTGTGCTTGGGATGGAACATTCTGGGCTGCACAGCAGTGCTTTAACGCCAACGTTTTACATAGAGACCGTCATCCATTGCTCTCTTAAGTGGGAATAAACCCCAGTGATCTCGGTGGGGCTCTGTAAAACATGCCTGTAAGTGATTCGTAGAGCAGAGCTTCCAAGTGGAGCAGAGCTCCCTTCTCTCAAATGTCCTACTGGGGAGTTTCTCCACCTCTTCCTGACCTACCCATCCCTCTACCATCAACCAGAAAGAGGCTTGAATGAGCAAGGATGATTAGGTTTATGCCTGGGCTGCTTTGAAAATAAAATAAAACCTTAAGTATCCATACTTGCCTTTTGTGAGTTAATTATTTAGTGAATGGATCCTAGGGAAATCTGACTCAGGAACTCATGGAATGGGGGGGGGGAGTAGGAGTAGGAGTAGGAGAAGTATATTATTAAGTTGAGTGGGAGTGCAACTGAAAAGCCACAAGAGCCCAGGACATGTGTCAAACCAGAGAACGCTTTGAACATGTGCTTAAGCGTCCCGCAATGAGCAGTGGCAACTTTTGCCTAGTTAGGTAGCACACCCATGTGGGGGCACAGTAGCCAAAACAGCATCCATGAGGGGGGGGGTGTCAGCAGACTTACATATACCGCTTAATAATTTGGAAAATCAATAAAAATAATTGGCATATATATATACACTGCTTAATCACTAGCATTTCTAAGCTGTGTACATAAAAATAAACAATACAGAGAATAATACAAAGGGGAGGGCTTATTGGTTTGCTTTGTTTTTATTATGTATTTTGTATTTTTATCTTGTATTTTCATGTTGTGAACAATTTAAATAAATGAATTCTTAAAGCCTAGAAAATATAACAGTTAAAAACTCATCATAAAACTGAACATAAACGCGAAACTACCTTAAAATGCTTGCTGGAATAAGGAAGCCAAGCACCTGAAGTTCAGTAAAAGGGTGGGTGGGTGCCTGTGTAATCTCAGTTGGGAGGGAGTTTCACAGGTTTGCTTTCACAGCACTGAATGCATGTGTTTCAGTACTTAAAAGCTGTGCATCTGAACCAGAGATTTTTCCGAAAGTCTCAGTGATCAGGCAGGGATACAAGAGGTAGCCCTGAGACTTACTAAAGTAAAGTAAAAAGTAAAATGGAGGGAGGGAACACTCAAAACAACCAAATGAGCACTGAGCATACCCAGTCGCCTCAGAATATTGAAAGCTGAGGAGGGATGGGAAATTGGTGAAGCAGCAGCTAACATGGTGTGCTGTAGGTGTTGTACTCCAGCTCCTATCAGCCCCAACCAATGTAGCCAATGGTAGGTAAAGGAAAAAGGTTAAGTCCTCTGGACGGTTAAGTCCAGCCTAATTCAACTCTGGGATTGGGGTGCTCAACTTGCTTCAAGCCAAGGGAGCTGGCGTCTGTCCACAGACAGCTTTCTGGGTCATGTGGCCAGCAGGACTAATCTGCTTCTGGCACAACAAACACTGTGATGGAAACCAGAGCGCACGGAAACGGCATTTACCTTCCCGCCGCAGCGGTGTCTACTTGTACTGGTGTGCTTCCGAACTGCTGGCTGGCAGGAGCTGGGACAGAGCAGCAGCTCACCCCATGAGCAAACCTTCTGATTGGCAAGCCCAAAAGGCTGTGGTTTAGACTACAGCACTCAGTGGTTTAGACCACAGTGGGGAGGGGGATTACATTTTGTGGCTTGCCTCAGGTGCCAAAATGTCTTTGGCAGGCCCTGATCATAGGCAACCAAATAGATTGTTGATTACCTGAAGAGGCCAGAGACCATCTTGGCCGGGAGCCCCGGAAGACCTGCTCCCCACCCCCACCCCCCGCTTGCTGGCCTTTCCCATCTGGGAGGGTGGGACCCTGACTGACTCCAGCTGCAAAAGCTGAGGCTGATGAGCAGACACTTAGAATGGGGGTATTGTTTTGGGGGGGTTATTGCTGCTGTTGATATTAATTTTTTCTATCTCTGTTTTAAGATCTAATTATTTATGTGGAAATCAATCAGTTTGGTTGTGTATTTTTGAAGTGTTTTATTTATTGTTTGTGACTACTTTTGGTTTTGTTTGGAATTCTGTAATTTGTTATGTCATAAGCTTCCTTGAGCATGGTTTGAACTCTGAAAAGGTGGTATACATATAAACTGATGTCTGTAGTATGTATGTGCAAGGCCAATGGCAGCCAGAGCCAAATCATTCTTTATCTCCATGTTCCTTCTCCCTGCTGAGTTCTAGAAGGGGCAGCACTGAGACTAAGAAGGAGGAAGATGGCAGGCAGGGCGAACCCCTGGACTGGATTTAAGTAAGGTAGGGGGGCAGGGGGGCAGGCTGAGGTTGGTGGTGCTGTGCCCCATTAGCCCTAATGGACTAGCTTCCACTGGTATTTGATAGAACACGGGAGAATTTGGGGCGGGTGGCAGAGAGATTTACTCTACATCTTTGCCCCACCCCAGTATTGATTGCGCCATTGTCCATTTTAGCAGACATTAAATACATTGTCCATTTTAGCAGACATTAAATACATTAAATACATTGCATGCCGCCTTCAGAACTTCAGCTGGGTACAAATGTACAAGCAGATAAATAAGTGCTGACTGGGCATTTGGGCCTGTGCCTGGCTTTAAGCTCTAACAGAACCTATAAAAAAATCCAGGTCAGTGTCTCCCTCCTTACCAAGGCAGGATGTCTCACATGAATAAAGTCGGGAGCGTGGTTGGGGGGGTCTTCTCCTTCGTGGGGAGCCATGAGGTGCTGCCAGCCCCAGTTGCCAGACCATCCTTCCATGACGCAGCCCGTGCGCTTGATCTTTTTATTCAAGCATCGCAACAAGACGGTAGGCAGACAGGCCAGCAGCCCTGCTCTCAGAGGCCTGCAAAAGCAAAGGGTGTTTAAAAATAAAATAAAATAAAGCAGATGGGCTGGCTTTTCAAACATGTTTGCTGGTGAGGAATGAAATCGAAAGCAGCCTCAGACCCTCATGGGGCAATCTGCTGGTTGGAGTCGAAGGCTTTCTCTCTAACTAAACTTGAGCAAAGCACATGATGCCAGGTGGCGGAAGGCCAAATTTGGAATCATTCCCTGCCACAAGGCAACAGTTTTTTCCCCAAACAGCTGTTTTCATTAGGGCAGGCTCCACAAACCTTGGTTGGCAAAGGCTGCATTAGGGATAAAATAAAATAAAGCTGAGTTATGTCAGATCCCACAGCACAAACGCACAAAATGCAAAAGTGACTCAAAGTGAGGATCCAGTGCCGGCTCAGCACATCTTGACCAACCACATAGGAGGGCCATCTTCACACCAGGCATTTAATGCGCAGTTTCCCCCCACTCCCCACGAATCCTTAGGACTGTGGTTTGCTGCTGTGAGAGCTACAATTCCCAGCACCCTTAACAAACCACAGTTTTCATTATTATTTGGGGAGTGGGGGAATGTGCTTTACATGTATGGCGTATATGTAGTTAATGCAACATCTGCCAACCAGAGAGAGATTTTGGATTGTGCAGTACAATCACAATCTCACATCTTGTTCCCTGTACTGTATATTTTATAACTTGCACTGCCTTGCAAAATTTTATGTGAAAGTGCAGTGCACAATGATGTAAATAAGTAAAAAATATATTTTTAGGAATGGCCGGGGGTGTGTGAGGAAGGATGTTAATCAAAGAAAGCTGAGCAGTTATGCTTCACTGACCCAAGTAAATCCTTCCATCCCATACTGGAGACAAGAAACTTTACAAGTAAGACATCCCCCCCCGCCCCCTAAAAAGACACTCCACTCTGCCTTCTGTGCCCCTTTACTTGTATGCCAGGAAGGGCCGCAGCTCAGTGGAAGAGCACCTGCTTGGCATGCAGATGGTCCCAGATTCAATCTGAAGGATCTCCAGGCAGGGTTCAGTGAGACCCCCGTCCAAATTCCTGGAGAGCCACTACTAGTTGTACTGTAAACAATGCTGAGTGCACTGACTCAGTTTTTACAGCTTCCTCTTTTCATTTACCCCTTCCTTCTGCATTGCTCTCTCTCTCTCTCTCTCTCTCTCTCTCTCTCTGGAGTCTTCTTAGCTAGAAATATCACCACTCTGTTATATGAATGCACTTCTCTCATACACACACACACACATATGAGAGAAGTGCAATTCATATAACATATATATATATATACACACACACACACACACAGTATATATATAATATATATATATATATATATATATATATATATATATATATATATATATATATATGATACACACAACCACCCTGCCCCCTGCCCCCCAAAACCCACCATACTTCTCTTTAAACATACCCTTATCCTTTGGAGATTTGTCAAATACGTCGTTAGCATGCACATACATAAAAAGCTTAGCCAAGTGTAACGGATGGTACGGACACCTGGGTCCATTTGGAGGAGCCCCAAGACCTTTACCCAAACAAATATTTAACAATGCGTTTCCATGGGAGGCCTGTTTGTTGTCAAACTCAGCAGCCTGCTGTCAGGCAACCAAACCTACGAAGCAGATCTAGGGGCAACCAGAGAGAAACCAGAACTGTATCTTAAGGTTTCTAGATACTGGCAGCTTCTCCACCTCCCCGCCCCCCCCCCCCCGCCTCTACCCCACAAAACAAAAATCCCCCAAAAAGCCATGCATGCCACCTTCTTGATCTTCCGGTGCGCCCTCGATCCTATTCTACATTTCACCAGGAAAGGATCTCTCCTCTGGGCTGGTACCAGCTTCACTTGCACACATCCCACCACCAGAAACTGCTGCTAAACCTCTGGGATCCAGACGAAAAGATGACTCTCTTGGATTTTGCAAGCCTCTGGGTCCTAGCACGTCTCGCTTTCTCCCGTCTGCATTCATGCTCCAAGCAGCAAATCAGAGGCACCCTTTCCCTCCTCCTCCTCCTCTCCTCTCCTCTCCTGATCCGATTTCAACTCGCCTCTCGCTGTGCGCGCGCGCAGTTAGTGAGGTGTTTGGGAAGAGAGATCTGACACCAAGAAGGGGCCCGAGGAGCAAATCCAAGCGATCTATTTTTATTTTTTTGTGAGATTTACACTATTGCCTTTCGATCAAATAGTTCCCCAAAGTGATCATATAAGCAACAGGTTGCAATGATACAAAAAACGTGAAACTCTCTGTATCTCTCTTTCCACCAGCAATCATTAGTCCTGATGGATAGGGCCAGAGGGATACCCACAAACCGGTTTTGTTTTGGGCAGGTGTATTCTGTACTCACGAAATTAAAAGACGCCTGCTTCTTGGGGGGAAAGCAATGACAAACCTAGACAGCATCTTAAAAAGCAGAGACATCACCTTGCCGACAAAGGTCCGTATAGTTAAAGCTATGGTTTTCCCAGCAGTGATGTATATGGAGGTGAGAGCTGGACCATAAAGAAGGCTGATCACCGAAGAATTGATGCTTTTGAATTCTGGTGCTGGAGGAGACTCTTGAGAGTCCCATGGACTGCAAGAAGATCAAACCTCTCCATTCTGAAGGAAATCAGCCCTGAGTGCTCACTGGAAGGACAGATCCTGAAGCTGAGGCTCCAATACTTTGGCCGCCTCATGAGAAGAGAAGACTCCCTGGAAAAGACCCTGATGTTGGGAAAGATGGAGGGCACAAGGAGAAGGGGACGACAGAGGACGAGATGGTTGGATAGTGTTCTCGAAGCTACCAGCATGAGTTTGACCAAACTGCGGGAGGCAGTGGAAGACAGGAGTGCCTGGCATGCTCTGGTCCAGGGGGTCACGAAGAGTTGGTCATGACTAAACAACAACATTCTATACTAACTCAGACCATTGGTCTATCTATACAGCAGGCAGGCAGCACTCCGGGGCTTCAGTCAAAAGTCTCTCCCAGCCCTACCTGGGAGATGCTGGGGGGGGGGTAGAACCTGAGACCTTCTGCATGCAAAGCAGGTGCTCTGCTACTGAAATATGGCCCTTCCCCTCGGTTGCTGCCATAATTGTGCATTGGAGTGGATTTATACCAGGCCGTCTGCATGCCATTCTGCTTTATTAGTAGAGCAGGCAGAATATAAATGCAGGTAGGTAGCTTACCAAAGTCTAAATGCTATTTACTTGCATTGTTTCTTAATGAGCTACTGGGAAGAAATATGTCTGTACAGTTGCTCTTATTTCACCACAAGTAAAAGAGACGAGAGACTTGCTTTTTAAAATGATGGCCAAAATTTCTAGGGGAAGGGGGTCCTTGAATATCCCTGACGGGGGTTGGGTAGAGGCTTCAGGCCACTCTGAAGCTACATCTCTGAAAGGGAAGATAGCGGATTCCAGTTCACATTTTAAGTGTTTAAAGAGCATCCCCACACAGGTGAAACAGGGAGAGTGATGCAAACGCAATAAGGCACCAAAAGCCAGTGGCGTAGCGTGGGGGGTGCAGGGGGGGCCGGCCGCACCGGGCGCAACATCGGGGGGGGGGCGCTCACACTCGCAGCTCTCTGCCCCTACTAAAATCCACGAGTTAGGGGGCACAAATTACTTGCCTTGCCCCGGGTGCTGACAACCCACGCTACGCCACTGCCAAAAGCACATTAACAGTTTGGAACAAATGCAACAAGGGCCTGTTTTTTAAAAAATTGATTTCCTCCTTGGTGCATGGTAAAATATTTATTTATATATTCACAGTCTGCCTTCTTGCAGAGTTTCAAGACAGTTAACAATCAGATACAAAAAGAAGTATAAGAAGAAAAACAGGAACAGAATCAATGACACAAACCAGAAGTCAATTTTTAAAAAATAAAAAATGGGGAGGGGGGGGCAAATATACTAAAAGACAGATCAGATTAGAGCCAGAGTGGTGTAGTAGTTGGAGTGTCAGGTTAGGACCTGGGAGACCCGAGTTCAAATCCTGACTCAGCCATGAATCTCACTGGGTGACCTCAGACCGATGACTGTATCTCAGCCTGGCCTACCATACAGGGTTGTTATAAGGGAGAAAATGGAGAAGGGTACACCATCATGTACACCATCTTTGGAGGAAAGGTAGGATTGTGAATGGGATAACAATTAAAATTAAACTTAAAAGTCCAAAAGATTAGGGCAGGCTTTGCAAGACATAATTAAGAGGCAATAACAAAAGGCACCAGCTGCACAAGTTTATGCTGGGAATTCCATTATTTAGCTGCTTCCACTGAAGGCCTTGTCCCCAGAAGGCAGGTTTGCTGAGGAAATCTTAGTCAAATTCCTGGAGGGCAAGGCTGTCAGTAACCACTAGCCATGACGGCTATGCTCTGCCTGTAGCTGGAGGCTGCCTGCTTCCAAGTATCACACGTGGGGAGAGTTCCTGTTGCACTTGGGTTCTGCTTTTTGAATTGTTTGTTTGTGTTTCTTAAATAAAGTTATGTAATTACAATTTGCAGCCCAAACCAACTATGCATCAAACACCCTATGCTTCTCACACTAGAAAAAAAAAATGAAATAAAAAGGAGGAAAGGCAAGAATAGAAAATGGAATGGAGGGAGGGGGAGGCGGAAGGGACAATGTAACAAAAACTCTACAGTACCACGAATAAATCAAAAGTGAAGAATATTGTTGTTTACGTTGTTGTTCCAGAAATGCAAAAACAAGGCCGGCTTCTCAATAAATTTATTTTCATTCTTATTATGCATTGCGTTCCTCTCACATGCAAGTTTTATGACAGAGGACGCCACATTTTCCTTCACCCAGTCCTATTTTTGTGCAGTGTGCAACACACACAGGCCTGAGACACACGGTTCAGGAATTATTCTTTGCAAAAAGGAATGTGAGGTTGCAAGGTTGGATAATCAGACTACAGTCTGAGGACTTCCTTTGCAAGTGTTTAAGGAAAAAGAACCAGATTTAAAAAAAAAAAAGAAGGTTCCAAGTTTAATTATCTAAAAATATTTACACAGCAAGGTGTTACGTCCCCAACAGCTCTTGCCATCAGAAAACTCTTCCTGTTTAGCTGAAATCTCCTTTGTTGTAATTTGAAGCCACTAGTTCAGATCCTACCCTCTGGTGCAGCAGCAAGTCTCCGCTGAATTGTAATTCTTCTAACTGTAATCTATTTCCCAATTGGTCTTCTCAGTTCCACTTGGGTCTTCTCTACCACTGGCTTCTCTGCCCCATATTGTCTTTTCTAAATTGGAATTGAGAGGGAACTGTTTTCATAGTTGCATCAAGGGCCGGCCCACCCGTAAGGCAAGGTGAGGCAACTGCCTTGGGCAGCAGAATCCACAGAGACAGCAGATTCTGATGTAGATTTTCACTCACCCCTTCTTCCCTGGTGGGGTGGGAGACACCATTTTGTGGTTCACCTCAGGTGCCCAAATGTCTTGGACTGGCCCTGGTTGCATCTCCCAGCAAAAATAAAAGTTCTTTCCTATAGAATCCATAATGGCAATTGGCTCATGAAAACAGCATTCTTCTTTGCCAAGATCCTGGTTTGAATTACCTCAATACAGTGGTACTTCGGTTTAAGAACTTAATTTGTTCTAGGGGTCCGTTCTTAACCTGAAACTGTTTTTAACCTGAGGTACCACTTCGGCTAATGGGGCCTCCCGCTGCTGCCGTGCAATTTCTGTTCTCATCCTGAAGCAAAATTCTTAACCCGAGGTACTATTTCTGGATTAGCGGAGTCTGTAACTTGAAGCGTCTGTAACCCGAGGTACCACTGTATTGTTCTCTCATGCATTCACGGGAACTTTTATAAAGCAGCAAGGAGTCCAGATTGCTGACACTTCAGATATTGCCAGCTTGCTCATCTGCTAGATGAAATGTGCTTCTTTGCCCTCCTGTAAGCAAAATCCATTCTCTCTCTCTCTCTCTCTCTCTCTCTCACACACACACACACACACACACACACACACACAAATGCAACTGTTCAGTTCAGGTTGCTCCGCAGTCACTAAGGCTTGAGTTATTTCTCATCAAAGCTGATACATCCTGCCCTGCAAAGCTCGCAACTCAATATTTCAATCCAACTGGGTTAAAACACAGCTTACTTAACTTTGAAAGGGATAGAATAAATAGGTCTGATACACTTTTTAAAATATATATACAGGTATATGTAAATATACATTGAGCATAAATGTCTCTGATAACATTAAGGTACTCGGTAGCCAATTACACAAGTGCTTCTGTTTATTAGGGTTGCCAACTTACTAAAATCATGCTTAAAGGCACAAGATGCATTTTAATCATGGCCAGGACTTGCATCACAAAGCAGCAAACTGGTCCTTAAGAGGTGTGCGTGACCCTTTCTAGAATGCTTCCCTGGCCTGAAACTGTGTTTATTTGAAACTCCTTGAAAGCAGCTTTGGGTGATATTTGTTAAAGCAGGATATAGTGTACAGTCGGGACACGCACTAGACATTAGGGCAAATCCTCAACAGTAGTTGCTGGTGGCCGGGTGCGTCAGACGGTTGTTCCCCATGGTTACCATGCTCTCGAAGTACAGTCGTCATAGCAACTCTGTCTCACAGATTTAGGTTTCTCAACATTTCCGGAGAAGGAGGCTCTTTGCATGGGGGCAAGGAAAGCCCCCTCCATTTTGAACGCTGCTCAGCTAACATTTAATGCACCTTTGCTTTTTATGCCAACAAGCGTTTCGTTTTTATATGCTGGTGTGGTGGTCCTAGCTTTAATTTTCTTTGTGTGGGGTGGGTGGGTATTTTAAACCCTTTAGTCATCTGGATGATTTGAGGGGGTGCTTATCAAATGTGCAGATGACACCAAACTGGTAGGCGTAGCTAATGCCACAGAATACAGAATCAGAATTCAAAATGACCTTAACAGATTGGAGAACTGGGTGCAAGCTAGCAAAATGAATTTCAGTAGGGACAAATGTAAGGTTCTGCACTTAGTCAGGAAGAACCAAATGCACCAATATAGGACGGGGGGGACACCTGGCTTACCAGCAGGACATGTGAAAAGGATCTGGGGTCTTGGTGGAGCACAAGCTTAACATGAGTCAACAGTATGATGCAGGGTCATCTGGTCCAACCTCTGCAATGCAGGAATCTCAGCTAAAGCATCCATGACAGATGACCATCCAACCTCTGCTTCCAAACCTTAAAGGAAGGAGAGTCCACAACCTCTTGAGGGAGACTGCTCCACTGTTGAACAGCTCTTACTGTCAGAAAGCTATTCCTGATGTTTAGTCAGAATCTCCTTCCTTGTAACTTGAAGCCATTGAATCGAGGCCTACCCTCCAAAGCAGGAGAATACAAGCTTGCTCCATTTTCAATGTGACAACCCTTGCAGATATTTGAAGTTGGCTATCATATCTCAGTCTCCTCTTTTCCAGGCTAAACATACCCAGCTCCTTCAAGCGCTCCTCATAAGGCTTGGTTTCCAGACCTTTGATCATCTTGGTTGCCCTCCTCTGCACACGTTCCAGTTTGTCAATATCTTTCTTAAACTGTGGTGCCCATAATTGGACACGTATTCCAGGTGTGATCTGACCAAGGCAGAATAGAGTGGGACTATTATACTTCCCTTGATCTGGATGCTACACTTCTGTTGATGCAGCCTAGAATAGCATTCGGGGTTTTTTTGCTGCTGCATCACACTGTGGATTCGTGGTCTGCTCAGACCCCTAGATCTTTTTCGCACCATCCTGCATTTTCAATGGATCTTCCTATCACTTTCCAAACTGCAAAAAGCCCTGAGGCTTTTAAAAAGTTGATTTGTTGCACTAGGGCAGCAGAGCTCCTTAATATTCACTTTAAGTGTGCAAACCTCAATAAGGAATATGGGGAGCTGTCTCATACTGAGTCAGACCACTAGTTCATCTAACTCAGTATTGCACACTGATTGGCAGGAGCTCTCCAGGGTTTCAGGCAGGGAATATTCCAGCACAACCAGGAGATGCTTGGGATTGAATCTGGGACCTTCTGAATGCAAAGCAGATGACTTACCACTGAGCTATGGGCCTCTCCCTAAGTTCCAGTATGCGTTTGGATCCCTCCCACAAAATGCTGGCTGTCTGGAGCCACCCTGGCTCAGGTCAATTGAGGAGCCTAGTCCCCAGTAAATCCAAGCTTTCAGTGAGTTATTTGTTCTTCCCCTCTCCTCTCAGAACAAAGAGGGCATTGTTCCTGTCATACTGTCATGGGGATGGGGGGGGGGGGAAGGCAGACACCATGGAGACTCAACATTCTTTTTGTCAGAACTACATGTGGGATTTTGGCTCAAGGGGCACTATGGCCAGATGGGCGTCCATAGATTTGTTCATGCTTTGGCGACTTAAACCAAGGATATGAACTTGGTAAGGAAAATGGACAATGTGACAAGAACACCAGGACACACCAATAATGGTTAATGTTCATCTAGTTTATTGTTGCCACAGAAGATAATTTTAAAAGTACTTTTCAAAACTGAGAGAAGATCATTATGCATGGGGGAGGGCAGAAGAGAGCTGAACTCCGATAGTTTCTGCTTCGCAGCTTTTCTCTGCCACTGCCCTCAGAGGATGAGCCTGCAAAGCAGGAACAGAGAGCCTGTGGTTCTCAGGATCTTGGGATCACGCAACACTGCCATTTAACGTGAATAGCAAGCTTCCTGTACCTCCATTTATTTCCCGTTATCTATATGACATCCTCTAAATCACTGCCTTTCTGCACTTCCTCAATCTGGATTTTCTCATACCTTCTCCTTTTTAGAGCATCCCTGGCATGAGAAAACTCATAAAGACGAAGGGGAAAGTGTGGGAAGGCAGTGATTTGAAGGATGTCATGTGAACAGTGGAGGAAGATTGGAGGTAAGGAAGCTTACTACCAACGTCAAACAACAATATGGATGAGCCTATTATCAGACTATGACTTGGCCCTAGTGGGAACTGTAGTCCACAACATCAGGATAGACGCGCTCCCCACCTGCTGCATCCAAAGACACATTTCTCCACCTCTTGCATGCAATTGGGAATGCCTCTTCTTAAGAGCTGGTATGGGGAAACCATGACTCTTCCATGGTTCCCAGAGTATTGGTCATGCTGGCTGGGGCTGATGGGAGTTGGAATCCAATAAGATCTGGAAAGAATCAGGTTTTCCACACCTGCTTCTCTTTGTGTATGAGTCTCCCACCAGCTCTTTTCATAACTCCCTCCATTTGGCAGAGCAAATTGTTGGAGAGTGGGAATGCTAGGACAGAGCAGGACCTTTTCAGCTGTGGCCCCAGTAATACAGCTATTCTTCTCTAAAGAAACCGGCCTCAATTGCAAACACCCTGTTTCCCATCATGATTAGCCTTTGCCTTCATGAATTCCTTCAGCCCTCTTTTAAAGCTATCCAAGATAGTCACCATCAAATCTTGTGGGAGTGAATTCCATAGTTCAACTCTGTACTGTGTGAAAAAGTACTTTCTTTGTCTGCAGCTTCAGTAGATTGCCATGAGAGGAGAAATACTTTTAGCCACTTGCTTCACTCCATGCGTAATTTTATGTGCCTCTATCATGTTCCCTGCCTCCTCAGTTTATTGACCTTCCTTTCTGAAATAAAAAGCCCCAATCATGGCAACCTTTCCTCAAAGGGGGGTGGCTCCAGCCCCTCAATTGTTTTAGTTCCGCTTTTCTGGAAGTTTCCCCATTTTACAATATCGTTTTCAGGTGTGGTGACCAGAACTGATCACCATATTCTGAGAGTTAGTGCCATAAAGACATTGTGATAATGGCTGTCTTATTTTCTAGTCTTCTCAGAAAGAAGAGCTGTAATATTTTCATTGGGGGGGGGGAGGAATAGGATTGAAATAATTTGCAGTTCAGGATTTTTGTTTCTGACACCAACATTATTTTTATCCTTAATGTACTGCTTGGCAGCGGTGAGATACTTGGCTGTGAGAAATGCATTTAACAAAATAAACAATAATCTTACCAAATGTTAAAAGGCTGATCTATTCCCCATTCTAGTTCCTCATTTACCATGGCATGATGGGTGTGCTGAATTTTTCAACTTTCAAATTCCCAAAAATGAGGGATGCTAAAAATTTGTTACATGACTTGGCAATTCAAAAGATATTTTGGTTAAATTAATATAATTTAGTTTTGCTTCGTAAAAAAAATGTGTGTAAAATTGCATAAGAATAGTTAAAAATGATTGTCAAGTACTTTAATTGCATGTTAAATATTAATATCATTATGTATTTATTCATATTACTGTTGTTTAGCATTATCTGACACCTTCAGAAGATAAAATTAAAATTATTAGGTTTTCTGAAAACAGTTTATGTGCTTCATCAAACGTACACTTACCCAGCCAAATGTTGTCAAGTAACAAAAATAATAGCAGATTTGAAGTCCTCACACCCAAAAAATATCTTTAAGACCCCCTCACCGAAGACAGAATGACACGCCCTACTATAACAACCTATTATTATTATTATTATTATTATTATTATTATTAACCCCATCCTTCCTCCTGAAGGAGCCCAGGGCGATAGCTTGGTCGAGGCCCTCTTTGGGGCTCCAATTGTCATTATCATAATTGCACATGGCACTTTTACAAAGCCAGAGAGGCTTGTAACTTAAATGGTTATGCAGAAACACATAGGGGTTTGGCTGGACATCAGGAAACAAGAGGGTCGGGATTTACAGCTGCTCAGAAAGCGTACAGAAATTGAACAGTAAGCACCCCAGGTAAGTGGTGTGACCCTGCAACCTCGGCTGTCACTCTCCTCTTTCTCCTCATCTCAGTGTTGCCTTTTTAGAACTCAGCAGGGGGTGCGGGGGGCAAAGCTAGAATGAATTGCCTCTGCCTGCCATTGGATCTGGCCCCATCTGGTCTCCCAGCCCTACCACTCCCATCAGGAACCAGCTCCCACTGAGGAGGACTTCCTCCAAGCTGTGTTCCAGATAAAAAAAACCAGCGCTGGTCCACAGTTCCGACCTCCTCCCTCCATGCCCAATGGCTGAACACCACTACCAGCAAAACGTTTAAACCCACCAGTTTCCTGATCTCCACCTGTAACTGTGCCGCTGATCCCTTCGTTGTTACAAAAAAAATGGTCAGATTCGTTGAAAGCCTGAATCTTGAAGAATGCCCTCCTCCACACACTGTAAGGAGGAGGAGTTTGGATTTGATATCCCGCTTTATCACTACCCGAAGGAGTCTCAAAGCAGCTAACATTCTCCTGTCCCTTCCTCCCCCACAACAAACACCCTGTGAGGGGAGTGGGGCTGAGAGACTTCAGAGAAGTGTGACTGGCCCAAGGTCACCCAGCAGATGCATGTGGAGGAGCGGGGAAGCGAACCACGTTCACCAGATTACGAGTCCACCGCTCTGAACCACTACACCACACTGGCTCACACTGGTAAGCCTTTCTCCAAGGGAAAAGGACCGCTTGGAGGGCAGGGTGTGTATTTTTAATTGGGACTGCAGTAGGTGGGGGTCAGGAGAAGGGTTGACTCCCTTTCTCACAATTCCAGCTGCACCTGCTATTTCTTCAGGAACAGGAGTGGGCAACTTTTCCCTCTCCCTGCTGGGGGCCCCGTCTGCCAGTGAATGGGGGGCAGCATCCATGGTGTGGCCCCCACTCTCTGCTTCCATACTAAGGCTTTCTCTTTCTTGCTGCCACCCACTTCCCCCCTCCTCGTCACCTGCGTAAAATAAAGCTGAGGGCCACATGAGTTTAGTCTGGGGGCCATCTGCGGTTGACAAGGTACACATCCCACCCCCAAGATGCGTGAAGCACAGTAGTGTATTTCTCAAGTAGCTGCCTCTCATGCTCAGAAAGGCCATGCACTGTCAGCCCTTTCCATGCTCAGGTTTCTAAAATGTTTGATAATCTCTCGGAAACAGCTGAAGGGAAACAGAAGCACGGAAGGCGGTGGAGATAAGAGGAAGCAGCTGAAGGGGTGGGGAAGGAGGGCGACATGGTGGAGAGGCCCACAGAGCCACGTGACCCACAAACAGAGCAAACAGCCACATGGCAGCCAAGGCTGTTTTTGCTACTGAGCCCTGGCTGAGTCTCAGGCAGAAAGGGGTCGTTTATTTTATTTCATTTTTTATTTCATTTTGTTGCTAAACCACGTGATGTTTAACAATCTCTCAGCAGTGCACAAAACATAGGAACAGTTATCGTGGAAACAGATTACTGTCGTCCCCCTCATCTGCTTCCCAGGATCCCATTAACTCAGGGGGTGGAGAGCCTTTTATCAGGTAAACTACCTGGGATCTCCAGCATTAGAAAACGTTGCTGCCTAATCCAGGTGTACTTCTCATCACACAATGTGTCAAGCACAGAAAACATAATTTGGTGAAGTAGGCCGCAACAATCCAACACTAGTGAGGATTGCTTAAATATATATATATATATATATACTACAATATTTGAAATGTTTCCATCCCTCCACTTAAAAAAAAATAGTAATTCCAAAGTGTTTCCCACCTACCAACGAGAAGGACTTTCCACTCAGTGTTCAGGAAGAGGAGAACAACTCCTTGCCTCTTGACCAGAGGTTTAGAAATACATGGCCAAGGGAAATGGAAGAGGCTCTGTATCGGCTGCTCTGCATCCTGATGCCTCATTGCCCTTTGAAAACCATGCGTGCAGGAGCCAGCACTTTGTGCAGAACCAAACAGTGACAAATATGGCTTCCGTCACAAATGTTTGAAGATCGAATTCATAGAAAATATCGAAACGACAATAGCACCATGGGTGTCCTGCCGCTGGCCTCACCTAGCCATCTGGCCACGAAGGGTGAGTGAAGACAATGTTCCTTTTCTTTGCCCAGCGAGAAAAGACGGCCTTCTCTGTGATGAAACGATGCCCACCATGGGGGGCTCTTTCATGGGCCAGGTACATCTTGCATTCATCTAGTTTGCCCTTTTCAAAGTAGTGGTAAGGCACAGTGGGCTGGCTTCTGTCTCTGCCAATCAAAGGACGACAAAAACACAGAAAATGAAAACCAGGTTGCTGCATGCTTAAAGCGGCCTGGACCACACCGTCTGACAGGTTAAGAGCTGGGCTACCATGTGGCTCCTCCTACTTTAAACCCATGCATCCTCCCATCTGCATTACTGCAATGCACTGTAAGTGGGGCTGCGCTTGGAGGAAAAGGCTGCAGCTATTGCAGAATGTGGCAGCTGCTGGGTTGCCCCTGGTCCTGAAAGATGGTTGCCAGAGAGCTACTGGTCTAAACTCAAAGCTTGGGACTCAAGTACTTAAAAGAGCGCCTTCCCCAATACCAAGCATCTTGGACCCTGTGACTGGCAACTCTACAATTCCATGAATCTATGATTCTTTGGGTACCTTCTAACTCCGCAGTTCTATGATTCTGCAAGCAATTCAGATGTCCCTTCCCCTGCAATGCAGGAATCTCATACATGGCAGATGGCCATTCAACCAATGCTAAAAAAACCTTCAAGGAAGGAGAGTCCACACCCTCTGGAGCAGAGGCATAGTGTGCTGGGGTTGGGGGGGTGGGCAGAGGGGTTGTGGCCCCAGGCGCACATTTTTGAGGAGGTGCAATCAGGCACCCCATGACAGGCATAGAGCCCTGGAAACTGAGGCGCAGCAGAAGGTGGGCTGGTCTAGTGGGCAGGTGGATGGAAACAGTGGATGAGGAGCCTGTTGGAGGTGAGCTCCGTTCATCCTCTCTGCATGCACACCCCTGGTGTGCGCCCCCACCTCAGCGGCTTAATCCACCAGAGGAGATCAACACTTGTCCTGTCCTGGGTGCCGGCGTCCTATGCTACGGTACTGCTCCAGAGGGAGTCCATTCCCCTTCTGAACAGCTCTTACTGTCATCCAATCACCCAAAAGCCCTGGGTTCAAGCCCTAGCATCTCCAGATAGGGGTGGGAATGTCCCCCGTCTGAACAACTCACTGCCAGTCAGTGTCAACAATGCTGAGTTGACAGCCACCAGCCAAGAGGACTGTGTTTTACCTGAACTGTGAGAGGCAGCAAGAAACTGGGATCTGCAAGAAGGGAGAACTGCTGTTGCACTCAGTTCTTGCTTGTGGGGCTTCTCAAAAGCAACTGTGAGAACAGGATACATCTTTTTTTTTTTTTTTGGTGCTGCGCTGTTGGGCGAAACAGATGTTTTGCAGGGTAGTGGGGTAGCGAAAGACGCGTCTTTTGCTGCTGCGCTACCCCACAGACCACCTGATTCATCTGGCAGCTTTATTTTATTTTATTTTATTTTATTTTATTTTGTTATTTTATTTTATTTTATTTTATTTTATTTCACCTAGACATTTTGTTTTGGTACCCACGACTTAGGTCCCAGGAACCACTTGGCTCCTAGAATTCCTATTCCAGTTTCTAACACTGCCAGTAGACTTGGGATAGAGGTGAAAGCTGTTTCCTGGTCCTGCTGGATCTCTCAGCGACTTTTGATACCACTGACCATGGTATCCTTCTGGACCATCTAGGCAGGTTGGGAGCTGAGGGCACTTTCATGCAGTGGTTCCACTCCTCCCTCCTGGGCAGTGTCCAGAAAGTGGTGTTGGGGATGTGTGTTCAGACCCTTTGGTGCTCACTTCTGCGATGCCTCAGGGTTCCATCTTCTCCCCCATGCATTTTAACATCTATATGAAACTGCCAGGAGAGATCATCAGGGGGTTCACCAATTTGCAGATGATACTCAGCTCTACCTCTTGTTTAAATTGGAACCAGTGCAGGAGTGAATGTCCTGTGTGGGTGTCTGGAGGCTGTTGTGGGGTGGATGGCAGTCAAAACATTGAGGCTGAATCCCGACAAGACAGAAGTATTGTTTCTGGGGGGTGGGGGGATGGCAGGTGTGGGGGATTTGCTGGTCCTGAATGTGGTGACTGCTCCTAAAGGACCAGGTGCGCAGCCTGGGATTCAATATGGACTCCCCATGGAGACAAAAGGTAAATTTTATGTCCAGGGCAGCTGCCTACCACCTCCTGCTTGTAGACTGTCTTGCCAGAGTGGAGCATGCTCTGGTTATCTCCCGCTTGGACTACTGAAATGCACTACCTTTGAAGGTCATTCAGAAACTACAACTACTGTAATCCAGAATGCGGCAGCTAGACTGGTGACTGGGAACAGTGTCCAGGACCATGAAACAAGGATCCTAAATGATCTTCACTGGCTCCCACTAAATTTCTGAGAACAATGCAAAGTGCTGGTGCTGACTTTTAAAGCCCTAAATGGCCTCGGCCCTGTATACCTGAAAGAGTGTCTCTAGGCCAGACATTGAGGTCCACCTCCAAAGGCTTCTGGTGGTTCCCTCACTACAAGAAGTGAAGTTACAGGGAACTAGGCAGAGGGGCTTCTCGGTGGTGGTGCCCACCCTGTGGAATGTACCCTCCATCAGATGTCAAGGAGCTAGAAGACACCTGAAAGCAGCTCTGTATAGGGAAGTTTTTAATGCTTAATGTTTTGTTGTTTTTGTATATGCTGGAAGCTGCCCAGAGTGGCTGTGGCAACCCAGTCAGATGGGCAGGATACAATTATTATGTTTATTATTATTCTTAAATAATGCGTGTGTATCTCTGCTTACACATCGTTTCATACCCCATTTCCCTGTGCCATACCTGCAATAGTTCTCGCTGACCATGCCAAAGACAAAGATCTGCTCACACAACTCCATCGCCAAAACCATTGTGAACCAGCCTGTGCTCAGGAAGGAGCCAGATTTCATCCTGTGGATTTGGGAGAGACAACGCAAACACTAACATAGAGACAGGCAAATCTGTGAATTGCAGCTTCTCTCTGTTTCTCACTTTTCCGACTTTTTTAAAAAGTCACCATGAGAATTCATAGGGCTTTCAGTGTTGATTTTTCCAAAAGTGCATATTTCTGTGTGCATTTCTGCCTGAAATACACATTTTTTTTGCAAAACATTCCCCCTACCCAAAATGCAGCACATTTTGTATATCATTTTGGCTAGCGCGGAATCATAAAGGGCTGGAGGATGACTCCTAGGCCACCAAAGCTCAAACCTCAAACCTTGATGCACGGAAAGCTAGGGCAGATTAGACCAATTCATGGAGGACATGGCCACCAACAGCTACTAGCCACAATGGCTAGGCTCTGTCCCCACTGTCAGAGGGAATGTGACCCTGAACACCAATTGCAGGAATTACAAGCAGGGAGAGTTGGTGTTGTGTTTATGTCCTGCTTGTGGCCTTCCCATTGGGACATTGGGTTGACCAGTGATTCAGGATGCTGGGCTAGTGACTGTAGCTAGCCAGCAGTAAACTACACCAAGCACATTGGAGTTAACTCTTTATTAGCAAAACCAGGATCTGTCAGGCCTCATGAGCACAGCTACTCATATCCAGCAGGTCTTGCCCCCATGGAAATCAGTTGCCAAGACTGAAGGTCCTTGCCTCCCCACAGCTGCCTAAGTCCCCTCCTCTCCACGGATTTTCCTAAGCAATTTGAGGCTGCACCTGTGAGAAGCCCAGTTCTCCTCTGCCCTCTTCATGCCTCTCCTGGTTCTGGGAGACCAGGGTGGAGGAGAGCTTGTTGCAACTGGAGGGGGAGACACTTGTGCCTCTTCACTGGCCAGACTCATCTCTGCCTCTTGGCCTCTCTCCTCTCCTGCTTCAGCTTCTGCCTCTGATTCTGCACTGCTCTCTGCTGCACACTCTCCCTTCTCACTAAACCCTGTTACCTCTTCTGCTTCTGACACCTCCTCCAGTCTTTCTCTGACCACTCCCTGTCTTCCCACTACCAGTCCCTGGGCAAAGAATCTGAGCCTTCTTCCCGTGGTGGTTCCCCAGCTAGTTCCTCCCACCATTCCTCTGAGTCCAACCAGTCCATGAGAGCTGGGCAGGCCCCCTTGGCTGGATCCAACGGGCTCTTCTTATATCCTTGGCAGATGTGCTTCACCATTATGGTCCCTGCCTAGTGATAACCCACTCTAGCCACCTCTCACCTGTTCTTCCCTGTCTCCAGCAGGAAGAGCTCGTCACAGTGCACCATCATCTGGTCAGTCAGCGTGTAGAGGTGCAGGCTCGGGTACATCTCCTTCACCTTTAGGAGGGTGCGGTAGACCAAGCCCACCTTCTCCCGGCTCATCAGCCTGGTGGGGCCCCAGATAACATAGATTGTGTCCCGGGACTGCTTGAAGAAATAGCTTTGGTTCCGCAAGAGCAAGGGGATGCTGGTATGAGAAACGACCCGGATAGTGCTCCTGCCACCCACATCCTCCTCGTAGCCCTGGGTGGGGGCCTGGTTCATGCGCAGGACACACTCCTTCTCGTCAATCTCCTTCCCAGAACGCGAACCCAGCATCTGCCCAGAACTCGATACCACAGCACACTGGCGACATGGCACTCGGGCCAATGGCTAAAGGTAGAAGAGAATTGAGCCTGGAGGGAGCTTAGAGAAGACCAGAGGCAGTGGCTAAGGCTACCCTTGCTGCACCGCTTCCTTTCCCCCATTAAATATAGGAACCAAGCCAAAGGAGAAGACAGGCGTTTTAAACAAAATTGGGTTTTGCCTCTACAAAGAGCACCCTCTTTTGGAAATTCAACATGCGTCTGAAAACTGGACCAAGAAAAGGGAGGGGATTCCCCCATCCAGAGTGAGGGTAACACTTCCTGCTCTCACTCTGAACTGGCTTCGTGACACTAACACACAGCCAGATCTAATTGGCTGTCTGGTAATGTGGTGTCATCATGTTCACTGGGTAATATCCAATTGACTGGTGGCATATTATGAGGCCAGCTTAAAAGAAAAGGAAGGAGAAAAAGGAGTTTGAAGTGGTCCTGCCAATTAGGCAACTAATAGCCCACAGGAAAGGTGAACTGTGAGGAGTAAACAGAGCAATTTTGTATGCTATTGAAGCATGATTTTCTTTTTGGTGAAAATTAAATTAATGCATCTTTACTCTGGCATTTGACATCTGAGAGAGATATATTTCAGGACCCACCTCTCATGTCTCAGCCTCTCCATGGCCTTTGGTTTTTATTCATCCAAGGTTTATACTGACATCCCGGTGAGAACTACGAAAACCCTTCGGGCAAGCAAAGGATTGTTTTGTTTTTAAATTTCTATACCGCTTTATATTTTTAATAAAAAACTCAAAGCGGTTTACAGCATATTAAATCAATAAAACAATAGCTGGTCGATGTTCCTCCAGCCTCATGAGGAGCCTCTTCAGTGGGGCTGGTGAGTGTGGGCCCAGCCCCCTAGGCCAGGTGGAAAGGGCCTTGTAGGGAGAGGCCTCCATGCCCCACAGCCCAGACTCACCAGCCCCACTGAAGAGGCTCCTCATGAGGCCGGAGGAACATCACCTGGCTGTGGGGCATGGAGGCCGCTCCCTACAAGGCCCTTTACACCTGGCCTAGGTGTTTGTATTATTTCCTCTATTTCTGATGTTCAGAATTAAATGTCATTGCTTATGCAGCTAAAACAGCACTATCCGGGCCCAAAGAGGAAGTATCAGCAAACTTTTGGGGGTGGAGAGAACCATAACCACAAAGAACTGTCTCAAAAAGACGCAAGGTGGCGTGAAACCTACCAAACAGTTCTGGGCCCCGAAAAGGACTGACTGCTGGCTGTGGAGCAAGTAGGAATGGAGTGTCTGAAAGAAGGGCATGGCTGGCTGGAACCCTGAACAGGAGTGCTTCATAATGCAGATCCAAATGACCGTTTCAGAAGTTTTCTGCATCCCTTTCTAAACCCTGAACATACTTGTCTGGGTCTCCACACAGAGCACAACGAGGAGGCGGAGCAGTCTGCACTACTCCAGGTGTGTGGGGAGGAGGAAGTCACATTTCTGAATGCTCCCCACCCCCTATGTTTTGCTTTTTTTAAAAAAACACCCTGCAAGTAGAAAACAAGCACATCAGGGAGGAGATAGACCCCCTCCCCCCGCTCTTTGCTTATGGGGAGGGTTTCTTTTCTCTCTTCTTCATGGAGGATGAAAATGACACCCCAAAATGCAACCTGAATTGGTGCCTCTCAACTGACCAATGTCATGCTTTGACAAAGGTCACTTTCATAACTGGGAGGATTGACTCACCTTCCCATCAGGGACGCTGATGTAACCCTCAAACTGGGCAGCTCCAGGACCAGCTGGCAGGACTCCTTCTTGCTCTTCCGGGTGATGGCAGCCAAGCCAACACAACGACACACAGAAGTAAGGGCAAATCAAGATGTACAGGATGGAGCAGGCACACAGGATGACCAGAGTTAAAAACAGCCGAGACTGAAGAAAAAGAGAGAGGAGAGTCTGGGCTTCCTCTTGGCAGGCAGAAAGGCAGATGCACATCATAGTCCGAGGGCCACATTCTCTTCTGGGCAACTTTCCAAGGGCCACAGGCCAGTAGCAGGTGAGCCCAAAGGTAAAAGCGGGTGCAGCAACAACAACAACAATAATTTCATTATTTGTACCCTGTCCACCTGATTGGGTTGCCCCAGCCACTCTGGGCAAATGTTAAATTTTATGTTTGTACCATAGGCTAGTTTCTACACACTCCCCTCTCTAGTCTCCTTCCACGAAAGCAGGAGAAGCCGCCAGAGTTGAAGGACATAAACGAGTGCAGTACAAATGGGGCTGGTGAGAGATGTGGCCTGGCTGAGGAGGAGTGCAGCCCAGGGACGTTCCCAAGGGCCAGAGAGAGGGGGGCATTTAGCCCCCAGGTGAAAGGTTCCCCATCATTGCATTAGGCAGAGAACGGTCTTTCAACTGAACCTGCTAACAGGGACTGAGCCTGGGACTCTGCACATGCAAAGGTCGCACTCTGCTGCACAGCTGGGGTCCTGCTCTGTAGAGACCTTGGCACTCTAAGGACCCTGGGAAAGCAGCGCCACATTAATAGTTCTATTAATTGTTCTACAGGATGCTGAAATATACTTGCCCAAGTGCATCTTGTGGAAATGACAGCAAACAGCTTGATGGCAAACGACTATGCTGCAGGCAACCCTGAAGAAGTCAACTTGAACAAAGTCCACCTCACACCATTTTCAGAAGAGGAGCAAGTTTGAGGTCTGGCAACTCGCCAGGAAGAAGAGCATTCCAAGGGCAGATCAAGTGAGGAAACAAATATACCAGAGTTGCCCCACATATCTGCCTCTCAGGTTACTGGCAAGCCTGCAAGGGGACTGGAGAGTTTCACTTCCACTTTTAGAATCAGAGCATCATCGAATTGGAGAGTTGGAAGGGATCACGAGGGGCACCTAGTCCAACCCTTGCAACGCAGGGATCTTTTGCCCACATGGGTTAACCAAAGTTCCCTGTTGTGTCCAGACTCGGAGGGATGGAGGGAACTCTTCGTTTTAAACCAATGATGGGGAACCTGTGGCCCTCCAAGTGTTGCTGGACTACAACTCCCATAAGCCTTAGCAAGCACAGTCAATTGACAGGGATGATGGAAGTCAGAGGTGGTTTTAGGGTAGCGCTGCAACAATGTTGTAAAAGATGGAGCACAAGGGGGGGGGGAGTCCAAATTTTACGGTCACACAGGGCACTTCTGAAATTTGAAAGCCCAAAGTCTGCCACTGTGAAAGTCGTAGTTTCCCACAGAGATATGGAGGATTTATATTTCTTTCTAGGGAACCTTTCAGAGGCAAGTTTGCCAGTGATGGGGGGGGGGGGGGAGAGGCAAAAAGTGAGCAGAGCAATGAATGCAAATGTTTACTTTTGTATGGTATGATTCTCCACATTCCCCTCTTCTGCCCATACGGACAAGTATAAGAGGCAGTGTTTGCGGACACCTCGTATCCAAGCAAAAGCAAAAGGAGGGCATGAAGCTGGGGCAGTGAGGTGTGTGGCCTGGGGAGAATCCAGGAGGCCAGGGAGAGAGGTTTGGAAGGCCCTATCGTGCCTTGGCCTATGATTCCCCACACCTGGTTTAAACGATGGTTAGTTCCAACAAGCCAGGATCAAACTGTGGCTTAAGAACCACCAAGCAGCAGTATGAGTTTTGACTTAATGCGGAGATGGGCTCAGTATAAAAGCAGTTGACTAGATCACTGGGTAGAGCCTGAGACTCTTAATCTCAGGGCCACGGGTTCGAGCTGCACCTTGGGCAAAAGAGTCCTGCGTTGCAGAGGGTTGGAGTAGATGACCCTTGCGGTTCCTCCCAGCTCTGAAATTCTATGTGTCTATGAGATATTATTTTAATTAATTAATTGGTCAACCTCTTTATCTTGTCCAAGGCAACTTACAGCCAAATATTTCCAAACGTTTTACTTGCAGTCGCACTAAAGAACGAGGGGCAAGCGCCACAAGGTTTGCACCCACCATGCTACAGCACAGTAATCGTCTCTGGACTCCAATTCCCATTAGCCCCAGCATGGCCCAAAGGTCAATGAACCTGGGAGCTTCCAAAGGGCCACAGGTTAGCTACCCATGGTTTAGGGCTGTATCTGAACAGGGCATTCAACTCAGCCTTACATCAGCTGCTCTGCACCAAACCTGTCCCACTCAGACTTCACAGGTCTGCCGATAATCCCACCTGCCCTTCGTTCCATGAGCTAAGTGGATGGCGATCACTGTGCTCTTAAGAGGCTTGTTTTAGATGCCATAATTGGCTTAGGCCTGCATGGCGCGAGATCTAACTGCAAAGAAGCTTAAAAGAAACAGAGCTTTGGTTTAACTGGTTGCAGGTTAAATTCCTCCCCACCCCACGCAGGTGAGCAGCCAAGTGGCCACACATGGAACAGAATTAGGTATGTGCCCACAACAGGTTTTGGGGAGCAAGGAGGTTGATCTTAAGGTTACACTGGGTCTAAAAGAAACCATCGTGGATGGGGCGGGTGCTGTAGCTCAGCAACAGAGGGTCAGATTTGCATGCAGAAGTTCTCAGGTTCAATTGCTGGCATTTCCCAGTATGCCTCAAGCAATCCTCAAGCAAAGGACTGGTTTAAGGCAGCTTCCTATGTTCCTCAAGGCCAAATGTTGCTGGACTAAAATTCCCATCTTCAGGGGAACAGCCATAGCTTCAGTGTCAGAGAATCAGCTTGGCATGCAGAAGCCCCAAGTTCAGCCCTTTGCTGAGAACCACAAGGACTAGAATCTTACTTTATCTTTAGGTGAAGAACAACAGCTAAGTAACACTCGAGTGTATGTTTTGCAAGCAGATGGTCCCCAGTCCAATCCCTGGCATCTCTCAGAAAGTGCTGGGAAACAACTCCTGTCTGAAATCCTGGAGAGCCCTTGCCTGCCAGCCTGCAGACAAACGATCTGACTTGACTAAAGGCAGATTCCTCTGTTACTAAAGCAGCTGCATCTGCTGGGCAAAAGGAACCCAGCAGGCAGCGTTCTGAAAGCAAGTAACCCCCTGGGAAGGTGTGCTATGCCAGTCAAATGAGCAGAAGGCAAGGAGGCACGTGAGGAATGTTAAATGGAAGGAATATTCCCATGGTAAAAGGAGCGTATGAGTACAGACTCAGATCCCATACACACCTTCTCCCCAATTGCATACTTACAAACAACTGCATCCTTTTAAGGTCTCATCAGCCATGTATCTGCTTTGGGCCTTGAGGACAATGCCCTGAAAAAAACAAAACCGATTGTTTAAGAGACTGCTTTTTAGGACATCTCCACCACATGAAGACATTTGGAAAAGTGGAAGGAGGCTGCAGACCACTTTTCATACTTGGATATTATCCTTTGTGCTGGGCATGGTCAGTTCAATGGAAGTGAAGTCCAATACACTATGTGTCTGTATGTGTGTTCAGTGGGTGTGGTGGGAAGACTGTTTCACCAAACCCGTGAGCTTATGGCCCTCCATATTTTCTTGGACCACAATTCCTCATCATCCCTGGCCATTGGCTAGGCTGGCTAGTACCCCATCCCTCCTGTGCAGGTAGAAAATGCTGCAAGACCTTCCAGGTGGGAAGGGGGAGAACAAATATCCAGGAGGGCCTATGAAACTAGATTCAGGAGAAGCGGAAATGCCACTGAGACTCGTAGGGTAGAAGGGGTCCAAATACAGCCATACCTTGGGATAAATATGCTTCAGCTTTCGGGTTGCGCTCCGCGGCGACCCGGAAGTAATGGAGCACGTTAATTCCGGGTTTTGCCACTCGCACATGCGCAGACGGTCAAAATGACATCACACACATGCGTGGAAGCAGTGAAATGCGACCCGCGCGGACGTGCTGTCGCGTCTTACATTCTGTTCAGGATGCAAATGGGGCTCTGGAACGGATCCCATTTGCATCCCGGGGTACCACTGTAATATGTGCAGACAGAGTCAACTAATTCTACTTTTGTCCCCATCCACCTCCCTGCTGCGACTAAGGAGGGAGGCAGTGTGGCCACCCATCCCCAAAATAGCAATATAGTTTGTGTCTCTGCTTTGCCCCAGTTTAAAACTAAGTCAGAACTTTCAGAACTTGTCATGTTGGTGACACACTTTTTAGACATGCCCCATTTCACGAGACAGTAATTTAGTTTTACTACCAAACTGGAGGTTAAACTAACCCCAGGAGGAGCACAGGCTTTGCTTGCCGAAGATTCTAGAGAGGTGTAGTATATGTGCATATGTATGTATATATACACACCTACGCACAGGAAGCTGGTCTGTTAGGCACACAGGGCTCTGCCTCACCACCTCAGCCTGTGCTCAGCCAGCTTTTTTTATTACAACCAGCCCCAGAGATGGCACAGACTGTCAGCTGCCTCCTCCTTAGTTTTTTATTTAACTGTGGGTAAAATTGAAGCTAATCTGTTGGCTAACATTCCTGCAAATTATTTACTGTTAGATATGTAGGCTAGGCATCAAATGGCACCTTAAATCTAGCTTTGCAGAATGTCTATTTGCCAGGGGGTTGGTCTAGATGATCCTCAGAGTCCCTTCCAGCACTATAGTTTTACGATACTATGATCCTATGATCTCGGCTACGTTGCTTGACTTTAGCTTGCTCTTACAACAGTTCACTTGTCCTAGGATGCAAGAAGGAAAAGCTCTCACAGTGGAAATGGTATTACTTTCTATTTTGTTCTCTTCCTGTCACTTGATCACAACAGCTGCCTTTTTAACACCTCTCTTCAGCATCACTGATACCGTTTTATTTCAGGCTCTGTGAAGTTTTGGCTATTTGGCCACTTTCAGCTTCTGTAGTGTTGTTGGATCAGTCACAGGAGTTTTTCCTTGTCTGTGGTGGACTTTACAACTAGATTCTTGCTGCTGTGTGACTGATGGCTTGGACTTTTTGATTTCATGTTTTTATTGAGTGCTTCAGGTCTGCTCTTCTTACCATACATGTTGGACTTGAGAATACTGTATTTCTATTCGGCAACTCAAAAACTGAGGTAAATAAACAAGTAAAATTTTGTAAGTAATAATGACAATAACAGACAACAATACTGTAATTAAAATTAAAATACTGTGGGTCCCTTCCAACTGCTAAGTCACACTCCAGAGTAGACTCACTGAAATTAAATGGCATGACTAGCTTAGATCCATTAGGACTGTTTTGAATAGGGTTTAGTTGGATACATCACAATCACACACACACACGACCATTTTTGCACAAACCACATGCCCAAATATCTAATCTTAGCCAGATACCGCGGGGGCACAGTTGATCAAAGAGGAGGAGGGCGTTCTGCACATGTTCAACAGCACATTCATCATACCTGCTCTGTACCTGAACTCAAGGAGGGGGCGGAGGCGATGGGTGGTCTTCCTTCCACACGTAAAGGCAAGACTGGGCTAAGAACCCTTTTGCTGCTCCGGCTTCCCCGGCTCAAATTCAGACCGCTGACTTCACGAAGCTCGACGAGAGCGGAGGCGCAAGAGGAATTGGGGCCCCCGCTGCTATCTTGGTGACTCGGTCTGGGAAGAGGAGACGTGCGCGACTCCCACAGCGCTGCAGAGGGCCGGGAGGAGAGGCGCGCATGGCCCCCGAGGGCGGCCGCTTGGCGTGGAGGTACCCTTCCCAAGGCGCGCTCTGCAAGTAGACTTTGACGTGCCAAAAGGCGCGGCGGGAGGCGGAGGCGGCGACTGGGACTTCCCAGCCTAGCTGTTTGCTCGCGGGTTCCGAGGAACGGGCCTCGCCCGGCGTTTCGCAGCCTCAGACGAGGTCTGCGCGCAACGCGGCCGCACGCTCTCCAAAAGCGCAACGCTGCGCGCAACCGCTCGGCCAGCTGGTGCTCTGCTTCCTTCCTTAGCTGATTACGACTCCGCCCTTTCCCCTCCCAGCGCCGGAGGGTTCGCGCGACCGCAGCTGTTCCCTTTCGCAGCGCGCGGGAAACAATTCCAGGCCGGTTGCCTTGTGCCGAAAAGCACCGCCTCTCCTTCTAGCTCAGGCCCGGGCCGCCGGCTCCGTAAATGATGGATAGGTTCTCTAGGCTAAGGTTTCAGGAAAAGAGGGTTCTTCTCATTCCTAGCTAAAGATGTTCCACCTCGGTCCTTCGGGGTGGGGGGAACAAAATGAAAGAAAAATTGGAAGGGGGAAAGCTTGTGCTTCTGCGCCCCTTCCTAGGGGCTGCGATCCAAAACGCAACTTACAATTGGGAATCTGCCCTCGGAAATCCCTGCCCCCGAGGAAGCGCATTGCAGAGGCCTGACCCAAGAGCAAGGGCAACCTTCGGCAAGCCTCGTCTGTACTGTACCTCTCTTGCCTTCCAGACCCGTGGGTCGTTTGGCGCTGTGGCATACTGGCTCAGATCCATTGGGGGCTGATCTATTAGAGCCAGTGGCTTCCTGCCAGTCCTCCTACTTAGAGCCACCACTGGGGTGGTCCTGGCTTTCAGCTTCCCCACCCTTAGCCTCAGTGTTGCTGGGAGGGTGGGCACAAAACTTGAATTACACAGACCTTGCTTGGCGTTGGCTCTGGCGCCAGCCACTGTTGGTCCCCCTGCCTTCTGCTCTACCAGCCCCAACAGGCAGCAGCCACCAAGGCCTACAAAGCCCAAAGTGGGCAGATGTTCCTACGGTTGGAGCGCTACTACTCAAACTAATGCTGTGAATATTTTTTGATCTTGATTCAGAAGATTAAGAAGGCAGAAGGAATTGAAACCGTTACTTTATTTTATCTGGGTTTGGGAATTAATCCAATACAAAAATGTTTCCCTGTACCCGGCACATCAACACCTCTTCATATTGTGTTAAATAATATTTCCAATTTCGGAACTGAAAAGTCTTTGATATTTTTTTAAAAATAAAATAAAAGCAAGAAAGACAATTTTCTACCTGCAATCCCTTGGGAGATGTTTGTTGATGGTGCCACTTTCAATTACAACTGGGTAGAAATTATGGGGGGAATAAGAACATCTTATTATAGGGAAAGGGAAGAGCATAGACACCCCCCCCCAAGAAAAACTGGCTATGGGAGGGTCAGGAGAATTTCCAGAAACTCACTGTGGAGGAGAGTTTCCCGTCTCCCACTCAGTGAAGAATTCGAACTCAGGCTGCAGAGTCTACCAAAATCTTTAATGCTCAGATCAGTGTACATGGGCAAAATGCCATTCAAAGGCACAGCAGGTGGTACACATAGCAAAGCAAGCAAAGACATTGATCCAGGAACGACATATACCCCAACTTAAGAGCTAACTCTTCTTAAGCCCCCTCCCCAATAAAATATTTGAAGGGGCTGGGACCCCCCCAAAAAAGTTGATGGGTATTGCCATTCAAATAGGGGGGGTGCGCCATGTCATGTGATTGATTATGGAGGGTGGTGCTTACTGCCCCCCCCCCAATATTTTATTCAAGTTGGCACCCCAGCAACCCTGTTATTAGGGACTGGGGTGGGCACTAATTTCTCATTCATGCGCAATGACCCCATGTTGAAAACAAACATATTTACATCCTCTGTATTAATGGGCAGAGGGACTTTTTTATGTGCCCTTATGACCAACAATGGTGGAAGGAACGAGCCAGATTCTAGTGAGTGAGCCTGTCCCTGGCTATAGTACTGGTTTTAGCCCTCTCACTGGTCAGATCTGGAGGAGCTAATGGGTTGAGGGATTAGGAGAGGGAGGCTAGGGGAATAGGTTTAAAATGTAAACTAAAACCAGTTTAGGTTAGATTTCAAAACTATTGTTAATATTTTTTTTAAGTAAGCAGAGGAATTGTAAGGCACAGAAAAATTATTATTTACCACTTTAAAAAGAGATACAAGGGAAAACGAATACAAATGAAAGAATGTGAGGGGCAAAATCAAGTTTATTTACCTTGCAACCAACAAATCATTGGGTGTGAAAAGGAGCACAGGAAATGGTAGGTGGATATGAAGTCTGCTTCAAGCAGAGTGAAGAATAAATACAGAAAATAGAAGGCTTTTCTTTTAAAAGGCAACTAGAGAAGCCATTTCATAAAAAGAAGAATGGGGTTTCTGTTGTCAAAGTTGTTATTTGTTTGTTTGTTTTCTATACCGCCCTATACCCAAAGGTCTCAGGGCGGTTCACATAAAATATCAAATACACAAAATCAAAACAATAACAACCCAATAACCCCACCCCCGCCCCCATTTTAAAAAGGGTATAGGATGTAGATCAGGTCAGGCAAAGGCCTTGTTAAAAAGAAATATTTTTGCCTGGTGCCTTCACTATATACTTTAGGCGCAAACATCACTGGGGAGAGCATTCCACAGGTGGGGAGCCACTGCAGAGAAGGCCCCTTCTCATGTTGCCACCCTCTGGACCTCACATGGGTGAGACACACAAAGAGGAGCCTCAGAAGATGATCTCAGGCTCCGGGTAGGTTCATATGGGAAGAGGCTTTCCTTGAAGTATTGTGGTCCTGAGCTGTTTAAGGCTTTATAGGTCAACACCAGCACTTTGAATTGGGCCCAGAAACTAATTGGTCACCAGTGCAGTTGGACTAGCATTGGTGTAATATGCTCAAACTGTCTTGCTCCAGTGAGCAACCTGGCCGTTGAATTCTGCACCAGCTGAAGTTTCCGAACCTTCTTCAAAGGCAGCCCTATGCATAATGCATTGCAGTAATCTAACCTTGAGGTTATCAGAGCATAGACAACAGTAGTTAGGCTATCCCTGTCCAGACAGAGGTGTAGCTGGGCCACCAGCCGAAGCTGATGGAAGGCACTCTGGGCCACTGAGGTGATCTAAGCCTCAAGCAACAGCAAAGGATCAAGGAGTACCCCCAAGCTACAAACCTACTCCTTAAGGGGCAGTGTAACCCCATCCAGAGCAGGCGACCTCCCAGGGTTAAACAACATGGGGGATAGAATTGAGCCCTGCGGAACCCCTGTTGGAGGTTCCACGGGGCTGAAAAGTAACACCCTCCAGGAGCGACCATCCAAGTAGGACTGGCACCACCGCAAATTGGTGCCACTTACTCCTAGTTCAGAGAGTTGCTCCAGAAGGATACTGTGGTCGATGGCATTGAAAGCCGCTGAGAGGTCGAGAAGAATTAACAGGGACATGTTTCCCTTGTCTCTCTCTTGACAGGTCATCACACAGGGTGACCAAGGCAGTTTCTGTGCCAAAACCAGGCCTAAACCCTGGTTGAAATGGATCCAGAAAATCAGCTTCTTCCAAGAACACCTGGATCTGGTCTGTGACCATTCGCTCTAGAACTTCACTCCAGAAGTTAGAAAAACCAAGATTGGGAAGATTTTAACATAGGTAAGACTTAGAAGTGAGAAGGGTAGGTGGATCCAGGGGGAAAGAAGGCTGTGCATGTGATAAAGAGCAAAGCAGAGGGGGAGAAGACAACATAGTTCCTTTTAATTTTATGTTATCTCAGGTTGCCTTGTTGACAAAAATGCTTTGCAGCCATTTTGTGATAGCTTCTTGGGGACTATAGATAAGCTCCTTTGCTAATGGGCAGAAATTCATTTTATTTATAATGTGGCTTCCAAGGAATAGAATAACAAACCCTCTTGAGCAGCTGGCTTAAAAGTGGTGGCATTTGGCATGTGAAGCTAGGAAGAGGCATTAATATTATTGTTATTGTTATTATTAATACCCCACCCTTTTCCCTGATGGAAATCAAGGCAACTGACAAGCCACTTCAGATTGGTGAAGTTAGAACAGAATGAAAGCACAAAAAGAGCAATAACTATTGTAAAGAAAAGCTTTGGAAGTCACTGGGATCAAGAATTGGTTTTGGAGGAAGCATAAAAAGAATAAATAACTGAGAAAACCACAAGGAGCAGCAGCAAAAAGCAACCAACCAAAGGTGAGAGTATTATACCTAATTGTAGTTACTGGGCAACTGCAGAAGAGGCTCACCAAAATATTGTTGAGTTTTTGTTCCTTCAGATGTGTATAAATCCAGAAGGATCCAAGCATGGTTTGGATCCTCACCAGTACTTCTGCTCCCAAGGTAATACATTAAGAATACCCATTTTAAAACCTGATGCATCAAACTGCTTCCTTTATCTTGTAACAGTTGCCTTGCTGATTTCAGTGTGAAAAAACAAATAAGGCATTTTGAGGATGAACCTACTGATGGCAATGGTAGAGGCGGCTTGGTAGAGGCATTGGAGTGACTATCTAGATTCTAGAGGTTTTCACCATTTTATCGGCCATTTTTAAGCAAAAAAAAGTCCAGCAAACGTTTAAGCAATACATATTCATAATTAGGAAGGATGAGCCTTGACCATTTTTTCCTGTACATAAAGGGCAGAAAATTTTGTCTGCTAATGGTAAGGCTGAAATGACTGAGAAAATATTTGAAATCTTATGAATCCTGACTCTGGTCATTTTGACTCATACATAAGGGGGCAGCTGATTGTTCCACTAATGACCAGAGCAGGGCCACACAAAATAATAACAACTCACATTTGTGAACATTTTGGAATGGAGATCTGTACCCCTATCTCCTGTAGATAAAGGAGGCATGTAGCTCCCAATTTTCTTTGCCTGGGGTACAGATAGGTCAGCTTACCGCAGGAAACATGATCCATTTATTAGAAATTTAATTTGACCAAAATTGTATTACTGGCTTTTTGGTGAAAACTTGCATGATAGGGTTGATAGTTGCTGGGTTTCCGACAAATACTAAAATTTGGATCCTCACCAGTACTTCTGTTCCTAAGGTAATATATTAAAAAACCTGGTGTAGCAAACTGCTTCCTTTGTCTGTAACGTCTCACTTACCAGTAGTTACCTTCAACTGCAATTGTAGCTTCTATTAAAAAAACCTTTTGAATTATCAGAGGTGGTGATAGGCACTAATAACTAACAAGTAATCTCTAAGTGCTCTATTGTAATTATACCAGCAATACAGTTGTGTGTCTTCTGGATGAAGGTCAACTAGGTGAGTATCTTGTGCTTGGCTGAGGAGAAAATATCTGTTGTGTTCTGCCTGCAACTCTTTGCACAAAGATTCTTTCAGGTCGCAGTGAGGGGGACCATTCAAGCACCCTGAGCCTATTGGAGAAAAGGTAGGCTCCAAATGGAATAATACATCAAATATGCAAACTAAATTTTCCAAAGAGCTTGTATTGAGCAATGTTGGTTATTCAATCACTTTTTCAGAAGAGCTGCAAACTCGAAAGCCTAATGCAGTCACTCTCCGTGCTTCTACCTGGAGGGACTTCTCTTGTTGGGAAACCGCTGCAAGGGAGGCCCGTTCCTGTGCCATCACCACACAATAAGGTACATTTTTTGGTGGGACAGCCATCCTTGCTTTGTTCCAGCTCTTTTTTTTTTACAGACCTCACAGAGCTACCTGTGCCTGAAGAAGATCTGCTCAATTGACAAGAGGCAGTGTCAGAGCTCTTGATATATCAAGTAAACATCTGCAGCATAGGATTGAGAGATATCTGCGTCTTGACTGCACTGCTTTAGGTAACCTGCTGTTTTTGCTCCTCTGTGTCTGGAGGGGAGGGCTGCTGAAGACCCTAGTCTCTTCCAGGTGCATCTCAGTGAAGAAATGGAATTTTGCAAGCCTTCAGGAAACTTAACAGCAAGTGAACTTCACACTCCACAATTCAGTGATCTTTTTTAGTACAATCCTTTTGTGCTGGCCTCTCCATTTCTGTCCACTTGATCTCTTCACAGTTCTGTCCAAGAGCCCACCACACTCAGGTGAAGCCAGCTCTTCCTGCAGAAGTCAGGTTGGTAAGAACAGCTGTGTTCCATTTCTCTGGAATTGGTGGGAATGGGCTGGCGACAAGCTAATGAGTCCAGATTGCTTTTCACAGACCAGCAGAAGGAACTTCCAGGCCCATGAATTCACACTTCAGAGAGACAAACAAAAAGGTGAGCTTAAAGGCAGAGTTTTAAGACTGGGACCAGTCTCTCTGTTGCCCTGCAAATTAATGGCCCTGCAAATAGTGACTTAAACTCATCTAGGTGAATATCCCTTAAAACCTCGATTGTGCTCTGTCTGCAACTTCATAACTCTTAAGGGTTTTCTTTTTCCTGAGAGAACATTCAGTAATTCCAAAATTCAGGCGGGCCTTTACATTGGCCAGACTAAATATGTTACCTTCAGCTGTTCTTGAAGGTAGATATCAAAAAATTTCATTCGAGAACCGGCTCTGCCCCTGTGGAGCTGGCTACGTAGAGACTGTGTCACACGTTCTCCTGTCTTGTTCCCTATATAAAGATCTCAGGGACGAGACCATCACGCCACTCCTATCTGCCATCCCGGGCCGCTCTTGTGAAGCCAAATTGTTCTCACTCCTAGCCGACCAGAACAGCTCGACAACAGAGAAGGTTGCTAAATTTATCGAGAGAGCAATGAGACTGAGAGCTGCCATCTGAATGACATCAGTGTCGTCATCCGGATTTCTCGCTTAGGATCTTATCATTATTATCATTATGTTTTATTATTAGTATTTTATTATCTCTGCCAAGTTTTAAGTACTGAGATTATTGATTCATCTGCATCTGGTTATTATTATCTTTCTCCCTGTCCTGACCATTTATATTTATATTCTTTCAATTTGGCTGGTCTATTTACTTAACCGACCTGGAACAACCTACCAGAGAAAAGGCCGCCGCCCATGGGACAGAGGGTCATTGATGAATGATAATCCAGCTTTTACCTAGGGTTTTAATAGGCCATAAGATTATACGGTAACTATATTTGTAATGTATTTTTGTCTGTGTTTGTCCTTTGATGCTATGGCCTGTTGGCTACGCAAATAAAGTCCTTGAACATTCAGTATTCAGAGTGTTCGCTCAGGTTTTGCTTTTCACCTTGTTGCATCGCCCCCCCCCAAAGGAAAAGGCGCTGGTGGTTGGCACACCTGGTTTCCAGGACGGGGTTCAAGTCCCTGCAGTGCCCTTTCTTACTTCCAATGCAACCTCTTTCTCTATCTCTCTATCTCTTCCTCCCTAAGAACTAAATCAAGCAAGGCGCTCCCCTGATGCATCACTGGCGTGTGTCTAAAATAAGCTGTATTACATGGATGCTTCCCATTCTAGCACTCCCAGACATAGGGAACAAAATACTTCTTTTTTTATTGAAAAAAAACCGTCTCTGAATTTTGCATTGTTTGTTTAGGAAGTAAGCTAAATAAACAAACAAATGGATCCTATTTAGACTATGCAGAATGTGGAAAAGGCCAGGATGAAAGAGAAATGGCATCATGTTCACTCAGAAGAAGAACAGCAAATATAAGATGCTCAGGTGTCCTATTTTACAGAAGACAGTGGTCAATTTTCAGGGCTATCAGAGGCTTAGGATGTGGACATGTGACAGTTCTCTCTATGAAGGTGTCCTCTATTTGAATGGCTGTGCATTCCAGGTCTGGTTGAAAGATACAAATTGGTGTCCACTCCTTTGGCCAAGTGTCAATGGCCACTCTAAACAAAGATGTGTCCAATTTCTGCAGTTGGGAGTATCTAGGGATGCAGTATTGCATGTTCAGTCAGGCCCTTTTGTTTTCTCCTGATCCTGAGGAATGCGGTTTGACCCTAAGTAAGTTTACTTCGAAGGAAGTCTGAGTGCTTCCAAAGACTTACTCCCTAGTAAGTGCACGTTGGGGTAGGGTTATAGCTCCATTTCAGAGTGCATGCTCTGTATGCAGGAGGTAGCGTCCCAGGCATTTCCAGATAAGGCTGCTAGGAAACATCCTTACAGAGCCACTGCAAGTCAGCGATACCCAGACATTAGAAGAACTCTTCAACCAGATCTTCAGGAGCGCCAGAATTGCATTTTGCAACATTTTCCACATTAGTTTGTGGAAATTTCTTTCTTACTTCGGGGTGGTATTGCTGAAGGGAACGGCAAACCTTCCCCTGCAGTGAGATTTTCAAATTCCAGTTATCTGGAACATGCACATTTTTGCTAGTTATCTGAGGAAACATTTTATAGTAAACTGGAAGAGGAAGTGTGAGTTACTGGTGCCCCCACTTTCCCCAATATGTACATATATATGTATATGGGAATAGAGCACCAATGACTCACACTTCCTCTTCCAATATTTATTTTAGTGCGTGTAATTCCCCTCTTTGAGAAAGTTCCAATATTACTGTATTAGAATGAAGTGCATGTGACACAAAATGTGGCACTCATTTGGTACCAATGTTCTGGGCCTGGTTACATGGCCACAGCCTTAGATTCCAACAGAAATCAAGCAAGACTTTCCCTGACAGGCTTCCACCTTCTGCCTTCTGCTTATACAGTATTCACCATAAATCTACAGCAGTACTCATAAACCTCTTTGTTGTTTTACAGCTTTATCAGAAAATCAAGCATGTGTGAAAGGTCACAGCCACACCATACCCGCGAAGCACATTTAAAGCACATGGTCACACACCCAGAATCGTAGGAACTATAGTTTACCCCTCAGTTTCTGTGGACAGCTTGTAAATACTTTTCCTTTCCCTGACCCATAAAATTGGACCTAGTCCTTTGTGCTTGAATCTCTTCCATTTTTATCTGCTCTTACATATTTTTATGCTGTTGTTTTATGGAATGCCAAATGGTATCCTTTTGGTAAAATATGCAGGGATATCTGTTATGTAAAATGAACCGTAGAAAGAGACGAAGGGAAGTCATAGAGATCTTAAGGATGTAAAAATGAGTGCTTTAAATGGTAAAACAGAAAATTCAATAAAAATTATATACCCCCCCCCAATGGTTTTAAAAGAAACGACACGAGAAGACTCGTACAAAGTTATTCCAAGGAACGGTTATTTTGTTTTGCATCTTTCCCTTTCCAATTTCCCGCCCCCGGAGGGAACCGGGCAACGCCGCCTCCCGAAGACGAGAGCGCCGAGAGCGGGGCAGGGCCTGGCCGGAGGAGGCGGGCGTCTTTCTTGGGGAGGGTTAGGCCCGCCCGGCAGGCAAGGAGCAGGACGGCCGAAGCCGGAGACCACGCCGCGGTCTCTCCGCCGACGCCCCCCGGCCAAGACAGGCCTTGCGGGGAGCTGGGCGGCGGCACCGTCTTATAGCGACGCCCTGTTCTCCATCCTCGCCACGGTCCCGGGGAGTCTCTCGGAGGGCAGGACAGCCGAGTCCGGCGTCCAGAGGGCGAGGAGGAAGCAGGGGTGTCCCTTGCTGGGGGAGTGGGGGACTTTCCCCTCCACGCGCGGAGGGCGGGTCGAGCTGCACCTGTTGGAGCCCCGCCTGCCGCGCGGACCAGAAACGAGGCGGATGGAGAGACACAACCCCGGGGCTGCCCTTTCGCATGGAAGGGGCGAGGTTTCTGCAGCAGCGCCTCTTCCTTTTGGAAGATGAAGCAGCGTGGCTGGATTAGACCCTCAGGACGCAAGGATAGCTAGTTGTTCCAGCCTCTCCCTGTGTTCAGTAAAATGGCAGATGTCTGTCACCCGAAGGTGGTTGAGCAACCCATCTTTACTTGGTTACCTCTGGGGAGAGGAGGTTCGGTCTGCCGCAAACTTCTGTCTTCCTGCCCAGTGAGCAGGAAAGAAACACCTCACTGTATTCTAGTGATGCACCTGCACACTTGAAGTCTTCACACCCACATAGTCTCTGAGACCCAACTCCTTGGCTTCCCCTTGAGTCAAGGCGTGATTGCTTTTCATATCGCTTGAAAAGGGCACAGAGCTTAAAGAGGAAATTGGGAGAGGGATCCTCGCTCCCGTTTCCGCTTTCAGCTCTGCTTTCCAAGGTTTAGGATTAAGGCTGTGTGCGCACTCTCACTCCCGTTGACTTTGAATGCAGTGTACACAGTAAATGTGCAGATAGGTTGCTTTTCTCAATCTGGATCTAAGCTTGGGGGTGGGGGGTTGGGGGGAGGGAATGCCATCAAAGTACAGCATTTCACAAGACAGTATAAATACAAGATAGACAGGATTGTGGCTAATGTGGTTGGAACGCACTGGGTTCAGAATGAGTAGGAGTGTGTACCCAGCCTAATGGCTGTCATTTTTACCTAGATTCTTTGGGATAGCAAGATTTGTGATCCGGGGGGGGGGGAGGGGGGCAGAGAAGTGACTATAAGAAGCAGCACCCACGACCCACACGGATAACTGCTATTGTGCCCACAGGCCTGGAAAGTTTTGAACCTCTAGGAAAGATTGTTCTGTTTGTGGAGTAAAGGTAAAGGGACCCCTGACCATTAGGTCCAGTCGTGGCCGACTCTGGGGTTGTGGCGCTCATCTCGCTTTACTGGCCGAGGGAGCTGGTGTACAGCTTCCGGGTCATGTGGCCAGCATGACTAAGCCGCTTCTGGCGAACCAGAGCAGCGCACGGAAACGCCGTTTACCTTCCCGCCGGAGCGGTACCTATTTATCTACTTGCACTCTGACGTGCTTTTGAACTCCTAGGTTGGCAGGAGCAGGGACTGAGCAAAGGGAGCTCACCCCGTCACAGGGATTCGAACCGCTGACCTTCTGATCGGCAAGTCCTAGGCTCTGTGGTTTAACCCACAGCGCCACTCGTGTCCCCTTAAGACTTTTAGGCTGGGTTTATTTCCTGAACTTTTAGGCAGTTTGTTTAAAGAAGGTCCAAATCTGTTTACTAGACTTAGATCAGGGGTCAGCAAACTTTTTCAGCAGGGGGCTGATCCACTATCCCTCAGACCTTGGGGGAGGGCTATATTTTGAAAGAAAAAAAATGAATATGCCCCACAAATAACCCAGAGATGCATTTTAAATAAAAGCACACATTCTACTCATGTCAAAACACCAGGCAGGCCCCACAAATAACCCAGAGAGGCATTTTAAATAAAAGGACACACTCTACTCATGTAAAAACACACTGATTCCTGGACCGTTCGCGGGCCAGATTTAGAAGGCGATTGGGCCGGATCCGGCCCTGGGCTTTAGTTTGGCTCCTCTGACTTAGATCTACAGCGGGGATGGCAAACCAGTAGCCCTTGCAATGTGGTTGTGATTCCAGTTCCCATCATCTCTAGCCTTTGGCTCCACTGGCTGGGAGCTGGAGTCAAACATTACCTAGAGGGCCACAGATGTTCCCAAGTCTTGTTTCAAACAAATGCACTGCTTGTTCTCCTGTCCCTGTTCTCCCTTTCCCCATCCCCCATTCTTTCCCAGCTCAAAAATTTGCTATCCCATCAGCCCCAGCCAGAATGGCCAATGAGCCAAGGATGAAAAGAATTGTAGTCCATCATCATCTGGAGGGTCACAGATTCCTCACCTCTGAAAACTGAACCTTTTGAGAACTGTCACTGACAACTCCTTTTCTCAATTACTCCTTAATACAGTGGTTTCTCAAACTTTTTCCTTTGGCCCACACTTTCAGAATAAAAATTTGCTTGCGCAAAGTTTTTATTGATAATACATTGGAAATACAATCAGGATTGTACTCAGTATTACTTGGAGCTCTTGCTCTCATTTTGAAAAGATACCCATCCATATTCTGTGAATATATATATATATTCATTGTTATCAAAATACACTGAAATGTTTAAATGTTTCTTTGATTGAACCTTCCTGCTATACTTGCCATCCTCACACTTTGAGGACCACTGCCTTAACAGTTCTCAAAATTATGGAATACTTGGAGCTCCATAACTGCATGCATTAACTGTCTGCAAATATAGGAGAGCATATTATTTATTGAATATATGGGAAATAATTGTGTACAGCTGAAAACGCTGGCAGAGTTAAGATAAATCCAACAGTGTAAATAAGGTTTGATGGCTGCAATAATGGAATACTGATTGGTATAGTTTTTGTAGAATATGCAGGGATTTATGATATGTAAAATGAACCATGGAAAGACAAGAAGGGAAGTCATTGCTATCTTAAGGATGTAAAAGGAGTTTTTTAAATTGTAAAACAAAATTTAATAAAAATTATGTGTGTATACACAGAGAGTGAGAAAACAAATATAGGAGAGCATTTGTGGCCACCCATTTCAGTGCGATGCCTTTTGTACTGCCGGAGGACAATATGCAAATGAACCGTTGTCTCTGTGTGGACCTGAAGGAATAAAGCCTGTTGATCATGACCTTTTGCATTCCAGTTTGTATTATGTGTTTGGGGTGTTAACATGGGTTTCCAGATCCCTCTAATCCCTGGATCCAGCATGTGTAAAAATATAAGCCAGGCTGGCTTTCTGATGAAAGATAAAGCCAGAATTTAGAGTTGAAAGTGATGAGATGTCATAAAGAAGAAAAGCGACAAGCTGGAAAGCCAAAGAGGCAGAGCAGTGGTTGGTGTCTGTATGGATCCAAGACTGCAGTTACGAGAGAAGAAAGACCCTTTTGGGGTGTTAATGCCATGAACCCCTCCATCATAGGCTTAGCTTGTATATAGGTATAAATAAACCATATATCCTAAAGACAGCACCGTCTCCGCTGTGCCTCGCTTCCAAAAAGAAACATGAGCCCTGGTTGAGCACCAAGAACCCCTGGGATTTCGCACTGCTCACAGATTGGGGTGTTGTGAGTGGGGAAGAGGTTGATTCTTCACTTGTTAAGAACTCTCCTGGGAATTCTGCTAAGATTTGGTATTGTTTTTTTATGAGGTGCTTTATTCCGTATTACTGAAAGTGTTTCCCAAAAAGTATTCCCAATTTTAATGAATATCAGTGCAACTTTCTTGTCAGCTTCTTGAAGGGAAAACAAAGTATGCGTATAGCTATTTGTTTTTTAATCGTTTGCCATCAGTGGGTTGCTGTCGCTGCATGTCTGATGTCTCTTCTCCCCTCACCTTTAACTCCACCTGGCCTCCTTAATACCTCTGTATAACTATGCTCAATAACAAGCTGGGATGCAAAAACACACACAAACACTTTTGTAGATTCCTGTATTGTCACCACCCTCATATCCAGGATGCAGCAATGATGTTTACAATGTCCAGGATTCAGATCTAAATCCCAGCAGTTGCAGTGTCTCAGCTCTTCAAGACACACGTCTCCCCACCCTCACAAAAATACACACCACTCCTGCAGAAAACCTGTTCCCTTCTGGCCCTGTGACATAACCCAGCTACCAGGATACAGGGGAATTTTAGTTTCCTGCAGATGTTGTTCCCATCCCTGGACACCAAAAAGTGTCCACAACGACCTCCAACTCCCTGGAGCAGTCACTTCAAAGCTTGTTCTTGTGTTATTGTTGTTTTCTCTGCAAGGCATGTAGGGGACAAGACTCTGGGGACAGTCTGGGGATGTTTCCCTCAGCCCTCCTGCAACTGCCCCCCTCCCTGCGTTCATGCGGTGTGGTCTTGCACCCATTTGCGAAGCCTCCTAGCATAATAGACGGGGCCAACTGTGGAGAAACTTTTATCCCGGAACCGAAGGGTCTTCCAGAAATGCTCCATCTTCTTGCGGAAGTTGTAGACTGTGAACAGGTCAACAATACCTATGTAATAGCGATAGTCGGGACCATCGATCACGTGCAAGGCATTCCGCGTGTTGGGAAGGAGCCGTCTGTTCTGGGCCAGGTGGAAGAGTGACTCTGCCAGATGGTTGAAGGTTTGGGGATGCCCACCCTCCTCTGTTCCAACAGGACACTGGGCGGTCGGGTCGAAGTTGATCCCATGGAGCACGTAAGGAGCCAAGACTTCCTGCATGAAGGTCTCGCTTCCCCTAGAAGAGTCTGCCTCCTTGTCTGTGTTTGCTTTCCTCTTCAGGTACAGCGCCAGCATGTTCTGGATGGTGTACCTGCTTTCGGGAGAGAGCTTGTAGAACTGGTCCACACTAGAAGAATAGCCATGAGACGTGTGAGACTCCTGCAAGGCGTTCCCAAAGTTCTGGTTCTGGTGATCACTGTTAGTGTCAATCGACCTGTCAGGGGAACATAAGCGCATTTGAAGAGCCTTGCTGGGTCAGGCCAAGGCCCATTCAGTCCAACATCCTGTTTGTATAGTGGTTCCTTTCAGATGCCCTTTTTTGTCGATTCATGACAGTTATATGCAATACTGTATTCAGTACTGTTTGTGCCTGCAAAGCTTTCAAGGCAGACATACTCCTACATTTCCAACCAGTCCCCCCTAACTTCAGTTGAAACCAGGTAACTTTTTAATACCACAAGTGTTATTTAGTGGTGGACCATGGTGTCTCAAATTTCAGGGGAGCCCTGTACGATGCCAAAATTCAGTGCCCCCACGCCTCTTGACGTCCATTAAACATCATAGTTGTGGTGTCCCCTGTGGGGCCCGCAAGGCTTCATGCCAGTTGCACTCCCCAGTTGCACTCCCCTAATTCCATCTAAATGTTATGGAGAGGGGGAGATGTCCCACTTAAGTTGCACTTAGGAGCTCAAGAGAGCCCCTCTGGCCAACAATAATATAGTAGCACAGGGGAAGCATCACAGAACAACTTAGAAAGCAAAATGACATGTGGATGGTCCACCACAATTGAAATATTATTGCATCAGTGACCTGCAAAAATGTCTGCAACAAGTCACTGACTGCAGTAATAGTGCCCTGCTATGCCTTTCACACATGGGGCAACTGGGAAGAGCTTTTGGGGGCCATCCATAAATAAGATAGTATAGAATAAATACCGGTAATTCATATTTATTATAGTATACTGCATATGTTCTCCTCCACACATACAGGAGGACATGCAAACGTGTATGCAGGGGTATACAAGTTTGTAAATTAAAAGAAAATGTTTTGTTTTTTAAAAAATCTCAAGTTCTTGCAGAGGGAGCAGGTAGCCAGAACAGGGGGCCTTGTAAGTGTGTACCATGGCAAAGCAGGCATTGAAAAAAATTCTTCCCCTCTTTGACCGTGTATTGGTTGAAAGGTGTGCAGCTGAGACTGTAACAAAGGAGGCATTGTGATTCTACAAGCCACTGTTATGGCAATTGGAACAGGCTCTAAAGGCAAGGAGGGAGATACTCATCCAGTTAGTTTAAAAGTTGGTGAGAAGTTTCTGCTACTGGAGAACGATGGAGAAACAGTTCGACAAGGACTGTTTCATATTTAGAGATATTCTTGGAAAATATGTGGACTGAACAGTTCATCTTGATGCACTATCATTAAATTTTCATTATGATGATGATGATGATGATGATGAAAAAGTGCTCAAATGGTTTTGTTCCACCACATAAATAATTTCTTTATTTTTCCAATAAATACAAACTCTCCCAAATTACCAAGCATCATTCTGACTTCAAAATAAAAAAAGTGTGTGTGTGTGTGTGAGAGAGAGAGAGAGAGAGAGAGAGAGAGAGAGAGAGAGAAGGTGGTGTGAGAAGCACCTGGGAGCTTTCAGGGCTTGTAGAAGGTTGAGTTGGCTAGTAGAGGGTAGGGAGAAAGTAAGGGCCCTGCCAGACTGGCTTCCCCTATGACAGATACCCCCCACCAACAATAACAACAACCCCACCGTAGGGCCTCACATGCTTTTGGCAATGATGTTGGCAAGTGCGTGGCTCAGGAGCCTCTCGTCCTCATGAAGGGGCTGCAAGCCCACCAGAAGGCTGTAGTCTATCACGCCCAAATCCTTCAGGAATTGTGTGTCCAGCTCAAGCTGAGTCAGCATCCAGGCACGTTGTGGACCTGCAAGGATGAGAGATGGGCATATTCGGCCAGTCAGGGGTGAAGAGGTTGCAAGATCCCCTGTACTGAGCAGAAAAGCAAACTCTTTGGCCTCCGAGATCTCTCCCAACTCTCAGCAGCCCTCATTAGAGGAATTTTGTCCTGCTTTTGCTGAGCTACAACACAAGAGCGCACCCCCAGGTGGCAATAATGTGGTAACCCCGGGGAAGCATTGCAAAGCAACTGATAAAGCAGAATGATGTTTGTGTGGACAGTCCATTAGAAAGCTGCACTATTATTGCATCTATAGCATATTGCAGAATACGGCCCCCCTCCACACTAAAACATCAGTCTGGAAGGACAGTAGCTTTCATTTCGGAGATTGTGGTATTACATGTTGCCATTTATTTAAGATTATTTACTTATTTCATAAAATTTATACGCTACCAGATTGTAAGGAACATCAAAGCTGCTTACAGAAAGATAAATCCAAAAAATCAGGAAAAACTTACAATACATTAAACACTGAAGAAGTGAATACCAGAATAGATTAAAACTCCCTCCAGCACATCTAAGCATCTTGTCTAAATATGAATTATATTAGCAGGCATCAGAAAGAGTTCAATGAAGGCACATGATTGATATCAATAGGCAGGGAGTTCCAAAGTGCAGGTGTTGCCACACTGGAGCTCTTACAGGTGTGGAATGGGTGCGTGCCATGTGGCATCTGTAGCAGTACCAGTTCTGTCCACTGAAGCAGCCAAGTGGGCACATGTAGGTAAACTGGTCCCAAGGGGTTAAGGGTTTTGTATCCTAATAGCAGCCCCTTGAACCTGGCCTGGTCACAGATCAGCAACCAGTGCAGATCTCTGAGAAGAGATGTTATATATGCTGACAAGGCCTCACTCCTATAAGCAATCGTGCTGCAGCATTCTAAAATAACTACCGGTAATTGTTCTGTGGCAACAGGCTGCAATGACAACTCTTTGGGCATGCTACAGAATCCCTGATATTTGCAATTTCCGCCTAAGACACACGTTGTTGTTTTACACACACAGCTATTCTGTAGAATGCCTGAACAATGTGGGAGAGAACAGCTATTCAGTACTTTGGCTGGGTTTTATTTTTTGCAGAAAGTGTAGATTCCCCAGAAATTCCTTGAATCACTTGCACTGAAATGTTGCCTGTACACACGCACATATACCCCTGACCCCGCCTTTAGGGCAGAAATGGATGCCAACAAAATAGTCACCATTGGGAGCAGAATTCTGGAAAGGGTGGTCCAACACAACAGTGTACAAAGGACTTGATGAGTGCACAATATTGTGGTTAGGTGCCCAAGAATGTAAAGAGCAGCAAATTTGCTGTCAACTGAGCAAAACATCTGGTTCAACATCCTGCTGATGCTGTTTTCTTGTGAAAAAATAAATATTAAGCAGTTAATTTATTTATAAATAAACAAACAAACAGCGAAATAACACACACCCCTGGACTGCCTCCCCTGTTTTAGCACAAAGTGTGACTTTTGTAGGGACGGGGGCCAGGAAGGTGAGCATCTCTTTCAGGTCCTGCACAGGTGGGGTGGGGGGTGGCAAGACCTACCAAGGCAAATGGTCTTATCAGCAAAGTTTAGATCCTTAAAAACCACAATGATTTCGCTGCCCTTCGGGGCCGGATCTGTCCAGCGGCCCACATCACATCCTTTAATATCATACCTGCGAGGAAAAAGGAGGGCTGGTGAGTGCCAGAGAGGTGGTCTTCATTCCCTCACCTGTCGTCCAAGAAGGCCTGGGGCATCCCAGCAACAACATCCCCCTGAGGTAGGTCAGACACAAGAGATGTTGACACCCAAGACCACCCCAGTGAGCTTCCTGGCTGAGCAGGGATTCGAACCTGGGCCTGCTGGATCAACACTCCCAACTTGCTTTCAGGGCTCTGTTGTTCTTTCAGCAACCCATTTCCCTTCAGAGTAGCAGGCCAGAGAACAATTTTTCTAGTGAGAATAGTGGCTTCCAATCTGCAGTCCGAGCAATGATAGGGTCCCTCAGAGATTTATGAAGGAGACTCAAGATTTGCTGACAATGGACAAACTTCTCTTGCCCACTGCTACACCTCCTCTCATTCACTGCCAACACACAGCTTTGGGGGGGTGGTGCACACCAGACATGTCCCGGGGTGTGTGCAGTTGGGCCCAGGTCTTGCTGAGGCCAGGTACCTGCATCCAAGCTGTGGCAATTCATACTTGATAGAAACAAAAACAATAAATCCCTGCGCACAGAAATCTAGCATGTCAGGGAGAGGGATGGTAAGCCTTGCTTCAAAGAGCCCAGTCTTTGAATTTGATAGGGAATAAGGTCTTCCTCCACAGCACAACCCTGTGCACGTTCCTCCAGAAGTAACCCCCCTCCCTTTGTTCAACGGGGCTTACTCCCAGGGGAATAAGGAAGTCCAGCTTGACTACTGTAATTCGCTCTACACGGGGCTGCCCTTGAAACTGTCCCACAAACTCCAGCAGGTGCAAAATGCTGCAGCGAGGCTCCTCATGAGGTCCCTGCCATGGGAGCATATTCACCCAGTGCTTTACCGGTTGCACTGGCTCCCAGTGGAGTATAGGGTCAGGTTCAAGGTGCTGGTGGCTTAGGGCCCTCATATTTATGGGACCGCCTCTTCTGGTATGCCCCGCAGAGGACCTTAAGGTCCACGAATAACCATAGTTCAGAGGTCCTGGGCCCTAAGGATGTCAGACTATCCTCCACCAGGGCCAGGGCCTTCTCAGTGATGGCTCCGACCTGGTGGAATGCTCTGTCCCTTGAAACTGGGGTCCTTCCAGATGTAACCTCCTTCCGTTGGGCCTGTAAGACAGGGCTATTGATCTTTTATTTCCCTTCTCTTCCCTCCCCCTCCCCTTTATGAAGATTACCCGCTCTGAGACCCCACAGCTAATTCTCCCCTGGCCTCCCTGCTGGCCCAAGTAGGAACAATTCAGCCAGCTAGCCCTGGTGATTATCTAATGCTTATTTCCCCTAAATTGATTTCTGAATTTTATTGTTATTCATGTTTTTATACTGTATTTTATGCTGCTTTTACAATTAAGCATTTTAAATTCGTTGTTAGCCGCCCTGAGCCTGGTTTTTGAACCGGGAAGGGTGGGGTATAAATAAAATTATTATTATTATTATTATTATTATTATTATTATTAGCCCCAGGAGTGGAGGAAGGCCTCTATCGTCAACTCAGACCCACCCCCACCCCCCAGCTAAAAATGGTGCCATTCCTCTCAAACCATGCAAGGAACTCACCGCTCGACAATCTTATCATGAGGGTAGAAGATACTCTGCATGATGATGAAGTATCTCTAGAGGCACAAGGAGAAAACAGCAGCAGGTCAGTCCAGGGCTAAGACCGTTCAAGTATGCAGCACTCATGGCAGTGTGCAATCCCTCCCATAGGACGTTGTCAGGATGCTTAATGCTAAGATGGGATGCGGGTGGCACTGTGGGTTAAACCACAGAGCCTAGGACTTGCCGATCAGAAGGTCGGTGGTTCAAATCCCCTTGACGGGGTGAGCTCCCATTGTTCAGTCCCTGCTCCTGCCAACCTAGCAGTTTGAAAGCACGTCAAAGTGCAAGTAGATAAATAGGTACCACTCCAGCGGGAAGGTAAACGGCGTTTCCGTGCGCTGCTCTGGTTTCGCCAGAAGCAGCTTAGTCATGCTGGCCACATGACCCGGAAGCTGTACGCCGGCTCCCTCAGCCAATAAAGCGAGATGAGCTCCGCAACCCCAGAGTCAGCCACAACTGGACCTAATGGTCAGGGGTCCCTTTACCTTTAATGCTAAGACAGAAAGATGGGTGAAGGCAAGGGCCTTCCTCAATGGGTGGGGATGGGAAGGACCCCTAAGACCCACCTCTTTACCCTGGCTTTTAACACTTAAGATGTATATTTTTAGGACCCACTTTACTTCTGTAATTTCAACTTCTTGTAAACTATTTTTAATATTGTGTTTCAATCATTTTAACCTGCCCTGGGATCTGAGGGTGAACAGTGGGTAAACAACAACAACTTCTGAATGCTACTAAGCATTGCTGTTATTTTAAATAAAGCACCTACAGTAGGGGGTGGGGTTTAAGCCATGGGTGGTGGATCATATTCAGCCAAAAAGTGGGTCCCTAAAGACCCCCAAGTTTGTCATTTCTAAGAGAAAAAAATGAGTTTTTAAAAAGTGTTTTTTCTTTTGGTAATAAAAAAAATTATTGACCACCCCAACTGTGATGCCAAAGTCTTTTTCGTGCCCCACAAAGCTTTTAAAATTTGTCCATTAAAAAACTATTTCCCACCCCTCATTTTCAGGGTTTGCTGCTGTGATGCTGTGGTGCAAACAAGGCCCCTAAAAATGTGTTCAGTTAAAAAAAAGATTATTTTTTTTTAAAAAAAAATTGTACAGCACCTGAAAATCTCTGGATGACATTAAAAAAACCTCCAAAAAGCAAGACAGGCTCTGCAAAAAATGAGGTGGGGACAAGAAAACAAGCAAATGTAGGTGCCCGTTCTTCCCAAGTTAGATAATAAACATAATGGCTTGTAGCCAAATAAGTTCAGAGTAGAACCATTGGAATTAATGGGCCTACGTAAGCCAGGCTTGCCAGCTTCGATGGGTCTACTCTGAGCAGGGCTAGCACTGGGTACAACCCCTCAAGCTTTTCAAAATAAAAATGAGGGGGCTAGGAGAGGAGGGGTGATTACATAGCTGCCACCCCCTCTCCAGGCCTTATTTATAGATGTTTCTGTTGTGGCAATTATCTAACAGAAAACTCAAGTGTTTGAGTGCCAACAGGATTGTCTTCAAAACAGGGATATTGAGGAACAAGAGTGAGATATTTGTAGGTGTGCAGAAGCTGCAACACAGACCCTCCAAGTGCCCCTGATTTAGAGAAGCCATCCCAGTTTCTGATGTGATCCCGGAATGTCCTGCTTTTCCGTCCCTATTTTCATTGGAGAAATGTTGGAGGGTATGGAGTTATCAGACCCCTGAGCCTTCTGAAGGGAATTCTTTATAGGGAAGGTTTTTTTTAAAAAAAATGTTTAATGTTTTGTTATGTTGGAAGCTGCCCAATGTTGGGGCAACCCAATAAGATGTGTGGGGTATAATAGTAAAAATATCATCATGGAATGGGATGTCCCTATTTTCATCAGAGAAATGTGGGAATGTATGGTAACAAGGTTAGCTGAAATCAAGAGGTCAGCCATTTCTTCCCACCCCCCACAAAATGCCCTGGGGGGCGATGAGTGAACTGCCCTGTTTGAGCCCCCTAACTAGCTTATTTCAAGGCTGGAGCCCCAGCAGAAATATTCCAGTAAGGGAGCTCTGAAGCCCTGCAAAATCTCCTCACAGGTACTGTATATTAACTGAAGGAGGTGAGGACAGGTGACCCCACCTAGGCCCGAAGTCATCCCCCCCCAACCAGGCCTCAAACTGTCCAAAATTCCTTTTCTCTCTTCTAAAAATCCACAGCTAAAGTTTTCCTCTGTTTTCTCACAAGATGCTGTGGCAAAGGCAAAATGTTATTCTTTTATCAGTACGAGAAGGCTTCAAAAAGCTAATGAATAGGCTCTGTCATTGCCAAGAATACGCAGGCCTGAGAACTGACTCTTATCTCATTCAGTTGTAACACATCTTGAACACGCTGAACCGCAAGGCTCCTCGACCCACCCCCTAGGCTTCTACCCCGCTTTCCTGGGAAGAGGCCAAAAGAGTCCCAAAGACAGGAGCTTTCTGTTCATGCTCAGGAAACTCACTCAACATGGGGCAGGACTAATGAGGAGGAGGAGAAAGGGGAGGGAACTGGAGGGGAATATATGCTCTGTGCAAATGACTGTGAACCCGTGCTTGTTTGTGAGTTATCACACTTGCTCCTTCTACGAGCCCGGATGGTAGAAATAAAGCTTTTTCTCTGAAACTATTCCTTGAGTGTCTGTTGACTCCCATTTCCCTTTCCTGGGCACAAAGCTCTTCTCACCCGAGGCTAAAAAGGCTACATTCAATAGCTCACATAAAACCTTACCTTCTTTTCCCGAGGGACGATAATACTGTGGACACCTGTTGGAAGGAAGGGAGAAACACACATCACAGCCAAAGGATTTGGCCTAATCATAAGAAACATATTACTGCTGCTGACTTTTAAGGCTTGTTTTCATTCATATTCTACAAGCACGTCTTACCCAGGAATTTGACGAGGATGGAGTGAGGGTATCTCTCCATGTGCTCAAGATACTTGGCTAGGTTTGTGAGAAGGAATTGGATTTCTTGCTTACTCTGAGTCTTCAGGAAGAAGCGCTTATCATTGCTGTTTAAGACGGGGAGGGAAGCAGAAATTCACTTATTTGTTTAAATTTACATATCACTTTCTCATGCAAGTATGCCCAAATCAGCTTTCAACAGAACAAAACTGCAAATCAATACATCATTACAACAAAGCTCAAATATGAAATAACTGCATGGAAGGGGATTGGACTAGATGACCGTTGGGTTCAATGAGTTCAAAAGAACCCCCCCCCCCAACCCCAACCCCCAACAATCCAACAAATAACTCTGGTTGTTTATACGAACACCATAACATTTCAAAGTCATCATATAGCAAACTGTCAACCATTAAAATAGAACAACTAATGCAAAATGTAATTAACATTCCAATGTGATTGCATGTCAGTGATATTATAACCAGCAGTAACTGCCTGGCAAGAACTGTATCAACTGGTAGAAAAATTAACAAAGTCCATAAATTTTTGTTCTTTTGTTTTTCTTTATTTGCAATATATTTCATTCATAAACAGTGATTCATAGATAGCATATGTAGAGAGGCTAAAAATTTAAAATGTGTGCAATTTTTAGTAGAATTAGCGCACAGCTTGGAAGCTGGCTGTATACTGAATACATGTTGCTGAACGCACTCTAGTGGTAAAACAATCACATTGAGTGTGGAAAACTTAGTTTATTATAAGAAATACATATTGGATAGTAAACAGTTCCTACTCCAACTAACAAGCTGCAAAGGAGCAGAGCTTGCTCTCTGATCTCAGCAGGAGAGAGAAAGGAAGATGTATTCTCTCTGCTTCAGGAGGGACAGGGTAGGGTCAACAACCCTAAGAGCAGCAATCTAGTAATACACTGGTACCTCGGGTTAAGAACTTAATTCATTCTGGAGGTTCGTTCTTAACCTGAAACTGTTCTTAACCTGAAGCACCACTTTAGTTAATGGGGCCGCCGCGCCGCCACTGCACGATTTCTGTTCTCATCCTGAAGCAAAGTTCTTAACCCGAGGTACTATTTCTGGGTTAGCGGAGTCTGTAACCTGAGGTACCACTGTACTGTACAGTCATACCTTGGTTCTCGAACTTAGTCCGTTCCGGGAGTCTGTTCGATTCCTGAAACCCTTCGAAAACCAAAGTGCGGCTTCTGATTGGCTGCAGGAGCTTCCTGCACTCAAGCAGGAGCCATGTTGGACCTTCAGCTCCCCCCCCCCCCAAAAAAGTTTGCAAACCGGAACACTTACTTCCGGGTTTGCAGCTTTCAGGAGCCGATTTGTTCGACAACTAAGCCGTTTGAGAACCAAGGTACCACTGTATAGGAAAGGCCAACACATGTTAGTTTAAACACGGGTAGGCAAATTACGGCCCGGGGGCCAGATCCGGCCCAATCGCCTTCTAAATCCGGCCTGTGGGTGGTTCGGGAATCACCGTGTTTTTACATGAGTAGAATGTGTCCTTTTATTTAAAATGCACCTCCGGGTTATTTGTGGGGCATAGTAATTCGTTCATTCCCCCAAAAAAATCTAGACCGGCCCCCTGCTGAAAAAGTTTGCTGACCCCTGGTTTAGAAAGACAGTCTGGGAAGTTTGGAGGTACTGCTGTCTATTTGCTTTCTCCTTACGCAAATCCCATCCAGTATGAATGCAAATTGAGTTGCATAAGAGGCAGATCTGGGAAGCACAACTGGTTTGGTTGCACAGGGTGGGGAGTCTGGGGCACCACAAGGGATGCTGCAACTATGACTTAGAATGGAGCACAAGAGGTGGAATTTTGGCAGCGAACTGGATGCCGCTGAAGTGTGAGACCCATAGATCTGCCACTGGCTGCATTCTAGCAGCTCCAACATAAAATGCATAGGAATTCATAAATATATACAGTGGGACCTTGGGTTACAAGTGCTTCGGGTTACAGACACTTCGGGTTACAGACTCCGCTAACCCAGACGTAGTATCTCAGGTTGATAATTTTGCCCCAGGATGAGAACGGAAGTTGCACGCTGGTGGTGTGGCGGCACGGGAGGCCCCCCATGAGCTAAAGTGGTACCTCAGGTTTAGAACAATTTCGGGTTAAGAATGGACCTCTGGAACGAATTAAGTTTGTAACTCGAGGTAGCACTGTACTATAAAGTGCATAAAGAACTTATAGAGGCTAAAGTTTAAAGTATGGTACATTTCATAGCAGCTTGATCATAGAAAGTGCCCAGAGAAACACCTTCATCCGTGAGAGATGGCTGCTTAAGGCAGCCTTGGCCCAGTTTGGACACCTGCCTTCACACATGCACACACCCCTGTGTTGCAAAATATGAGTCAGCAATATCAAAAGCAGCACGGTGGCCAGAAACAATTACAACATGAAAAACTTTATGGAGTAAGTCAAAACATCAAAACCAACAAACTGAAGTCTCTGAAAGTCCTTAAATGAATCACGGTGCCAGACTTTACCCGGCGGAGAGCAAGCTGTGAAGCCTTGTATAATCAGCAAATGTCCAATTCTGATGTCCAACTCTGAACTCTGCTGAACAGTGTTTCCGGATAACAACTACTGTTTGGTTGAATTCTTCATCAGCCAATTAGTTCAACACTTGTAAGTAGAAAGATGTGTAATTTCTTCATTAACCAATCTTTTTTTGAATACAGTGGTGCCTCGCAAGACGAAATTAATTCGTTCCGCGAGTTTTTTCGTCTAGCGAATTTTTCGTCTTGCGAAGCACGAAATCCCATAGGAATGCATTGAAATCCAATTAATGCGTTCCTATGGTCAAAAAAAGTCCAAACAAAGCCAAATTTGGTACAACAAGAGTTTATTAAGTGCTCTTTAAAGTCACACATACTGTAAAGAGCATTTCAAAAACTGAAGGAACAATAAATTAAGTTTATAAACATGACAGAATAAAAATTAAAAATCAACAAAGTGTACATTACATTATCTAAGACTCTGGGGACCACTCGAAGAAGGTTCCTCTTCCACTCTTTGCTTCTTGCTTAAGAACCTGTCCATGGTCTGCTGCTTCATCCGCCTTTTCAGCACCTCCCTGAAAGACGACATGACCCTTGTATCAAAAGTGTTCGCAAGGTCACGTGTCACGTGCTTGTCAGGGTGGTTCCGCTCTGCAAAAGCCTGCACATCCTTCCACTTCAGGCAAATGTCCCTCAGTTCTTTGGAGGACAGCCGTTCCTCAGTTGCTTCCTCCTCTTCCTTCCTCCTCCTGCGCAGCCTCTGCCTGCAGTTCGACCAGCTCCTGGGTGGTCAGCTCATGGTCGTGCTCCTCCACCAGCTCGCTGACGTCCTCCTCTGTGACCTCCAGGCCCATGGTCCTCCCCAAGGCAACAATGTCCTGCACCACTGTTGACTCTGGTGCATCAGAGTCACTTGGTGCCACACAGTCCGGCCACAGGCTGCGCCAAGCGCAATTCAAATTTCTCTGGCTGATCCCTTTCCAGGCCGTGGTGATCATCTTCAAGCAGGTAACGATGTCGAAGTGGTCCTTCCAGAATTCCCGCAGGGTGATGGTGGTGCAATCAGTCACCTCGAAGCATAGCCTGAAAAGCTCCTTGGTGTAGAGTTTTTTGAAATTGGCAATGACCTGCTGATCCATCGGCTGGAGCAGTGGCGTGGTGTTAGGCAGCAGGAACATGATGTTGATGAAGCTGAACTCCTCCAACAAGTCCTCCGTCCTCCTCAAGGCCTTTAGGATGAGCAGGAGCATTGTCCATCAGAAGCAAAGCCTTCAGCGGCAGGTCGTTGTCCAGCAGGTACTGTTTGACAGCAGGGCCAAAAGCAAGATTGACCCAGTCCACAAACAGCACACGTGTGACTCAAGCCTTGCTGTTGGATCGCCACATGACACTCAGCTGCTCCTTGTCGACCTTGTGTTTCTTGAAGGCCTGTGGGTTCTCCGAGTGGTACACCAGCAGGGGCTTGATCTTCAGGTCGCCGCTTGTGTTGGCACAGAAGAGCAGGGTCAGACGGTCTTTCATGGGCTTGTGGCCAGGCAACTTGGCCTCCTCCTGAGTAATGAAAGTCCTTTTGGGCATCCTCTTCCAAAACAGCCCGGTCTCGTCGCAGTTGAAGACCTGCTGTGGAACGTAGCCCTCCGTCTTCACAATCTCCAGGAACTCCAAGGCAAAGTCTTCAGCCGCGGGAACATCAGAACTGGCAGCCTCTCCATGCCTGACCACGCTGTGGATTCCAGATCTCATCTTGAACCGGTCAAACCAACCTCTGCTTGCCTTGAAGACTTCTGGCTCGCCTGAGGTTCCTGGCTGTTCCCGGATGAGGTCTGCGTGCAAGGCCTTGGCCTTCTTACAAATCACGGCCTCAGTCACTGTGTCCCCTGCACACTGCTTCTCTTCTAACCAGATGAGGAGCAACTTCTCGACCTCCTCCAGAACAGCTGGGCGGTTCTTCACGATCCTGGTGACTCCCTTGGCTGCATCAGTCGCAAGGATCTTCTCCCTCATCTTCAGGATGGTGCCGATGGTCGATGGGTTCCTGCCGTACTCCCTGGCGAGGTCTGTCACACGCATTCCACCGTCGTGCTTCCGGATGATCTCCTTCTTCATTTCCAGCGTCACCTTCTCCTTCTTCCTCTCGCCGGCCTCTGCAGCAGCAGTCTTCTTGGGTCCCATGGCAGCACAGCTCCTAGCTTCGTAAACTCAGAAAAAAGAAAAAAAATCAGTGATGCACACCCAAAAAATTCAAAAGCACCCAGCCACCCACCACACAGGAATTCAAACCCAGAACCAAGTCCTTGAATTCCAAGCACCCAACCCAAAATCCAAAAACCCCCCAAAAAGTTTTAAAACTTTAACTTACGAAATGGCTGCAAATCACCAAAGTCTTCAAAATCCTCAAATGCCTGCAAAAGAAGTTTTGGAAAAGCTTTAAAAATCACCAAAGTCTTCAAAAACCTCAACTGTTCCCCCAGCCACCCACCCACCACACAGAAATTGCAAACCCCTCCCCAACTGTTGCAAACCCCTCCCCAACTGTTGCAAACCCCTCCCCAACTGTTCCCCCAGCCACCCACCACACAGAAATTCAAACCCAGAATTTTTTTTAAAAAAACAACAACATGGCCCAATGGTCACAGAAAATCATAAAAATTCAAAAAAACCCACACAAGCTCCCAGATTCTTGCAAACCCCTCCCCAACTGTTCCCCCAGCCACCCACCACACAGAAATTCAAACCCAGATTTTTTTTTAAAAAAAACAGCAGAGTGCCCCAATGGTCACAGAAAATCATAAAAATTCAAAAAAACCCCACACAAGCTCCCAGATTCTTGCAAACCCCTCCTCAACTGTTCCCCCAGCCACCCACCACACAGAAATTCAAACCCAGAATTTTTTTTAAAAAAAAAAAACAGCAGAGTGCCCCAATGGTCACAAAAAATCATAAAAATGCAGAAAAAAACCACACAAGCTCCCAGATTCTTGCAAACCTCTCCCCAACACCAAGTCCTTGAATTCCAAACACCCCAACCCAAAATCCAAAAATCCCCAAAAAAGTTTTAAACGTTTAACTTACCAAACAGCTGCAAAAGAAGTTTTGGAAAAGCTTCAAAAATCAGCAAAGTCCTCAAAAACCTCAGAAAAGGCTACCACACCGCGTGCAATGTGTTGCTCCTCGAAGTCAAGTCGCAACTGCACCTCTTCAAGCAATGCACCCTGGGTATTAATGGTTTTACGAAAAAGGAAACAAACTTGCAAGACGTTTTCGTCTTGCGAAGCAAGCCCATAGGGAAATTCGTCTTGCGAAGCACATCGAAAAACGGAAAACCCTTTCGTCTAGCGAGTTTTCCGTCTTGCGAGGCATTCGTCTTGCGGGGCACCACTGTAGATATAATATACATGAGAATGAAAAATACTCTGGAACAGTGTTCATGCGATTATGATTCATTGAAGGACTTTCAGAGACTTCAGTTTATTAGTTTTGATGTTTTGAATTATTCCGTAAAGTTTTTCACATTGTAATTGTTTCTGGCCATCGTGTTGCTTTTGATATTGCTGATTCACACACACACACACACACACACACACACACACACAGTGATGGGTTCAAGCCCCACACTGAGCAAAAGACTCCTGCATTCTTGGGGGGTTGGACTAGATGACACTCGTGGCCCCTTCCTACTTGACACTTCTATGATTCTATGCCCCAGCCAACCCACTGCCTTGCATGAGTGGCAGGGGCCACCAGAGCAGATGGAGGATGCGAAGAGGACAGAGAGCAGGGGAAAAGAGCTGTGAGAGGAGGAGAACACTTTCCCTATCCTTTGAACTCCCTGGGAAACTCAACAAACTTGCTGCACCTGGAAATGAGTGTGGAGAATGCAGCTGAATGGGAGACAGCTATAGGCAGTCTGAGGAAGCACCACCAACCCTGGGCCTGCCCATAGAAAGCAAATCTAGAGTTTGGATCCTGGGTGAGAATCCAGATGCTGAGAGGGAGGGTGTGTCAGAAGGAAAATGCTTAGTCTGGCTTGGTGCTTAGGCACCAGGCCAGACCAACTCCTCATTGCAAAGATGTGTGCAAACTGGACATGAAGTCTGGCAACATTAACCCCGCCATGTGGGAATTCCTTGCAGACAACCGCAATGCCTGGAGACAGACAGGTCGTGTGTGCTTCCATAGAAGTGACCAGAGGAGGAATGATCCCTGGGAGGAGCACAGAGAGAAGAGATGCCCGGGTGCATCTGCAGCAGCACAGTTGGACGCCTTCACCTGCTCCAGAGGCAACAAAACATGTCTCTCCCATATCAGTCTCCACAGCCACAGCAGGCGCTGTAACTCTCCAGTGGTTTGACTTCACCCCCAAAGACACACTCCTCCATTGTCACCTGAGACAGATGGATGCCAACAACAACCATGTATTAATGCAACATTTTTAATACAAATGAGCTGTTTGTACTATTGATTTTGGGATGCGGGTGGTGCTGTGGTCTAAACCACAGAGCCTAGGGCTTGCCGATCAGAAGGTTGGCAGTTCGAATCCCCTCGATGGGGTAAGCTCCTGTTGCTTGGTCCCTGCTCCTGCCAACCTAGCAGTTTGAAAGCATGTCAAAGTGCAAGTAGATAAATAGGTACCGCTCCGGCGGGAAGGTAAACAGCATTTCCGTGCGCTACTCTTGTTCACCAGAAGCGGCTTAGTCATGCTGGCCACATGATTCGGAAGCTGTACGCCGGCTCCCTTGGCCAGTAAAGCGAGATGAGCGCCGCAACCCCAGAGTCGGTCACGACTGGACCTAATGGTCAGGGGTCCCTTTACCTTTACTATTGATTTACACTATTGAATCCAGTCAGAATAATGCTAGGCTGGATGGACCGCGAGTCTGACACAGCACAAAGCAGGTTCATATGAATATATTCACATTATTCCCTGTATTTCCAATGTGCAGGCTGTGTGTGCTGATGCTTATGTATCTAGAACAGAACCACCCATCCACAAGCAGGCTTGGGAGAATCCCAGAGTTTGCCAATGTACAAAAAAAAAACCCTTTGGAGGGAATCGTAAATGAGGGTGAGGGCAGTGAAGAGACCGACTCAAAGTAGTCCAGTGAGAACTGAGCATGCTCAGAGTGCATGGAAGGCTCACGGATTGTTGTGGGGAGGGGCAACCAAAAGCCAGGGAAGCAGGGCAGGGGAGATATGCTGAACAGCAGCGGGACACGCTGCAGCTCTTTATTGCAGGTCTCACATGTGTCTTTTCTTGCTGTGGACAAGGTAGTTCTCTGACCTGAGGAAGAAGTCAGCCGTGCTTTTAGAGTTGCTGATGAACTGCAAGTATGAGCTGTCACAAGTCAGTGACCGTTGGTAATCGACATCTACCATGCCAAGGAATTTTCGGAACCGGGTAAAAGCAGGAGCAGCGTATGTCCTCATCTCAAAGCCCTGCCGGGAAGCAGAACTGAGGTCAGTGCAGAGAAAGGGGCGGCCAGAATGCTCAGGGGCCCAAAATGCTGCCCTTCTGGTGGAAAGCCCTTACAGCTGAGCAAAGTCCCTGATAGGGAGGGGATGATTCAATTCAGTTCCCATTTCAAGGCAAATATATCTGCTGCGCACTTTTCAAAGCAATATGTGGGAACTGGAACACAGCAGACCTTCAAAATGTGGACTCATCCAAATCGCCCATTGCTAAGTTCTCCAGCCAAGTAACGTGTGAAAAAATGCACACTAAAAGTGTGCTTAAAATGCACATATTAGTGATAATAGACACAACATACGTTATATTAGGAGGAAATTGCTTAGCATAAAATGTGTTTATTAGGGTAAATTACATACATAGACACACGTGCTCACTTCAGTCTAATTCAATCTCTGGAATTGGCAGTGTTACATGTGCCACATAATACTCATTCAGCATTTTTAAGAAATCTATCTTTTAATCTAGCAGCACCCACACTTTGGAACTCCCTGCCTATTGACTTCAGGCAGACACCTTCACTGTACTCTTTTTGGTGCCTTCTAAATATATTCTTGCTTACCCAGATATGTATAATGCTGACATGTGTTTCAATTTGTGTTTACCTTATTGCTGACTTTTAATGTTATAAATAGCTTTCTAAAACTTTTTTTACTGTTAATTTCATTCCTGAATTTCATTCTTTTTGTATACTGCTCTGAGGCATTTTGTATTTTAAATTTCTATTCCTCCCTATAGCCGTAGATCTCAGGGCAGTTTCACAACAAACGTTATGAAATAGTAAATAAATAAGGAGAAATGTGAGCTCAGGTGCTGATGAATTTTCATGTGAAGAACTGAACCTAATGCTGGAAAAAGGAGGAGTGGAGAGAATCTGGAATGTTGTACAGATCTGCCCAGCCCAAACCCAACTTGTGCTTGGGAAGTTTCCTTTGGGGACCCCCACCCCCACCCTTCAAAGGATGCCTACCTCGTGCATCTGCCTGAGGACTGCCTTAAACTGATCCTCCCTCAGGACGTCCTGCAAAGAGAAAGAGAGTCAGAACACCCACCCTTTCCCCCTTCTTGTCCTCAGAACTCCCAGCAAATTCCTCAGGATTTCCCAGCAAATTCCTCACAGGCTTGTCACCAATAAAATACATCTCTTTATTATCATATGTGGTGGACGTGTCCTAAGGTGAAAGACTTCTGGGAAAAGAAATATAATGAGTTGAAAAAAATATTGAAAAATACATTTTTTAAAAAACCCAGAAGCCTTTCTACTTGGAATAATAGGATTGGAATTGCCCAAAAAAGATGTTAGACTGTTTTTTTATGCCACTACAGCGGCAAGACTTTTATTAGCCAAAAATTGGAAATCGCAAGAGATACCAACAATAGAAGAATGGCAGATGAAGATGGTGGACTTTTTGGAGCTGGCCGACCCGACTGGAAGAATCCGTGAACAGAAAGAAGAGGAGACACAAGAGGATTGGAAGAACTTTAAAGAATATTTGGCTAAATATTGTAATTTAAGAGAAAGAGAAATTTCTTGGAAGTAATAATTAGGCTTAGGGGTAGAATAAGAACATGTTGTTAATAAATATTAAGGATTAAAATATTAATAAAGGAGAAGAAGTTAGTAAATGAAAGAAGTTAATATTATTAGAAATATGAATTTGGAGAACTGCTAAACAGGAGATATAATGAAACTCAGTTAGAGGGATTCGAGGAAGTCCGTTATCAATGAAATAAAATTAGGATTTGGAAGTAAAAATTCTTTTTTATGTGTTTTTCTTTGTTTTTGTGTATTGTAATGTTTTTCTTTTTTCTTGTTTCTTTTTTATGTGATAAATGAGAAAACCAATAATTTTTTTTGAAAATAAAATAAAATACATCTCTTTACATGTAATAAAAACTTGAATCTCTCAGGCATTTCTCAAATGCTGAGGCTGCTGAACAGCCTCTTGCACTGGGTTGCTGTTTAGGGGGTATGGCATGCGGGGTTGTTGCTGTTAATTTTATGTGTCTCTATTATGGATCTTATGGTTTATGTCAGTGGCTCTCAGAAGATGTGGTGCACCACAATGGTGTGGCAGTAGAGGGTGGGAACATTCAAGGCCAAGTGTGTGCTCAGAGGAAACTCCCATCATCCCTGTCCATTGACCATGCTTCCTGAGGCGATGCGGGTTGAAGTCCAAAAACATCTGGAGGGCCACAGGTTCTCCATGCCCAATGACAGGGAGCCTTTCTTCAATTCAAGGGCCTCGTTGCTTTCTGAGCAACCTTCAAAGGGCCAGTGGGTAGGTGGGTGGGGCTGGGGCAAAACTGGGCAAAGCAAAAATGTTGATACTACCTCTGGACCGTGCAATGTTTGCTCACCATTTTTTGTGCGAAGAAGACATCTTACGTGCAGGAGGCTAGTTTCTACATCCACATTCACACACCCTTCCCCATCCTCTATCTAGGCAAGAAAGAGCCATGATCAAGGATGCATCCCAGTGAGGCAGGAACACTCCATGAATGTGCAAAGCAAAGGCAGCAAGGAGTGTGACTTGGGGAAGAGGGGTGTGGCCTCAGGATAGTCGTGAAAGCCAGATAGATAAGCCTGGGGGAGACATTTAGGCCTCGGGCCTCAGAGGTTTTCCACACATGGATTCACATAGCACCATCTATACATACCAAGAATGAGGAACCTGCCACTCTTCAGCTCTTTTCTCGCCAGAGTGGTGCATGCTCTGGTTATCTCCCACTTGGACTACTGCAATGCGCTCTACGTGGGGCTACCTTTGAAGGTGACCCGGAAACTACAACTAATCCAGAATGCGGCAGCTAGACTGGTGACTGGGGGTGGCCGCCGAGACCACATAACACCGGTCCTGAAAGACCTACATTGGCTCCCAGTACATTTCCGGGCACAATTCAAAGTGTTGGTGCTGACCTTTAAAGCCCTAAACAGCCCTGGCCCAGTATACCTGAAGGAGCGTCTCCACCACCATCATTCAGCCCAAACACTGAGGTCCAGCGCTGAGGGACTTATGGTGGTTCCCTCATTACGAGGTTACAGGGAACCAGGCAGAGGGCCTTCTCAGTAGTGGTGCCTGCCCTGTGGAACGCCCTGTCATCAGATGTCAAGGAAATAAACAACTACCTGACCTTTAGAAAACATCTGAAGGCAGCCCTGTTTAGTGAAGTTTTTAATATTTGATGTTTTATTGTATTTTTAATATTTTGTTGGAAGCCACCTAGAGTGGCTGGGGAAACCCAGCCAGATGGGCGGGGTATAAATATTAGTATTAGTAGTAGTAGCAGTAGTAGTAGTAGTAACTCCCACCATCCTTGTAACTGTAACTCAATTGGCCAGGGCCAATGGACCTTGGGAATCCAACAACACCTGAGGGGCCACAGCTTCTTCATCCCTGATGTGGGCCTCTCTGCCCTCTCCTTCCTAATAGTGTGGGTTGCCAGATCTGGGTCAGGACAAGTGTTGCCGTCATCCCCCAACCTGCCCCGCCCCGTGGACTAGGCAGCTGGAGTGGAGGCGTGCACCTGAGAGGAGAGGCTTTCTCCCTCCTTTGTGGGTGGCACCGCTGCCCTCCCCCTCTATCCCTCTCAGCCAGGCCAAGCAACACGTGAGTGGCGGTAGGAGAGCTGAGGGCCGCTGTCCTCACATATTCTGCTGTTGCCCACCAACCATGGCCTCCCACCGCCAGCAAGGCCAACGCCAGGACCACTGAATGGAGGTGCCACCGCTCCGCACACAACGACCCCAACTCAGCCTCTTCCGTAGCCTCCTCCTCGCCCTCGGTGGAAGCAGAGGACTCCTCTGTGAACTGGGTCACGACCACTGCTTCCACTCGTGCCTTGCGTTCCCCTGGCCCTGCCACCTCCATCCTCGACACCTCGCAGGCTGGGCGAGCGAGCCCTCACCTCTTGGCCAGCCCAGCAGCTGGGTGCATGGGGGCATCTGAGAAGGACCAGGAAGCACACTGGCCCAGCCCGGGCGTGGCTTCCCTCCCTGCGTCTCCAGAAGGCAACAGAAGCGCAGCAGAGAGCCTGCCATAGGAGCACCTAGTTCAGGGGTAGGCAACCTAAGGTCCATGGGCCAGATGTGGCCCAATCACCTTCTCAATCCGGCCCACGGACGGTCCAGGAATCAGAGTGTTTTTACATGAGTAGAATGTGTCCTTTTATTTAAAATGCATTTCTGGGTTATTTGTGGGACATAGGAATTTGTTCATATTTTTTTCTTTCAAAAAAACCCACCACATGGTCTGAGGGACAGTGGACCGGCCCACGGCTGGAAAAGGTTACTGACCCCTGACTAGTTGAATCCCTCTCAGGATTCTGCACCTGGTTCCCCCCCCCCCACTCCGCTACTGCCTCCTCTTAATCTTCTACACCTGGCTCCAGATGGTCAACCTTGGGGTTCAAGGGGAAGTGGGAGGAAAAGTTGATCCCCCAAACACAAAATCAGCCCATCCCTGTGCCCAGAAGGCTCCTGTTTCACAGTTGCCAAGGAGGCAACGCAGGTGGGAGTAGAACCTGCCCCCCCCCCACATCCTGCAGCCCAAACTCACTGTGGTTACTGGGTTATGGATAGCATGATTGACAGATGCCCTGAGCCCCTTCTTTATCATACTGGTGAACTGATAGAGCGGGTGATCCTCGTTGATTTCAAAGAAGCCCAAAAGGTTCCACTGCTGGCGGATTCTCCAGAGGATCCGGTACAGGAATGGGTTAAACCTCCGACTTCTACCTTTAGGTAGGATCTCGCAGTGCTAAAAGGGAAGGCAGAGGAAGGAAGGAAGGAAGGAAGGAAGGAAGGAAGGAAGGAGTAAGTCAGTAGTGGATGGGGAGAGGCAAAGTGGGTAGAATCAGAGTAAGTCACACTCAGAGCAAACCCAGCAAAATCAATATACAGTGGTGCCTTAGTTCTCATACTTAATCCGTTCTGGAAGTCAGTTCCAAAACCAAAGCGTTCCAAAACCAAGGCGTGGTTACCCATAGAAAGTAATGCAAAATGGATTCATCCTGAAGGGTCACCAGCTTTTTAGCGTGAATTTCTACCAGTATATTTATTTTTGTAAGCAATTTTGTGTTTCGCATAGTTTCAGAAAGTGCACGGTTTAAATGCAAACCAAATCAGATTTCTTCCCCGCTGCTGATATTCACTGGGTGATGTCTGACGGAGTGTGGTGCAGCTGAATGTTACAGCTGCTGTAGCGGGTGATCGTATTGATGTATACATTGCCAGGTAGCCTACATGTGAAGAGGTGCAAAAAAAAAAGTGTGTGTGAAAGGATATTGTTAGGATAATCTGCTCACTGTATGTGTCAAGAATGTTTGTGCAGGAAAAGAATGCAGCCTTGGACCAGTTTTGTAGAAGGTAGACACTGAATTATTCCTGCTGAATCAGGCAACCAGCTCTGATAATGCAGGCATGCTTTTCCTCTGAGAATGTGAATTTATATGCATGTGTACAGAAGTATACCTAGACTCCCTTGCGCCATTGGCAAGGCAATTTAACAGTGCCCCCCCCCAGTCCCTTAACACCCTTGGCAATCGCTGGCTCTTTCTGTACAATTTTTGCATCCCCTAGGTCTGCGCTGTTGGTGGGGGGCAACCTAGCCAACCCCTAGTTATGCCCCTGAATGTGTAAAACTAAGGTGGGGTTTTGCCTTTCTATAAGCATGTATAACTTATGGGCCTGTGGACTCTGCTTTTGTGAGTTCCTCAGTGGCCGCTCTTGTTCTGAGCAAACTAAAGCTGCCTTAAACATCATAAATTGAAGAAAATCCGCTATAGCTTTCTCCAATCTATGGATCTCCAAACGTTATTTTTCTGGGGCTTGAAGGGTATATAAGGTAAGAATAAATTCCTTGGCAATATCTGATTCACCACATCACGACTGAGTTCATGGTTTACCACTTATCTGATTTTTTGGTAAGACTGGCCAGTAATTTCTGCTGCAAATGTTGTTGAATGGATTCCAAATGATAGTCCCAAGATGTAACATCCTTTGCTAATGTTATTGTACCAATGAATTTATTCAGATATATATATATATATATATATATATATATATATATATATATATACACATATACACACCGTATTTTTTGCTCTATAAGACTCACTTTTTCCCTCCTAAAAAGTAAGGGGAGATGTGTGTGCGTCTTATGGAGCGAATGCGGGCTGCACAGCTATCCCAGAAGCCAGAACAGCAAGAGGGATTGCTGCTTTCACTGCGCAGTGGTCCCTCTTGCTGTTCTGGCTTCTGAGATTCAGAATATTATTTTTCTTGTTTTCCTCCTCCAAAAACTAGGAGCGTCTTGTGGTCTGGTGCGTCTTATAGAGCGAAAAATACGGTATATATATATATATATATATATATATATATACACACACACACACCACTTGAATGCAGCAAAACCTCTACGCAGTTTTCAAAAAATATTAAATTTATCAATTAAAAAAATTAAAACAATGGAACTCACACACACACACATATATATAATGGTAAAAGAGATTAAGCATGTCAAGGTGTCTGGATCAGCTTCCCTAAACAAAAATGTTTTAAGCAGGTGCTGAAAAGTATATAGCAAAAGAACCTGTCAGGTGTCAACAGGCAGGGAGTTCCGAAGTGTAGCTGCTGCCACATTACAAGGTCTTTTTACTCACAAGCGCAGGGTCTTCTGGGGCACCTGTAAGTGCCAGCTCTGTAGATCAATGCAGAATTCTATTGTTTGTCTTGATTTTATCCCAGATTCAGTCCTCAGAAGGACTAAATGCAAGACCAATCACTGGAAATGTAAGGAAGCAACAGTGGCCTAGAAAATTGTGGATACTCTTACCATATGTCTTGAAGTGCATTTGCACTTGCTCATGAAATATATGAATCCCAGATGCCATTTTCATTTAAAAACAAAAACCTCTCAGTTGCTAAGTTGTGAACAGGAATGGTTAAACCCCATTAAAAAGGGAAATACTCTGCCAATTGTTGTAAATGGATTTATCTCACAGAAAAGTGGCTCTTATAGGAAATGCCTGGATTGGCTCCAGTGTTAGTTCAATTCAGGCACATTAAAAATAGCGGCCAGGACTAACGTAGCCCCACAGTATTTTATTTCAGTGGGTCCTATCTTGAAAAGGGAGTAGCACTGCGTACATCCCTTAGTTTTAGCTTCTGTGTATCTTGATATTAGTATAAAATACATTTGTTTGTTTGTTTGAAACCGGGACATACCTGGAGGGTACCAGATTGGGAAGAGCACCGCACCCCATAGTCACCTTCAACTGGACTTAACTGTCCAGGGGTCCTTTCTCTTTACCTGTGCCATCAAATAAATACCATATGCACATGGAATTGCCGTGAGGTCTCACTCCAAGGAAGGGGACAGGAAGCTTTAGGGAACACACTGTCACTTATCTGGGAGTAAAGCCCCATTGCGATCAGGGGGACTTTCTTCTGAGTAAACAGGCAGAATTGTCTGGGAGCCCTTTAAAAGGACCTGGCAGTGTGCTCCACTGAGATGTAAGAAACATGGATTAAGAGTGTTAGGGGACCCTGAGGGCTGCATTTGCTTCTGGGCAACATTCCGAGGGCCACATGACAGTGGTGGGTGGGGCAAAGGCAAAAAATGGGCGGGGCACCAAATGTAAATATTCCTTTTGTACAATAGGTTTGGTTCTATGCCCACCCCCCTCTATCCTCCATTCAGGCAACTGAGAAGCATGTTCAGAGTTCAAGGACACATTCCAGCCAGGCAAAAACACCTGGGCTGCACTGTAGGCCCAGTGAGGGGTGTGTGGTTGAGGGAGAGTTCTAAGGGCCAGGCAGAGAGGTGTGGAGGGCGACACTTGACCACTGGGCCCGAGGTTCTGTATTAAAGGATTGATTTGTGGATTCTGCACAATCACCAGGAAATGAGCCCACCAATGATATGGACTGACTTCCCACAAGCCTTTCATTTTGTTCAAAACAAGGGAATGTGAATACGAGTCCATTACTGGGATGTTTTATGGTGTGGGGCAGCCTAGCCTTCCAAATGCTCCAATAAGTGTCAACTTTGTGACCTGGAGCAAGGGGTATGAGGAAAGATCACAGGTTTTTGTGAACGAGTGGGGAAAAGTTTCCTACATACCTGACTTTTGGAACTCATGATAAACGGACGGGTCGCACAGTCACTTCTGAGAGAAACAAGCTGGTGACGACCAGGTGCATTCTAATCTCCCTAGAAACCACGGAACCACTCGGAGGTTCCTTTCCGAGATGGCAGTTCAGTCACCTTGTCTTGTGGCCTTTCAGAGGGCCACGTGGGAGTTCCATTGCATGAGGAGAAGAAATTGGATCGGGTTCTTGGGCCGAATGACAGAGGAGGCTGGTCCATACAGGTGAGTGTGGCACTGCCTCCACCAACCACACTCTGCCCTCAGCCAGCTGTCTATCCATCATGGACACCGACATATCCTCCAACATTCCACAGATTAAAATAGGGACATTTCACACTCCCCGCTCCCCATATTTCATCCCACCCACACTGAGCATTTCCTATCAGAAGAAGAGCAAGTGCCACCGCCACTACTCCTATGGGACACAGAACACTTGCCCTCCAAAGTCTTGAGAAAACCCCTTAATAGAGATTTTATTTTTTGGTAGATTTACAAAAAAGAATGCGCGCCCCAATAAATAAATTTTACAAAGGGGCAAGATCAGATGCACAAAGCATTTTTTTATATTAAAAAAAAAAAATCACAACTTTGAAAAGTGTGGAACAAATAATGGGAAGACGTGTAAGCACCCTGCAATCAAAGGTGGGTTAATAGAGGATGAATTCTCCCTGTCATATAACTGCCCTGTAAACAAATAAAAATGAATGCTCAATAAAGACCAGGTTTGGGTCACATTCACACCATACATTCAGACCATGTGACCCCCCCCCCCCCGGGAATCCTAGGAATTGCAGTTTGTTAAGGATGCTATGACTTGCAGCTCTGTGGTGGATGAACTACGGTTCTTTGAGGGAAGCCATGTGCTTAATATATGGTTTTAAATGTAAGATGTGGACGTGACCCCATAGCCCAACCACCACATAAGCTTCATGCAAGCAAATCAGGATGAAGGCTGAATAAACAGGGCTTCTGGAGGAACATCCGGACTGGAACATCATCTGTCTTATGCCAGGTCAGACTGTCTATAACCAGCCCAGTCTTCTCTCTTCTGCCTCTTCAGGACTTCAGAGAGAGACCACCCCCTGCTTCTTTTCATTGGAGACACCAGATTTTGAACCTCTTCCCCACTCCTCACTCACCACCAACCACAATGGTTTTTTGTTTGAGGAAGGCAGGGGTGGTGCGTCCCATTTCGCTGCCTGAGGTAAAATGGGAAGATGCTACCTGAGGTAAAACGGGGAGGGGCCAGCTGAGGCAAAACAGGAAGGTGCCACTCCACCCCTGCCAAAATATGGCCCTATAAAGCGGGGGGGGGGAAATAAAGAAAAGAGATGGAGCCTGCAAAACTGTACCCATGGAAGAAACCAGCGCATACTTTATTACCAGAGCTGCTGGGGATTACGGGGCAAGAGCCTGGGGAGACAATTCTGAGGAGGAGAGTCTCCAATACATACATAGGCAGAGGAAATAATAGCAATAACCAAAACTAGAAGAAGAGGGGCCATTAACTGTTTATTCTGATAAGCTCAATACACTTTGGTCAGGAAACCTGTTTTCAGCTCAAAGAGCCATACAGAGGGTTGTCCAATGCTAGTCCTATTTCACAGTAGACCCACTAAAAGGAATGGGGCTAAATTAGTCATCCCCAATCATTTCAATGGGTCTAAGCTGAGTAGGACTGGATTGGATATTCTTTTGCACTGCTTTTCGGGCACTGCTTCCAGCTTTTCCTCTCCTCTTTCTCTTTTTAACGTTCAAAAGACAGGGTGGTTTCAAAAAAGGTTCTTCCTGCTTGCGAATCCCCATGCTGTGAGTGGAACCATCAACCCCCCCTCAGTGTTTATACCTCCATTTAACAGATGTGCAGTCTGAGCCCCAGAGCAAATGCCAAGCCCAGCTAGTGGGTTAACTTTCCCTGCCTCTGGGTTAATAAAATTACAAAGCTGAATTAATACTCCAGGACAACAAAAGCGGGCTCTTGTGTGCTTCTTGAACTCCTTAAAAACCAGGCCAGCCAGGCAGCCTCAGACAAGCTCTAAGTCGGGGTAAGGAATCTGTGGCCCTCCAACCATTGGAGGACTCCAACTCCCATCAGCCTCAGTCAGCACAGCCAATGCTTAGGGATGATGGAAGTTGGGAGTCGAACAGCAACACTGGCAGGGACATAATTGCACACATACAAACATGCCACAGCTGTAAGCAAAGCTCTGCTCTCATGTGGGACCTGCTTACAACTCTGGGTCAGCACAGCAGTAAGAGTGCCGGTTTCAGCTATATGACCCTGCTTCAAAAGTCAGGCTGTCCAAATGCTGCCAGTAAACATGTGGAAGTGTTCCTAGGAGCTCTTTTGCAATTTTGACAAGCAAAGGAGCTCGCAGGATGCAGCAGATCTGCCCAGGGCTTCACAGTGACGGCAGGACACTGTACTAGGGGAGGCCGAACTAAAGGAAAACACGGTCCAAAGAGCTGAAAGGGGAGTGAGATTGTTGGTGGCAGAGAGATGGAATTGAAGGAGGTGGAGGAGGCAGGGGAAGAGGAAAAAGTGTATCAACAAAAAGAGGTTGCAGTGCAACCAGAGGTAGCCAATATGGCACCTTGCAGCTGCTGTTGCGACTCTAGCTCCCATCAGGCCCCAGTGGTTCAGGGATGGCAGGAGATGTAGCCTAACAACATCTGGAAGGGCCACAGGTTCTCCATCTGTACTCCAAGACATCCCCTACAGCATTTCAGAGATGGAGGAAGACCTCTGTTTGGACAAGGCCTCCCTTCCTGAGAAGGGATGGGGAACCTGGTGCCCTTCACTTTGGGGTGGAGTTGCAACCACTGGATGGCCAATGGTTATGGGATGATGGGGGTGAGTGTGACAACATCTGAAGAGCATCTTGCTGGCTACCCCAGATTTAGGCTCTTTACTGGGGTAGCCAAGAGGACATTGGGGCACTGATCTAAGTATTCCAAAAGGCTGGAACAGAGCAGCATTGCTTGTGGTGCCTCTGGCTTTGAGTCCCTTTGGTCCATACCCAGACTGGGACATAGCTGATGAGGGTAGCAGCCAAGTCCCTCTGCCCTTCCTAGCATCTGCTGCTGGTGTCTGCTAGTTATTGTGGGCTGGGCCGCCCCAGAAAATGTGTTGCTGTTCAATAAAAATGATTTGGTGGGGGGAAAAACCACACACGTTGCTGCTGTCAAAAGTGCCTGCAGGATTTCCTGTGTCCTCCTTCCTTCTTGCCACCTTCATGCAGATTTCTTCACAGTCTTCCGGTTCTTCCATGTGATGGTGGCTATGAACGTTCCTAGTGAAACACAAAGGGAGGGAAATCTGTTTTAAGACACTGCTGTGCTGCCCTGAACAACGTCAGACTCTCGGCCATCATGTTATTTAAGAAACAAAGCTGTTGTACGGCAATAGAACCATTGGTGCATTGGAAGAACTCTTCTCTATATATCAAAGTGAGGAAGGAACCTCATTTCCTCACCCCCTAGGCTTTACATTGCGCATTTCAGGTTATGTGAAAGGAAGAACAGGCAACACAAATAAGACAGGTTCTGCTGAGAAGCCAGTTCCATCAGGCACCCCCGTCGAGCGATTGTCATCTTCCAGCAACTATTCCATCAGGCTGCAGCAGAGGGAAAGAAGGTAAGTGGGGCTACTCCATTGGCCTGCAAAGAGACCAGCAATTTCTGACTCCTTTCCTTGAACAGTTTCCCATTCCAGTCGGTTGTGGGGAGGTACTGCCCAAGCAGGATTACCGCCCCCTGCTTTCTTCAGGGTTTGGGTACACCAAACAGTTTCTAGTAAGAACTTGCTGGCATGCCTGAACCAGACAGGATTTAACTCTCTGGTCACCAGCTGATGTGCTATTCAATCCTGCTTTCTGCAGCCGTGTCTCTACCTGCCCCACTACTGATCTCACATGCGACGTCAGGTGTGGGGCAAGTGGGCATTGGTTGGGGCTCGTGGGCAAAATGGGGAGGCTGGATGTTTCCCACCCCTGAACTACTACCTGTGTTTGCTTTAATCTCCTCATTCTTTCTGTGACATGCCTTTTAGATTGTTGGCTGGGGCTGATGGAAGCTGTAGTGCAACGAGATCGGGAGGCTTGCCCCCCCCATTCTTATTTTTTACAGCTTTTACATTTTGTATCATTTGCTGGCCAGAGAATGTTAATTATTGGGCAGTACACCCATATTATGAATCAATACAGAGATTTCTTGCTAAGTCCTTATCACAAGTTTCCATCTGTAAAAAAACAAAACACAACATGAAGACCTGGAGATATGACTTACCTATAAAGAGCAGCAACACAAGCCCCGCAACTACAGGGATGATCACCGAATACTCTCGTGGCAAAAAATACTTGTGAATCAGGTGGTCAATTTCAATGAAGGGCTGAAGGAACAGGTACATATGTCAGTGAGTGCAAATGGGAAAATGTTTCTGCCTGAACCCTCAGCAGCAGACCAGATTCCAACACCCCTCCACCTTTTTGCACAGAGATTTTGTGAAAGTCAAAGGGACCACAAACTCAGTGGTTAGGGAGCTCACGCTTTGCATCTGGAATTTCCTGGATTCAACCCCTGAAACCTCCAGTAAACAGGACCACAGAGTGGGCGACTGGAAAGACTTTCCTACAGAAGTTCTGTAGCTAAGTGGCAGAACATCTGCTTGAAATGCAAAAGGCCACAAGTTCAATCGTCAGCATCTCCTTGTAGGGCTGGAAAAGTCCCCAATCTAAAATCTGGGGACCCACTGCTGGTCAGTGTTAACAATACTGAGCTAGATGGGCTATTTGTGTGACTTTGAATAAGGCAGCTTCTTATGTTACTCTTTGGGAAGTTTGTGGCTCAGTGTTGAAGCATCTGCTTGGCATGCAGAAGGTCCCAGGTTCAATCTCCAGCATTTCTTGGTAAGACAGGGGGAAATCCCTGTCCAAAACCTTGGGAGAGCTGCTATCACGATTGTGCTGCAATTGAATTTGCAAGAACCGGTGTTGTGCCATGGTTCAAGTGAGACTAGGGAGTCGGATTTAAACCCACACTCAGTCACAGTGCTTACTAAGTGCTGCTGGTTCAGTCACTATTGCTCAGCCTAACCTCCCTCACAGGCTTGTTGCGAGGATAAGCTGGGGACGGGGAGAATATTACAGAGCACCTTGAGCTCCTTAGAGCAAAAGTAGAGAACCGTTTTCAGCACAGGGGCAACATTCCCATCTGACCATCCTAAGAGGCACATGCTAATGTTGGGTGGGACCAGAGGCAAAAGTGGGCCAATCAAAGAATGTAACATTTCACCTTATACAGCAGGCTAATTTCTGCACACACACCTCTCTACCTTCCATTCAGGCAGGTGACGGGTGAGCTCGGGGGGGGGGCAGTTCCGAGGGCCAAACAGAAAGGCCTTAAGGGCCGCATTTCATCCCCAGAACTCAGTTTTCCTACCCTTGCCTTGGAGGAAAGGCTGGGTATAAACGTACTAAAATAAGATTTTTTAAAAGCAATAATAAATAACATACCAGAATGATAATCCAGACAGTATAGTAAGCAAAGAGAATGAGACTGAAGGCTACCAAGCCATACCCAACCAACTGGTCAGTAGCAGTGGCCTAAAACAAAGCCAGAGGTAGAAGAAAAATTAGGGTCGTCTCAATGAAAGGCAGTCAAGATATAACATAAACCAACATATACGCCGTTTACTCAACATCCAAGTGGTTTACAAAACACAATGTAAAACATTTGTTAACAAAATACAGATAAAAAGCAAACATTACAGACAAGCTCACATAAAATGTTACAAAAATATGAACAAAATCAGAAATTTAAATGTTATGCTATTTGTGCTAGGTTTTTTTGGGCAGGGCATTGAAATGATTGATTTTTTTACTAATTTAAGCTGTTCAAAATTATTGTTATATTGTTAGAATTGTATATTATTTTAACTCCGTGCAAACAACCCAGAGGACTTTTTTGAAACAACAACAACAACCTTTGCTTCTTTTCTTTAAGTAAACGATTTTCAAAAAAGAGTAGATTGCATTAAAGAATTAATACTGTATATTGAAACCCAAAACTTGACGTTATGCTGTACAGTGAAAACAGATCAAACCAATGTATCGTTCCACAGTTGTCCATGAGAATCGACCCATATCGTATAACAAGGTCCAAACCCCACCGCCCAGCCCCCACCCCCCCAAGGGCAGCGCGGTGTTCTTTTCATAAAACTTATGTGCCCTATCATCGTGTGACAACCATGCTTCGGAGAGGTCCTGAGAAAGGGCCGTTCGAGAGCGCTGCTCCCTGGCTGAGCTACAGATGATTCTACCAGCCTTTCTCAACCTGTGGGTCCCCAGATGTTGTCGGACTACGACTCCCATCACCCCTAGCTAGCAAGGCCAGAGCTCAGGGATGATGGGAGTTGTAGTCCAACAACATCTGGATAGTCACAATTTGAGAACCACAAGAAAACAAATAAGGGAGGCGGCCGCCCCTGCAACGCCCAGCTCCCCAATATGAGTCCCAACGAAAGAGAGGCAGCAAAACGCCCTTTCCCCGCAGCGAGACCCTCAACCAGCGGGGAGGGAAAGGGACTCACCATAGTAAGCGCGGCTAGTCAGGTCTCTCCCTTTCCAAGGCGGGTTGACGGGTTCACTTCCGGCCAGGCTGTCCAACCAGAACTCAGGACGTAATACAAGCGCCGGAAGAGAGCACCCAACCATAGAGATAGGAAAAGGAGGAAAGGCTATACTAGCAAGTGACTTTCGGGAACGTCGAAACCTCACCATAGACTTATTGAATAAATAGACGGAAGCACGGACACCATATTTTTATTTTTCGAAAGAATATTTATTTCATTCTAACTGACAGGCTGTTCACATTACCAGTGGAGGGAGCTATAACAAGGGAGGAGGGGGAAAGTGTCCCTGCCCCTCCCCAAAAAAGCATCAAGAACAGGGACCATCGAAGAAAAAGCCCTTTCCCAACCACATACTGTTTTTGTGTGAAATGTTCAGTTTTGTTGGCCATTTGCAGTGCAGTCCTGCAAATGTCTTCCCAGAAGTAAAACCCTGATTAGTTGAATGGGGCTTTCTGTCCTGTAAGTGAGCCTGGACCTTAGGGAGCTTCCTTACACCCAGTCAGCTCCACCTCTTTTTCAAATCAGAACCAGTGAAAGCAGTGAAGGTCCTGTGTGAGTGTCTGAAGGAGGTTGGAGGATGGATGGCGGCTAACAGATTGAGGTTGAATCCTGACAAGACAGAAGTACTGTTTTGGGGAGACAGGCTGGTGGGTATGGAGGACTCCCTGGTCCTGTTTATCAGCTCCATCTGGTACACAGGCTGAGACCCACCTGCCCGCAGACTATCTCGCCAGAGTGGTGCATGCTCTGGTTATCTCCCGCTTGGACTACTGCCATGCGCTCTATGTGGGGCTACCTTTGAAGGTGACCCGGAAACTACAACTAATCCAGAATGCGGCAGCTAGACTGGTGATTGGGAGACCACATAACACCAGTCCTGAAAGACCTACATTGGCTCCCAGTACATTTCCAGGCACAATTCAAAGTGTTGGTGCTGACTTTTAAAGCCCTCAATGGCCTTGGGCCAGAATACCTGAAGGCGTGTCTCCACCCCCATCGTTCAGCCCAGACACTGAGGTCCAGCACCGAGGGCCTTCAGGCAGTTCCAGCACTGTGAGAAGTGAGGTTACAGGGAACCAGGCAGAGGGCCTTCTCGGTAGTGGTGCCCACCCTGTGGAACACCCTTCCATCAGATGTCAAGGAAATAAACAACTATGTGACTTTTAAAAGATATGAAGGCAGCCCTGTTTAGGGAAGTTTTTAATGTTTTGTTGGAAGCTGCCCAGGGCTTCAGGCAGGGGAATTTTCCCAGCCCTCGCTGGAGATGCTGGGAGTGAACCTTCTGCATTTAAAGCAGATGTTCTGTCACCACCAATGTCTCACTCACACCCAATACATTTAAAGCACTCTTAATGCTGCTTTCACAGATGGTCATGGAGACTACCAGGAACTGTAAATTCTTCAGGTTGCTGGGAATTGAAACTCCACATGGTCAGCACCCTCAACAAACTAAAGTTCCCAGGATTCCAATGACTCCAACCAGCCATCTCATTCTTCCTCAAGAAATCATCCTCCCCATTGCCTTGCAGTCCAAGCCCTCCAGTTGCTCACCCATGTTCTAGGCCTCCAGATGTGCTCCTGGGTCACTCCTAGTGGTTGTAGCATCTTGCCAGGCAGGGCTCCTGCCTCGCATAGAGTTGCTTTTCTCCCCAAGGAAGCTTCTCATGCATTTTGCTCGCAGGTGCTTCCCTTCAGCGAACTGCTGGCCCTGTTGTTGCTCCATTTGGTCAAGCCACTGGCTTTGCTGCTCCATCAGCAAGTTGAACTGCTCCAGGAGTATTTTTTGTTTTCTCCCTCCATTTTGACTTCAGCCACACTTTGTTCTCAGGCCTTTTTCCACTAGGGAACACAGATCCTGCTGCTGACACGACCATTACAGTGGCATAACAGTGCTTTTAAGTGTATAGCGTGAATGTGACCTGAGTTATGACCCATCTCCTCTGGGAATGTAGCCAACCTGCCACCAACAACCCTGGACGCTATTGCAGATATATTGTGCGCACCACTTCTCTTCCTGATTTGAGCACTGGAACACATTGCTGAGTTTGTCCCCACCTTTCCCTGCCACTCCCTGCATCCCCCTCTCTGCCTCAGCCAACTTGTAAATAGTGTGCAATACAACTAGACTACACTGTAGGGTTGTTTCAGCCCAATGCCCAACGTAATATATCCAGGAAGATCTGCACGGCACAGCTGTCATCACCCACTGTCCCCTGGACCCAGGCTTCTCCAATATGCAATATGTAATTTTCATTATGGATGTTTATGTTATTTTTGTCCTCTATAAACCTCTAAAAGGAGCCGTATTTTGCACCTGAATGGTTTTGTATATAAATTAAACAGAAATAACGAAATTTGCATGGGATGTATATTGATGAAGAGTGGTGGGCAACTTTTTCTGTTGAGGGCCGCATTTTCTCAGGGTTAACCTATCTTATTTGGTGGGGTGGGGCCACCCCATTTTCTTTCTCATTCAGTCACTTTTTCCTACTGTTTCAATCACCATTTCCTCCATTAAATTAAGCCAAGGCCTTAATTGCACCTGAGGGCTGCAGGTTGCCAACCCCCATTTTACTTGATCAACAACTGAATCAGAGCAGAAAGCTCCTCTCTTTGCTACCATTTATTTGGTGATGGAGAGGGCACATGGGTGCTCAATTGCCAGCTTTGTTAAATGGGATTTCCACACCGATTCCTAGCAGCAGCTTTCAATTCCTCTCCAGTGTCGGGGGGCATTTAAAAATGGCTTCTCTATTATAATTTTTTAAAATAATTTTTATTACATTTTCAATTTTTTATAATCACAATATCCTTACATAAATCAATAAGCTCAAACATCACTCTATCCGAGCATCTACTAAAAATGGCTTCTCAGTGTGAACCAGGAAATGTCATACATGGAAAATGAGATTTTTTTTTTTATTTTTTGGCTATGTCACTATCAGTGAGTGCCTGTCACTCTAACCCAGAGTTTTCCAAACTTTTCATTTTGGTGACACACTTTTTAGACATGCATCATTTCTTAACACAGTAATTCAGTTTTACTAGTAAATCAGAGGTTAAACTAACCCCTTTCCAGCCCCGGGAGGAGCATGGGGAGCATTCACACGTCACACTAACGTGTCACAACATGCAGTTTGGAAAGCTCTATAACCTTTAGGATCCGTTTTTATTGTTCAAATCCAGTTATTTTATCAAACAGATATTTCTGGCTATGAGAGCGACATCGGAGAGTGCCAGCCGTGTCGTGCTCTGTGACCCAGTGTCCTGCTGCTTGAACCTTGATGCAAGCTGACAATCTCGGACAATCTGCGGGTCTACGAGACAGTCCTCCCCCCCCCCGGGGGGTCTGCCAGGGATAATTACCCCCCACATCAGCCCTGAATTACCGGCACGGCTGCGATCCGATCGTATGGGAGACAGCCATTTCCCACCGCCGGAAACAGGAAGCCCACCGCATCCATTTCTTAGTGCTTACAGACTGTTTAATTATGTGTTTTAGGACCTTTACTGATATCAATATCAAGCTCACCAGTTGGTAGTTACGTGGGTCTTTCCCCCCCTTTTGAAAATGGGAGCATTTGCCCACCTCGTCTGCAGGGACCTCACCTGTTCTCCCAAGAGTTCTCAAAGATTATAGACAGAGGCTCTGAGATTACATCCACAACCTCCTTTGTGATTTCCCTTTTCTTCCATTTCTTATGCATGCCCTTCTTAAATTTCACCTCAGCTGCAAGCTCCTTATGCAGCCACACTGGTTTCCTTAGATGTCTCCCACTTTTCTTTCTTGTTGGAATTGTCTGCATTTGGGCCTTCCATATTTCACCTTTTAAGAAAGTACTGTCTACTGTGCACCTTTCCCCCCCCTCTCTCTGAGTTGGGGAACATCAGGACCAGGGCGGAATGCAACCCTCCAGGCCTCCCCTCTTTGGTCCAAGGCCATATGCTCAAGTTGAGGTGTGTATAACAACCAGTAGCTTTTGCATATACATAGTTAAGTTGCTCTGCCTACTTTGGCATCTGGGCCATGGAAGGCTTCCTCATGACAGATATGCAGCCACTTTGCTGAAAGTAGTTCCCCACCCTGGGGGCTCCCTGCTTGCAGAATGTTTTCCCCCAGGCGGCTTGCCTGGCACCAGCACTAGGCAGAAACATTTTCCTCGCCACATCTTTGGTTATTAATTATTTGTGGCTTCCTTGAGTAGGTGGAATGTTTCACTCCTGTCCTTTAAAAATAGGAATGTCTTGTAGATTTTTGTTCTTTTGTGCCAGTTTAAAATGTGTGTATTTGTTTCTATATTGTAAAGCTCTTTATATTGTTACCTTGGTAACAATATGCAACAAATCCAATTTAATAAAAATTAATTGCATTGTCAGAATTCCCTCTTTTCAAACCAAGTAACACAATATTCAATCCACCCAGGCATATTTATAAACTTTATAGGTGCTATAGGTTTGGAGTATTAGTCTTGATGATATCTGTGGTCCTTTCTAGGCCTACTGTTCTTCATCCAGTAAGGTTTAGAATCTAGTAGCAGCAGTTGAACAGTCAGACCAGTTTCTTCTTCATAAGGTAATGGCCTTAGTTAAGTGCCACCATTTACACATCCCAAGACAAATGGGGGTGATCCTTCCCCACCCATTGAAAGCAACATCACCTTCCAAGGTTGAAGTGCTATTGTCAGTTTGGTATGTTTTGGCTGATGCTGGAAGACGAGGACAAAGACTCATTTTGCTCTGTGCTGGCGCCAAAGCTGTGGCTTGGGGCTTCCCTGGAAACCCAAGGGGGAAACCAGTATCTGTTGAAGTGCTAATGCAGCAGGCCTTTCCATCGTATGCTCAAGTTGAATATACGTGTAAACAAAACCGTGTATCTTAAAGAAGCCAGACTCCATTGACCTTTATCTAAAGGAAACCAAACCCTAGGTAAGTGGGGGAACTCCTGGAGTCTCTCACCACTCCAGGACAGGGGTACACACCTTTTCTCCCCCTCTTAGTGCACTTTTACTGCTTCTGCCTTATTTTCTAATAGAATTTGGGATCTCCAGTTTGACTGATATTTTCCCCCTAGTATCAGGATATATCTTTACTGTGTTGGGCTCTTCCGAGTATTACATAATAAGTGTGGATGGATGTCACAGAATCCTAGCCCCAAAAGGCAAATGCAGAAACTTTGTAGAGGGACTTAGGCTTGTCTCCAGCTATGCAAGAGTTGATGTGCAGACACTCAGTAAGATGGGCATCTGCCATGAATGCTTTAGTTGAGAAACCTGCATTGCAGGGGTTGGGTTATATGACCCTCAGGATCCCTTTCAACTCTACAATTTTGTAACTCATTGTACATTAAGAATCCAACTTACAGTGGAATATTATTATACAGTGGAATATATTATGCCTACTTTTGAAACAAGTACCGGTATGTTTGTATTTAAATAGCTGTACTCCTGGGTAAGCAGCCCATTCTTTGGCTTAGGATTGCCATGGGGGGGGGGGGGAGGTTCTTGTACTTTCTTAACAGCTGTATCACCACAACCAGGACCAGTAGGACACAGTGGACTTCCCATGGTTAACAGGTAGGTTTGGGGAGCAGAATTAACTGTGCTCCATAATTTTGTTATGGTGCCCATGGTGGTGTTTTGCTGTTATGCCAAACCCCTATGGCAGCCATTTTGTGACTGGACCGAAAACACTCTCAAAATTCAGAATGTGCCCGCTGTTCCAAAAACTATCATTAGCTAATATTGATATCTCATTGCTATTCAACTCCCACCTTGCTATTTTCTTTTTGATATACCTGCCCACTAATATGTCACTTCTTGCATTTCGATGAAATGGGCTTATGCCATAACAAATTTGTTTCATATTTTAAAGGTGCCACAAGAATTTCCTTGTTTTTGCTGCAGGAAGCTGAAACACGGCTACCTTCTAAAAATGTTCATGTGGCTTATGAAATTCAATACACTGCCTTCTCAAACTTGGTACCCTCCAGATTCTTTGTAGTGCCAGTGCTATCAGCCCCAAAACAGGTTGGTGAAGGTTGCAACTACCACAGAAAAGGGAGGAGACACTGGTGTTTGTTTATAGACATCCATGAGCCAAGGCAGAATGCCAGAAAGTACAAATCACATGGTTTTCATGAGCTTCCTGGATGGGCGTTCTGGAGACATCTGTCTGGTTACTGTAGGAAACAGGAAGCTGGACTAGATGGGCCTGTGGTCTGATCCAGTAGGGCTCTTGTATTCTCAGCAAGTTCAGAGTGCTGTATTTAGAGGTGTTTGCAGCCCATGAATGCCAAAAGGCTGAAGACAAAAAGGAAACCCACACAAAAAAAACAGTCAAGACGGATCAGATGTGAAGTACCAAAAAGAAAAAGAATGAAGATCACCTTTATTACCCCCAAAACCGTAATGACATTTGACATTATAGTGATTTTCTCATTTATACTTGTGGCTTCTCTACATTAGGAAGCAAAAATCAGAGAACACAAACACAATTGGTTGAATCAGAGACGGCACAGCATTCCATTAGAAAACAAAAAACCAGAATACACTAGTGGAGCAAGTTAGAAATGGTGTGGGCGGGGGGGAAAGACACATTCATAAACCATTCTCCTCTAGCCCCACAAAATCTGAACAAGAATAATTGAAAGAACAGAGCAGTGGAACTAACATATCTTCTATACTTGCTTTTAATGATAATGGAATCTTTAGATTTTACTTAAATCTGTGTTTAGTTTAGAATAGGCATAGGCAAACCCAGCCCTCCAGATGTTTTGGGACTACAACTCCCATCATCCCTAGCTAACAGGACCAGTGGTCAGGGATGATGGGAATTGTAGTCCCAAAACATCTGGAGGGCTGAGTTTGCCTATGCCTGGTTTAGAAAATGTTAAATCTATCTCTTCAAGCATTCTTTAAAAAAGTTTGCATAGTCCCATTTTCCCTTTCCAAAAATATCTACGCGCTCTCTTTCTCTCTATAGAATTATCTGAATATAAACTGAGCGCAGCTCTCTTCTGAGCCTCAATAACTTTTCCAAGAAAATAAACATGATCTCTCTCATTTTTTTTCTAACCCTCTCAAAAATATGGGCTTAAAAAACAAAACTAGCAAACATTTTCTCTTGAAGCAAAGTAAAAGAATCAGAGGCTCTACTCTTAAGTTCCAAGTTCCTTTTACTTCTCCAGGGGAAGGGGAATATATCTCCCCCCACTAGCCAAAGAGGGAAGGGGAAAGGTTAGGACAGACTGGGGTGGCTTCCTTCCCCACGCTGGTTGGGACTGATGGGAACTGCAGTCCACCAATATTGAGAGGGCCACGTTTCCCAGTCCTGACATAGGATGGCCAGGTGCAGTCAGCCCACAATGGGGACTCTGCAGAACAAGACCCTTGGGATGTGGAGGGCTAAAGATCCTACAAACACTTGCTGCTAGGCAGAGAGTTTGTGCATCAGGCCCTATGAAGAGCAGCCCTGTCCACAGGGCAAAGAAACAATGGCACATATTTCCTTAGCTAGCTTGAGGAGGGGAGCAGGAAAAGTGGGTTCGTTTAGCAGCTCCTGAGATCAAGCTACAAGGGAGAGATCTGCTCTTCTCCTTGAGGTTCCCCCTCTCCAGGAGAGGTGCATTTAACATGGGCGCTTTAACGCGATGCGTACCAGGTATGGGGCCTTCCAGAGGTTCACATTATGGGCACAGTCCAGCTGCACAAGAGTTTGTTTTTTTGTTGTTAAGCGGGGGGGGGGGAAGAATACACAAAATGAAATATAAACACAGCTCATGTTCAAGACCTTAAATCGCCACTCATTGGTGTCTTGGGCTTTCTTTACAAAGGAACAAACCATGCCTTTTAAAATAAGGAAATAAATCATCTCAACAAGTCAGGGGCAGCCAGGTGAATTTAGTACATAACTACTTTTTTGCCCCTCCCCAAGTGCTGAGCAAACTGTGAAATTCAGTTACCTGATCCCTTTCACCACCATTCTAGCCTTCAGGGTCTCTACTGAGCCCATCTCCATCATCAGTGCAGCAGGAGATTAGCACGATTCACTAAGGCTCAATGTATTACCCACAGGGAAAAGGTGCCTCATTCGCTACCCACCACAAATACCATTACACTGAATACCCTTTGCATTCTGCAGATCAGATTCACAGAGAGACAGGGAGATACCAAAAAACAGAAAGTCTAAGTTGCAGGAGAGTTGAAGCCCAACCTGTTCTCATTTGGCACTGGACATAGGAGGACAAAAATACTGCTCCCTATCAGCTAACAGCTTTCTCTAACCAGGTACCTCCAGATAAGCTGGTCTACAACTGCCATCATCCCTGATGATTGGCCATACTAGCTAGTCCTGAAGGGAGTTGCGAGTTCAACACCATCCAGATGGTCTTAGGGTGGTATCCAACTATGTTCTACCCAGTGAAATTAATGGGCCCAAGTTGGTAATATTCATTAATTTGAGTGGGTCTGTTCTGAGTAGAACCAACATGGATACAAACATTTGCCCCTATAAAATCTTTTGCGAGACCCGAGGGGATGGGAATTTGATGGAGGTGTTATTGCCGAAACTTCTGGGTTTTAAAGCAGTATGACTATCAAAATGGCGAGGCTTCACTGGGTTCCTGCTTTGTCTCACACAAGCTAGAAATAATAATAATAACCCCCAACACAAGATAGCAATGAAACAGTGATTCCCCTCAAAAAAAAAAGAAAAGAAAAAAAGAAGAAGCTGCAAAACACCAGCCTGCTGGGTTCATAAACAAAATTCAACAAAAATTCAAGAATAAAGAAATGAAAAAAAGTCTCTAAGCAGGATCAGTGGTCTGAGAAGTTCAATTAAGAAACAAAAAAATACAACCATTATCTTCCAGTCAACTAGGAACAAACACACCAATCATGCCAAGAAAGACAGTGCTTGTGATGCAACTAACATTTTAAGCAGCAGCAGAATGGCTGACCAAAAAAAGTCCCCAGCTCCCCCAACACAGATCCTATTCAACTAGTGAAGTGCACTTAGAGAAGAGCCATGGATGGAATTTTAGGATGGGGTGATAAAATCATAGACCCCACAGACTCCCTTGGTTCTTACTAATATTGAAACAAAACTGGTTTAGCCTTGAAAGCAGTACCAAGTGGCATGGCACAACAGAGCACACAATTTCATCATAGCAACACATTTTAAGTCAAAGCTTCAAGAACCTAACAAGCCATCAAGAGCACTGAAAGATGGCCCCTAAGAACAGCTGTTACTGGCTGGGGCCTGCAGGGAGCTGTCACCCCAAACTTCTAGGGGACACCAGTTTGGGGAAGGTAGCAACAGAAGGATGCCCTTTCCCCTCCTACTTCCTCCTGATCAGGGGTCCCCAAACTAAGGCCCGCAGGCCGGATAAGGCCCGAGGGACTCATTTATCCGGCCCGCGGCAACCCCCACAGGGTCTATCCATTTGGTCCGTGAGGCTATTTTGGCCAAGCCATGCCCACCTGCCCTACACGGCAACTGAAAAGAGGGGCTTGCAAGCACCACTGCTTGGCAATGCCTACAGAACCCCTAAGAAAAGCACTGCTCAAGGTAGGACTGTGAAAGGGGCTTCTGAAGAGCAGATAATCAGCTGATTGTTGTGTCTTCAGAAGCTCCTTCAAAGCCCCATCCAGCACAGCATTTGGAAAGGGGTTTAGCAAAACTGATTACAAGGCCCCTTCAGGTTTTGGCCACCTGTCAAACTTGGCCCAAAAGCAGTAGGTGGAGTAAAATCTGGCCCACTAGTCAGAATGAATTCCCCCCTCCCTTCAGTAGATGATGTGCGCAGCCTGGAGCCCTAAATATAGCTAAACCCTAAAGAAAGGATGCTCCAAAGCATGCACAGTGGTACCTCTGGTTGAAAAGAGCGCAACCCGCAGCGGCATGTCTGCGTACATGCGGGTTGCGATTCACCGCTTGTGCGCATGGCGTCATTTTGCATATCTGCGCATGCGCGAGTAGTGAAACCCAGAAGTAACCCTTCCGGGTTGCGCAGGACGTAACCTGAATGAAGCGGACATAACATGAGGTATGACTGTAAAGTGAAGGCTGTGTGCCCGCACTTCCACCTCAGAACACAGTGGTCTAGTCAGTTCAGAGACAGCAACCCTACAGAGCCATGTTTCCTTTCCCAATTCCCACCCACCCACCTGAATTCCATCTGTGGCACTCCATTCACAAATACCTCTGTTACAAAGATGGCTCTCAGCCCACTTGAGTATAAGTATCAGGGGTGGGGAGAAAGAAAAGGAGGAGCCCCTCCCATCCATTCTACTTTGCTGCAGGTGATAAGTGTGAATGTGTGTGCTTTCATGTACACAAACACCCAGTGCTGAGCACACGTGTTAACAGAACATTAATGGCCTTGGCCTCTTCTCAACAGTGGCTGGCAGTGCTCCCAAAATGTATATGCTGTCTGCAGAGCAGCAGACATGAAAGTGAGGTGGGGAAGGTGCTAAATAGAAAATAGCGTATAGGCTGAAATTATACACAAGTAGTGCCCGTGTCCTGCCTGCAGCCAGGTCAAGGTAGGAAACCCCTTTAGACCTAGCAATACAATTGCCAGGATTATAAGAGTGGAAAGAAAATTGAGCTCAGACTCTCTTTCTCCTCTTCTGAATACCTGAACTGTTATTCCCACGCCCCTACAAGGTCTCAGTGTTGGAAGGGGAAAGAAGAAACAGAGAAAAAGCTCAGGCATCAATTATTACAAAACCCAATCCCGTCACCATGCTCCAAATCATGGTAAACTAGTATGAGGACACAGCAAGCGCAGGCAAGAAAATGAAGTAGTAGAAGAACCCCAAGATGGCAGTTTTCTCCCATGAAAACAAACATCTCCTGCAAGCAGAAATCTACCACAGCAACAAGTAGACTGAGCTAGACCCTCTCTTCCTTCTGTGCTAGTGTTCTACTTCAGAAGAATGTTTTTCTTTACACAGGGGGAGCATTAAAAAACCGGAATCTCTCCTGTTTTAAGGTTACTCTACCTCTTCATTCTGCTGCTTGCATTCAGCAGATTTAGCTTGATTCGGCAAGGGATGGAGTCCATGGGCCAAAGCAGGAGCCTCCTGGACAGATTTTAGGCACATTTTAGGCAAAGGGAGAGGATACTGGACTCATTATAGCAGCAGCAATTCCAGCAGCTATTCCAAATCAAAGCTGAAAGACTGGTAGGGGACAGGGGGAAGAACTATCAACCATGTTTCAGTTTTGGAAGAGTGTCAAAACTCTCCCTACCCAGAATGGGATAAAAGACTACCCCAATTCAACACATTTTGTGACCCAGAAGGTAGCCGTAATGTTAAATGATTTCTCCTACTGGCCTCACAATGAGCAGACAGAATCATAATTACAGTGGACGCTCGGGTTGTGAATGTGATCTGTGCGGGATGCACATTCGCAACCCGCAGCGTTTGCAACCCGCAGCGTCACGTCTGCACGCACGGGTTGCAATTCGGCGCTTCTATGCATGCGTGACCGCCAAAACCCGGAAGTAACCTGTTACGGTACTTCCGGGTTTTGGTGGGTGCGTAACCCGAAAAAACGCAACCTGAAGCAGCTGTAACCTGAGGTGCTCTGATGCTCAACTGTAACAGACACCCCTACCAACCTATAACATCAGTTCTTTGTTGCAAAAAATGAAGAGTGCAGGTTGCACTTCTGAAAACAGCCTTTCAAGGGTACGTTTGGAATCCGGAAAGCTCTCCATCTAATGAAAACTGAGGCCAGGCACCCCTTCCATGTCCTGCAGTGGAGGGCGGGGGGGGGGGGGCTGCTACTGTAAGACTGCAGCTGACAATACCAAGATGTGCTCAGCATTCGTAATTCATTTGTTTTCTCTCTTTCTTTGAACAATCAAGTTCTATTTTTCAGCAACTCTTGAAATGCACTTTTGGAAGAAAAACAGAAATGAAAAGCCATTTCCTAAGAATGGATGATCTTTGGGGCTGTTGACTTTAAACTTTAAAAAAAAATGTTTGGGTGCTCTGCTCAGCAGCTGTCCTCACAGCAAAGTTCTCCCGTGATCTACAAGGCAGAAGCCTGCTGAAGAAAAAGCTGCAAGAGTGATTGCACCAAAGTGGCTGCTTCCACCTCGCCTTTTGCATTCAGTTAACAATGCTTCTCCTCAACCCCAATTCAATTTGGGGAGGGGGGTTGAGAGGAAGTATTCAAAGTGGTATAACCCAATGGCTGAGAGACACAGGATCAGCAAAATACTACACATGAGAAGAAAAAGTGGTTCAATGGAATGAGGGTTTGACATGGAGTGCAGATTTGTCTTCCCCTGACAAGGAAGATTGGCAGGAAAATTCTGGGACATTGCCAGATAAATCTGAGGAGACATGAGGCAGATTTGGGCAAAAGTGCATGTTCTGGAGTGTCAAGTCCTCGGAGAAGGTTCTGCAGTGCACACATGTCAGGGAACAGGTTTTGGGAAATCCTGCCTGGAATGTTGCTTGAAGAGAGGTTAGAAAAGGAATAAAGAATGGCATCCACCAACACCACCGCAGATGGGTAAGGAGACTGTTTCCAGCAGGTCTACTTGCTTCTGTTCACATTTAATGGGTTTCGATTACCACTGGCTCGTAAACTCCAGATGAGACTCTGTGTAAGAAAGAGGGGAGAATGCCATTATAATCTCTGTGTGTGCAGGTCCCATTTGTAAAGAGCTGAAACTTAAAAATGAAGACATTAAGAACTGTTCTAATGGAGATATTGAAGATAACTAACCTGGCCTGAAATCATACGTCAGAAAGCTTTTTGGTGGGGGGTTTTCGGGGGTGGGTGGAGAAAGAGAGAAAGAGACACACAGACATTGCTTTAATTCAAGACAATTTACCATGTTATTAGCAGGGCATTTTGATACTAGTAAAAATGGATTTCAATGGAGCTAAATATCAGGATTCCTTCTTATTTTTTCATGCATGTCCTGCTTTTAGCAAAGTTTGCAGATAGGGTCATATCCTCTAACTTAGTAGTAGATAATGGGTACTATGATTTCGTCAGTGAAATGGCCTAAGGCCTGTGGATTTGTCCTTACGAAACAATGCCTGTGATGTATTATTTTACAACAGAACAGTAGGCTTCAAAGAGGTCACTCAGGACTACAGCATATGCTTTGCATTCAAAGGATTTGAGGTTCAATCCCTGGCATCTCTAGGTTAGGTAAGAATACTGCCTGAGGTCAATAAAGACTGACATAGTGTTCACCAACTCCCATCAGCTCCAACCAATAGTCAGGGATGATGGGAGCTGTAGTCTGGGAAAGCTAGTGTAGACAGTACTGAGCTAGATGAAGTCATGGCCTGTCTGATATGGAAAGCATATGGTTGCAGGGGTGACTGAGCATGCGTTAGCCAAAATAGCAGTACCAAAATAGTACCTCCCTAGGCCTTTTACTTCAGTATTTCTTAGGCACTGCCTAGATCCATACCCCCAAATGAGCTCTTGCCATCAATTTCCAAAGTTGTGGATTAACTGAAAACACCCACCCACAAAATACCAGCAAAAGCATCTCCCCACGGGCATGGTCTAAACCTAGTCTTTCAAAAGGAATCTGCTAGGGAACTCATACCTGTTGGCAAGCTGAATTCCGCTTAGTGTAGTTGTGCCATCTCTGCTCACAAACAGCCTCAGGTTACTATCTGTAAAGAACAAAAGAAGGGGAAGAGTGAAATATAAAACTGCCACAATCCCCAGAGGGTCTCCTGCTGGCAATGCAAAACTGCTGAGCAAGGGAAGGCATTTTCACAGTTGCCATTTTGCACGGCCATTAGATTACACCGTCTTCAGCATCAGAGAACATGCTTAGCAGAGTATTTGGGAAAGTGCTCTTCATACTGGGTTAGGCACTCTCAAGCTACAATGGCAAAAGTGCAGCACAGCAAACAGGAAGGAGGAAGCTGGGATGGCACCAAAAGGGGAGCACATCTCACACGCAAGAAATGCTTTCATATATGGAAGATCCCCTAGATAAAAATAAAGATTGTATTTATAATGATAAAGCAGTTTGGGAGTCTGGCAGGATTTTCTGTTAATAAGGATAAAACTAAAATGTTGGTAAAAAATATAGATCAATGAAAGAGACTTTGCAAGAGGAATTGGGTGTTAAAGTGGAAAAAAGGTGATGTATCTGTGTGGATATGGATAACAAATAAGAATGTATTGTTGTATCAAAACAACTATGAAAAAGTGTAGAATACTGGGAAACAGGACCTATTAAGATGGGATAGGAAAAAAACTCTCATTAATGGGAAGAACCTCAGCTGTAAAAATGAATGTATTGCCTAAAATGTTATTTCTTTTGCAGTCAATACCGATAATAATAAAGCATGATTGTTTCAAATAACGGCAAAAAGAATTAACTAAATTTATCTGGCAGGGGAAGAAATCTAGAATAAAATATAAAATATTAAGAGATGTTAAAGAAAGAGGAGGATTTGCACTGCTGGATTTAAAATTATATTATGACTTATCATGTTTTATGTTGTTATGGGAATGGTTGCTATTGGAAAATACCAGATTGCTAGATCTGGAAGGATATAATACAAGGTTTGGATGGCATGCATATCTGTGGTATGAGAAGGTAAGAGTCCACAGAGAATTTTTAAATGTATTATAAGAAGCTGTCTATACAAACCTATTGGAAAGAAAAGTGCCATTGCGGCTATCCCCCATAGAGGCATGTGCACAAAAGAAAACAAATATGGGGGCAAAATGGGGAGCTTATAGAGATATATTAAGTTTTTCCTGAAGCTGGTTGTAAACTTAAAAAACAGTAAGAGATCCAACAATGGATGTGATTGGTTTCAGTATTGTCAAGTAAACGAAATATTTAAAAGATATGTAGAATGGTTTTACATAACAAAGGTCAGAATTTGAAATCAAACTGTTAGAGGTTAAGGTAAAACTGATCTCAAAAAAGTATAAACTGTTATTGGAATGGGAAGCAAAAGATGAATGGTTAAATCTGTCATGATACAATGGGTCAAAGATTTAGGGCATAATATTGATATGTCTTCATGGGAAAAACTGTGGAGAGTAAATCTGAAATTTACTCCTGTTATGCATTAAAGGAAAAAGTATATTAAAATGATATACAGATGGTATCTAACGCCAGACAAATTGGCAAAGATGTAGAAGATGGTATCAAAACAAACGCTAGAAATGTAAACATAATGAGGGAACATTTTTTCATATGTGATCAACATGTGAAAAAGCCAAACGTTTCTGGGAAATGATACACAATGAAATGAAAAAATGTTTAAACCGGTAATTCTCCCAAAACCTGATGCTTTCCTTTTAGGGTCAGAAACCCCCCAAAAGATGATAAACTTATTTATGTATGCAACAACAGCAGTCAGAATCTTGTATACACTACAATAATCCTACCATGAAAATTGGTCATTTCTTCGTCAGAGGGCGAACGGGCAAATTTAGCAGGGGATCAAATACTTTTTCCCCTCACTGTAGGAGGCAGAAAACAAACCTCAAGACCATGAAAACAAACCTCAAGACCACGGGAACAGAGTCTAGTAAATACTAGTAAACTCACCTTCAGTGTTGCTGACATCCGTGAAGTCCTGACTCTGCATGATTTTCTCCACTATGTCATCTGCATCAATCCGGGTGTCATCCACCCAGGTGGGATGGCTTTCCACAGAATCCTTTTTTCTCCTTAGTAAATAAAATATGGAAAAAATAGAGAAAAGTGAAGGAGGCTATCCTGATAATGAAAACCTCAATTTCTGCCTGGAAGGGAAAACATGAAGTTCTGCTTTTATATCCAAGAATTTATGTCCCACATATTTAAGCATCACTTTTACAATTTTAACCTACTGCAGGAAATTACAAAACAGCCATAGCCTAAACTGCCCATTTGGCCCGTAAGACATTTGGACAAGCCATGCCCACCTGCACTACATCTGATGTCATATATGACTTCAGATGTAGGGTAGGCAAAGCCAAACCAGAAGGGTCTTTGCAGGCATTGCAGATTGTAGGGACAGTGAAAGGTGCATTGAGTAGCCACTCCCAAGCATGAGACAACCACCTGGTTGTTTTTAGGAAGCACTATGCAAGGGACTTTGGCATGTGTCAATCGCCTGGCACCAAATGATTGACAAGCCAGTTGTCCTGCCCACCTGCCAAAGCTGGCCAGTGGGGAGAGGGGCAAAAATAAAAATACATATATCATATCTGGCCACCAGGATTTCACTGTGCAGGTCTGGAAACCTTGTTCATTGCAGCAGGCAGCCCAGAGCTAGAAGAACCTGAATTCTGATTCATAAAAAGGAGAAATGTGCCCAGATTACTGAGCAATGCCATTAACTCAGTGACATAACACATACTTTGAATGAGTAAGATCCCAAACATAGACTCCATCACGTGCAGTTTAACTAGTGGTGGAGAACATGTAGCCCACCTGATGTTGCTGGACCAGAACTCCCAGCGTGTTTGGCCACTTGTTGGTTGGGGCTGATGGGAACTGAAGTTCAACACCACCTGAAGGGCCACAGATTTCCATACCATTGAATTAAAGCGTCTTGGGGATCCATGGTCTTAATCTGGCATAAAGAAGTTTCATATGTGCTCCAAGAGACACAAATGAATTTTCTCCCATTGCACCAGTGATGGGAAACCTCCAGCACTTTAGATGACTTCCATTACACCAACCAACCGTTTCTCACCTGGATGATCTGTCCAACAGAAGGTTTGGTCTTGGTGGGCGAGGTGGTTTCTCCGGCTTGTGCTCCCGCTCACCCTCTGGGCACTCCACTGTCATGCTAAGTCCTCCTGAGGCGCTACTGCTGGTGGATGTGTTGCGGCGGTGGGTCAGGTCAGACAAGCTGGAGGATCGTGAATGCTCGGTGCTGTAGCCTGTGAATAGATGTATCAGGTACTACAAGCAACCCACTTTTCCACACCACAGCCACCAGGCACAAGGGTTTGCATGCAGTTTGCTCCACAAACAAGGAAAGCTTTAATCTGCTTATAAACAGGACAATTCTTGCTCCAAGTATATCCTTCATGTATTGTCAACACCAGTCTTCACCAACCGGGTGCCCTCTAGATTTTTGGACTGTAAGTCTCCCAAGAGAATCAGAGTACAAAATATTTGGAGGCTTCCTGGTTTGCGAAGAATGTATTGTCTGAATCAGTGGTTCTCAAAGGGTGTGGTGCATTACACTGGTACGGCAAGTGTGGCAGGAAGATTCAAGGACAGTCACGCAGTGAGCTTCATGGTTAATTTGGGACTAGAACCAGGCCTTCCAGGTCATACCCCAACCCTCTTACTACTACATACTGGCTCTTGGACAGTAACAAAGAGCTCTGCCCCACCAAAGAGAGATGTATGTGCTTGGTTGTTTTTTTTAAAGCATTGTACCAAAGAATTTTATGCTTTCTAGAGTTCTGCAATTGCAGCAAAGATAGAATTAAGCAAAATTAAGTGCAGCAAGGAACAACTGCAATGTACTTTGCATTTCCCTGGCAAGCTATGCAACAAGCAAAGTTACCAGAGATTTTGGATTGCTGGCTGGCGTAGCTTGAATTCCGTGAGTGTCCGGAATGGAATACTTCATCAGGACTTGACAGGTTCTGGTCTGGTTCTTCTGTTACACCTGATAAGGAAAGAAGACAAGGACATGGAAATATGCTGGGAGATGTCAGCTACTTAGTTTCTCTTTCTCTAGAAAAGTTCCACAAGATTTGTTTCAACTGGCATGTAGCGAGGAAGCCATGCCATCAAATTTCAGTATTATCTGTGTAAGAGGAGCAACAGCTCTGGAACTGCCAAGCAACTTCCCACAACGATAGCATGAGGCATTCCCTTGGACTGCGCCCCCCCCCCTTCAGAGATCAGCCAATTCTTGAATGGGTCTGACCCTTCAAGTTTAGTGTGGTGTATCCTTTGATTCTGTACAGCAGTGGTGGGGAAATTTTAGCCCCTTGGCTCCAATTGGGCCTGGTATTGGTCACAAACCACAGCCACCAGCCCAATACTTGACATTTGTATGTGACATCAGATGTGAGGCAGGTAAAGACTTGCCTGGTATTAACTGCACTAGGGAGTTCCTCATCACTACTGAGAGCAAGTGTCTTTGGAATTGTTCCCCAATGTAGTAGTAGTAATAATAATAATAATAATAATAATAATAATAATAAACCCAAAGGATTTTAATGTCAAAGTTGGTCCATGGAGCAGGTTAAGAACAAGTCCACCCACTGTATCCCGTTTCCTTCCCCTGCTGCAAAGGATTCCATTTTTAAAAAGCTCAGCACAACCATCAAGAAGTCAGCACACTGCATTCCAAAGGTGGATTTTTTTTGGCCTTTGCTCCCCTTTTGTGCTTCCTATTTTAAGACCTCTCTCATGCAACAGAGCAGGCACATCGTTGCACTATTCAATGTTACCACATGGTGCAGACTGGCAATTGCCCAAGTGGAAAGGGAAAAGATACAGTGGTACCTCAGGTTACAGATGCTTCAGGTTACAGACTCCACTTACCCAGAAATAGTACCTCGGGTTAAGAACTTTGCTACAGGATGAGAACAGAAATCGCGCGGCGGTGGCAGCGGGAGGCCCCATTAGCTAAAGTGGTACCTCAGGTTAAGAACAGCTTCCGGTTAAGAACAGACCTCCAGAACGAATTAAGTTCTTAACCCGAGGTAGCACTGTACGAAGGAGAGTCTGAAGTCAAGGCAGAACAAGTCTAAAAATGGAAGGGTAGCGGTAGAGCACATGTTCTGCCTATAGGAGGTCTCAGATACAATCGCAGGCATCCCCAGTTGGGACTGGGAAAGACTCCCTGCCTTTCTGAAACCCTGGTGAGAGATTAACAGTCAGTATAGACAACACTGACCATGTTGGACCAATGGACCAATTTGGTATAAAGTGGCTTCCTGTGTTCGCTGAAAGGTAGGGGAGCTGTTCTAGGCCCAGACAAAATAGTCCCGCACAAGGAGAGAACCAAGTGGAGAACAGTGGTCAATAAATAGTAAATAAACTTGTGAAGAAAAAGAGGAATACTGCAAATAGAAGAAAAGATACTATTTGCAGAAAAGAGCTGAAGCACTTAAACCCAAAGAACAGCAAGCTTGATGCTAATTCAGAATGTGGTGGAGATGTAGTAAATGTACTTCATAAAACATATATTACCTGTACCCGAACCAAGAATGGTGGGTCTGGGCTTGTTCTGACGGACTGAACCAATGGTGGCAGATGTGCTACTGGTGGGAGTTGTGCTGCTGCTGGTCGTCCCCTCCCCTTTACAGGTCAACTGCAGGGTAGAGTCCTGGCCTGGTATAGTAATTGATTTGGCTGTGGACGGAGGCCTACAAAAAGCAAACACACAGAGAGAGTTTAACAAGATGCACACAGCGATCTAGGAACATTAGCAGTAGTCAGTCAGCCAGGGAACGTTAGCACTGATCATTGTGCTTTGCTGCATTACAAGGAAGGAAAGAGACAAGCAGGTTGTAAATAACAACATAACAGAAAGAAGGGAGGGAGAAAGAATTGCTCATGAGAAGCTGAGGTCCTTGCTGGTATGTCCTTGAAAAAAATTCCGTAACAGCTGTGTAAGTGAAGTATGCAATACGATATGAAGTAAAACACTAGCAAGCTGAGATTGAAATATTTTAGCATGTAAACAGGGGGCTCTGATGTGGCAATGAGGGCTCCATTTTGAGTATACTGTACAGCATTAAGACATCTTCCACAGCAAACAGAAACAACCTGATAGTCTTGAGACATAATTGCATTTTACTTCCCTTCTCCCCTCAACCTAATGAGGGAGGACAACAGGGAACCATGTGACAGGCACTTTAAAATGGTTATTACATAGTGTCTGTAAGCAGCAATGATTTGGCCAAGTGGTTCTCAGGAAGAGAAACTACCTGTTGTGAGGCAACAACAGAAAATATATCCTTTAGCAGTAGCTGTTGAAGCAGAAGTACCTTGTGAATAAGTGGTTGTTGACTGGCTAGCAGCCCTCTCCAAAGTCAGCAGCCCCCGCACACGCCGTGCAGGGGCTCTTAAACCAGCCAGCAACAACACACAGGAACAGCACTGACAGAAATGCCAGAACACAGAACACACAGAAATGTGTGTTCTCTTTGAGGCAGCCACACAAGGGTGAGATCTTTTCAGTGGCGGCTCCCTGTCTGTAGAATGCACTCCTCAAAGAGTTGCGCTGGGTGCCATCATGATCAACTTTTAGACACTGGGTGAAGATATTCCCATTCACTCAGGCATTTGACTCTTAATTGGGGTGTAATTTGCCTATATTGGTGTTCATCTTTTAGTAGGGTGGGGTGGAATTTGTCCTTTTTATGTTACAGCAGGATAAGCACTTTTAGTCAAGAATATTCTTTTATCTTTTTGATTTGTTTTCAATTTTAGAATTATGTAGGCTTTTATACATGTAAGTCGCTCTGAGACATTTTAGGCAGTAAGCGACGAATGCAAGTGATAGTGATCATTTTGTTACTGGTGAAAGAAGCACTGGAATCTTGGACTCCTCTGGGAGGAAGGGTGGGGGTATAAATCAAATGAATTAATAAACTGAATGAACTAATACTCTCGTGGCTGCCCCATGGCAGCAGCCAGCAATTCCCACCAGCAAACAGCTTTACTATAGCCACTGTTGAATGTCACCCTGTAGAGAGGTGACCTCCAACAGGCAAACACTCAGAATTACATCCCAATCCACACACCCTGCTCAGAAGTCAGAGGGAAACAGGCAAAGGCATGGCAATCCTGGGCTTTGCACACGGCTCCTCATCATCTCCTTCTAGCGTAGAAGTGTTTGGAAGCACAACAGCAGACATAATTTTCTCTCTGAACTCTGCCTGTTTTTCTCAAATCCCTTTGCTGACAAAATAATGGTAAAACAAAACAAAACAAAACAAAACAAAACAACCACTCACGTTTTGAAGCAAGGATCTCCAGAGAGCAGGGACATGCCAATCGTTACCTGAGGAAGATTGAAATGAAAGTCTTGAAAATATATATGTAGACCACCCTGGTAATTCATAAAACAAAAACAAATAAACCATAGTTTTAAAACCAACCAGAGTTCTGCGTTTAGAAGTTATTGGGAACTGTCATTGGGTTTTTTCCCCTTTTCCCTTTTTAAATGGAAGCAGAGGCTTTCCATCTCTTTCTGGCCATAGTAAGGGAAAGGGAAGGGTGCGCTTGCAAGTCCTTGGCTTGTTGCGGTTTGTTACCATAGCAGGAAGCCATGGTTTCCCTTTACGTGTGAACCAAGTCTAAAGGAACTAAAATTGCCCCTAAAAGCGATGACAGCATAGCACTAGGCAATGTGCGTGTATATATATTTTTGCTGATCGTGTAGTTCTCCACATCCTATATGGGAAACTGTTTTTTCCCGTTGGGTAGGGAACCAGCAGCTTCAAGTTCCTCCTTTCAGCACCCTACTGCCAAGACACACCAGAACCGGAAGAAATAAGAGGTTGGGGAGGGGGTGGAGTAGAGAGAAGGATTTTAAATATATACACATTCAGGCTGAAATTCAGAAACAGCACCTGTCCATGGAATTTCTTAGCATTTACCTTCAATATAGAATTATCCTGCCGAGTATTCTTGGTGTCATATCCCTCCAGCAAGCAGCATCTGACAGTGAACCCGGAGCCTGCAAATTCTGCTAGATTCAGATCAGCAAAACCCAGCTGTAAAGGCAACAGAGTCAAGATCAGCAAAACTCCACGTGAATGCACACGCATGCACACACAAACTGCACTGCACAGTGAACAAGAAAAAAGAAGAGCACCAAGTGGGACAGGACCAGAATTTGCAGCATCCAAATCCCATTTTGGAACATGCCCTGTTCCTCACCTGGAGGAAACTTTCAGAAAAGGTTTGTTGAGGAAACATTTACAGAAAGGGTGGAAGAAACAGAACTGCTGTTCTGGCAAGGACAGCGTTAACCCGCCTGGAGTCATTGCATAACCAAGGACATAGAAGACACTAGGGTCAGTGATGTGGAAAAACACACACTCCTATGTGTGCGCGCGCACCCACACACCCACACCCCCCCAACATAATAAAACACTCTTTGTATTATGCCACCCCAGAATGCACTGCAGCAAGAATGCCAAGAGATGAAAGGATATTGCTGTAGATGAAAATCAGTGCACAGTTCCTAAGGAACAAGACTGGGAGATTGCACGGAAACAAGGCTTCAGACTTATTTTAAAATTCTGAGGAATGAGTTAGAAATGCTCTTGTACAGCAAGCCATATGGTGAAGTGGAGGAACTTGCCACTAGAGTATGAGATGTCCAACTGACATCAAGTTATAACATTCTCACATACTGATCCATCTAAAGATAGCAAAGGAAACTTTTAGGGGATATGTTTCGAGGAGTTAAAAATCCATTATTGTCTCCAGTTATGAGAAGGACTGAATGCAGCTGTGAAGGGGGGGGGGGCAGAGGATGATACCAACATTGTTATAAGCCACCTTTCTAGGTAAATGGCCTTCCAAAGCATATTACAAATGAAACAAAAAGTACAATAGCACAAAATTTAAAAGTGCAAGCCAACAACACTATCTATCTATCTATCTATCTATCTATCTATCTATCTATGTATATGTATCTCAATCACGGAAATATAACTGATGGACATCTCGTCTGGAAAGCCAGTGCAGGGGAGAAATAGGTCTCTGGGGCCTTATGCAAAGCCTAAATTGCAGGTACTGAGTGCTGGTCCAATAGGAGGGAGTTTCACAACCTCTGGGTCACCCACCTTACTGACAGGAGAGGATGGACACACCAGGAGAGCCTCCGAATCAGGCCTTAGGGCGCTGATTGGTATAGGTACATGTGGTCTAATGAACAGCTTAGAACCAAAACCATTTAGGTATTTTACTTAAGCAGCATTTTAGCCCATTATAGGATATATTTAGCGTCAAACATAATTTGTTTAGGGTTTCCATCGCCTGATAAAGAAGAATTCTGAAGGCAGGCTTTTTCCTCCCTTTCCCTTTCCCCCATCATATAGGACAAATCACAGTAATTGCTTGCAAATTTTAGTATTGGCATCACAGTACAATCATACTGGAGGTGTCGCCACTTTTAACAGGGTGTAAGGGGTAGGACAACTTTGTTTTGGACCCAAACATACAACACGTGGCTAAGGTGTAATGGTGGAAGCTCCCAGCTTTCTTGTATCTGACACCGCTTCAGTAACTAGTTCTATGGCAGCCATGTCCAATGTGTCGATCGCAGGAGTGATTCTGGTCAATCTGTCAATCTCTCTCTCTGGACCCAAACCAGCTCTTTCTGTCTCTGAGGGCTTCTCTCTCTCTCTCTCTCTCTCTCTCTCTCTCTCTCTCCTCCTTCAGACAGAGAGAGAGTGTGCAAGGCGGGAGGAGGTCTACGCAGATGGAGAGGCTGAGCAAGAGAGAGAGCGAGAGAGAAGCCCTGCGCGCTGGCTCCTCAAGAGAAAGGGCTGGTTTGGATCCAGAGAGAGAGAGCGTGCGTGCGAGAGACCACAGTGAGGCTTACTCCCAAGTAAACACGTGAGAGGGAGGGGGGGACCCTTCCTGGCTGCTGCCATCCCACCCACATTGAGAGATTTACTTCCGAGAAGACGTACAAGAGGATTGGGCAGAACAAAACTGAAGGGCAGGGGGAGAGAAATTCTGGAATGCATTGATGGGGAAACAAAAATCCTACAGGGTGTGCAGCGTGTCCCCCCTCCTCCCCGCTCTAAAACAGCCGGCCTTTATCTACAACAACACCCCTTCTGCGCTGGTAGTTTGCAGCAGCAGAGGGGATGCGGGGATGTGTGTGTGTGTGTGTGTGTGTGTGTGTGTGTGTAGAGAGGGAGGGAGGGAGGGAGGGAGGGAGGGAGGGAGAGAAGCCCTGCGCACTGGCTCCTCAGAGAAAGGGCTGGTTTAGGTTTACTCAAAAGGAATGGTTGGGTTGGATCCAAGGGAAAGGGCTTCTACAGGTTTCACCCAGTTCTTAAGGTGGTGCATGAAGGCTGTCAACTCTTCAGTTGAGTTTACCCAATTTCTGTTTCAAACTATTGGGGAAACCGCTGTGGCTGACATGTGCCTGACTCATTTGAAAAACAGCAAGAGCCCTGGGGTACTTTAAAGACTTAACACATTTATTATGACATGAGCTTTTGTGAACAACAATCCGTGCATCATGTTCTGATTATGATGATGATGATGATAATAATAATAATAATAATAATAATAATAATAATAATAATAATAATAACCTGTCCTCAATGTTATTTTCTTATGTTATTACAAGTATACAAAGCATGTATTTTTAAAAATATATTGATTTATGATGAACTTTTCAGATTTTATGGAAGTGATTATCATTTGTTACTACTTTTATCATAAGCTCAGCCAAATATAATATGTTTAAGTTGAAGCATGACAAGGGGAGAGTGTGGTAGATCACTGCCAGTTTTTGATACTGGATAGTAGATCAAAGCCTCCTTGAAGTTGGACATGCTTGTTCTATGGTCACTCAGATACTCCACCATACCAGCTAGTAAACAAGCAAGTATTGACATCGAACATTTCAAGGATGTTCAAAGCTCTTAGCATATGTTATGTTAGGATGTCTGTTGCCTTGGTTGCTTTTCCTTAAAATAGATGTAAGTATCAGTTAAGGAGCTCAGTATTTGCTGAGGTGTGGCACAGAAGTAGAAAGGAGGTGGTGGCTTGTTTACACTCATCTAGTGAGTTTGCAACTGAGGTGAGATCTGAACTGAGGACTTCCTCAACTCACTGTTCACACTCTTAGGCAACATACTTAAACTGCTAAACCAATCATCCTGTCACCCCTCTCATATTCTGGGAGGTTAATTATTGGTACCTTCACTGAAATAAAATTCCCAGGATATTCTGTGGAGAAATCATAACAGTGAAATTGATATTTGTAAGTTTGTAGACAAGAGGTGCTCTTAGCTGTTACACAATACTGGTTACCTCTTGCTTGATCTTTCATGTTTCCAAGCTTTCATCTTGGGAAATGTGGGATAGGACAAATAACTCTATGGTATCTTTTGAGAGGGAAACATTTCCATGACCAAATGATGGTAAAAGAAATGGGAGCAGGCATGCACTGAATTAGCCTTTAACAATTCTGTGAGTTTGTTTTCACAGACAATGATACATCTTCTGAGTTTCTTTCATTTAAAATTGTTTAAAAACATTTCCACCTGGTGTGTCCTCAACATGCCTTGGTGGGGAACCTTTTTAGCTCCTGGCCCACATCCTTATCAGGCTCAGCCTTGTGGGCCAAATTTGAGTGTGGCCACTGACCTGGCACTCACATGGCGTCATTATGATGTCATTTGTTTGTCAAGTGAGCAGGGCTGCCCACCTGTCAAAATCCCTCACACAGTTTTGCAATTCTTTCTACACTTCCCTTTTAAATCCAATGCTGGAGGTTTAAAAGAGGAATACAGGGAGACTTGCAAAGGCCAGAGCTTGGAGTCTGTCTTAAAGATGCAAAGCAGCCTTTGAAGTAGTCTTGAGAGCAGGAGCTAGCTTGCTTCAAAGTGTGCTTTTGCCTGGCACTCTAAGATTGAATCTGCTGCCTATGCTCCTTTCTTTCTTCTTTCTGGGGAGAAAGAAAGGTGATTTTGCTAGCAAAAGCAATGGAGGTAACTTCCTCTGCCTTTGCTTGCAAAATGCTGCCTTTTAAGACTGTAGCAAGATGGGGACTTAGAAGGAAAGAAGGAGGAAACTTGCAAAGGCTTCTGTGAGTCTCCCCACTTCCCTTTTCAATCTTCAGTCTCACGTTGATGTTTAATTTCCATTCATGATCAGAAAAAACAACAACCATGTTAGGAATAGAATCAGGCACCCAATGCAACGTTGGGAGTCGTAAGAGTTGGAGTTCAACATCATCAGGAGGCCCACAAGTTATCCATCCCTAGACTAAAAGCAAAATGGGTAGATAATAGCAGTTCAAATTGTGATCTGATCTTAAGCTTCTATTAAAGGCTCATGAAAACACAACAGACTCAGCCAGGCACCTATGAGACCTTCATTGCCCTAGTTATGAGTTATGGCACTAGCAACAGGGTACTTCAGAAAGCAGCTACAGAACATTTGAATTCTCAGTGGTCAACCAGGTGTCCTGCTTTTACGTGATCTACACATCATAGACCCGTGCACCCCCTCAAAGGCAAAGACATCTCCAAGCTAGTTTTCCGGAACTTGCCCCAATACATTCTTCCACTTGTGCATTTCATTTTCTGTTTTAACATGACCACACACCCACTGCTTACTCCTGCTATAAAACATCACCTGGCTTTGTCATTATGGGTGGCATTTCCCAGATGGCAAATCTCACCACACCCTTCTCACATTAGTCAACAGCTTGGAACCCTGAAGCAACAAGAGGATTCCTTCAGATGTTTGATTCAGGGAAATGGTGACCTATTTTTTCAGCATACCCCGCTTCTCCCTTTTAAAGTCACTTATCCGCTCTTAATTCATGCTAGTGAGTGCTTCCCAGACTGAAATACAAAGAGGGAGGACCCCTCCGTCATGGAAAAGTCTTCAATTCTCCACTATGCATGAATGCAGCCTTTGGCAACCTGGTGCCCTCCTACTAGGGCTAGTGGCAATTGTAGTCCAAAATATCTGGAGGGCAGCAGGTTGGTGAAGGCTGTATTAACACATAGCAGAGAAATGTGGGGCTCTTGCTGGCTGCAAAGAAGACCCAAGAAAAGATGCTGTGGGTTCCTAACCCAGTAGCCACCAATGCTATGTGTAATACATGCTGAGGTCTAAACTTTTCCCAGGAAATGGATTCCTGAGAGCAAATAGATAACTGAAGACAGCCAAAAGCTGCTAGAGGAAGGGCAATGCTTTTAACAAAAGGATGTTCTGATATAACCTTTCAGTACAGCTTCCTTAATTTTCATTCCATAGCCAACTCTGCCATCCGGTTCAGAACCTAGTGTTTTCTCTACATCAGCACATCCATCAGATCTCTCCCAAAGAAATAATTTAACTGAGTACAGAGATCTTGGGAGCCTGGCTTTTGAACAGTACACGAACCCAGCTTAAAAGCCAGACACTAAAAAGGGGCATACCTAATGAATCAAAGATGAGGAACCTCAGGCCCAGGTGCCAAATGTGACCCTCCAGGCCTCTCTATCTGGCTCTTGAGATCTTCCCCAGCCACACATCCTCACCCCAGGCCTCACCCCTCACTGGTGTTGCTTCACACACTCCTTGGATGTTTTTGTTTGCATAGAATGTGGTCGCTAAATAACACTTTCTGGTAGAGATGGTTCATGGCCCCAACCCCCAAAACACTAGTCAGCCTCTGAAATGACACCCAAGATGCATGGGTGGGTCATTCACATAAGCTTCCTAAGCCCAACGGAGCCAGTCTTCCATTATTTTAAGTGTTTTAAACGGCAGAAATTACAGAGTCCTAGAACTGCAGGGCAACCCATTGACAGAAAGTGTCCTTTTTTTCTCTATAGGCAGTAAGAATGTGGTGTCATTATCTTAAAAGAAAGACAACAACAGGTAAAGGAGAGCTGATATCCACCAGGAACCAACAGGTGCAACAGCTGAAAACAGAGGGAGACACAAGCCAACTCCGTCAGAAAGTGTAATTTAGGGGGCTACCCATTCCCAGGTACAAAGTACACCCACATCTCTGAGTTTCCCAGAACTATTTTGCCAGACTCTGTAAGACAGCATCATTGGCCATCCTCTCCCTGGTTCAGTTCCCCATCTGCATTAAGGGGATAATACTAAACTACCTTACAGGGCTGTTGTAAAGATTGCCAAGAATGCATTCAAAGTGTTTTGTATGCTCAAAAGCTCATTATTCTACAATTACAAAGAGATGATGTAAAGTTTGTTTTTTCACTGCTCATAATCCATCTTACCTTGGAATAAGTTTTCCCTCCCTTCAGTTCCTGTAATGAGAAAACAAAAAGAGGACAGAAGAGTTTCATTACAGTAATTATAGCAAAGGCATCCCTCTCCTTGCCTGAGTGTAGTGACTGTACATGGTGAAAATACCTTTCAGTGCAATGAAAGGAATATGCAGTACTAACCATTCATCCACTGCTTGAAACAATTGCTGCTTTCCTAGCTATTTAAATTGGGTGCATTAGCTTCTCTGTTAAAAATGAGGTACATTTAGGGCTAGTCAAGCAGCAACCACTTAGGACTGACATGTATTACGTGTGTTTGTGGGGCGGGGGTGTTAATCAGACACCTCTAAGTTACCTGGTTTTATTATACTGTATTTACTTTTAAAATGTATAAACCTTTTATCTAAAAGACATTCTAAAACCAACCAACGACACACACAAAAATGTAAAAGGAATAAAACCTTTAGACTAACTAAATCTGCTAAATGTATTGGAAAGTTGTTTGCCTGCTTGCTATGCATTTGGACACCCCTTAATAATTCTGTATTATGGTTTCTGAGATAAAGGAGCAAGTTTTCATCTATGGTTGAAAGCAACTGGACGCCATTTTGAATCAAGATGGCAGACAACCTTTCAAAACTGCACTGTTTTTGTTTCTTAGAATTCCTGAGCAATGTCAGGTACAAGGCTGCTACTATACCATTATCTAAAATTCATGGGAAAATAAAAAGGTTTTAAACTGGGATCAAAAAACAAAATACAGTGTCAGCACCAGACCTACCTACACTAGGAGGGCATTCCAGAGTCAGAGAACCACCACAGGAGCAGCTCTTTCTTTTCCACATACTTGATGTACTTCTAAAAACTGCACATAGAGAAAGACCCTCTCCGATGACCTTACTGCATAGGAGGTGCTCCTGTAGATATTTGAGCCCCAAGCCATTTAAGACTTTTAAAAGCAAGCACCAGGACCTTGAATTGGGCATGGTAATGAATAGGGAGCCAATGTAGTTCCAATGCATTCTCTACATCCTCCCTTCAGGAATAGGAACCCAAGAAATAATGCATTTTATCCAAAAATTCTGCCACAAATAGCAGTTTGTGGCCTTCTGTACAAGGAGTGGGGTTGGTAAGCAAGTTACAATTGTGGGGGAAACTCAGGGGAATTTGGATTTTTATACATATAGGTTCATACAGTTCAGGGGAAAGTTGGGGGTGGTGATAGAGGGAAATCATATTCTTAGCTAAACAGAGAGAACAACAACTACAAAAACTATTTAAAAAAGGAATTATTGCTGGAGACTGTATTCCCCACTTAAAGCCATAGTTCTAGGTCATAAACCAAACAGGGGTAGAGTCAATGAGGGATACTCACCTTGCGGACAGACACACGGCAGATGCAGGGGTCCAGGAGGCCAGTGGCAGGATTGGCACTCATTTTACAGACAAAGGTAAATTTCTTCTTCCAGTGAACACAGTTCTCCTGAACTTCTTCTCTATAAAGAAAACAAAAAGAGGCAATGTTGAATTCAAACCACTTTGAACAGATTCCAGAACTAAGCTATCTTGGCTGTAGACTTCAAACCCAGAAAAAGAGAGAAAACATTACCTCTTACCCATTGTGTCCCTTGAGCTCAATCTACATTTACTTTGGGAGCACATTTGTCTGCACGACACACACACACACACACACAGAGAGAGAGAGAGAGAGAGAGAGAACAAGCCTAAAAGCTGAAGCACATGTGGGGGTCAGGTGGGATGAACATGTCATGAATGAAGGGCGGGCTACTGAAAGAAGCACACTCCACACACACACACACACACACACACACACACACACACACACACGGCAGCCCTCCCGCAGCCCTGTAGCTTAACAGGTTCTTTGCAGGAAGAAAACTGGACACAGGAAGGCTAATCTTCTCCTGCAGGATCCCTTCAACTGTAGTCAATGAGCCTAAATTTGCCCTCTACCTTCAGGTCTTGATCCCTGCTTGTATGGGGGGGAGGTTTAAGTACACACACACATTCACTCACTCCACTTTTCTATCACAGGCATGGGAGCCAATTCCTAGGAGATGAGGGCTCTTCACCGCCTCAATAAAACATTTGAGGGGGCCGGGGCCCCCCAAAGCCGATGTGCATTGCCATTCAAGTAGTGTCCGTGCACTGCATCATGTAATCAGTTAGGTAGGGCAAGACTTACTCCCCTCCCCCCCGCCAATATTTTATTAAAGTTGGCAGCCCTGATCGCAGGTAGTGATATCAGTAAGTTACATGAACAAATCTGTTTAGCTATAAGATCCACTGTCTAACACATACCTCCACTGTCCACATATCACCCTGCTTTAGATAGTGAAAAGCAGGTGTAGTGGTTATCCTACACACCCTGATTTTGTATTCCTTAACAGTCAGCATAACATTGAACCCCATACCACACCCTGGGAAAGCCATTTTTACCCAACTAGTTACTCTGGTACCAATCACCCTCTTTTAGCTATCATCACAGCGTCATTGTGAAGATAAAGGAGGGTGGGGGGAATCTGTCATGTACATTGCTCTGAGGTCCTCAAAGGAAGGACGGATTAAAATGTAACTAGTAATAAAACAATCAACATTAAATAACTCAATCATTTGCCCCAAGATACTACACAAGTGCAGAATATAAAAGGGTAGGATACTTTGTGAAGCAGCTCAGAGTAAATGAGCAGCAAATTAAATTCAATTAAAACAAAGTAAATTTAATTTTTTAAAAAAAATTGGGGGCGGGGAGAAGAAATGGACTAGGAGAAATCAGGAAGCGGTTTGCATTGTAACTGCTGTAACCTGCCCTGGGACATTACAGTGAAGGGCAGGTCAATAATAATAATAATAATAATAATAATACAAAGAGGAATCAAACTCAAAATCTAAACCTCAAAGACAAGTTGGGAATGGGGGGAGAAAGAAACAAATTTGATTTAAGAAAAATTAGAAGTATCCAGGCCACACAGCAGGGAAGAGATGGAGGAAAAAGGGCAGGGTCACACACTCTCAGTTTTGGCCCTGCTTACAATCCCTGCCCCCTAGAATGGTGAATGTAGTGCTTTGACAGAAAACAAGTTTGCCCACCCCAGACATACTGTTTTCCTCAGTGGCATAATAAATGTTTAATACAGTGGTACCTTGGGTTACATACGCTAACCCAGAAATAGTACCTCGGGTTAAGAACTTTGCTTCAGGATGAGAACAAAAATCGTGCTCCGGCGGCGCAACGGAAGCAGGAGGCCCCATTAGCTAAAGTGGTGCTTCAGGTTAAGAACAGTTTCAGGTTAAGAATGGACCTCCAGAACGAATTAAGTACTTAACCCGAGGTACCACTGCAATCCCAAATCTCAAATGAACACATGGAGAACAGTACCCTACTTTCAGCTGAATTTACTCTGCCTTTTGGCCCAGTTTGGAGACACTCTTTTTTACTGGCCTGTTGCCTCCATCAACCCAAACCAGAAATGCATGCTTTACAGGGGGGAAATGTGGGAAATGGCCCTGGTGACAGGATACTTGACAAAATAAATGGCTCAGGCAGAAACAGATAAGAAGAACAACCTGGCTGGTGCAGGCCTTGGCTTTATGGCAAACCAACAGAAACATTAAGGCTGACAATAGACTGGGAGGAGGGGGCCATGTTGCAGTGAAAAGGTTCAGGTTTTCATTTCTTCTCTGGGGTAAATCATCAAGGGTAGTGGGAAAATAGGTAGAATTGGCCAGCTCCCTTTTCAGTGAGAATAAACACAACTGTGAATGTGTACAAGTCAGACAGTGTGAGTTTCCCTCTGAATGAGAGGGTGTACTTTTATGAATCAGGAAGGTTTGTCTGATCAATTTGTGGGCCTGCCCACAGCTCTGAAGACAATTAACAGTTCAAAGTGTAATTTGGAGGGGATAAGAAGAAGAAGAAAAAAATAACAGCACTGAGATTAGTGGAATACTTCTCTAGCTACCGGATAGAAATTTTCAAGCACAGAAGAAAAAGGAGTGGAGTGGGGGAGATAGTACCAAGAAGACATTAGATAAGATTGTGCTTCAATAATTAAATGCAGCTCTCTCCCCCCACTAATAATTAAATGTGGCTGTCTCTCCCTCATCCCTTTTTACCCTTAGGCACAGTGCAAGTGAACAGAAACAGAATCAGTTGTTGGCTGGTAGGAAGAGGGAGCTTTATCCACTGCTTGTTCTTTGCTTTCCAACATTTGATTATGGCTAAAGGGACTTTTTTCAATGTTTAGGTTTGCGAATACACCCGGAAAAGTAACAAGCTCACAAAATGACATACTAGCCCACGCACATTTATTATTGCCATTGTCATCATTATCCATTTATTACAGTCAGCAGATCATCCCAAAGCCAACACAGTACAATACCTTTATTAGGACTTTAAAAAAAAGTTACAAAATGGCGGTAAACAGTATCAGCCATTCAGTGAGGCCTTCCTTGTGATTTTTTGGCCTTACTGATTCGGACCATAGACTCAGGTCTGAACTCCCACTTAGCCACAAAGCTCCCTGGGTGACTATGGACCGGCCACAGTCTGTCAGGCTAATCTACCTCATATGGTTGTTGAGAGGTTAAATTAAGGAGGGGGAGGGAGAAGAGAGTACTTTATGCCACCTTGAGCTCCTTGGGATAGAAATATAATAAAGTCAACTAAATTATGGGATAACCTGAACATTGCTGTAATGTGCGTCAAAAGTTTGCGTCACTCTAATACATTCTCTATATATTATTGGTGGTGGGAGGTGTGCTGCGGTAGAATTCTAGAAATAAACTTCAATAAAGCTTGGGTTATGGGGGGTATATTTTCTGCCTGCTCAGCTTAAGTCTTTAAAGTGAAGGAAATTACAGGGAGCATAATTTAACAGCTGACCTGGATGAGACCAAGAAAAATGTGTGTATAATCACAAAGGGTACAATTAGAGAGGGAGCATGCACACAGAATGAAGCCAACAAGGTGCCAGAAGCAAAGCACAAAGACAAGAGGAAAGTAACAACATTTCACAACCAAGATTACAGGGCAACCCCAGCTTCACCCTAAATCAGGTGCCAGAAATAGATGCATCCAATTTGAAAACAATGCCCTGTGAGTGAGAGGGTGGGGTGGGAATAAGTTAGACCAATGACTGGCCATTAGTGCCAGATCACCACTGGGCTTGCAAGTGTCTATCTAATATCATTAATACCTCTAGAAACAAACATTATTATTATTATTATTATTATTATTATTATTATTATTATTCTATTTCTGCCAGATCAAAATATTTACATTTCATTCATATTCTTATCCTTCAGAAAAGAAGTAAAATATCCAAAAGCCTACCACTGCACCCTGGAAATTTCTATGAGGGGCACAGAGGAAGGCCAAAGTGTTCTGTCTCTCTTCTAGCACCATTCACTTGCCTGCAGGCAACTTTCTGGCTCAGGCTACCAGGCTGGTGCTTAAATACAAGGCTATTATCATGGTTCCATTTTACTTATTGACACTAAATGTTCATATATTCTTGGAAAGAAAATGCCATTTTTGCTTTTTTTAAGTTCCTGCAGTTACAAACAGATTCAGTTTCCAGGACAGCTAATTTTGTGCAAGTACTTCCTTAAGAATTACGCTGAAAAACAGAAGTGGAAAAGCCCAAGTATTTTAATGACACACAAAGGTCAGATTTAGGTATCCCCATTTACAGATCCTTAAGTAATGGGGCAGAACAAACTTCTTCCAAGTTCCTCAAATTTATCCAGGATGTACGGTATAATGAAGAAAAAAACTGACAGGAGATTGTACAAAATGCAGTTCACATATGCATATTCCCCAAGGCCTATTAGAGATTATGCATGGCCAGAGAATATACACAATTCAGATGAAATATGCACATTCCCCAAAGTCTGTTGGACATTATGCATACTGACCGAGAAAAGTGCACAATTCTCTCTTAGTGGATAGATTACGTGCACACTCTACATGAGACCAGGTGAATGTGCACATGGCCAATCATTATGCACATTAACAACTCAACTTACATTCTGCTGAATAGACATATGTGACACACACGTATTTCACATTTCATCCTCAGCACTAGGTACAAAAAGGGATCTCAGGTTGCAATGAAAGACTATGGGGGAAAGAGAAAAAAGTATAGCAGCAGCAATGGCAGCTCTCCCACAGCATAAAAGCTAGCATTTATTCAGATAAATAGCTTTGTTTACTTCTCATTTTCAGGGGTCATCGTGCTTTTGCGATTTCTGCTTGATTAAAACTTTTATCACTAAGATATAAATCTGGGTCAAACCCTCAAAAGCAGCACTAATCCGCTTGTGCTATTGCACCAGATGGCTCTGCGTGGCATGTTGGCTCACCACTTTGTTTGAGGATGCCCCAGTTAAGCACCAAGGCCATGTCACGCTACCTGTTCTTTATCAGTAGGACAAGCCAACCTATCTGATTAAAATAAGTCATTCCCCCAGCCAATCCTAAAAATCCAATATTGGAGGCTGTATGCCTCTGAGTAGCAGTTGCTGGGAATCTAAGGTGCGGAGAGTGCTGCTGTGCTTAAGTCCGGCTTGTGGGCTTCCCATGGACTTCTGGTTGGCTACTGTGAGAACAGGATGCTGGACTAGATAGGCCTTTGTTCTGATGCAGCAAATCTCTTCTTATGTCCCATTGTAAAAAAAGTTAAGAAAAAATAGTAGCAGCAGCCATTTTTCAAGTTTGTACTAACTTCCTTACTTTGCAACTTGGTTAACTAGAAGAGTTTAGCCAGTTTCTTAATAGGGTTGCCAAATGTCCTCTTTTTCCAGGACACATCTACCTTTTCAAGGGAATGTAAAATGAGAGTAGTCATAGTGATCCATAGTTAAAAGTAGAAGTCGGCAAATGTGTCCTCTTTTTTGCTCTTCAAAATATGGCACCCCTACTTAATGTAACCCAACAATGGGCACCTTTGCTGGACACTTTCATCCTAGTGAAAGGCTTTCCTAATATTAGCACCATCAGCTAAAATATGTTTGTCTATGAAGTAAAAAGCATATTGCTGGACCTCATGATGGCATGACTCTCCTACTTAAGCCATCAGGCTGGGGTTAGGTTATCTAGAGAACCATCTACTCTTTTGTCCTCTTACCATTCTAGGTGCAGCAAGTGGGCATGTCAGAGACAGGACCTTTTTGATGGTAACACCAACAATGTGGAATGCCACCCCAGGCTCTGCCACTGTTTGCAGTTCTGTTTCTCCAAAGCAACTTTCTCCAGAAAAATCAACCAAATCTCCCCTCCTGCTCCTTGTTCCTCGCGAGAAGCAATCCATTTGTTTGAAACCACACCATGTTTCTACCTGCTAATCAGTCAGATCTCCCTTCCTAATCCCTGCCCACATGAGAGAAGCAATACATTTAACTGTGTGAAAGAGCTTCTTCACAGTTTGTTTGCAATATGTGTAATATTTGATGTGCTCCTCAGCACATCAAAAAGAGCAGATGGAAAGGAAACACTTCAGTCAGTCAATCAGGGCAGTCTCGCCCATGCCACTGCCCATGTATGAGCCAGTGGCAGCATTCAAAATTTGTCAGGCACCAGGCACATTTTGCACCTGGCTATTGGCCACTTGTGACCAAGTGAAGATGCCTAGGCACCAGGATGGCACCTGATGTCTCCACCATCTGGAGCTGCATGCCTGGGGATCCTAGGATCTTGCTTGTTTTCTAACAACACACCCTGCAGAATTTTGTGATATTTTATCTGCACAATCAGAATTAATTTCATGTATCCAAAAGTCATATTGAAATATATGACTTTCAGGCTGTCTGGCCCCCAAATGGTAACTAGACATTCCGTTTTGATGCCTATAACCCTAGTTTAAGGAGGCATTTGGTGCCTAGCTTATATACTGTATCTGGGTTTCAAAGACTGGCCAGTGAACCATCCTGTGATCTTTGGATGAAGGGCAGTAGACAAATTTAATAAATAAATAAATAAGATCCAACTTATTGAAAATCCCAGAACACAATAGGAAGGGCTCTGAATCAACAGCATTTTGTCTTGGACTGCAAGACGTACCTTTGACACAGCCAGTCAATGCTAGAAAGTCATTTGTTCGTGACTTCACTCACGTCATCCAAGACAAACAGCCAAACTTAACAGATGAACATTCAGCTGTTTTCATTCTCTACATGCTGTTTCTTTCCCAGAACACTGAAGTAATTATCCAAGCAAAAAAGAAGGGGGGAGCCTTTTCTAAAATGGAAAGAGTATGGCTCAGACACTGATGATGTAAAACTTTGTTATCAATACAAATCTTAAATTCAGTTGTTAATGCAAACAACTCAGATGTTCCACAGTGAGCATTTATTGAAGGTCACGCAAATGAGTTACCACATCCTCCTACCCACTCATGCTTTTATAACCCACACAACTACAAGCTATCTCCATCTCATTCTTCTATAGTCCTATGCTTACCTATCTTATTCAGATATCATGACAAGGCTATATGGAATGCTAAACATCTGCTATTTATTTTGGAAAGTTGTTGCTTGTTCACTATGCAAATTTTGCATGATGATTCCAAAGATTCAATAAGGTTTCTGCCTACATGTGAATACTATTGGACACCATTTAGAATCAAAGTGGTGGACTTCCGGGTTGGCGCCTCCGGCAATGGCGGAGCTCCTCCGTTCGGGAGGAACTTGCTCCGTGAAAAACAGGGTCTGACCGCCACGGTGAAGGTGAAGACCCACTGAAATCACAAGCGGGAGAAGCTTGTGAACCTGGGATTCGGCTGGCACCTTTTGCGCCTCCCCTACTCGCGGGGAAACCCTGTTTTGAGGATCCGGAGCGACGTGGGGTGAGTGGCGCGGTGCTTTGAATCGACTGCTTTTTTCATGGAGTGAAGCCGCATTGCTGTTGCTGGAGAGCGCTGATTTTTTCCTGTGGACAATTGGATTTTAAACAACTACTCGTGAGTAAAACGGAAAATTGGATTCTTAAATACTTTAATTCGGCACTGAAACGGGAAGGTTATAAACAGGAAGTCCGCCTCCCGTTTTTGTAAATAGACTGAAGCAAAGACGTTACAAGTTAAAGCCTTTGAAAGCTCTTGGCAAAGGATTAAATTTCCACCGGTTTAAAATACAAAACCCCCCTTGGAAGCAGGAGAAGAGGGGGGAAATTTTGGATCTAGTGAGCCTGCAGGAGAGAGTGAAAAATCAAATTACCACTGCTCTGAACCTGGGAACGGGTGCCAGATGACGTTTGGAGAGAGTACATTTGACAGAACGGATTTGACAGCTAGCTAAATAAGAGTAAGATACTGTTTCCATTGTCCTTTTCTGCGTTTAAAAAAGAGGAAAAGTAACTGAAAATTTATCTTTAATGCTTGAATTGCGCCTGAAAGAACTGATACAAGTGGAGACTGTTTCCCTCTAGAGGGAGCTTTTGAAACTGTAACAGGAGTGTAACTGGGGGATTTCCAGCTGCAGATAAGGATTCTGAGAACCAAAGAGTGTCCTTGGACCATTTAAAAATGTTGACAGGAGAGGCCATTGTGACTGTTTTATGTAAGATAAGCTGTTCGCTGGGACAGCTTCACAAGAAGATGGATGACATGACTTTCAAAGTTGATAATTTGGAACAGAAAGTGACCAATTTGAGTCAAAAAGCGAACACCAACACAGAAATAATTCAGGACTTGGTACAGGAACCCATTTTGGCAGGACAAATGGTGGAGGAGAAGAAGAAGGAGAATGCTGCTGTTGTTGAACATAAAATAATACAAGTGAGATCTGTGGCTTTACAGAAGCAAATTGAGGACTATAAGTTGAGGCCTTTTATCATTGAATCTAGGAAAAGTCAGACTCTGAGGAATGGATCCCGGCTTGGATTAAAGAAGGAAAATTGGAAAGAGCCCTCTATGCAGGGATTACCTGACTTTTGGGACATGGACTCGGGCCTGGAGGAGATTGAAGTTTTGGGGGCCTTTGGACTTGGAGGAATCTTGAATTATGCCCTGAAATACTTTATGGACTGTAGCTTTAACTATGGAGGTCCTACTGTCATTTTCCTAGATTTAATTAACAAGTGATTAAAGGGCATAGAAGTGGACACTTACATTAGGTCTGGCAACAGTTCTGGGGGTTTACTAGGCTTAAGCAGCCATCTTTCCACATGAATAACTTCAATCTCTAGAAGGGTTAGTAACAAAAGCTAGGAGTCAAATGGCACCTTGAACCTAGGTTATGTTCACACAATGATATGTCTGGACACAATTTTTTACAGGATTACAAAGCAAATGAAGATAAGATTGCCGATTTAGCTGATATGGAATAAATGCTGTGCATAAAAGGCAAGTTCTTTTAAAATACAGAAACGATTAAGTGGAAAAGCAGCCTAAAAGAGATGAGACTGCCGTTTCACGCTGGGAAAAGTAAAAACCAAACTTCAAAGCAAAGCTAGAATACACAGCTAAAATGCACTGAAGTTCCCATTGAACTATGTTTCTCAGTAAAAAAAATTGCTGGAAACAGAAAGATTGCCACATTCAAATGCAGCACAAATCCATGAACAGTAATTAAATAAATTAGCCTGTGTACAAGCTGGAGCCTGAACATTCCCTGCTTCCTTCCTTCCTTCCTTACTTAAGCAGGAAAACAAACCATGGAGCAGCTGGCTATGTGTAAACCATTGCTCACAGTTCCTTCCTCCCAAACTAACCTGACTGTGAAACCAAGCACAAGCCTTAGCTTCAGATCACTTTTTGGAGAGTAACAAATGGTTTGGTTCACACACAAATGGGTTGTTTCTCCACCAGAATAAGGAGTGAAGCAGGAAGGCTTGGACTGCATTCATCAGCCAATTTCGTTAACTCTGGTTAATGGCTTCATGCTATATCCAAACATACCCAACGCCTGCTAACATATCACTGGATGGATAAGACACTAGTTAAGCATGTTATGTTCACAGAGGGTAGGGAATGAGTAAGAACAGATTATATTTGAAATACAAATGGTTTGCTACTGTTATAGCTTTATTCTAAAACAGTATTTTCTTTGTGTGATGCATAGGTCATGCATACCTTGCTTCTACAAATTCAAAGCAGTCTTTTCCAGCTGTTAAAAGACTATCCGACAGGGTCTGCAACCACATACTAGTTAATTACTGCTTGCCCCAGAAAGTATATTTTTATCTTCACAACTAAGGAAATATAAATTGCAATTCAAAATAGCAGTGAGCTACCACAGAGATGCTTAAAAGGCTTGAAATGACACATCAAAAAGAAGGGGGGAAAGGAAGTTGGTGAAATGAGAGATAAAGACTGCAGGAGCTAAAGTAAGGCATTAGAGAGGTTAATAGATTATGAGTTATGATCAACTGCTGCAAAGGAGTGCTGATGCACCAGTACAATCAGAGCGGGTGGGCAGTTCCAACTCCAGAGTCTTTCTGCCACATCTACAGAAAGAACATGGATTGCTTTTGGTCAGAGGCCAGGGATGCTTGCCAGAGAAAAATATCACAAGGGTCACAAAGTGAGCTCATGCTGCAGCTCGAAGAGACAGATGGCCCTTGACAGAAGCAAAGCAATAACTGGGCAGGCAATGCTCTGTTACTAAAAAACGCACCCAGAACTTTCAACAATACAAATGCAAACAACACAGATTTGCAAATAACCCTACAGAAAAGCTATCAATTACTACTCAACATGGTGGCTATATACTGCCTCCAATAACAGAAGCAGCAATCCTCTGAGTAGCAGTTGCCATGGGACAGCAGGTGGGGAGAGGGCTATGGTCCTCTGCTCCAGCTTGTGGGCTCCCTAGGGGTATCTGGTTGGCTACTGTGAGAAACAGGATCCTGGATTAGATGAGCCTTTGGTTTGATCCTTAAATTCTTTAAAAAAACCAAACACCTGTCTTACCTACTTTCACCAGTATGGAGGCAATTGAGATGCCAAAGCAGTGACACCTGGCTTTGCTGCACCAGCCTGACTGGCTATCAGTGGAACCAGGAAGGGTGAGGAGCATGGCCTGGGGAGAGTCTGGTGGGCCAGAAGATTCTCACCCCGTGCTACAGTACAGAACTCAGCTGGGACATCAGTTAAAATCATGGTACAGTGGTGCCCCGCAAGACGAATGCCTCGCAAGACAAAAAACTCGCTAGACGAAAGGGTTTTGCGTTTTTTGAGTCGTTCCGCAAGACGAATTTCCCTATGGGCTTGCTTCGCAAGACGAGTTCTTGCGAGTTTGTTTCCTTTTTCTTAAAGCCGCTAAGCCGTTAATAGCCGCTAAGCCGTTAATAGCCGTGCTTCGCAAGACGAAAAAACCGCAAGACGAAGAGACTCGCGGAACGGATTAATTTTGTCTTGCGAGGCACCACTGTAAGTTGGAGAGTTAGGAACAATGCATTTACTATGGCTACCTGCAGCTTTTTAGGCACAATTCAAGTTTGTCAATAAAATTCCAGAAGTCTGGGCACAATATTATCCACTATGGATTCCCAGGCCGACCAGGAATACTACCCAGTGGTATTATTATGTAACCTAATCATCAAATGGCACATTAAACCTAGGTTACAGTTGCCACAGTGGAACATCTTGCCACAGTGGAACATCTAGGCACCATTCCCCCCCAATGGGATTTATTATTGTAATTGTTGTTGTTCATTCCATTTCTATAACGCTTTATGTTTTAAAGAACAAATCTCAAAGTGGTTTACAATATCATCAGCAACAACAACATCAAATAACAACATCAAATAAAAAAATCCAGAATAAAACTAATTCAAGCTTCAGGGAAAATATTTCAGATCCTTCTCCAAGTGACAATTTTGCTTTTCCCAGTCGCCAACCTGGAGTCTAAAGATCTCCACGGAGTCACAATTGGATCTGCACCAGTGACAAAGTGTGCCTGATGCCTGCCTAATTTTGAACACTGATACCACCCTTTTGAGTCTATCCCCGTATCAATTATTGGAAGGCAAGGACCCTGGAATAGTCACAGTCTCTCAGCCTAGGTTACCTTATAGTGCTATAGAGAGGATAAAATGGAGATGAGAGAACCATGTATGCCACCTTGAGCCCTTGCAGGAAATGTGAGGGACCTTCAAAGAATACTTCTTTCCCTTTTAAAATTGCATTTATAGCCCACAACAGTGAACAGCCTTTCCAATGAGTTACCAAAGGCCAGACATCATTCAGAACTATTAGGTATTTAAGATACAATCTGCACTTAACTTTGGGTGGCTGAGGTTAAGCAAGTGAAAAGGGTGGGGCTTTATTGCCTTTTGGTTGGTTGGTTTCATGTAAATAGCTAACCTATGTTCTCATTTCAAAGAGTTACCTTTAGACATTTAAATAGGAGCACATGTACTTAAAAAGCAGATAAAACTGAGGTACGTCAGTCAAGAACAACTGGTTGAGCAAATCAACAGAATAAGTACAATTCTTTTTCCGTCAATGGTGACACACTATTAACAATGCAGAAAAACTGAGTGCACACACAAGATCGCGGGTTGTTATTTTGGATTTTGAGAACGGCTACAATCCCCTTGAAGATTACTCACACCATAAATATAGGTTGGCAACTACTTTATAAAACAAACGTATGGATACAAAACAAGTGTCTCTTTTCTGTCTAATCTCTTCATGAAAAAGAATGAGTGACAAGTGATAAACAGTAATCATGAGATCATCTTGTTATGCATTCTAGGACTAGTGCTAGCACTGAAATGGAGACATGTGAACTCAATTTTATTTGGCAAATTGGATAACAGAACGAAGTGGTGGGGAAAAGAAGTGATAGGTTTTAAGATCAGTTGATGGAAAACTTACAGGCACATGTTTTGTGGTAGGAAAGGTCATTCTGGATATTGGAATCTGACTTCTAGTATTAATATTTTCCTGAGAAGCAAAGGGCTACTGTTGGAAGCTCAACTCAGAAACTGACTTACTGTTTAAGTGACTGAGGACAGCAAAAGGTGGGGTAGAGGGGAAGTTAAAACCATTCAAGTTTAAATGCTCTCCACTGTCCAGTACCGGGGACAGCTATGCTTACAAGCTACCTAGGAGCATCTGGATGACTATGTCTGGATGGAGACAGGCCTGGTTCACATATCACTATAAACCAGCCAAATTTCACTATGGTTTAAGATGGAAGTGCAGAGTGCTGGTGCACAGCGACTTGATTGGCTTTTCCCTAGCTCCCAAAAGCACAGAAGGAAGGAAGCCATGATGTGGCTTAGTCTACATCCCCTAACAAACCACAAGCAAGACACCAAGAATAAACTTTGGTTATAGCTTGTGGAGATTTATAAACCAATGAGCCCAAGTTTAGACATAATGCCTGGAAGAGAAGGGGAGGACCAATGCACCCGCCTTTTCAGCCCTGTGCATCACCATGCTGCACATTCACCTCTGAATCATAGTAAAGGTAAAGGGACCCCTGACCATTAGGTCCAGTCGTGGCTGACTCTGGGGTTGCGGCGCTCATCTCACTTTATTGGTCGAGGGAACCGGCATACAGCTTCCGGGTCATGTGGCCAGCATGACTAAGCCGCTTCTGGCGAACCAGAGCAGCGCACGGAAACGCCGTTTACCTTCCCGCTGGAGCGGTACCTATTTATCTACTTGCACTTTGACGTGCTTTCGAACTGCTAGGTTGGCAGGAGCAGGGACCGAGCAACGGGAGCTCACCCTGTCACGGGGATTCGAACCACCAACCTTCTGAGCGGCAAGTCCTAGGTTCTGTGGTTTAACCATAGTTAAGGTTAATAGTCAAAATGACATGCAAATGAGGCCATAGAGGTGTTAAACCTGGTTACAAGATCAACTTTTTGGGGCCCTGGCTTGGAGAAACATGATTCAGAATTCTTTCTGGGCATATTACTATCAGATATATATTACTCTACTCTCTCCTCCCATGCTCCTTTAAAAATTTGTTTCCAGACCTCAGATTCTGAACTAACATATTGGTTCCATTTTTATTTTGCTTTTTATAGGCATGGTGAGGCGCAATTCATTTTCACTTGGCAGATTTACTAAAACAGAGAGTAAAAACCTCTCCAGTGAAAAAAGAGGCAGTCCAGAGCTGGTAGCTTTACTAGTATCTTCATTTTAGATACAGTTTCCAATTCACCCTTCGGATCTGCAAATAAACTGAAGCCTAAGAGAGCTATGCACGAATAATATAAGCCTAAATTCAGTCCTGCAGTGAACTTTAGCCTTGCTTTTTATCTCCAAAGTTACACCACCTTTAAGCTCAATACAAGAAATGACAACATAATCTGCATTATATAAGAGCTATAAAAATAGCCCTGATTAAACAATACGTTTACACCCCAACATGTATGGACTTGTCCCATCAAGCAACACTACCAGGTGCTATCAAGTCCACAAAGAAACAAGAACACCATCACCATCAAGTCATGTTCTGCATCTGAATACCAGCTGCTGGGAATCACAGGTAGGGGTAGCCCTGTAGCTTTAAAAAGCCCGCACCTCACCTCCAGCTTGCATTAGGCAACCTAGAGGTATAGGCGCCATTAGACTCCGCCCCCCTGCCAAGGCAGCCACATCCTTGGCATGTGGCTTTGGTGGGCTCAGCCAGGCAGTTCAAGGGCTCTCTGATGCTGCTGCCGGGTCCAGAGCTTGCCAGCAACCTCAGATAGTCCCGCCTTGCGGACTTCACCTGGGAGGGTTGGTAGGAGCCCGGAGGTCCCTGTTCATGCACAAGCAACAGGGACTTCAGGGCTCGGTCAGCTAGGGGCAGTGGTCAGCTTGGTCAGCTGAGCAGCAGTGGGGTCAGTGCATTGGCCCCAGCCTATGAGGCGATGGGGTGAAAGCGCCTCAGCTCCCATAATGAGAGCTGACTCAGTTTCACCCCACACTTCGCTGGCTGGGGCCAATACAACTTCTTTCAACATCATAGTTTATCGCCAAACCACACTGTTTGACAGGTGATAGATACATCACGATGTTGAAAACCTAACATCGCCCAGACCTAGGAGTAGTAATGCTGCATACTTGTTAAGCCCTGAATCCAATTCCATCACTACTGCCACTTGGTGGTGCAGAATAAGCAAAGTAAGTAATTTGAGGAGTGGGGTGGGTAGAAATTCCAGTGGAAGGCAGGAGTCAGAAAACAACTTCTTTTACCCTCTTCTCCTCTCCCCATAAGTTGGCTCAGTGTGATGGCACACAAAACACAAGAGGGAAACCCACTAATAATTAGGCAGTGGAATGAGAATAAAAACAGCACTGTGTCATCATATAGCTCCATGAGATGCATACACCCCGTCAGAATGTTGTGTACAGTACCAGTCACCCCACCTCAAAAGGATATGCCAAAGAGACTGGAAGGAGTATGATTTAGAAAGACAAGCTACATTCACTGACTCAATTAATATATAGTGGCATTGCTCATATTAAGAACTTAGGGATCTTCAACCTTAAATCACTTCAGAAATTACGGGTGCAAACATGACACACACCACTACAAATTGGTTACATACATATCTGTGAAGTTCTTAAGATTTGTTAAAAACTATTTCTTTAAATAAATAGGACTATCTATCTATCTATTGCGCCTGGTGCGCTATATATATATATATATATATATATATATATTGCGCCTATGATGTTGGAGGTAGGGTTATTTTTTTTTAATTCTAGGGAACAACCTAGAGGAAGCATTACAAACAAGATAGATTTTATAAATAGATGTTGTGATTATGCATCTGTGCACTGAGCAATACAATATTATAGTACTGAATTATGGTAAGCCAGTTATTTAACATATGTATTGTTTTAATAATGCATATTTAATATCTGTGATCGTCCAGATGGTGCTTGACTACATCTTTCATCATTCCTGAAGACTGGTCATTCAGGCTGGGGCTTAAGGAAGTTGGAGTTCATCAACACCTGAAATTCACCCAGTTTAAAAAGAAAATATGATAAAGATTTATAAAAGTTATCAGTATCATGAAGAGTTCAAAGTAATTTACTCTCATGCAACACTGAAACTTTGTCACCCAGTTAAAGGACAGGCATCAAGCACTTCCTTCACCCAATGCTTAATTTACTTAGGAAGTGATCCAACCAGATTTACTTTTCATCAGTTTCATGGGGGAGAGTTAAAGCATGTGAGCTCAATCGGGCTAAAAAATACTTTATTTGACTGGGTCATGCCATTTAATTTGTTACGGCAAGAATGGTGATGGCTACTAGCAATAGATGGCTACTTAGATGATTTAAATTATATTCAATGAATCAGTCTACCATAGCTTTATTAGCCTGTGGTGATGGTGGCTAAAACTAAAATCTTAATTGCCAGGAATACTTTCTCTCTCCAACCACCACACACACACACACACACACACACACACACACACACACACACACACACACACACAGAGAGAGAGAGAGAGAGAGAGAGAGAGAGAGAGAGAAGTTACAAAGCAGGAGATGACTATGTAACTGCCCAAGGCATCTGACTGGCCTTTGCTGGGAAACAAATCTCTGGACTGGATCTTTTGGTGTGATCCAGCAGGACAATTTTTGAAAGATTCAGGAAAAACTATGATATTATTATTATTCACTCTCACAAGAGGTAGCGATGGCCGCCTAATTGGATGACTTTAAAGTGTTGACCCAGTGTGCAGCAACAGTGAAAAGGGCATGCTATGGATCATTAGGAAATGAACTGAAAATAAAATTGCCAATATCATAATGCCATTATACAAATCTATGATGCAATTGCATTTGGAGTTCTGTGTACAATTCTCAAAAAAATAAATTGTAGAGTTGGAGATGGTTCAGAAAATGGCAACTAAAATGATAAAGGTGATGGCGTGACTCTCCTATGAAGAAAGGTTGCAGCATTTGGAGCTTTTTAGTTTAGAGAGACGGCAAGTAAGAGGTGACATGACAGAAGTTCATAAAATCATGCAAGGCATAGAGAAAGTGGATAGAAAATACTTTTCCTCCCTCACTCAAAAGAGCAGAACTCATGGGCCTCCAATGAAGCTGAATGCTGGAAGATTCTGAACAGATAAAAGAAAGTACCTCCCCACACAGAACATAGCTAAACTGTGGAACTCACTGCCACAGGAGACAACGATGGCTTTTAAAATGGATTACAAAAATCCACATAGAATAAAGCGATCAGGAGGTACCAGTCATGATGGCTGGGGAAACCCAGCCAGATGGGCGAGGTATGTATATATAAATAGATAAATAGATAAATAAATATTATGGTTGGAGGCAGCAATGTTGCTGGAAACTGCAGGAGGGGAGAGTGCTCTTATGCCCAAATCCTGCTCGTGGGCTTCCCACAGGGATCTGGTTAGCCACTGTGAGAACAGGATGTTGGACTAGATGGGTCATTGGGCTGATCCAGCAGGCTCTTCCTATGTTCTTAAAAGAGGATTAGACAAATGAATAAAGGGTAAGCAGAGACATCACCTTGCCAACAAAGGTCCTTATAGTAAAAGCTATGGTTTTCCCAGTAGTGATGTATGGAAGTGAGAGCTGGACCATAAAGAAGGCTGATCGCCGAAGAATTGATGCTTTTGAATTATGGTGCTGGAGAAGACTCTTGAGAGTCCCATGGACTGCAAGAAGATCAAACATATCCATTCTTAAGGAAATCAGCCCCAAGTGCTCACTGGAAGGACAGGTCGTGAAGCTGAGGCTCCAATACTTTGGCCACCTCATGAGAAGAGAAGACTCCCTGGAAAAGACCCTGATGTTGGGAAAGATGGAGGGCACAAGGAGAAGGGGACGACAGAGGACGAGATGGTTGGATAGTGTTCTCGAAGCTACCAGCATGACCAAACTGTGGGAGGCAGTGGAAGACAGGAGTGCCTGGCGTGCTCTGGTCCATGGGGTCATGAAGAGTCGGACACGACTAAACAACAACAAGGGTCTCTATGGCAAATGGTCGCAATGGCTATGTTCTGCCTCCACTGTTGGGAGACAGGATGCTTCTGAATACCAGTTGCTGAGGAACACAAGAATTATTAATTTATTTCCATTGTCATTTATGGCATTTCATTGTCACTTACCATTTTATTAAGTACCCTACTTTGCCAGGGTGCTGAAATCCACTGAGAAGTACTACTGCCTCACTTAAACTTTAGTCTTTATCCTCCAGTTCTCCTGTTTCAAGAGTTTAATGAACTGAAGTAACCTTCTGAAAATATGAGTCATAACTGTACATATTTTTCTGAGCACAATTTGATGGAGGAGCTTTGGTCATGAGAAGGCATGGGGAAAGAGAAAGAGTCACTACAAAAAGATTTCATTTCCTCCACCCTCACTCACGAAAACTGGATTCATTTTGTGAACATAAACACAAGTGTTTTATCTAACGAGAACAGTCTTTCAAACCCAGCCAGTACATGAGATTCAGGGCCCAGCTGAATGGTACCACATCGAGATTAGCTCAGAATGCTGGCACAGTGATATGGCTGCGACACGCAGATGGGCAAATAGCAAGCTTGCAGGAACAGGAGCAGAGTCCAAGGAGAATATGTCATTCTACATAAGACTGGCACTCCCAACCCTAAGATGAAGTATTTAGAACTCAGGGACTAATAGTACCAATTAGTCTGACCTTTTTTTTTTTTTTTTTTTAGAGCAACACTGAAGAGGATAGGTGAAATAGTTGCTTTAAAAAGAGGAAGGCCTCTCTTAGTGCCACAAGTGGCTATGAGCAAAGACAAACTTCTTTCTATTCCCACTCTCCCTCATAATGTAACAATATTAATTTTAAATAGCAGGAGATACAGAGAAGGATTTTTTTCCCAGCATTATTACATTTATATACGTACTGCCTTGCTACCATGGAACTCAAAATGATGCACAGATGCAAAGCATAAATTTTCAGTAGGGTTCAGTATTATAAATGTTATAAATAATAAATAAATAAATTTATATACTCCCCTTCCTCTGAGGTTCACAGAGAGGTTTACAGTAGACACACAAAAATATGTGACATAACAAACAAAACAATCCCCCCCCCCGTTCAAAAGCCCATAGAATGTTTTCACCTGGCACCTAAAATATGTATTGAAAGTGCCAGGTGAGCCTCCCAGTAGCAGTTACTACCATGTAAATGTGTATAGGATAGACCTACTGAATGGTCTAGGCTAGGCGTATCTGTTAGTGCAGGCCTGCAGCACTGTTGAAGCTAATGAAGTACGATGGAATGAGAAGCCACTGGGAGACCAATGCAACAGACAAGATACAGTGGTGCCTCGCAAGACGAAATTAATCCGTTCCGCGAGTCTCTTCGTCTTGCTGTTTTTTCGTCTTGCGAAGCACGGCTATTAGCGGCTTAGCGGCTATTAACGGCTTAGCGGCTTTAAGAAAAAGGAAACAAACTCGCAAGAACTCGCAAGACGTTTCGTCTTGCGAAGCAAGCCCATAGGGAAATTCGTCTTGCGGAACGACTCAAAAAACGGAAAACTCTTTCGTCTAGCGAGTTTTTCGTCTTGCGGGGCACCACTGTACAACAGTTTTGAGTTTGCATAGGATTTCAGCATTATTTCAATATGTTACCAGAAAAAGGATCACATCAGAAGTTTAGCTCTCATTGCTGGTTTCACCACAGCAGTTAAAACCCAGTGAAGCAAACTGTCTTTCATCATACTCTGACTTTTACAAATGAAAACAGAAAAAGTAGGAAGTCAGAACCTGTAGGGCCTATCCTTACATAAAAGATGCAGACCTTCATAGGACATAAGTTTTTTTAATCACCCCTTTCAAAAAAGGAGCAGTACCTCTTCTTAAAGCCCACAGGGTAGAAAGCTTTGCTTAAGAGAACAAACAACCATTTGCAGTGGTTTCCGTTTGATCAGATGACGCAGGTGCAAAAACCACAGCCTGGAGAGATAAACATCATGATGAAAATGAGATACACTGGGAAGAAAATGTAACTCATATCTACAGAAGGAACACCGTCTCTAGGACACATTTATGCTGCCTGCTCTGCTGCTCCCTTTCACATAGTTTTCCCCACTTCCCACTCTTAACTGAAAAGTGTTCTCTCAGAAGCTAGCGCCATCTGGACCTCCTCCCTGCCAAACTGGTTTTCAACATTCCACTGGAAACAGTCCATATCTATTGTCTTGTTTATACTGCTAGCTTTCTCTCCTTCCATTACATTTGTGGGGAGGCAGACAGGGGAGGAATGAGTGTGCACAGTCACATGTGTGACTGATACAACCTTCTGCCCAAGTTACCTCTCAGTGTTAAACTGTTACTACTTCTGATAATGGATGTGATGGGGAAAACTATTGTGTAAAACTGACTTCCTAATTTAGTAACACTGGGATGGGCTATGCGATAAATACCTCAGTTTCCATGATGAAACTTCCATATGTTTATCTGTATCTTTCTGTGGTCTTTCTTGAAACATTCTATAACAGACGGCATAGTAAATCTCATAGTTGCACTTTGAAAGCAGAGGTGCTGGCCCAGTATTTGTAAGCCACCTAACATCTTCTGTAGTGCTTTTGGTGGATACAAACTACAGCATTTTAATAGTGACGTTTTGGAGAAAGAGAAATTCACATTTTGATCAGAGGAACCTCATGTTTTAATATGTTGCATATCAAGTCTGATTCCAAACTGTTGTAAGACTATTTCTGTGGCAATAGGTTACAGGGAGTTGAGGAAACAGCTTTTCTCTTTTGTGGCGCTTGGTCAAGGGTAATTAAAATTCCAAGTTGGAAACTTTCAGTCCAGCCTATGACACTATTTCCTATAAAATCCAAGCTTGGAAATATTAATGTGTTCCAAACAAGCTAGGATTGGTATTCCTTGAACAGTTGGAAGATTTTTATTATTTTGTTGTCATTTTTGACACATTGCTATGATCTAGTAAATTTATTCATGATGTATTATATGTTTTAATGAATTGTTTAAAAAGATTTAGTGATCTAATATTTTGTTATTTGTGTGTTGCCTTATCATGAATTTATGCTTTAGCTGCTGGAAAAAAAGTATAGGCTAATTTGGGGAGGGGATTGTATTATTATGTTTTTGTCAATTTGATGTAAATCACCTTGGGCATATATTGAATGGTGGCATATAAATAAAAACAGTAACAGCAAACAAGCAGCAAGAAGATATTAAAAATATCCCAAATCTGGATTTGCTTTCAGGGTCTGCTAGTGAGAGAATGAGGGAAATCCACATGCACTAGTCTTAAAGTGACTCAAACTGCTTACACTGCTGCAGCTATCAACACTGGCTTTAGGACCCAGCATTCACGGGTAGATGTGGAAGCCCCAGCAGCTCAACAGAGCCAAGCACTGATGCCAGCTTTGGGTTCCCCATAAAGGCAGCTGGATCTCTGAGCTGGCCATCATTTGAATTACCCACAATGCCTAAGAACCACCCTGCCAGGGCTCTATAGGTTAATAAGATAGTGTATGGTTCACAGATAGCCACAGATCACAATGCTACTGTAGAGGTAAAGGATCTCTGGATGGTTAAGTCCAGTCAAACATGACTATGCTACTGTATGCTATTGCCACCAGAAGCAACAGATAACACTTTGCCAAGCACCTTCAAACCTACATCTGGTCTAGAGTGTGTTTGATGACTAGAGTGTGTTACCATTGACTTTCTAAAAAGGAGTCAGTGCTAGGAATTGGGCACGTAAGCAGAAAGGCACACCACAGCATCTCTGTTGGCAGATTATGTGAACAGTATATAAAATGAGAACAATTGCGTCCTCCAGAGAGTTGCTTTGAATATAAAGTTGGAAAGTTGTAACACATAGGATGAGTGTTAAAAGTTTACATGTTACTGCAACAGTTGTCAAACCTGATCGTGATTTTCTATAATCTGAGCATCTTATTAAGATGTAGGGGAGGCTGCAAAAATTAAGGCCAGTTTCAATGCACAGCTAGAACCAGAGCTTAGGGAGTGGAATGTGGATCACACACTCTTCAACCCCTCCCCCATAACCCCTTTCCACTAGCCACCTGCTTTTGTGTGACCAACCATCTCTGTCCTATGAAAAAGTCATTTTGAGAACCTTAAATTTTAGAAGCATACCTGGTTTTTACTAATCTAGGATAGTAAGCACACCCATGCACAATCACACACAGAAGAGAGAGAAGGGGGGGGAGGGGATACACCCTTAACCCTTGTTCTTTGTACTGTATATCCAAACCCATCATAAGAGGACATAAAGGACACTGTGAAAGGTTTCCATGCCAGCTCCCTGAATATGATGTGCAAAGCCCACTTGAGCTCTTATAGAGGTTGCAGAGTACAGCGGACAAGACAGCAAACTGTGAAGCTTAGTGGAAAGGAAACAAGTTTCCACACACTTTCTCATTTGGGGCAGGCTGCCCATGGGTGGATGGGTGATCAGACTGCATACTCTATTGCCAGTTTTCCACTTTACTGGTTTATGAGTAACCATGCTGGTAGAGAGAAAAATGCATGCATCTGGATTAAATTAGAGGCAGTTTCTCTGCTGGAACACATCTGTGATCTGCAACAATCACATGCTGAGAGGACTGCTGAAATTCAGCCAGGGAGGGGGGGAAAAGACACATGAGTTCAGCAGCAGCAGCAGCAGCACTAGCATTGGAACAGACAAACACCAGAACTACACCGCTGCATCCAAGGTCAACAAGGAGGCATACTAAACAATACTTGCAAGCAAATTACCTAGATTCTTATTTTGTTGGGGAGAGGGGGAATTAATTCCTTCCTCTTCCCAATCTTTCACACACTTCAAATTCCAGAGATAAGCCTCTTTCACCCAAAACAATAGGTAAAACTAAAGTGGGAGAAAGGGGGATCTCAAAGGGGGTGGGGTGATGGTCAGGCAGCACTTATGAAGAACTCAACCGTTAAACTAAAGGGCTTCCAGATCTGGAGGGAAACAAATCTGGCCTCTGCACAGTACAAGGGGGTGGAGCATCTTCCAAAAAGGATCAGCAAAGGGAAAACACTTTAGCAGTTAAGTTTGCTCATCTCCTTGAACGCCTATATGGACTCCCCTGCTGAGCACCTGAGGGCCCTGTTCCTGCCTCTTTCCACCTGGCCCAGGGCGGAGCCTGACAGGCCTCTGAACAGCAGAGATGGTTCTTTTTTAAACATGTTTTTAAATTATTCTTTTACCCTTTTAAATTCTTTTTTAGCATTGGGGTGGGACAAATGTTTAGTTGGGGTTAGGGATTTGTTTAATTTTAGTAAGATTGTAACTTTTTATTATTTTTAGTTTCTATTGTTTTGTTTTTTGTATAGGTTGTATTTTGTTTTTAAGGGGTGGGGTCAGGGCTGGCTGGGAGTAGGCCCTAGCCAACAGAACGGCTGGGGCATGTTCCATGGGGGGGGGGATGCACTGGGACACCCGATCTCAGTGATCATGGGTAGTAGGAGGAAGAGTTACACTAAGACCAGACCATGTCATTACCGAGGAAGAAGATTTAGTCGCTGTTTGAGGACTATCCCTGCCTCCAGGTCTGGTCTTGACTGGATGGATACTGGAATCAGCAAGGGAGACCCACATGACCTGAACGTGCTGCTGTGCAATGCCAGGTCAATGATTGATAAGACCACTGCCATCAAAGACTTGATCGTGGATGGAGGACTTGATCTGGCATGTGTAACAGAGATCTGGTTGGATGAAGCGTGTGGGCCTGTCCTTGCCGCTGCTTGTCTACCCGGTTTCTCTTACGCACAGCAACCCAGGTCATGGGCTCTCATTTGTGGGGTGCCTCAGGGTTCCGTCCTCTCCCCATGCATCTACATGAAGCCGCTGGGAGAGATCATCAGGGGGTTGGGGCTGGGTGTTCATCAGTATGCGGATAATACCCAGCTCTACCTCTCTTTTAAATCTGAATCAGTGAAGGTCCTGTGTGAATGTCTGGAGGCGGTTGGAGGATGGATGGCAGCTAACAGATTGAAGTTGAATCCTGAAAAGACAGGAGTACTGTTTTGGGGAGACAGGGGGTGGGTGGGTATGGAAGACTCCCTGGTCCTGAATGGGGTAACTGTGCCTCTGAAGGACCAGGTTTGCAGCCTAGGAGTCATTTTGGACTCACAGCTGTCCATGGAGGTGCAGGTCAATTCTGTGTCCAGGGCAGCGGTTTACCAGCTCTATCTGGTATGAAGGCTAAGAGCCTACCTGCCCGTGGAATGTCTTGCCAGAGTGGTGCATGCTCTAGTTATCTCCCACTTGGACTACTGCAATGCGCTCTACGTGGGGATACCTTTGAAGGTGACCCAGAAACTACAACTAATGCAGAATGCGGCAGCTAGACTGGTGACTGGGAGTGGCCACCAAGACCACATAACACCGGTCCTTAAAGACCTACATTGGCTCCCAGTACGTTTCCGAGCACAATTCAAAGTGCTGGTGCTGACCTTTAAAGCCCTAAACAGCCACGGCCCAGTATACCTGAAGGAGCATCTCCACCCCCATCGTTCTGCCCAGACACTGAGGACCAGCGCCAAGGGCCTTCTGGCGGTTCCCTCACTGCGAGAAGAAAGTTATCGAGAACCAGGCAAAGGGCCTTCTTGGTAGTGGTGCCCGCCCTGTGGAATGCCCTCCCAAAAGATATGAAAGAAATAAACAATTATCTGACTTTTAGAAGACATCTGAAGGCAGCCCTGTTTAGGGAAGCTTTTAATATTTGATTAATTATTGTATTTTAATATTTTGCTGGAAACTGCCCAGAGTGGCTGGGGAAAACCAGCCAGATTGGCGGGGTAGAAATAATAATAATATATGAAGAGACAAAAAAACGTTGGCTTCGTGCTGCTTTTTTAAAAGAAAGCCACACAAAAATCAATTTTTGTCCCTTCCTAGAGACCTACGTGCTTTTGTACAAGTACAAGAAAAGCTTCTAAAATCTCCTGCCGTGAGTTACGGAACAAGGCAGTTCACGAGCAAGTCCAGGATTGTTTTTGGAATTTGTTTTGGCACAATGCTAGGCAATAATCAATCTGCACACAGCCAACAACAAAAGCAACATTTGATTAACAGTTACTGAAAGACAGGGCAGTCGCCTTTTAGAGAAGAGAGAAAATAATCCTACAAATTAAATGTTTTTTAAAAAAGGGACTCCCTCCATGGAACCAGAACTGTATTAGTTTAGATTTATGATACAGCATTTTGGTCTATTAATGAATGTAAAACAACAAGAAAAGAGAACAACACAGCATCTAAAGCTGTGATTTTTCAAACAGATTCTCAAGTATCACATACTTTGCAACCTAGAATAAGCTCAACAAGGGAGCAAAGAGGAAGGATATGCAGAACTATCTTTCCCAAATGTCAAGTTCCTTAGTGAGTATCAATACACACACTCATCACTATATGCACTACTAGGGTGGGGAAATGAAAAGTTTTTCAGATCACAAATGCTTTAGTTTGAAAAGTCTTGAAAAATGTGTACCCAACTTCCTGAAGAACCTCACACAGCAGACCATCAGTGTTCACAGAACTTCATTTCCTCTCTCCCCACCCACCATGCACACACAAAGCATAAGGGGGGCACTAGACAAGGGGAAATAGCCCTAGTGACACATAATTGCTCAGTACAACAAATATCAAACAGGGAGGGCCAGATAGGTGGGGTATAAATAATAAATTATTATTATTATAAATGAAGAACTTCCTACCTGGAAGATAAAGTGGCAAAATCTCCTCCATCAAGAAGCCTAATTTTGCAGAACAGAACCCCATTCACAAAAGGAACAGCAGTCAGCTCCTCTAAAGTGAAACTGGTTTGAAATTTGAACTTCTTCTTCTTCATCAAGAAAGCCATGGGCAAATTCAAACAAGACCAAAAAACACAAAGTCTAGAAACTCCCAAAGAAAAAGAGCAAAAATATCTATAGAGTGCAGCAGCTCCAAATATAAACAATAAAGATGTTTCAAAGAAGGTGAAACCACAATGTAAGAAATAAATCCACAGTCAATCCAGTTTACAAAAACAGAGCACGGAAATCTCAGTTCAAATGCAATGGCACCCTAGCTTTAAATGAAAAATCCTCTTCTCTCTTTGGTGGTCTGATCTGGCTATAGTATCATCGCTGGTGCAGACTTCAGGTAAGGAGGAGGGCAAGTGAAGTCTCTGGTTCATCTCCAAGGGTAGAGGGGGAAATCTAAGCTCCAGACCAGCAGGAGCTCCCTTGATTAGAGATTGTGGTGCTTGGCTTCTCTCAGGGCTCCTCTTGAAAGTACTGCTAGTTTCTTTCTGAGCTGCTGCACAGCAGTGTCAACACTTCACAGTTCCAGTCTCCTCCCCTTGTGCAAAAGCTTCACGTGGACAACTGCATCAGCAGCATATGTTGTGGCTCCCACAGGTTTCATGCAAGCCTACAGAAGGGAGAGAAGGGGTTAGTCTCAGCTTAGTATCCGCTAGTGTCAGTTCCTCCCTCTGCCCCCCAATCTAATCATAGATAAATGAATATTCAAGTATTATCCCATATCTATCTATAAATAAATTCAAGATGCCTTCATCACCACCAAAACACTATCCTTTACTTTACATGCCAAATGCTTCTGCAACCTGCTTGAATAGTTTTTATTTTTCTGTACTGTATACATAGAGGATTAGATCTTCAGGTTATCTACAGTAAGCAGCCTCAGAAAAGGACGGATGCTCATAGGCACATTTGCATGTATGCATGTGTTCTCTCTCTCTCTCTCTCTCTCTCTCTCTCTCTCTCTCACACACACACACACACACAGTCTTCCAGTGAAAAGGATGTTTAAAAGAGAAATAAGTAGTCTACAGATGGCTGCTAGATATCAGACTGTGGCGTATCAATGATAGGCACTTTCCATCCACCACACCTCGCCTTTCAGTCACCTTCGCCACAACAAGAAGCAAAAAACATGTCAAGTAATGTGACCAGGGTTTTACAAAACATGGTTATGAGGCTTGCTTTTCCTAGGCCTTAGACATGCCTTTACATCAGGGGTATAAGGCTCAGGGTTTGTTCAGCCCATTAACTCTTTGGAGAAGACAAAACAGATAACTGGCTGTGGGCACAGTCAGTTTCAAAAGCAACTCAAATTACAGTTAAAATGTAACGAGACAGTAATGAGACAATGAGCTTGCCAAAAGCCAAATTAAAATTTATGAAATTATTTTTCAAGAACCTAGCCAAATGGCAATTCTTGAGATACTTCCAGCATCTTTTCCCTACCCCACTCTGCCTTGATGAATGCTTCTAAAGTTTGATGAGTTCATTCTGATCTGTAGCTACATATCTCGCCTGCTGTGTTCAGCTATATTTTAAATAAATAGCTGACCCAAGTGACTCCTGGGACTTCCTCACTAACTGCCCTAACCACAGCCCAATTATCCACCCCCCCTCCAATATTAGCCCACATTGAATACCCCTCCCACAGACAGCAGCAACATTTTCCCAGTCCAAGTGATTCTCCCAGATTCTCAGCTTTCCTCAGCTCACTGACCAAGTATTCCCATTAGACATATTAAGTGCTTACAACCCAATTCACCAACAAATCCCATCCAAGTAGCTTCGTCTGTAACCCACGAACATTCCACCATCACAAACTTCACTTCCCCACCAGCTTGTAAAACAAAATGGCTAACCACTTGCAATAGGAGTCACCTCCCTCTCACTCCCACCCCTCCTATATCAGGTGGTCCTCAACTTCCACCCCAACTATAGAGTTGCCAAATCTCCAATATCAGACCTGACACAGGAGATCTGGGGTAACTCTGATGGGGCAGGAGACAGAATTTAGTGGACACACAGTCTATATAGCAACCCATTTTCAAGTCAACTTTTAATATCTGCACATATTTTTATAGCCCTTTCAGTGAAAATTGTGCTTAATTGACATGACCCATTATTTATTCTGAACAAGGGATAAAGCTATACAGTCCTCAGGACAGATGAGGTAAAAAATAGTTGTGGGTGTCCTGTTTCCCACCCCTCATAATCTTACTCCCAAGCAAGTGAAAGATACATCAGCGTCTACTGGTGAACCACATGCCAATTTCCAGCGGACCATGTAGCTTCTGCTGGTTTGGTGTGATTTCTGCAAATAATGTTTCCCTGTGTAGACTTCGGCCGGATCCAGTTATATTCTCCTTACATTTCTATGCAATGAGCACCTAGTGAGGATCACTGGAAATAGTGTAGTTAGGCTTAAAGATATCCTGATTATTCAACCCTTACTCTGTAAATTTAGAACACATTGGCGGACTGTGCTAATTCTTATAAAGAAAAAAGGAGGCCATACCAGATTAAAATCAGCTTATCCTTGTTATAACTATTTGCTTCTGAGACCCTGGAGAGGAAACTAAACCTATGAAACTACAGAATCAACTTCTCACAGGCAATCAAATCCTCAAATATATGTACAATCGCACCTTGGTTGTAGAACGCCCTGTAATTCGGACGTTTTGGCTTCCGAATTCCGCAAACCTGGAAGTGATTGTTCCAGTTTGCAAATGTTCTTTTGGAACCTGAACGTCCGACGGGGCTTCCATGGCTTCTTACTGGCTGTAGGAGCTTCCTGCAGCCAGTCAGAACCTGTGATTTGATTTTCAAACATTTTGGAAGTCGAATGGACTTCCATAATGGATTTTGTTTGACTTCCAAGGTACTATATTCTTAGACATGTTCTGGAGTAGCAGCTCTGTTGTAGTGTAATCCAAGTAGGGCTGGGTGATATATCGATATATCATCCAAAACTGGTTTGAAGTCCATATTGTGGTATCAGCTGCATTGTTTTTGACCTGGAAATATATCACAAATTATGACTGTGTGTGTGTGTGTTATGGAAAACTCATAATGTAGGAAAAAACGTGAAGCCAGCCAATGCTTCTTTTGATTCCTGCAGCCCCTGTTAACTCTGCCAGCTCAGCTTTCCCCTGCCTCATGCAGGGGGCAGTGAATCACAAGAGCAGGCGCTGGCAAAAATCACGATGGAAGAAAAACCATGAAACGAGCGAATGCCTCTACATAGCTCCATCCTTATTTCAGGCATTGTGATATATCACAATGTTAAAAACCAGATATTGCTCAGCCCTAAATCCAAGACAAGTCTCTTTCAGAGTAAGCTCCAGAGTGTTCAACAGCCTTACTCCTAGGTAGGTTTACATAGGATTGCAGCGTTCTTACATTCCAGCAATTCTAAACAGGCTAAGGAGGAAGGTCACCTGGACACAGGGATATTTATTTCCAAACATGCCCATGAGTGTACAGCTTAGGAGTGAGCACAGGAGTCCTATAGCACCTTAAAGACCAACACAACTTACAAGAGTAAATCTTAAAGTACAATTCATTCAAAAGCAAGTGCTTTAGAGCTCCACTAGTTTCAACATTAACTTTAAAAAGTGTGTCACTTTGGCTAGATCATGGCTATAATGTTTGTGTGTCGGTAGGTACACAGAACTATATACATGCACAATATGTAATTAATTAATATATTTTACACACTTTTTATTGCTGAAGCAATAAAGAACGGACTACATTAAAACAAAACAGGCAAGAATACACACGTACACATCCCTAACTAAGTGGTGCAGCAATTCTCACAAAAAGGGCTTGGGCAAATAGATACCAAGCTTGTATCACGAGCCTAAAGAAATCAGCACCAGACATATCTGAGAAGGGAGAGAATTCCATAAACTGGGTGCCTGTACTACGAAGGCCCTCGCTCATGGTGCTACATATTGGATTTCAGTTAACTGTGGCAGAGTTTAGAGAGTCTTCCCTGTGGACCTTAAAGCAAGGGCACATTTATACAGGAAAATTTGTTCTGCCAAGAACACAATACACATATGTGGACACCACCACACATGTATCTTACCTGCACACACAAGATATGTATGAATGGGTGTGTTGTATAAATTCACATACGCACATGTAGGCGCATATGTACACACATCCACACATAAAAAGTGTGTGTAATTTAGATAAAACTACACAGGTGCATGTGTTCGTATCTACACTCTACAAATACAACGCTGGATCCAGACTTCACCACACTGAGACTAAACCTCCTGAAATCAACAGAGCTAACCTAAGCCCCACCGATTTCAGTGCAGTCTAGCTCTAAGTACGATCAAGCCTGATCCAACCCACAAATTAGACTGCACACACAGCATACATTTAAAGCACATCCTCAACCACCACGACCAAAATAAAATAAAATCTTAGAATTGTAATTTAGCCCTCACGGAGCTACAATTCCCAGCACCCTTAAATTACACTTCCCAGGATTTATTTATGCAGGGCAAAGTGCTTTGAATGTATACAGCTTTACACACTTTCAGACTTAGGTGGCGCACACAGCATATTTTAAAACACATTCTCTTCCAAAAAAAAGAATGATGAGAACTGAAGTTTGCCCCTTGCAGTGCTTCAATTCTCAGCATAGCTGTCAACTTTTCCCTTTTCTTGCGAGGAATCCTATTCGGAATAAGGGAATTTCCCTTTAAAAAAAGGAAACGTTGACAGCTATGATTCTCAGCTTACATAAAATACATTTCCCAGGATTATTTGGGTGTTCGCATGTGTGCGCTTTAGATATATACAGCTTTACACTCTTTCAAACTTAGGCTGCATACAGAGCATACATTTATAGCACATTCTCACCATACCTAATAATAATATACGTTGTTCATCCCTCACAGAGCTACAGCCAGCAACCATAAACTACATTTCCAATGATTACTGGGAGATGTATACAGCTTTGCACAAAGTATGAATGTGTTTCAAGCGCTTCAGACGCACGAGCCACCCGACGGCACAGTGGTGTAGCGTGGGTTGTCAGCACCCGGGGCAAGGCAAGTAATTTGCGCCCCCTAGAGTGAGTGAGCCAGGTAGGGGCAGAGAGCTGCGAGTGCCCCCCCCCCCCAGATGTTGCGCCCGGTGCGGCCGTCCCCCCCTGCACCCCCCACGCTACGCCACTGCGACGGCGAAAAGAAAACCCCTCTTTCCCGCCCCATACAAGAGGGGGCGGAAGAAGGGGAGAAATAAAAGCTGGTCTTAAACTCTCCAACCCCCTCCGCTCGCCCCATACAAACTCTCCCCACACAACAAGAGCCGTGAGGAGCCCTTCGCCCTTCACTTTCCTCCTAACCCCCCACCCCGACTGACCCTCAACATCACCCCATGGCTCTCGCCCTCCTACCACTCAGGCCCCTCTTAAATTAACGCCCCCCCCCCGGAGAAAGCTTTCCACTCGCAGCTTTAAAAAAAACAAAACAAAAACCCTCCCCCACTCCAAAAGACAGATTGACCCCCCACACTCCCCCACGATCTCTTCCGTGGGGAGAAAGAGGCCCCCGCGCAAGGACCTCCCCCCCGCTTTTACCTCACACTGCCACCCACCCCCCACCCGAGACCGACTCGCTCTCACCTCCCTCCTCCTCGGCGCTGGCACCGCTACGCCGAATGCGCCCGCTGCGCCGACAGCGTAACGCGAAAAGGCGGAAGGGGATGGAGGAGCGGGAGGAGGCGCCGCCTGCGCTTGTACAGTCAAGGCATTCGCTCGCTCACTCGCGCTCTGTCTCTGTCCATAAATTGGGAGCGAGTGCGGGGGGGAAGAAGACGTGCAGTCGCTCTCAGAGGATTGGGCAGTGCTTTTCTCCTCCCCCCCCTCGCCACGCCCCCAACAGAAAGAAGAAGAAGAAGTAGAAAAAAAACGAAGGGGCAGGAAGACGTCCGGTTTCCAATTGGGCGCGTGGATGACTTCAGCGGCGAAGCGATTGGAGAAGGCGTGCCTTCGCTCAAATGAAAGGGTCCGCCTCCTCTTCCCCTCCCCCCCCAATACCTAAGGGTTTTATGGAAATGGCGGGAAAACGAGGCGTAAGGGGATTCGGGAATGGATTGAGAGGAGAAAAGGAAGGATGAGAAAGAGAAAAAAGAGTAGGTTCAAGCAAGGGCCTTACTTTGATTTTTATTATTATTATTTAAATTTACACACCACCCTTCATCCGACAAACACGATATAAAAACAGAAATATAAATACTTATTTTTGTAATGAGCATCTCTCCTCCAGAGAGATGAATGTATCATTTACACATTTTATTTATTGAATATTTCCCACTTTTTCCTCTAAAGGAGAAGAAGAGAAGAGTTTGGATTTGATATCCTGCTTTATCACTACACTAAGGAGTCTCAAAAGGGACGCAGGTGGCGCTGTGGGTTAAACCACAGAGCCTAGGACTTGCTGCTCAGAAGGTTGGCAGTTTGAATCCCCGCAAAGGGGTGAGCTCCCGTTGCTCGGTCCCTGCTCCTGCCAACCTAGCAGTTCGAAAGCATGTCAAAGTGCAAGTAGATAAATAGGTACCGCTCTGGCGGGAAGGTAAACGGCGTTTCCGTGCGCTGCTCTGGTTCACCAGAAGCGGCTTAGTCCTGCTGGCCACACGACCAGCTGTACGCCGGCTCCCTCGGCCAATAAAGCGAGATGAGCGCTGCAACCCCAGAGTCGGTCACGACTGGAACTAATGGTCAGGGGTCCCTTTACCTTTAAGGCGTCTCAAAGCGGTTAACAATCTCCTTTCCCTTCCTACCCCACACTCTGTGAGGTGATTGAGGCTGAGAGACTTCAAAGAAGTGTGATTAGCCCAAGGTCACCCAGCAGCTGCACTTGGAGGAGCAGAGACGCGAAACCAATTACAAGTCTATACTCTTAACCACTGCACCACACTGACTCAAGATAGCTTATGTATGTGGTTCTCTTCCTCCCCATTTTTATTCTCACAACAGCCCTATGAGGTAGAGTTCCTTCCAGTAGCTCCTTAGAGACCAACTAAGTTAGTTATTGGTATGTATTTGAAGAAGTGTGCATGCACACGAAAGCGCATACCAATAACAAATTTATTTGGTCTCTAAGGTGCTATTGGAAGGATTTTTTTTTAATTTTGTTTCTGTGGCAACATGCTCAGGGAAGCCATTCTGTGAGTTAAAATGTTAAGCAAGGAAGTCATTTCGTTGATCTAGGCCAGGCCCCCATATCCAGTAAAAACACTCAGAAACCCACTACTCAGAGGCATAGAGAGATCGGCTGATAAGGATTACCAAATGAGGACATGGAAGGGTAATGTCCAACTACAGTGGTACCTCACAAGGCGAATGCCTCGCAAGACAAAAAACTCTCTAGACGAAAGGGTTTTTTGTTTTTTGAGCTGCTTTGCAAGACGATTTTCCCTATGGGCTTGCTTCGCAAGACGGAAACGTCTTGCAAGTTTGTTCCCTTTTTCTTAACACCGTTAATACAGTTGCGACTTCACTTCGAGGAGCAACTCATAGAACGCGGTGTGGTAGCCTTTTTTGAGGTTTTTAAAGACTTTGGTGATTTTTGAAGCTTTTCCAAAACTTTCCCGACACCGTGCTTCGCAAGACGAAAAAAATCGCAAGACGACAAAACTCGCGGAATGAATTAATTTCGTCTTGCGAGGCACCACTGTACAGTGGTGCCCCGCAAGACGAATGCCTCGCAAGACGGAAAACCCGCTAGACGAAAGGGTTTTCCGTTTTTGAGTTGCTTCGCAGGACGAATTTCCCTATGGGCTTGCTTCGCAAGACGAAAATGTCTTGCGAGTCTTGAGATGTTTTTCGCTCCCCTTTTTCTAAGCCGCTAAGCCTTTAATAGCCTTTTAGCAGCTAAGCCGCTAAGCCGCTAAGCCTTTAATAGCCGCTAAACCGCTAATAGCGCTAATCCGCTAAGCCGCTAATAGGGTTGCTTCGCAAGACGAAAAAACCGCTAGACGAAGAGACTCACGGAACGGATTAATTTCGTCTTGCGAGGCACCACTGTACTCATGCCTTATCTCTAGGCGGAACCTAATGTATCTACTGTATCTGGATATCTCTAGGTGGAACCTAATATATATCTCTGGAACACAATCTCCAGGCAAAGCAGTTCTTGTCTCTAGGCTGAATCTATTGTCTCTATCTGAGTATGTGTAATGCTGTAACTTTTGATTGGATAAAGACCTGATTCATGAATGTATAAAGGGAAGCCTCCCCTGTTGGGAGAGGCCGGACTTCGGAACTTATTCCTCCACGCCATTGCTTGGTGCCGGCAAACAATTAAAACTTTATTGCTTTATTTCTCTGATTGCTGCGTGGTCATTTGACTGGCCTAATTGCTACATTTCGACTATGGAAGGCCAATGCTGCTACCTACCTGTACATAGAACTATGAGGTAGAGGTTAGGCTGAGAGACACTGACTGGTCCAAGGCTAGCCAGTGAGTTCTTGGGCCTACCAGGTCCTAATCCAGCACTCTAACCACTATACCACAGAGCCTCTCAAGGCTATTTCTCAAGCATCCGTTGATGAAAAGCAAATAAATGTATGCCCCACTATCCAAATTCTCTTTATAAAAAAAAAATCACTTAGCCAATCACAAATAATTAGTACCCAAACCTCACTATACACACTGCAGTTTCAGATATCTAAACAGCCAGGCCGGCATGTAGTAGTGTACCATACAAGGCACTGTTTGTGTAGCAACACCTAGAAGGCAATAGGTTCCCCATTCCTGATCTAAGCCTTGGGAGTGGACATTTAACAGATTATTGTGCCCAGCCCCAGCCTTCAACAATTCACCACTGCCTTTAAAACATTGTTGTGTTTTTATGTAACTTAATGAAGAATTTGTGCTAGAATTTGCTTGTTCTCTTGACTTGTTCCATCCCCATCTCCTATTCCTTTTTTCAGCTGCAAAACATCCCATGCTTGCTGGGGCTCATGGAAGTCGTAGTTCAGCAACAACTGGTGGAACAAGGGTTTCCCACACATGCAAAAGGAACATGGAGAGTAATAAAACAAGATCAACTTGCCCCCTGGCCTAAGAGTTAGGGCATCTATAGATGAGCTGTTTACTGAGCATTCATCCTGATTTGCTTGCACAAAGTTTACATGGAGGTTATATGTTTTCCACTCTTCATTATTGCATATTTGAAGGGAGATTATACAATAATGAGCATTCTGCCTGATTTGCTTGCATCGTGTGATTCTGTATAACTGTCAATTAGTAATTCATCCTGCATTTTTCAGCGCACCCCCCCCATCACTTTTTTAACCATAAAAGATTGTGGATTTGTTGTGCCAAAGTGAGAGACCGCCTTGATCCACTTTACTTCTGCAGTATGTACGGTACTAAAGTTCTGGTATGTGATTGAATCTCTCCCGCAAAATACTGACAGTCTGGAGCTTACCTTAAAGTATCTTTTGTAGTATTCACTTCCCTCACTGGAAAAAAAGGAATAATGTTTTCCAAGTTCTTAGTACAGTATGATACAAAGGTTAAACATCTCTCTTGTGATTATTACTCTTTACTTCCTCTTTGGACTCCTGCTACACGTTTACAGCAACAGGCAGTGAATGCTAAAAGTTTTCTAGCATTATAAATCCTGCTGTTCTCACATATATTTATTCTACAGCTTTCATCAGAAACATTTACCCTCCAAGTCTTGGCTTTGTAATTAATTGGAAAACATGACTGATGTTAAAAATAAATGGGCTTGGAAAAATGCCTGGAGAATTGCTCAATGTACTGCAATTTAACAAAGTTGAATTCCCATGGATGTGCATTTTCCTTGATAAAAGACAGGCAAATAGAATGGGGATTAAAGAGCCTCACTGGGAATGTTTATTAGTGTGAAACCTCTTTCTGCTGGCTGACACTGAATGAATCTGTGATAAATTAGCATTTTTAAAAGGGGGTTGGGATAAGCATTACTTAATGTTTTTTGTAGTGTTGCTTAGCCACCCTCCATTATTTTTGAGAAGGAGCATATTCGTTAACTATGGAAAATGAGTTTCAAGTTTTGTGGATTGGGCTCAGATTTCCTTGCAAAGGTACATATGTCAGTCATAGCAATTAACATCCTCCAGTGATGGATGTTGGTGACTATACATTAAAACAGGTGGGTGTAAAGGTCACATTTCCTTCAGGGCAACCCTCTGATGGCCAAGTACCCATGGTGGGGAAGGTCACAGACAAAAGAGGGAGGAGCAATGAATGTAAAAAATGTCCTTTGTAGTGTGGGCTAGTTTCCGCACATACACTCTAGCCACCGTCCAAATAAGCAAGAGGCATTGTCAGTGTTCAAAAGCGCACTTCAGCCAGGAAAAACATTTTTGGGGTATGAAGTAGGACAAGTGAGGATTTGATGTGGAAAGAGTTCTGGAAAGGCCTCTGGAGAGGTCTGGAGGCCACATTTTATGCCCACTCCTGCATTTAGAAGAAAGATCCTTCAAAGTATGAAGGCTTTAGGTGTAGTAGTATTTGGGACATTGGAGTGTGTGCCTATTGGGTAAACAATGGAAAGCAGTAACAAGACATGGACCAGCTTTATATTTAACAACTTGCCCAGTAGCCATAGGTGACCAGAAATTCCATGTAGGTGAGTGAGAAGGCGGGTGCAGGAGGGACATTGGAGCTGTGGGTGCTGTTGTAGCCATGATGGGGAAGTGTCTTCCAATGGGCATATAGCTTCCTATACTCTAAGAGAGCAAGTGTTGAAACAGAGGAGAGAGATGCAAAGAGTGATCTATGAGTGACTGCAGTGGTATTTGTTAAGTTGTGGGGGAACATATCAGACGACACAGCGATTCTTCAAACAGCTCTTGTTTATTCACAGGCCAGAACAGAACTGGGCTGAAGGGTTGAGCCAACCTGCTTATATAGAGCTCAACTACAAAGCAACAGTAACAACATTCTGTAACTATCCAATCACTGAACGTCACTTTCAATTCCTTATTTGCATATGCAGACTGAGTGAAAACTATCTACAGTATCCCCCTGCTGGCCCAGGGTGAGAACTTCAGTACATAACAGTATTTACCCCCTTAATTTGTGGTGGAAGGAGGCATCCCCACAAAATTTTGTGGCCTCTTTTCTCTGCTCTTTTAGTTGTGGCGGCTATTTTGTATTATGCCATGTCTCCCTGCTGCCATTTTGGGACTGGTGCCCATGGAACTTTCGCAACATTGAACCCACTAGCTCAAATGGATTGATGAACACGGCCAGTGCTTTTTTCAAAAAAAAAAAAAAAAAAAAAGTTTATGGGTACTCTCATTTTCCTACTCATATTGAAATACTGCCCCCTCAATTAGGCCAAACTTAGATTCACAAAATGTTGAGGGGTATGCATACCCTTACGTCCCCCCCCCCCAGAAAAAAAAAAGCACTGAACATGGCCCACAGAATATACCAAGAGTAACATCTGAGTCAACATTCATAGGACTGCCCAGTCATTTCAAGAATCATTTAGGTTAAGATCAAATTTAGAGATGTGGGAAGATGAGCTGTTGTCCTAACAAAAAGGAAACCTAAGAAACATTGTGAAATTCTCTTAGTTATTTCCAGGACGTATTAATATGGGAAATGAATGCTAATCTCCCACCAAAGCAGTAGTCGCTCACTGAAAATGAACACATCTATGTATGCATTGTGTCAATGTTGTAAGGAACTATTTTTTTTGTGTTATTGTGACCAGCAGGTGGTGGAAGGAGCAAGCACATTCTAGGGAGTGAGCCTACCCTGGTCTGCAATACTGTACTAGTCACAGCGCTAACCTTTGTGTCGGATCTGTAGGATCTGTAATTACTAGCCAGTGGTGTTAGGAGAGGGAGGCTAGTGAAGATGAAATGGGCTTTAAAATGAAACTAAAAACAGCTTAGAAGGGCTTTCTCTTGAAAAATTAAAGTGATTTTTTTCTAAAGGAAACCTGGGGGATTTTACCCTACTGAAATATTAATTACAGCTTAAACCTTAAAAAAGGAGATACAGTTCATCTTATTTACTTAATTCATCCATTTATATACTGCTTAACACTGCAGTTTCTAAGTGGTGTACAATAAGGATACAAAAGGTAAAATCCGTTTTAAATGAACCATAAAAAACAGAGACCACCCATTTTTATTTTAAATGGATATTAATGCTGTGGGTTTTATCTACTGCATTTTAAATGTATTTTACTGCTTGATCATTTTAATATATCTTAGTGTGGTATTCTGATTTTTAAATTCTTGTTTTAAGCCACCATGTTCCCCAAAAAGGTAGGTTTGGATTTTTTAAAATGTGTAAATAAATAAACCTACCTTAGGTATCTCTTTCTAAAAAGTGTTAGGAGAGGCAAAATGTTTTAAATACAAAAAGAAATTGAAAGAAAATTAAAGGCTGAAGAAGAAATCCTAATAAAAAGAGAGACAGTAAGTTGTGGAGTGATGGTGGACTTTTTTAAAAAAGTCCCTGAATGATAATTTAAAAATTTAAACTGAAAATTTAAGAAAATACCAAGATAAGGGTTTTAAAAAGAGAATCCAAAAAAAAAATAAAAATAAAAAAATACTTGGTGACCAGAAAAGCCAGTATTAAATTAAAGGTCTATGCAACAATGTGAGTTGGGAATAAATATTTGTTTACACTTCAAGCTAAGTTGTTTTGAATGTAAAGGTAGCTTGCAAAATATTAGGTAGGTATGAAGTCTGTTTCAAGTAGGGTGAAAAAATAAAGAGAAAACGGGGAGGCTTTCTCCATAAAAAAGCAACTAGAAAAGTGACTGTGGTTGACATCCATCTGTCTCAAGAAATGGCATGTACCTCCAGCTTCTAGGAACTACAGGTGAGAGCTGAGTGCTGAAGGAGCACGACACATCCCCCACCATATTTAATTAACAATTAAAAATGAAAATAATGAAAAATTTTATATGATAAAACATTTGTATGCAGTTTTGCCTAATATATTGCAATAATGAATTTTCTGATGTTGCCTTTTATATGCATTTTTATCCATAAAGGTAAAGGGAACCCTGACCATTAGGTCCAGTCGTGGCCGACTCTGGGGTTGCGGCGCTCATCTCGCTTTATTGGTCGAGGGAGCCGGCGTACAGCTTCTAGGTCATGTGGCCAGCAGGACTAAGCCGCTTCTGGTGAACCAGAGCAGCGCACGGAAACGCCGTTTACCTTCCCGCCGGAGCGGTACCTATTTATCTACTCGCACTTTGACGTGCTTTCGAACTGCTAGGTTGGCAGGAGCTGGGACCGAGCAACGGGAGCTCACCTCATCGCGGGGATTCGAACCGCTGACCTTCTGATCGGCAAGCCCAAGAGGCTCTGTGGTTTAACCCACAGCGCCACCCGTGTCAGGAAAGCCATCCTTCATGCAGTTTCAGCTGAGGACACAATTGTTTGAGGCTAGATATTGGGGAGAAATGCCAGTCTTCACAGATGAAAAAAAAGCACTGGTGATTGGCACTTCTGGTCTCCAGGATGGGGTTGAAGTTCCTACCGTGGTCTTGCCTACTTGCTTCCAATGCAACTGCTACATGTTGAGTCTCTTCCTATCCCTGATGGTCTGAAAAACCATTCGGTCCCTTTTTCTTAAGCTAAAGGACTAGAAGAGTTTTTCTCTTGGGTGCTGATTTTTATGAACAAGCTTGTTCAGTGATCATGCATCAGAGAGCTCTCTACATCCCTAGGTACATGCACTACCCTTTGCAGCAGGCTGCTGTTGGGAAAATGCTCCCCTCTTATAGCTCCAGATGTCCTGTTATTGTTCATGCATGAGGATTTGTGCTCAAGATGGTGCTTGCAAATGTCTTGAAATGGACATACTGCTTCCCCCTGTCCCCCATCACTGCATTTCCCACAACTTCTTGCTGAATTAATCATAAAATGGAATGATGTGTGGAGGGTCCACAGTATACTGTATTTTTCGTCCCATAGGACGCACCTAGTTTTTTTGGGGGGAAATAAAGGGAAAAAAATTTTCCTTTATTTCCCCCCCCAAAAAAACCAGGTCGGGGAACAGCGGTATGGCGGCGCTCCGCCTCCCCGCTGTCCCCCAAGCTTGTGGGGCTGGCGCTGGGGAGAAGCGTGCGGATATCTGCCCGGCGCGAGGGGCGCTCTGCTTCAGGGCGTCTCGCGCGCCGGGTGGCAGGCTTGCTGATAGCTTCCTGAAGCCTGGAGAGTGAGAGGGGTGAGTGCGCACCCACCCCTCTCGCTCTCCAAGCTTCAGCGAAAGCCTGTATTCGCCCCATAGGACGCACACAGATTTCCCCTTCATTTTTGGAGGGGAAAAAGTGCTTCCTATAGGGCGAAAAATACGGTAAATTCACCACTAACGCTCTGTTATTACATAAACGACACAATGCAGAATACACCAACAAAAAGGCCAAGTAATTTGGAGGGGCCCAGAATGTCATGAATTGTATTTAAAAAATAAACTTTGCCCCACTGCCCCTAAACTCTTTATATTCCATTGCTCCAAGCGATTTTTCTCCCTTCCAGGGAAGTTGGCTTGCCTATGTCATGCGCCATATTGGTAACCTTTTTCTCCCTGATTTGGAATGTAAGAAAGGGCCACCTAGTTTAAAGTATTTGATGGGTGGGTGGGTGAGTGGTTGCCCTCATCTGTTGAGGTATAAGTGCTGTAGAAAGCTCTGCAAAACTGTGAAGTAATATATGCATGTATGTATCCCCACTGGGGACACGGGTGGCGCTGTGGTCTAAACTACAGAGCCTAGGGCTTGCTGATTGGAAGGTTGGTGGTTCGAATCCTCGCAATGGGGTGAGCTCCCGTTGCTCGGTCCCAGCTCCTGCCCACCTAGCAGTTCGAAAGCACGTCAAAGTGCAAGTAGATAGGTACCACTCCGGTGGGAAGGTAAATGGCGTTTCCGTGCGCTGCTCTGGTTCGCCAGAAGCACATTAGTCATGCTGGCCACATGACCCGGAAGCTGTCTACAGACAAACGCCAGTTCCCTCTGCTTATAGAGTGATATGAGCGCACAACCCCAGAGTCATCCGCGACTGGACCTAATGGTTAGGGGTACCTTTACCTTTACCTATCACCACTAGTAGGATTATTCTATGACAGTGACTGACTCTAAGCTTGTATTTTCTCAGCTTCAGTTGATAACAGACTATGTGCAACACTTCAATTCTCTTGTATTTTTCATTAGTGAAATATACTCGGAGTCGAGTGTGAATTTCATGCTCTTTATTCAGATCATGGTAGCAATGAATGACACTTTCCCCAAAATGTCTATGGGCCCCATGTGATTGGCTAATTCCGGGTGGCTCCTGTAGGCAAATCAGGTTGTGGATTCACCTCCTCCAGAAGCCTGATTGGCTGCTCCTGCAGGCCAATGAGGTCGCTGATTCACTTCCAGCTGGAGCTGGATTGGGTGGTTCCTGCAGACCAATCAGACTGCTGCATTCTGGATCCTATTGTTCTAGGATTCAGCTCAGTACAGTACATAACAATTAGCTTGTGGGACTTGCCACGAAATGTTTCAGTGCAGTGAGCCTGCCAACCATGTCCTTTCCCAAGCTACTCCATTACATTCCCCTACCCCCTGATTTTTCATTATTCAGCATTCTGTGGCCATTGAGCCTCTGTGGGCTGTTTCAAGCTGCCGTCCCTCTTGGGTATGAATAGTGCTGCTTTATTTGCATAATAATCCACAGCTAGATCATTGAGTTTGCTGTCAATATACACAGGATGCAACTGAAAGTCCACATTAATTTATTGTATTAATTTATTATTCCCCTACCTGGGAATGAGTTCTATTTGATGTAGTAGGTTCTGAGTTCTGTGCTCTTACAAAATTGTCCATTTTACTCTGCTTGCTCTTCTGCTGTGGGCTCACTTGTGGAGAAGAGGCCGGTCGCTTCTTTTTCCTCGACATTTTCCCAGAGATAGAGCCGCTACTAATTTCTGCTGTAAATCAGGAAGCTCGGCGTCCTCCCACGATAGGGTGTTTAATCTCCACTCCTGCTGATAAGTAGTTGGTAGTTTTAGTTGAGGTGGAGCTAATTAAGGCTTTTCTCTGAGACTTTCCAGGACTTTCTCTAAGACTTTTAACTCAAGCCCTTAACTCAAGCTTTGTGAATATAATAGCTGCCAAATGACATAGATAAAATACTGCGGCTGATAAAAGCTAATAAAAGACTGATAAAAATAATAAAAAACGCATCAACTGATGCGGAGCTCAATTCGACGGTACCACTAACGACGCCGTATTTAGCAACAGTGTTTTCTGGGGAGTAACCATTAGGAACATATTATTCTGGTTTCACTCAACCTGTGTTGGCTTCCCATTAATTTCCAGACTCAATTCAAGGTGCCGATCATAAAACCGTAAATGGTTTGGGACCAGGGTATTTGCTAGATGGCCTGCTCCCAAACAATGCTGGATTACCCAACAGGCAAAGTAAGTATGTGCTTAGGAGGGGTAACAATAGCTGGAGGAACAAGAGCCCAGAAATGGCTGGCGCCCAGTGCAACTCATAGGGTGCAGGTTAGGGTGGAGGCCGACAGTAGGTGGAGCCAGAGCCAGTGATGGGCAGAGCCAACTAATTCTAGCTTTGTCCTCCTCCTCTTCCCTGCTGAGCTGTACAAGGGCAATACTGAGACTAAGGAGGAGAAGGAAACTGATAACCAGTGCCACACTGGCAGGCAGGTGAGGACAGGCCTGGGGGCAGACTGAAGTTGGCTGGGCTGTGCCCCTTTGTCTGAATGGATCAGCCTCCTCTGTAATAGCATGGGCAAAAAAACAGCATATTTTAGGCAATACAAACTTTGCATCCACCTGGAGCAGCATGACGCATCTGATGCCAGGTCCTGCTATGTCCTCCTCCCTCTGAACTCCTAGGCCAGTCACCTTGCAGTCACAGCACCTGTACCAGCTGTGAAGTGTGTGGTCATGTGTCTGCATGCGTCAAGGGATGTGTACGTGTACTTGCGGTGTTTAATGAGAACTCTCTCGTCCCCCCCCCCCCGGATTGAATCAATAAACTCAGCACCTAATCTTTCCTCGCATGTAAGAGTCACAGTAACTCTTGGGGCAGCCAGTGTAGTGACCTACAAATGTGTTGAAATTCCAATTCCCATCAGCTTCGGCTAGCATGGTCAACATTCAGAATTTATGGGAGTCCAAAGCATCTGGAGGTTTCCAATACCTGCTGGTAAAAGACTTCAATTTTGCCACGCTCTTGGCTTGATCAGATTTTCTCTATGTTTCACTATACAGAATATAACTGAAAACACTATAGTATGATGGCACAAACCCAGCCAGTTGTAAAATATTTGCTCAGACTCACAGCACGTAGCTGTACCACTGCAGCTCTAGGCCTCTCCGTATGTCAGACTACGTATTTTATTTAGCAGTATTGCTTACAGTTAAATAAGGTCCTCAAATTTCGCTAAGGTCTTTTATGTTATTTATTCTACTTTGAAGGAACAGCTTTCAAAAATAAGACAAGAATGGATGGATAGCACCACCACCAGGCCAGAAATGGAATTGGACAGAAATAGGACAAATAGTCTCAACAGATGAGACTACAGTGGTACCTCGGGTTACAGATGCTTCAGGTTACAGACTCCACTAAGCCAGAAATAGTACCTCGGGTTAAGAACTTTGCTTCAGGATGAGAACAGAAATTGTGCTCCGGCGGCACGGCGGCAGCAGGAGGCCCCATTAGCTAAAGTGGTACCTCAGGTTAAGAACAGTTTCAGGTTAAGAACATACTGTTTTCCTCAGTGGTATAATAAATGTTTAATACAGTGGTACCTTGGGTTACATACACTTAGTTTTTAGTTTTCTATTATGTTGCTTTGACTGTATATACAGTACAGTGGTACCTCGGATTACAGACGCTTCAGGTTACAGACGCTTCAGGTTACAGACTCCGCTAACCCAGAAATAGTACCTCGGGTTAAGAACTTTGCTTCAGGATGAGAACAGAAATCGCGTGGCGGCAGCAGGAGGCCCCATTAGCTAAAGTGGTACCTCAGGTTAAGAACAGTTTCAGGTTAAGAACGGACCTTCAGAACGAATTAAGTTCTTAACCCGAGGTACCACTGTACTGTATTTGTCCATGTACCCCAATTTTTTCTACTACTGTGCTTGTGTCTGGCAGCTGCTTTTCCAGGTCTGAGGCAAATAAATGCCTTTCCTGTCATCTACTAAGTGGTGCTACCAGGGTGTTGCTGAATTCCAGTTACCATTATCCTTGAACATTGGCCAAGCTGGCTGGGGACGAAGGGCGTCCCAGAGCACCTGGAGGTCCTGACATGCCCCATCCCTGTTATATATGCAAAGGAAGTACTCTGCCACTGAGGTGTATATAGTCTGTCAAATGTGTCTGCTCCCTTCTTGGAGGTGACTGGCACTCCATTTACCTGGAAGGATGGAAGTCAGGCAACCCAAACAGTAGGTGGAATTCATGACAGGCAGAGCCATTCTCTGTAGTTCCCGAGGCTGAATTGGTCAACAATTCAATCTGGACCTAAATACCCAGCTGAAACTGGGTTATATACTGATTGAGACAGCTGTCAACACTTTCTACCTAGCTCCTTCCTGTTGGGTAACCAGCTTCATGTAACCAGCATTCTTGAGTGGAATTAATGCATGAAGGGGTTAATACAATGGATTAAGCTGTCCTGTCAGGTTTAGCCCATGTTGCTTACCCTTACCTTGGGGGGAAATGGGCAAGCAAACCTTTTGTTATACTCAGCCTGCATGTGAATTCAGCGTGTGAGGAGGATTGAGCTAGTTCCTCCAGCTCAGCAACATGGCTTTAACCAGCCTCTTTTGCTTCAGACAAGAATGGAGTCTGTAACTAGCATTTTCCTACACCAGTTGTTAAGGAACTTGTACCAGCTTGTAACCAAGCAACCTTTTATTGTCTGAAGAAATGCGGAAGAAAGAATTAAAACGGAGGATTCGCAGAAGAGGGAGCTGAGGGAAGTCCAAAAGAATGTATTTGTGAAAAATTTTTGTTATGTGTTTTTATAATTTTGTATTGTAAAATGAATAAAAATATTTATAAAAAGATAAAAATTTAAAAAAAAAACATTTTCTTGTCTGTGCAAGTTTTTCTTACTGGTATGGAAAAGCTCATGAATCTTATCTTTAAAGTTTTGCATGCAAAATGTTTACATAACTTACCAAATATGTGGTCTATTTGTGTCCTAGGGAGTAGGATCCGTGGGAAAGTTAACATTTTAAAGATGTAACATTATCACACTTTTCTTTGCTGCCATTTTTTTTTTTTTGCCAGGTTATATCTCTGCTGGGGCTCTCACCACAGCACTTGTCCTAAACTTGAGTCCTGGCTTCCAGGATTTCCAACACTTATTTTCTAGCCATGAATAAAATTTGGAGTACTTTTCCTGTGAGAAAAAGCTAAAGCAGCCTTTTCTAATCTGATGCCTCCCATATGTTTTTGAATAAAACTCCCATCAACCTCAGGCAACAATGGCTAGGGATGATAGCTGCAGCCAAATGTTTGGTCTAACTGGTGTTACAATACTTTTTTTTTCTAAACTAAAAAGCTCCAATCAGGCAAGGCAGTAGGAGTTACAGACTGTCAACACAGAACGCTCTTTCAAACAAAGGTGCTAGCCCACCTCTGACTGGGCTGCAGTAATTATTTTTATTGTTAATTATTGTTAGTTACTATGTTATGTATTTTTATATGTAACTGCCCTGGGATCCTTGGATTAAGGATGGTATAGAAATTCAATAAATAAATACGGTGGTACCTCAGTTTTCAAACTTCTCTGTTAACGAACATTTCGGTTTTTGAACGCTATAAATTCGGAAGCAAATACTTCAGTTTTCGAACACTTTTCGGAAGTCAAACACGCCATGCAGCTTCCGCTGAGTGCAAGATCCTGAATGCTATCTGTCAGCTATTGAGTTTTCAGTTTTCGAACATTTCAGAACTTGAACGGTCTATGTTCAAAAACCGAGGTACCACTGTAAAAGAAACCTGACCAGCTTTTGTGACAGTTGATGACAAAAGCCTAGCCTGGTCCAATGCATAACCATCAAAGCTATTTTATTTTACAGCTGCATGTACACACACATAGCTAACTATTCCAGTTGTGTTGCTATGCATGTCTAAGCAAGTAGCCAAAGAGCAAGCATTTTAAATTTAATGGCAGACATGGGGAGTATTGCTACGGCTAAGAGAAAATACTGCTTATTATGTACCCTGTTCTTCCCTCCGCTCCTAGGGACAGATTTCTCAAAAGAGTTCTTCAGAGAATTTCCTTCTTGAAGAATAGGGAGAGAAATTGTTATTTATTTATATATAGATAGGAAAAAACTCATTTATAGGATTTCTTTGCTTGCCTCAGAAGCTCAATAGAATAGACAAATTTTTACTGTACAGCATGGGGGTCAGTGTGCTGTGGACAGCTTATGCTGAAATATACCTCAAATCTGCATTTTTATGACAGCCAATTACTTTTGAAAATGAATTTGACTGACTCCTGGACCATTAAAACGTTTGATGTTTCCTTTTGTTGACTTTTGCCATTAGATGACAAAACTAATGCTTACCTAAAATTCATGACAATGGTCTTTCTTAACACAATAAACAAAAACAAAAAAGTTTCTCTTTTATATAAAATCTATTTTCCCAATTTTGAAAGTCCAATGTTAAATTACGCATTTGTCACATATGCTCTATGCAGACCACATCTAGAAACGGTGCACACATTTTAAAAAATAAAAAGCAAGAGCAGAAATAATCCAAGTAGGTTTTCAGCCCAAAAAAAAAAAAGGCAGGCACTGAATCAGTTTGCAGACACTGTCAAATACAAAGAAATACCCTGCTCATTCTCTTGATCAAGTCTGTGCCTGGAAGGCTTCACTTCATTGCATGATGCCATCTTGTCCATTTTATTTCACTGAATGATGCCATTTTGTCCATTTTATTTCATTGATGCCATACTGTCCGTTTTATTTCATTGAATGATGCCATACTGTCTGTTTTGGGCTGCTCTGCTGGGGTCTGAGGCCACTTAAGGAGCAGGAGCGTTGCTCTGTAGAAACCGGCGGATGTCCTTAATCATGGGGCGAAGGATCTGCACAAGAGCATTCAGAGCAGCCTGCATCCCTTCCATGGCCTGGGCTTGGCGCTCCTGTGCACATGCCTGTACTTCCTGAGAGCGGCGGATCATCTGCAGGAGGTCATTTTGCTGCTCGATGTTCTGGGACATCTCTTTCATGTGGAGATTGGTCACTCGCTGCTCCTGCAGGAGCTTGGCTGAGTTCAGGGCAATGCGGCTCTTCAGTTCCTGAGGCTTCACAGAGACTTCTGCTTGTTGAGCCATCATCTCTAAGGGGGCCTCGGCAGTGACTGTGGTCGGCGCTTCTGTTGTGCAGTACTCCACAACACCATCCTCCAAACTATGGTATGTTGTCTCAGCTGGAACTAAGAAGAAGAGGAAGGAAATTTTATTTAAGCTACAATATTTACAGTGGTGCCTCGCAAGACGAAATTAATTCGTTCCGCAAGTCTCTTCGTCTTGCGAGTTTTTCGTCTTGCGATGCACGGTTTCCCATAGGAATGCATTGAAAATCAATTAATGCGTTCCTAGGAAACCGCCTTCAGACCAGGTCCGGGGACAGTCTGTCCCGGACCTCTTCTGAAGGCTGGGAGGGGCAAGGGCTTTTCTTCCCACCCCCAGCATTTTAAAAACCCGGGACAGCGGAGGACTTCTCCGCTGTCCGGGCGATCTTAAAATGCTGGCGGGCGGCATTTAAAATCACCCGGGACAGCGGAGGACTTCTCCGCTGTCCGGGGCAATTAAAAGCCCCTGGGAAGGCAGGCAGGGGGACAAAGACTTTGCCCCCGCCAGCCTTCAGAAGAGGTCCTGGACCTCTTCTGAAGGCGGGCGGGGCGAAGTCTTTGCTCCCCGCCTTCAAAAGCCCTCCGGGACAGGCAGGCAGGGGGAGCAAAGACTTTCGCCCCCGCCCGCCTTCAGAAGGTCTTCCCTCCCCCCGCCCGGCTCGGAGCACCGTTCCGAGCCGGGCGGCGGCGGCAGGTGTTCCCTCCCCCGCCCGGCTCGGAGCACCGTTCCGAGCCGGGCGGCGGGGAGGTCTTCCTCCCCACCGCCCGGCCGGAGCACCGTTCCGAAGCCGGGCAGGGCGGAGGTCTTCCCTCCCCCGCCCGGCCCGGAGCACCGTTCCCGGCCGGGCGCGGCGGCAGGTGTTCCCTCCCCCCGCCCGGCTCGGAGCACCGTTCCGAGCCGGGCGGCGGCGGCAGGTGTTCCCTCGCCCCCGCCCGGCTCGGAGGAGCCTTCCGAGCCCGGCGGCGGCGGGAGGAGGTGTCCCTGCCCCGCCGCCAGGCTTCGGAGGAGGTCCGAGGACAGTGGGGAAGACGCGCTGCGCTTCCCCGCTGTCCCTGAGATTTCCCTATGGGCTGTCGTCTTGCGAAGCAAGCCCATAGGGAAATTCGTTTTGCGAAGCGCCTCCAAACGGAAAACCCTTTCGTCTAGCGGGTTTTCCGTCTTGCGAGGCGTTCGTCTTGCGGGGTACCACTGTATATGATCTTTTTTCTATATAGAAAGTTACATTTGTTACTCAACAATTATATTCCAATTCAACAAAACTAGTGACTTTCCACTCAACAGAACCAAAGTTTATAACCCAAATTACATATACAGTGGTACCTCTGGTTACGCACTTAATTTGTTCCGGAGGTCCGTTCTTAACCTGAAACTGTTCTTAACCTGAAGCACCACTTTAGCTAATGGGGCCTCCTGCTGCTGTCGCGCCGCCGCCACGCAATTTCTGTTCTCATCCTGAAGTAAAGTTCTTAAATTTCTGTTCTCATCCTGAAGTAAAGTTCTTAACCCGAGATACTATTTCTGGGTTAGTGGAGTCTGCAATCTGAAGTGTATGTAACCACTGTAATTGCGTTTTAAGGTTCCATCATCTAATTTCATCCCTCTCCAACATGTTTCTTAATATATTCTGCTGTTTTTTTACACTTCAAACTTCGCTGTGGTCTTCACACAGCAGTTTACATAGTAAAAACTGGAACAAGCATCCTAAAAAGAATCCTGAAGTTTTCACAAGGAAGTATTCACAAGGATTTTATCTGCACTCTTTTGGACGGATTGGAACAGAGAAGAACAAGGTAAGAGGGAAAGAAAATGCAAAAGAACCAGTAACAATAGCATAAAAACAAAATGGTTTTGACAAGGCACTGTTGGTGATAACACAAAACAGCCTGGCAATGGTAAGGAAGATGTGGTGTGAGAAAAATCCATAATCTTGACTCAAATCACAAATGAGAAGATTGAGGGTTATAATCCAAAGTTAGTGCTACTTACAGTTGCAAACAAAATTATTCAGCCCCCATTGCAAAGCAGGCTTATCAAAATTTAGACTTTCAGCTGTTTGCAATGAGAAAATCAAATGAAAGCAATTGAATTAGCTCAACCCAATGGATGCTTCAAGTGGAGTCTTATTATCCATTACAGAATTTTCATTTTTAACCATCAAATTTCTATACTTCCCTTCATTTGAGGATCACAGGCCAGGGTACAATCTAAGAAATCAAATAACTTTATTTCACTGAATGTTTCAGTTAAGCATTGTGTATAACATGGGGAAGGAAGAAACAACACACTCACTCTGAGTAAGGGTGACTGTTGTGGCTGCAGCAGTAATAGGTATCTCTGATCCATCTGAAGTGCAGTCTCCGGCAGGCAGGCTAATAATGGTGGCTTCCCCCAGCAAGTTACAGATGCGCTGCTGCATGGGAGTTAGAATAACTGGAGCAGCTGTGACTCCTAATGGATCTTCAGCATCTTGGCCCTCAACACCTCCATCCTGGCCATCGCCACCTCCTTCCATTGCAGCCCGGACCTGTGCCACCTTGCGTCGCACCTCCGTCTTGAGATCAGACCATTTTTTCTTGACTTCAGGCAGCTCCCGGCGGCAGGTAGCAACAGCGTTAACACGGCGTAGGATGTTGTGCCAAGCAGCAGCCTTAGCAGCCAGTGGTACACCAGCATTGAAGTGGTTGATCAGTAGGTGCTTGCTCCGCTCAAGCTCCTCCACAATTATCTCCACTTCTCGCTCCGAGAAGTTCATTTTCCGCTTTTTAGCCGGCGGAGCCGGAGGGGATGCCATTGCCATGGAATGTTCAAGTCCCAAAGCAAACTGGGTGCTGTGGGCCTGGGTGAAGTCCAGAGACAAAACAGGATATCAGGATGTCTGGGAAGGTTGAAATGCAGCTGCCAAGGACACAGATCTGGCTGCAGTAAACAACTAAACTCTAGAAAAAGTTGAGAAGCAAGGTTATTCCTTGTGACAAAAGTGGTTAGTATAATAAAAACCTCTATAACCAGTTTACATGAAAACAATTTAAAAATTCAATAAAATTTCCTAAAACCTGATGTAATGAGATCAAAACAAAACACAACTCTTTAATACAAATAAAACATAGTACACACACACACACACACACACACAACCAGTCAAACGTACCAAGAAAGCTGGGGTAACCCTGGAAATTACTGAGAAGCACTTAAAGGTCATTGATCATCTCTCCACAAATTTCTTGAGGGAGGGCATTCCAGAGGGTGAGTGCTGTCACCAAGTAGGTGTCCTTTTGCATTGTTACCAAATCCAATTCAGCAGAGGACACCCAGCAGGGTCTCCTTGAAGGACTAAAGTTTGGCTTTTTCTGTACCAGGAGGCAGCATTATCTTCAAGAGATACACTTATAAATTATCAGTATGTTCAAAGCCATAAATTGCAAAGACTGGGCAGGAAGATGTTACTTTATCTTGGTCAATGCAGTTTATTATTAGATTTATATGGCAATTTTTTGAAGATCAGTTTCAAAAGGGTTTTTCTGGGGAGAGGGAGTCTGCTGGTCTAAAATACAGAAAGCAAGTGGGAACAGTATGCATTATTGGTTTCGAAGAGCCAGGTGTCCTGTATGCACGATGATGGGGTGGTGGATTTACTATTTAAAAATGGCAGGAGGCAGATGAAAGGGATATGTGTGACTGTTTTATTAAGACTGTGATTTTATGCACACATATATGGGAAGTCCCACTGAGTACAATGGGACTAACTTCTGAGTAAGTAAGATTGGGATGGTGCAGTCCTGAAATTAAGGCTGCAGTTCAGTTCTAGACTCACCCTGCAGTAAGCCCCACTGAAATAAATAGGGCTTACCTCTGAGTAAACATGAATGGTATTGTACCATTAAAAAAAATCAGTAATTTTTAGGGTCAATGGTGCTAATCAAAATAATTACAAAAAAGGAGTTTCCTATCACAAGAGAAGTGAAAACTGAAATTTCATTACATCGCACTGTAATTTCAGTAAAAAAACCCTGAAATATAATGCATGCACATAACTCACAACTAGCAAGTATTTAACTTACGCGTATTCGGCTGTACACACTTGGCAATCCCCCCCCCAGCTGTACACACTTGACAATTATTTTTTTAAAGGGTGGGAGTCCAGTAAAAGAACATTTGGCAATCCTACCTGCCATTGCACCCAATGTGTTTTGACTATACACTATTTTGGCTTTACGTGCTACCCCTCTGGATTGTAACCTCCAGCATAAGCAGAGACCTGCCTATATTTGTTTAATTTATGGGAGCAGAAGAGGAAGGGAGGAAACAAATAACAGTTTCTGAGGAAGGAAAAAACAAATCCAGAGGCTGTATCCAACTACGCCTTGCCTGTGCCCATTGATTTCAATGGGGTTACTCCACACATTACTCATACTGGACACCCAAGAGTATACTGGGCAGGAGGAACGAAAACATAGTTTTAAAATGCCAGTGTGATTTCTTGAGGGAAGGGAGGAGAAGAAAAAGAATTAGTTATAAATTTAAGAGGAAGGGGAAAAAGGATGACGTGGGGGTGGGGGAGAGAGAAAAAGGAAGAGGGTAAATTAAACATGATTTCGCTTGGAAGTTTGTGGTTTCCGAGGAGAGGGAGGAAGGAAGAATGATATGAAACTTCCAACCTTCAAGATATGTGCGGGCGGGTGTGAACCACACTGCGATCTTTGGGTGAAGGGTTTAATAAATAATTTAACAAATAAATGATAATTAAATATTTCTAATGGAGAATGAGGGGGGGAGATTCCCCTGATGGATGGCAATATGTCAGGGATGCTTTAGTCGAGATTCCTGTATCGCAGCGGGCTGGACTAGATGACCCCTGGGATCCCTCCCAACTCTACGATGCTATGATTCCGTGGAAGGGAGTTTGCTGAGATAAACCCAGCACAGGATAAAGGAGAAGATGGGTGTGAGGGGAAGGTTGAGGGAGGCGGCGGCAAAGAGCGCCAGAGGGCGCTGAGGGGAACCCAGGAAAGGCCCAACGCCTAGGAGGAGGGTGGGGATCCTGGATAACTGCCCCGCCGGCCTCAGGCGAGGCTGGAGCCCTAAGTGCCCTCAGGGGAGCCCCTTCCTCGCTCCCCATTTATATTTCCCAAAATTATAAATACTTTTTAAAAAAACACACAAAAATAATAATACGCAAATTGCGTACCCCAACTACCGGTCGAATCCCACACCAAAGAGGGCCTCTAGTCTGCGGCAGTGGCGTAATGGCTTCCAGAATCAGCGTCTCTTGTCTCTCCACTTTTATTGGACTGTCCTCCTGCCTTTCACGACCCGGTGTCCACCCCCACCCGCAACGCTTCGCTACTATTGGCTCGCTTTGGATTTGCGCCAAAGACCGCTATCCCTCGTCTAGCTGTTTGCCCCGCCTTATTAGACATAGGGCAGCACTTACTGGTTGCGGATTGAGTAACAGTCATGTCAGTCATATGCAAATTACACCCCTCCACACCGCTCCGCCACAGTCTTGCCTATCACATTTGAAGTTCCGCCTCCTGCCTATTTTTTGCCTCGACGCCTACTAGCTGTCAGTATGCAGTTACATTGGCCAATAGGCCTTACCCAAATCTCTTTCTCCAATCGCTGCACGCCATCTTGCCAATCCTTCATTTTCATTGGCTGAGAGGCTTTCGTGCCGTCCTGCTCTTCTCATCAGAAAGCGCACGAAATGTGTATATGTAGTACCTTACCGGTACCCGTGCCTGTCAAGAAAGCCAGCGAAACACAGGGTTGGGTGGGTGGAAAGAGGCGGATGGGGTGGGGGAGAGAGAGAGAGAGACGCCCGAGTCACGTGCCGCTCGGCGCCCTGTCCTTTTGCGTCCCCGCCTCCTTTGGCTTCATAGGACCTTCCATGCCCCCTTTTGATTGGTTAATAGAGGGGGTCGCGAGCCCCTTCCCTGCCCCCCCTTTTTTTTGCCGGCGGTTCGGGTGACGACACACTGATCTGGCCAACCAGGTGACTCTGTTCCGTTACGTTGACGCAATCAGCCAATCAGCGAGCGGCGCGCGCAGGCCGGGTGGGTAAAAGAGAAAGAGGCCGGCTCCTTTGAAGCAGGCGCGGCGCCATTTCCCGGCGAGCCGCCTCAAGGGTGGGGGTGCGCGTGCGTGGCGGCTGAGGCCACTGGGCATGCCGGCTAGCGCGCGGCACTCGCTGGCTTCCCCGGTGGTGAACGGCGTCCTCTGCCAGTGCGGCGCCGCCGCCGCCACGGCGACCCCTTTGAGCGCGGCGGTGGCGGGGGGCCCCGCCATACCCGCCCTTGATGGAAGCGGCGGCTCGTCCCCTCCTGCTTCTTTCGCTTCGCCCCCGGAGCAGGAGCGCCGCCTGCGGAGCCTCTTCCTCCAGCTGGACGTGAACCGCGACGGCGCTCTCTGCGTCCACGACTTGCTAATCGGCCTGCAGCGCCTCGGGCTTCAGCGCTCCGAGAGGGATGTGTGGGTAAGCCCTTCCGCAGTTCCTCCAGACCTGCTTCTTTCACCCACCGCTGCTTAGCCACCTCTCGCGAAGGGCCCGTGTCCCTCTTCTTCTTCCCGCCCCTTGTTCTCGCTTTATGAGACAGCTTCTTTCGATGCTAAATCATTTGGGGGGAAAGGCTAATTTGTTGCAAACCTTAATTAATAATAATAATAATTTATTATTTGTACCCCGCTCATCTGGCTGGGTTTCCCCAGCCACTCTGGGCGGCTTCCACAAAGACCAAAAATACACTAAGATGTCACACATTATAAAATTCCCTGAACATATAAAAGATAATACGGGACCGCCTCTCCTGGTATGCCCCGCGGAGGACCTTAAGGTCCACAAATGACAACATTTTGGAGGTCGCAAGGTGGTTAGATTGGTCTCAGGTAGGGCCAGGGCCTTTTCAGTACTGGCCCTGACTTGGTGGAACGCTCTGTCACAAGAGAATAGGGCCCTGCGGGACTTGACATCTTTCCGCAGGGCCTGCAAGACAGAGCTGTTCCGCCTGGCTTTTGGTTTGCACTCGTCTGACCCTTATGTTTCCCTCCCCTTATGGTTTTGAGCTATGGGCTACTTTTAAAATGAGGCTGGATTTTAAATTGCATGTTAACCTGTATTTTAAATTGGTTCCCCCCCCATTATGTTTGTACTGTAATTTTACTAGTGTCAGCTGCCCTGAGCCTGGCTCCGGCTGGGGAGGGCAGGGTATAAATAAAAATTATTATTATTATTATTATTATTATTATTATTATTACATGCATCATTTTATTTGTATTCAGCCTTTCCATAGTTTGAACCATGCTTATGATATGAAAAAATAAACAATTACAGACTTCTTGTCACAAACAGGAAATAAAACACATTTTAAAAATGCACAACCAAATCTGAACAATTTCCACATAACTCATTAGATCTAAAAACAAGTCTGTTCAGCAAACAACAAAAATTTATTATTTATACCCACCATCACCACCAATTTATTAATTATAAATAACTGGCCGGCTTTCCCCAGACTCTCTGGACGGCTCCCAACAGAATATTAAAAACATGATAAAACGTCAATCATTAAAAACTTCCCTAAACAGGGCTGCCTTCAGATGTCTTTTCAAATGAGTAAATAAATTGGGATATTTATATTTTTTGTTGACTTTGGTCATGAAAGACCTCCATTGGCTCCCAGTACGTTTCCTAAACGGCCTCGACCCAATACAGTGGAAGCTCGTGTTACAGACGCGATCCGTTCCGGAGGCCCATCCGTAACACAGAACTGACACAAGCCAAAGCGCCGTGTCTCCACGTGGCATGATTTAGTGCTTCTGCACAGGTGCAATTTAGCGTTCTGGTACTTCCTGGTTGCTGCGGGACGCAACATGAAAACACGTAACCTGAAGCGGATGCAACATGAGGTATGACTGTATACCTGAAGGAGCATCTCCACTCCCATCGTTCAGCCCAGATACTGAGGTCCAGCTCCGAGGGCCTTTGGGCAGTTCCCTTACAGCGAGAAGTGAGGTTTCAGGGAACCAGGCAGAGGGCCTTATCGGTAGTGGCGCCCGCCCTGTGGAATGGCCTCCCATCAGATAGATGTCAAAGAAATAAACAACCATCTGACTGAAATTGCAGTTTTTAATTAGTCTTTATCATGTTACTGTACAAGTGATACAAGAACAGTAAGATGAGCCTGCTGGATGAGACCAGAATCTAGTTCGGCATCTTGTTCTCACATTGACTGATGTGCTTGTAGGAAGCCTGCAAGATGTGCAAACAGCTCTCTGCCCACCTGCAATCCCCAGCAACTGGCAACTGGTCCCAGCAACCACCGATAGTCTTGTACTCCATGAATTTGTCCAATCCTCTTTAAAAGCTGTTCAAATTGGATGAGAGATGTAAAAAACAAACAGCATTATACATACTCATGTATGTGTAAAGTATATAGCTTTATCTACTTGTTCCAGGTGTTAATTTATAATAACCTGATTCCTAGAGCAGCATGCGTATCATAACACTAGTGTAGAATCATAGTGGCATGATTAGAGTTGAGTTATAATGCCTTCAGCTTTTAACTGAGTTAGTGTTAAGAACACTTGAAATATGCATATGAAGCCAGTGTTCACTGCTTCTTCTTCCCTTCATCCAGGTAGCTGCACATTTCTGAAGACTGCTGTATTTATAATTCATAATTTGTAAATCTGTCAGTTTCAGCTGATAGTGGATGGACTGCTGCCTGCCACTTCATATACGGATGCTCATTTTTAGTTGATAATATATGGTAGGACAATCATGTTTTCCTAGTGTATCTTTAATGGAGCTATAGTAACTTTCTCAACCTTTAAGTTGGCGGAATTCATTCTTTTGCAGCAGAACACAGCAGATGGAGACAATATTCCAACATCATGTAGTGGTGGTGGTAGGAAGCCTATGGCAGTGATGTGTAGAATCATTAATAAGCATGTCCTTGTTTTCACTTCTGAAATGGTGTGTGGGGCTATGGCTTTTTTGTTTTTGTTTCGTTTTACTGGGGTGACTGAACCCTGGGTGACCAATACAATCATGCTATTATCATATTATGGTCATTGGTCATACCAGCCATTTCTAAAGTCAATTGGTTCCCTACAACATTCCATAGAAGATTGTTTACTTGTAGTGAGCAAATACTGTTTCAAGTTGCTGAAGGTTCTTCTTTGCCTGCTGAACCCAATATACATTTACCCTCATACAGCCTGTCCTGAGCTGGCTTCCAAAGCAGGCACATTCATAAACTTACTACAGCATGTGTGCGTTGTGAAACTTAACAGTTATGCTTACTCCCAGCACAGAAGAGAAGTTGTGCTCTGGCATTTTACATCCATGTGCGTGTATTTGCACATTCTTGTCTCATTCAAATTTCTAGGATTCTGGGAGAATCATTACCTGTGTGCACAATTTAACTTTTCTTTTCTCCTAAGCCACCTCAATTTACTCTCCAACTTCAATGACAGCTTTGTTGCAGTACACCCCTATGAACAGGTCAATGCTACAAACTGACATAAGAATGCTAGGAGCCATGTGGCTCTATGGACCTCGGTTGTGGGTGCCAAAACAAAATGTCTAGGCGCCCTTCTTTTTGTTCTCCTTAACTTCCTGTATTTAGTGTGTAACTAAAAACTGGCATGTTGTCATATGCAAAATAAGGGCGGGGCGGGCAGTGGAAATCTGGTTCCTTGGCTAAATTGTTAGTTTGTGCTCCAGCTAGTCTTGACCACTGCAACATGCTTTTTCCTGGCCATTCTTTGTCACATCTCTGCTGTCACATGCTCCCCAGAATTCTGCTACCACCAAAATAATATCTCATTTATTAAGTCCATGTGCCTCCTCTTGATGCTGACTAGCTCCTTGGGAGCCTCTCCATGGAAAACGTGTTCACTTTTAGATCCATTTTTTTCTGGAAGCACAAGAGGGCAGTTAGAATCCTTGTTTCATATTTTTAAAGACAGGCATTCCAATCTCATGAGCCTTGTGGAATAATAAATGTCTGCATTGCTACTTAGAGCAATTTCAGCCATTCCATGACAATGAAATGTTCTGTGCTTTACAGAAGATGGCATGGTTGGGAAAGCTGCACTTCGGAGTCATGGGGAAGGTACGTGGTGACGTTCTGAGATAATCAGTGTTAGAAACTGAAATATAAAAGCTAGGAGCCAAATGGCTCCTGAACCCAGGGCAAAAGCAGAATGGCTAGTTGCCATTCCCTTCCCACCCCATGTAGCAGCACTTTCTATTTATTTTTTTGAAATGCATGAACGAACACACAATTCACACAAATCAGTGACAAATTGTTAATATGACATTTTAAATAGAAGTTCTTAACGGGACACCCCAAACATAAATGAGGCTCAGCCTCAGCAATAGTGTATGGTGTGTGTGTGTGTGTGTGTGTGTGTGTGTGTGTGTAACAATTTCTACATAGAAATAGATTCTACTGAAGTCAAAAGGGCTTACACCCAGGGAAATGTGAAAGGAGAGTCCCAATTCCAAATTAACTTTTGTGTGTGTGTGTGTGTGTGTGTGTGTGTGACTGCCTAAGCAGCTGGGCCTTCAAACTCATGTTATAATTATATGAAAGGTTCTGGGTACCTGGGATGCCAAATTTACTGTAGCAAATTATTATTATTAAAATTTGTATATTGCACTATGAAAAGGTAGCCAAATAAAAACACTCCAAAAATCTTCACAAAACCAGGTATAGTAGCTAATGGACAGGGAGCCCAAGGCCAGAAAGATGGTAAGGTAGGAGAGAGGGAATTGAGGCATGAAAGGGTAAAAATGAGAAATTAAACCTCAGGAGGAATTTCACAGGGCTTATGATGAACATAATGTTATGGAATTCAAATTGTAATACAATAAAATGCAATATATAAGAAACAAAAGAAGCAATTAGGGCACAATTTAGGAAAGAAAGGTTTTCAATCCTGATCTGAATCTGCCTGTTACTCAGAAGTAAATCACAACCAAGTTCAATGGGGCTTTCTCCCCCCCCTTTTTAAACCCATGTATGATGTGCTTTTAATTTGAAATATACTAGCCAATTATGATGGTTTAAATAGTGCATGTTAAAGTGTTATCTACCTCAGACTCTCACAGTGATGGCTTAAAATCAAAACAAATTTTGGAGTGGGTTCATTGAAGGACACTTATGTCCTAGGTTTGCAAACTGGACACTCAAGGTGGTGTCTCTGCCATCAGTTGTATAGGCCTTTAATATGTGTTAATTGCGGTGCCAAAACGATAAATTTATATGAAGGAAAGTGGGTTTAGGGAGAATCCAGGGCTTGTCTGCAGAGTGGAAGGAAAGGATGATCTTTTTCTGCCTCCCTACTTCCAGCCACTCTATGAAGAATGAAGAAGAGATCCTCTTAAGAATATTAGGGGGGTGGGCAGGGGAAGCATGGCTTTGTTTTTTGCAGTTTTCAGATGAGGACTAGACCATGTGAAAAATGAACATAAGATTTTTAGTTGGAGTTCATTCATTTTCAGCTTTGTATTCTTGTTATTAAAAAGTGCACTTAGACATTCCATTGTTGCACCCATAACCTAGGTTTAAAGTGCCATTCATCTCCTAGGTTTCATATTTCAGTTTCTAACACTGGACCTTCCTTTTAATATCCAGAATTTGAGAATAATCTTAAAACATTGAAGTATTAATGTAAGCACCACCCTCCCCCTCCCTTGATGGGTGCCTTGTCTTTTAAGGGGTGTTTTCTTGTGTAAATACAGTCAATGGGACTCTAATATTAGGAGATTCATCACAATAAAACAAGCAGATGTCAGATTTCTAAAGTGGGCTTACATATGCTAAGTCTTAAAATACTGTTACGGTAAAATCTGGGTGCGAGGCTGCTCTGCCACCCAGCTCGTCGGACTAGGTCCACGGGTCCCTGCGGAGGAAAATGAGCTCAGCCGGAGACAGGAGCAAGCTGCAGAAGATCCAAGTTTATTGCGCAACAGGTTCAAGGCGAGATTGAACAGCGAGAAAGGGGTGACATGAACTTTTGAAACTTCCCTCCATGTCCCAGAATACAGTGCAAAATACATCCCAGTTACATCATGAATACATTAAGAGGTTGGGTTACACAGGATTAACACATGGAGGAGGGAGGGGGAATATGCAGAGCTGGAGATATGCGCAGATAAGCACATCCTGAGAAGACAATGGTCCATGTATGCATAGTCTTCCACCTGGCATTGCCCGGAGGAAAGGCTTGGCAAAGTGATTTGACAGGATTAGGGTCTTGACACCTTGCTTGAGGGATTATGGAGGACAGGGGAGGTGTCATGGAGTCCTAGAGAAATTGAGCAAATTGGCACGTTGATTTTCTATGAATTTTATAGATTTTAGTCCCTTTTGACATTGACAATTGGAAATAAATGGATATATTGTAGCGAAGAAGAAGGTGAAGAAGACATGCCCCCCCCTCCGTATCAATACTATAATATTTCTCCTAAACAATGGGGGTTGGGGGAAGGAAGCAGGTTCCCAACCTCTCCAAAGCAGCTTTCCAGGACCTCATTTGTCAAAACAACAACAAAGTAACCTCCCCACTCTTCCTTGATTCTCTCACCCCCTCCTCTCCCAAAGCAAGGCTCATTTTACTTAAAAGTACACCCATACACACCTCTTCTCTTCTGAAATAAGGTGGGAAGGAATCCACCCCTCTTCTGTCTAGGAACAGAAAGTGAAGTGCCTCCTTAACAGTGGAGCAAACAGAGGCAGAGGAAGAGGTGGGTGTGGGTGGTCTGAACTGGAAATCTGAACCTGGATGCTAGATGGTGCTCTGGAGTCGCAAAAAAAGACTGGTGATGGGTTAATTTCGAACTGAATAAGATAGCAACAGCACTCCTGAAAAATTCTTGGATGATATGGCCAGCCAGTTTTAGTTAAGAACACAAGGGCAAGGAGCTATTATGATGGCACAAACCAGTCAAGAAGAAGCAACAGATGTGAGGCTTAGAGAGCTTTTTGTAGTGGAGTTGGGAGGGAGAGGAGGACTGCTTTGCCACACTGGTGGGTGTGAAGGGTTTGAGTGGATGCTTCATCCTGCAAGGGTATGCCAGCTAGTAGGACAGTTTCTGGTCGATACATAGGGAGCAGGGAGTACTCGATTGAAGCCACTGAGTAAAAGTGTCATAGGAGCATAAAGCCATTATGATTAAATGGAATTTGTTCACGAGAACTACTGGATGGAAAGGGGTTTTTTTTTGGGGGGGGGTTATCCTATTCTGCTTAGAATATACTTATTTTTAAACGGTTGGACATTTTCCTGCCCCACATCATTCAGGAAGGATAAATGAAAAATTGTTATGAGATGTCAATGCTAGATTAAAAGAAAACATATTCCGACATAGGTAGCTTGCTTGTTTTTTAATTACTTTGACTGACACCTATCCTTTTTCAACTCAAATTAACAATAAATCTGAAATTGCATGTTGGAATAGCTAGACACAGGAAGGGGTTAATTTCCTTCATGAACATAAATTGCCCCCTGGGTGAGGTAATCTGCAAGGCACAATGAGCCTGTTGCTGTGGTAATGGCTGAGCCATGACCATGTGATTAATGTATGTCAGCTAGTTCTGTGTGTTGTGTCTTGGTTATTTGGTCCAACGGTAATACATTGTATATATCTCTCTGAAAAGCCTTCTACAAGCTGGAACTTATTATTCTGTGAACAGTGGACGCTCGGGTTGCGACCGTGATCCGTGAGGGAGGCACATTCGCAACCTGCAGGGCTGCGCATGCGCGGGTCACGATTCGGCGCTTATGCGCAAAGCGTGATTTAGTCTTTCTGTGCGAGTGCTGAAACCTGGAAGTAACCCGTTCTGGTAATTCTGGGTTTGGTGTGGTGCTCAACCCGAAAACGCGCAACCTGAAGCATCTGTAATCCGAGGTATGACTGTATAACTTTGTCCAGAGCTGTTTGCTGAGCCTCTTTCTTCTACAACAGCAAAATATTTGGGCATTACTCTAAGTGATACTGCGAGCAAGATCTTCAATTCCACTGTGTGTGCATCTTATATTAGATTCCCAACACTACATTCTAAAAGTTTGCATTTGCTGCTGAATGTACTGATGGGTATATATTTTTTGAGAACTTGTAAAAAGAATAATAAAATGCCGGAAACATTTGAAAGCCTTATTTCTCAAAAATGATGCCTCAGCTGATTCACAATATGAATAATAATTAGATTGGCTAGAATATTTAGATTTGCAACTTTTGTTTCAAATACAGTGGACCCTTGGGTTACGTTACCTTTGGGTAATGTAACTTTCGGGTTGCAAACGTAGCAAACCTGGAATTGGGTTTGCCGCATGCGCAGAAGCGCCTCTGCGCACCTCACGCATGTGCAGAACAGGTGCCTCCAGTTATGAAGATTTCGGGATATGGCTGGGCCTCCGGAATGGATCCTGTTCGTAACCAGATGTACCACTGTACTGCTTTTAAGTTTTCTTTCACAATGATCAAACAGTGATGCACGTAGCCTCAATACAAAGGTAGCCTCAATACATGGAAATGCTCTTACATTTCTGCTATCTGTAAGCATGATGTGTGCCATAAACATTCTGACTGTCCACTAAATTTGTACTAGTAAATGTTCTTCTCACTTTCACCCTTTTATTGGTATGACCTTCTTTCGTCTGTCCCTGTTCAGAATCCTCATCTCTACTTTCATCTCTTTTCTCACAGACTGTGGCAACTCCTCTCACTTGTCTTCTCATGTATCGACAGTCTAGATTCCTGCTTGTGACCTCTACTACTTGACATCTTCACATGTTCCAAGAGCCGCTCATTTGCACCACAGGCTACAGTGTCTGGTGTTTGTTTGGAGTTCCTGTTCAAAACTTTGCAACTGTGTTCAGAACTACTGTCTTCAGTTGATTACAAGTTATCTCTTATAAACTATCACTCTCGGACAGATTAACTGCATATATTCAACCTTCATTCTTAAATTTATGGATAAATGTTTCTCTTCTCACTGGGTCTTACTGTGACATTTGAGATGCCATATAACAGACTACTTTGCTACATAAATGGTGTGAATTGGGTAGGTGGGTGTGACCCACATCCATGGAAAAAATAATGAACTGCCTGGGATTATTATGAGAGAGTTGGATACCTTTCCAGCTGATATTTTTGACCTGGATCATATCAGTAGTAATAGCCTCAGTTGTCCATATATTTTGTCTATTTGTGGTAGTTAGGTGTTATTTGTGATCACCAAGCCTGCCTCTTCCTCCAAATCCTTTGTCACCTGCACCTCCAGCAATACCCCATGCAACTTGTAAAATTGTAAGTGATGGTCTGGAAATTTTTACTGTGAGATAAATATCACTATATTCTGCCTATATTCTGTTACTTATCTCAGTGACTTTAATGGCAAATCTCACCTAAATGTGATATGGCTGTTTTAATAGTCTTGTATAATTTTGACACTACTGATTTAACCTGATATTGCACGTCAGGTTTAATTTCCTGTTGAGCAGGAAGCAGAGACTGTAATCAGTATGGAACATAGGACTGCTTTTCTATTACCTGAACATACTCTCCAGAGTTCTTCTCTGATTAGCCTAGCTCTCAGATATTGTCAACCTGTGTCTGCTCTGTACGGCTTCATACTGCAGATAGAGGTTTGAGTAACCAAGGTAGTGGTAAATAACTTGGGAGTGGTCCTCAATGTTATTTAATGGTGTTATTTATAGGAGGCATCACTTAAGTTGATGAACAGAAATGTAGTTAGGAAATGTAAGTGACCTGAAGTTCCACTGCAACATGCAAATCACCTTCTTGTGAACTGAGACCGGAAGCTCTTGTGCAGAATCACATGACAGCTTATCTGCAGCCACCAGCAGATCCTCTCCTTGGCACTTGGACTTGAAACCCGATGAGTCATTGCAGAGTCACCTAGGGAGACAGGGCTGCTTTGGCTGCTGTTTCTCATATTGAATTGCTTGAGAACAAATTGGAATTACCTAGTCAGCAGCCATTCTTTATCCTTTGCCGCTTGTTTTCTATGCTTCTAGCTTCTCCAGTTAAGACAGCTATCTTTTGAAAGTATGTTAAGGTTTTTTCATGACTCTGTACATTTAAACATTAAAATATTTTTTACAAAAAACTCCTGCCTGAATAATGTTATAGGAATTCTAAGGTATCAAATATAGAATAAATGTTGATTATTGCACAAAGTAAGCACACATACATAAGTATATAAACCATATGTCTAAAATAGTATAGGAGAGCAGTCCAAAAGCCATCTTGTCTCTCATGAAGACTCTAAATATTTCCCCTGCCTTCTGAATCCCCCTTGCCTGAGAACAGATAGCAATCAGGGGAACAGATAGCAATCAGGGGAAGTTCATGAAGGGATTCCTCTTCTATATCTATGAACCTCCTTTGTATCAATTGTCATATGCTCTGCATTGAGGGATGTCTGATGGGCATCCTGATTGTCTTACCAAATGCTATTGTTTTGTGTAAACTGTCTGAAACTATGTAAAACTTGCTAAATCCTCAGTAATATCACACCTTGGCCTTCCTGGGCCACAGTAATCCCACCTTATGTGTGATATAATTTCTAACTGTTTGTAGAGGGGATGTCCTGCTTTTCTACGCCAAAATGCAAATCCTTAAAAGAGATTTTCTTCTTGGTTCTGGGCCTCTCTTGCCTCCTTGCTAGGAGGGGAGGGAACTCTTGCAACAGAAAAATAAAGATCTGCCTTGCTTTCACTGCATCCTGCCTCTATCCATTCATCTCTGACTGATCATAGACTTAGGGGGCTCAGTCCCTTGGGGAGTTGGGCAGCAAAAGCCAATCACCCCTATTTTCCCTATATCAATATCAACAGTGCTCCAAGCAATTCTGAAAACATGATAGTAGTGTGGGCCTTGCCCAAGCGGTATAATCTCTGCCCTAGCAGAGAAGATGGATAGAAGAAAGGCATGAGATTTGGAAGGCGTGTCTGTAGCGATACAGTACAGTAAATGTTTCTGGAACTGTCAGTTGAAAAGGCTATGTAAGGCATTCAGTGAGTTTGTAGGCAGTGACTCGTTCAGGTTGGGGATGTTTCCAGCTCTGATACCCTGGCCCTCTAATAGCAAATCCTATGCATCTTTCATCAGAAGTAGGTCTCACTGAGTTGAGGAAATAGAGTTTGGAAGCTGGGTGGCACCCTCTCATGCTGGTCTCCCACCCATCCTTTATTTCTCTCTCATGTCACTCCCTTGTATCACATTGCTGTGGAAAGGGGAGCATGTACCAAATGGATGATGAAGTGACTCCCTTGCCTTGGCATGACCCTCTACATAGGAGAAGTGTGTAGTGGGAGAGCTGGACACAGGGTTGTGTTTAGGTAATGGCTGTGTGCTCTCTTGTTCCTGTCAAGTGGGAACATCACGGTAACTGCACCTGGAGGAGGTGCAGGTGCTAGGAGGTTGATTTAGACCAGTTTTTCAACAACTGCGGCAAGAGTATTGTTAGCCCAGAAATAGAAACAAGAAGAAATTCCGACAAAAGAAGAATGGCAGACGAAATTAATGGACTATGCAGAATTGGACAAAATGACAGGAAGGATTCGAAACCTGCGGGACCAGAGATTTACAGAAGATTGGAAGAAGTCTATGAATTATTTGAAGAGCAACTGTAATCAACAAATTACGCTAGTAGGACTACAAGAAGTTCTGTAAGGAGAAATATACGAAGTTCGTGCGCTCTTGCGGGCTTTTCCCCAGGAGGGAGAAGGGACTGACTGGCTGCATCAGTCCCTTCTCCCAGAAAAGCCAGGAGAAGCCGCGCAGCCCCTTTAAAGAGCTGGTGTAAGCAGCTCCTCTCGTGTAAGCAGCTCCTCTCCCACTTTCCTGCTTCAAAGTGGAGGGAATCCACTGCAGTTGCGAGCAGAGGATCCATGGCTCCGCTTCCTTCCCTCGAAGCAGGGTGCGGGGGTGCAGGGGGAAAGAGAGCAGGAAATAGATGCCGGGCAGGAAGACACAACCACACTTTGACCACTGGAAAGTCCACCCCAGCCTCCCCAGATTTCCACTGAGACGGCCAGGCTAATCTCGATGGCCATAAGTCAGGCTCAGCATTATTAACTGGACTTAGATAAGCCATGGTTCCCCTTCCTACCCTCCTCTGAGGCTCGATTTAAAGCAGCAAAGCAGACAGGAGCCGCCCGCTTTGCTGCTTTAAATAGTTTAGTGCAACATTTGATTCAGAATATTTTTGTGTGTGTTTTCCTCCTCTAAAAACTAGGTGTGCCCTATGGTCAGGTGCGCCCTATGGTGCGAAAAATACGGTAAATATATTTGGAGTTTTGCATTGCTCAATTTCAAAGGCTCAGTGCAAGTAAGTATGATGGGATTTAGTATGGAGCATCTTGCAGGCTTGCATGAGAAAACAAAATGAAGGGTTGTATCCATTCAAGAGGAGATGCATTAAAATGAATGAACATGACTAACTTGCTTCTATTGATTTTGGTGAGATTGCTCTCGCCAAAGTTTGTTGAGTAAAACTTAGATATCACTCTAATATTTTTGAAAATAAGTGAACTTAGCAAGAAAAATAAATAGAAAGCTATAGCACCTCTCTCAGCAGGATTGTACACGTTTTTTCATGCAAATAACTATACTGTCATGCAAATATTACTTTAACCCCATCCTTCCTCCAAATAGCTCAAGGTGGCCAACATAGTTGCCACTCCCATTTTTATCCTTGCAACAATCCTGTGTAGTAGGTTAGGCTGAGAGGGACTTACCCAAAGTTACCCAGTAAGCTTGTGACTCAGCTGGAATTTGATTTTTGTACTACCTGGTCCAAGCTCTAATCCGTACATCACACTAGTTCTAGGTGTTCTGCAGCTATAGCTCTAAGAAAAAAGTAACTTCTCCACACATTATTTACATACTCTGCAAAAGTGCAGCAACTCTTAACCAAATCCTAAATGAAAAGCTATGTTAGCAATTCTAGACTCCAAGGAACAAAACTGTTAAAATAGAGCCAGCGCCAGACTGTCAACTTGAAATATGTCTGTGAAATGTGTGGCAAGCATAATAAGGGTGGCATTGCCCAATTTAGATGTTGAAACAATGCAAAGAGGTCATGTTAGGCTTCTGTAATTAGGCATAGAAACTCTCAATCATGACTCAGTCTGGTTTCTGCTTCCCTAGTGCCAGGCTGGACATTATAGGAGCAAGTCCATGTTTTGCTTTGTTTTAAACATCACATATAAAATGGGGATATGATTTGTAGAGCAAAAAAGGCTCATTCATGGGTGAGGAGTATAGAATGCTTTTCTCCGCACCCTTAGCTCAGTTCCCTGCTGTCTTCGTCCTGAGCACTGTTTTTCCTAGCCAGGATCTGGTACTAGAAGTGAGTTTAACTGTAGAAAGATCATTTGTGGGATCAGATGGCAGAAAGTGAACTATGGGCAGAAGAAGCATTGAGCATCTCCTTTAGGTGCCTATGTTGTTGCTACATAAATTTGTATTTACATTGAATACAGTGGTACCTCTGGTTGCGAACCAGATCTGTTCCGGAGCCCCGTTCGCAACCTGAAAGGAACGCAACCCGCGTCTGCGCATGCACGGGTTGCGATTCGCTGCTTCTGCGCATGCGTGTGACGTCATTTTGCGCGCTTGCGTGAGCGGCGAAACCCGGAAGTAACCCTTTCCGGTACTTCCGGGTTGCCGCAAGACGCAACCTGAAGCAAACGTAACATGAGGTATGACTGTACCTAGTTTGGCCCTTATCCCCTTGACAAGTATTATCTAGCTTCCTGGGTTTTTTTTTAATCGTTAGACTAAGGTAAGATATTGGGCATAAACATTGGGTGCTGTCGCAGTGTATTAATTAAACAGGTGGCAAAGTTGATATAATACGCCTTATGGGAGTTTCTAGCTTTTTGTTACATGAGGTTACCTTAGTTCCTACAAAGGCCCCTAAAGAACAATGATTTAGCTGACGTAGAATGTAGGCATGGTTTGAAAAGGACAAGGAATTCCTTACTCTGTTTCCAAGATTCTTGTCTGGGTCATGACTCAGATGCTGGAACATCTTTTGAATGTGTTTTCTTCAGCTCTGCCTTTCCCTGTTTATAATGCTGCCCCCCTCAATTGTTAGCCAGGTCAAGCAACCTCATCTTTGAGGTTATAGTCAGCACTCTATGCAGAATTGTCTGCCTGTATGCAATAGACTGTCCAGTCACACGCTTCCCTGATTGGCTCAAGATTGCTGGTTTGAATAATGAACATGCTAGTGTTAGAAACAGTGATTGGCTGAGCACTGCTGCAGTGAGAATGCAGGCTGGATGCTCAGGGCTTCTGTTCCTTTGATGTGTATTGGATGAGCTAGAAGCACAGGTTAAATCGCTACAGCTGTCTAGAGTGAAAGGATCTGTTATCCAAGCTTTCTAAGAGCAGTGCCTTTGCATTCTTTTGTTCAGGCTTTCTGTAATGTCTAGCATCTTTGCTTTATGCTAGGAGACTTGTGCTTTTCTCTTTCATTGTCTATTAGAGTAAACTGCTTGTGACGCCAGACACGACAGCAGTACAGCAATTTTGAAGGCAGGAAGCGGCTGCAACCCTTCTGGCGTTGCTGTATTTGAAGCACTGCCGCGATGCGGTTCCCTTAAGAGGATACTTGGTAGTGCATTCACTTTTTTTAATCACTGTCTGCAGTGACTTCTTTACCAGGGCTCTAGTTGAAGGATAAGTGATGCTGCAGTCCCTCTGGCAGGTTTTTTCTTGCCTTTTTTCGAGGGCTGCATGTCAAGGCCCTGCTGAAGGAAAGGAGAATGAGGCAAAGGAATCTCCAGCTCCCCACCCTGGGGACCAGGGACCAAAGATGCTGGGGAAACCGCTCAACAAAGAGACCAATCCCACTGAAAGGAGACCAACTATTCTATTGGTAGTTGGACCCGCAGAGCATTTCACACAGGTATTGTTGCTTTTATTCACCACCATCCTTCCCTGTGGGAATGGCTTTCACTAGCCTAGACAGGTGTGTGTGAATGCGATGTGGCTGTAAAAGATAAAGGATGTGGGATGCTAAGACTTGGTTGCGCGGTTGGAGGAAAAGAGAAATAGTGAACACCAGTAGTTTGCCTCTTGAAATGTTTGTTTATGGAAGCGGCTTGATGGCAAAGCTATTATTAGGGACAAAGGTTGCATTAGCGCTGAAAGATTATATTACGTAGGTGAATAATCTATATTATGGAGTGGCAGAAGTTATTTTGATAGAAACTGGGATGTTAAATTTGGTGCGTAATTTATTTTACTGTGCTTGTTTGTTTAAAAGTATTTCTAAACTGCTTAATATTTAAAATCTCCAGGCAGTGTTCAAACACATTTATGGTTGTGTTTTACAAAATAAATGGGATTTGAAGCTTCTGGCTTTGTTGTATCTTTAGAGACACTCGTTACAATAATTGTGGAACAAATTACGAAGCTTTGAGAAGGCATGATCCCGGCACTTTAGTTGAATTGTGTTTGGCTACAAAAACCTGATATTGTATTCAAGTTAAGAGTTGACTTCATTGTAGACTTTCAAATGTTCATCTCTTTGTACTGTAGAATGTTATTTGGCGAGAGAGGGTGTGTGTGTGTGACAATGTGAACCTTTTATTTCTTGATATGGGAACCTGCCTTTCAAAGGTGAGGGGTGCTCAATGTCTTACACAAAAGCTGGAGGACCACATATAACTTTCCTCTATAGTCAATGCAATTTTAAAATTGTCACTTGCAGGGGGATAGAACTGAAGCAATCATATTTTTAAAAAAGCACCTTTAAAATTAATGTGAAATGATCTAAGCCCACAGCCAGTAATTTATTGCTTAGATTTGTTAGTTTACATGATAGGATAATTTATATATCAGCAGACTTATTGTGTTGAAAACTCTGGTTCAGGATCCAGCAAGGGCAGAAATTGGCAGTGTTGCTGGTCTCTAAACTTGGATGCTCCCTTGAAAAAATGCAAATTGAAAAAAATGTAAATTCTTTACATCCAGAGTTTATCATTCTGAAAGCTATTCCTGGCATCTTTTCTATTGAAATTATCTTTTCCTGTAGGGTAGAGCCTTCATTAATTTTTCAAGCAAACAAGCCACTGTTCCAGATTATTCTTTCTCGAATTATCATTAAGCACACTAGATCTTTGTATGGGCTGGGGAAACAATTTTTGTGAGTGGCACAAATGCTCTTGGTTACTATTGGACCTTCTTGAAGGTCGTTCTTTGACAATGTCAGGCTTGGAAAGTCACATTTTTGGCTGGAAAACAAAGTGCCTGCTTCCATATGAAATTCTGGAGGCTTTAGAAAGCAGGAGGATATTGCAAGCAGAGCCTCTTCTGTTGCAACACTCAGATTTCAGAATGCCCTCCTTAGCCAGCTCCATCAGCCTTCCTTGTTAAGTTTTAGGCACAAAGTAAATAAAACCAGTTTGCACAAACTTTAGTATTTGTACTCTCTCCCCGCAACCCACTGTACATTACTGTTAAATTTCTTGTATAGTTTTAGTGTAGTAACTTTATTATTGGACATTAGATTTTATGAAAAGGCATAACATAAGTAAAAAACATACACATAGTGTGTTAGAGAACATACGTGACAATAAACATGCTTTCTTTTATTCCACTTTCTGGATAAAATGAAATGAATGCTGCTAGTGTAATGTTAGACTGGGAAAAAAGTCCCGCCTGTTGCTCTTGTTCCCCTGGATACGTTAGATGTTCCTTAGCTATGTTGGCGTCTCAGCTTGCAGTTAGAGAGGAACTGTGCGCTCTCTACAAGAAAACTTAACTAGGGAGGAGGGGGTTGAGAAAGGAGTCAAGCAAAGAAGCCATCGGTTAAAGGCTTCAAAGATTCAGGGACTACAGTGGTACCTCGGGTTACAAACACTTTGTGTTATAGACTCCGCTAACCCGGAAGTAGCACCTCAGGTTAAGAACTTTACCCCAGGATAAGAACAGAAATCGCGCACTGGCAGCAGCAGGAGGTCCCATTAGCTAAAGTGGTACCTCAGATTAAGAACGGACCTCCGGGACGAATTAAGTTCGTAACCAGAGGTACCACTGTATATTCTTGGCTTCCACTGCTCTTTCAGAGACAACATAAAAATACTACCCTCAAATAAGAAATATAGTAACATTTATTTGCTATAAAACTCTACATGGTTCACATCACCAAGTTTGTTTAACATTTTGGGACCTTGATACCTGAAGGCGTACCTCTTCACACATCGTAGCTTCCCTTGCTTTGAAATCATTACAGGGGTACCTCAGGTAAAGTACTTAATTCGTTCTGGAGGTCCGTTCTTAACCTGAAACTGTTCTTAACCTGAAGTACCACTTTAGCTAATGGGGGCCTCCCGCTGCCACTTCAGCCTGAAGCAAAGTTCTTAACCCGAGGTACTATTTCTGGGTTAGCGGAGTCTGTAACCTGAAGCGTCTGTAACCTGAAGCGTATGCAACTCAAGGTACCACTCTATTTGAGACTTCCTCAATACCATGATGGCAGGTGCCAGGCACATTTTGCACCTGGTTATCCACTTGCAACCAAGTGAAGATGCCTGGGTACCAGGATAGTGCCTGACATCTCCACCATCTGCTTGCCTGAGGACAGTGTTTGAAACTCAGATACATAGGTTAGGTGCCAAATAGCTCCTTAAACCACGGTTACATTGGGTCTTGTTTTTACACACTAATACTGCATCCTGTAGAATTCTACCAGTTATATTTTATCTGCATGATCAGAATGAATTTCAGGAACCAAAATGCTTTTTCTGTGCAGCCTGAGCAGGAGCAGTAAAAAACATTACAGTTAATTGTTGTAGCTTGTCTTCACTTACCCCATCCCACTGCCCTGCTCACAACTGTGAAGAATATTCTCACGTTATGAATGGTCTGTGTCACCGTTAAGAAAAAGAGGTAGGAATAGGCCAATATATATGTGGCATGTCCCTGGATCAAGTGACTTTTCTTTTCTCAGAGTTCTTAAGCTAGCTGAAGGTCGTCATCTGAACTAGCCAGAGTTTTAATTGATAACCAATCACAGTCAATGCATCATTTGAAAACAAGACTTTAGAGCTGTCTTGTCCAAAAATGGCAACTAGACATTCCATGTAGTTGACTGTAACCTTGGTTTAAGGAGCCATTTGGCACTTTGCTTATATATCTGATTTTCTAACATTGCTTCTGAATGCCATTGCCAAATTAGGTAGGGGAAGGTGTTTATGAGTGAAAGGGCCTTTTCAGCTCTGGCCCTTTAGTTATTAGTACTGTGTTGTGATTTAGCATTTTAGCTGTGTGGTTTTTAAAATTGCTTCCCCTTATAGCTTAGTGCTGCAGTATTTTACTTCCCTACTTTGTTTTAGTTTTGACTAAATTACAGTTGTGTTTCTATAGCATTATAGTTGGTGTTTTATATAATTGTGATTTTTAAGTTTGTCACTGTTACCTTGTACACCACCTGAAGAACTATTGTTATTAGTGGTTTGTAAGCAGAATGAAATAATAGATATCTTACATTAGGAGTGAGGAAAACTGTACATAAAATTATAGAGTTGTAGAGTTGGAAGGGACCCCAAGGGTCATCTAGTCCAGCCCCTGCAATGCAGGAATCTCAGCTGAAGCATCCATGGCAGATGGCCATCCAATCTCTGCTTAAAAACCTCCAAGGAAGGAGAGTCCACCACCTCCCGAGGGTGTCTGATCCACTGCCAAACAGCTCTTACTGTCATAAAAATCCTAGGCAGTATTATCTTGATTCCTCCTTCTTTTATAGCCCTGTTCATGTGTTACTTGTAGGACTTGGCCCCACTCCCACCACTGTCTGATAACAGCTTTTGCTCAGTCAGTGACATTTCCCTTGCTGTCCTGTGGCAGAGATTTTAGTCACAAACCTTGTGATAGGAAACCTCCACTTGGTCGCAAGGGGGCGATCCTGAGTCACAAGAAGCGACTAGTGACTGGCTAATTTCGAACACTGAACCCAGGGGGTCCGTAGCATCATTCACATAACAAAAACCCCCATAGAGATATCAAACTTTTCAAAAGTAGGAGATCCATGGCTTGAATTTGAAAAAAAAAAAAAAGAGGTCCACAGTACTTAACTAATTGGGTACCACTGCTTTAGAGCATGGTTTCCCAACCTGAGGTCCTCCATGTTGGCTGGGGATGATGGTAGTGGCAGTTGTAGTAAAAAATATATAAGAGGGCATTTGGTTGGGCAAGGATTATTTGATGACCCAAGTACAAATAAACATTATGTAGTTAAATAAGGCCAGTTTCAAAGTCCAGCAAGGGATGGCTTTGTTTATCCTTACTGTTGGGCAAGTTTTGTGACAAAGATGACCTGTGGAATAGACTGTTCTTTCCTACGGGCGAAATTGTGATAAGCACATGATACATTGGCACATGATATATTGGCACAAAACCATCATGTCCAAATCCCCACCAGTGTGCTGGCAGTTAAAAAAGGTCAGTTTTGGAGTCGAGTTGTTCCTTTCTCATGAAAAATTTTCTCTTTGTCAACAAATTTGAAGCTTTGATTTATGCAACTGTTTTTTGACTGAGGTGTCAAATAATGTATTTCTTTTTGTACTGTTTGTTCCTACAGTCCCTGATGTGGCAACTGTACCCTGTAACAGCGGTCGGGGGTGGGAGAGGTCTGCTTGACCCAGCACTGAATCTAGACAAGAGGCACAAGTGGCTTCGGCCAAAATTATTAAGGGGTTGGATCAGTTCCCTTGTAGAAACATGGGAAGCCGTCTTATACTGTCAAACCATTGGTCGATCTACGTCAGTATTGTCTACACAGATTGGCAGCAGCTCTCCAACGTTTTGGACAGATGGCATTCACAGCTTTATCCTGGAGATTTCAGAGATTTAACTTGGGGTCCATCTGCATGCAAAGCAGATGCTGTACCACTGAGTTAGAGCCCAACATATGAAGCTGACTTACTCTGAGCCCAGGCCATTGGTTTTGTTGCTGAGTGTTGTGTGCACTGACAGGCAGCTGCTCTCCAGGATTTCTGACAGGGTGCTTTCCCAGCCCTACCCAGAGAAGCTAAGGATTGGTCTTGGGACCTAATGCATACCAAGCAGGTTCTCTCTACCACTGGGCTTTCACCTATGTAGAAAGGATACAACATTTGGGGCTTTTTAGTTTAGAAAGAAGATGAGGAAGGACAATGAGAGAAGTGTATAGAATTCTGCATGCACACGGTTCAAAATTAGCCAGGTGCATTTTGCAACTGGCGTGGGTCCAACTGCAACCACATAGAGATCTCTGGATGCCAGGTAGACAACTGACATCTCCATCTGGCTGCCCCTCCAGCTGTCTTAAGTGGGTAAGCAGAAGAGCTTACTTATTGCATTAATATCCTACCCTTTTCTCCAAAGAGTACATGATTCCCCCCAGTCCTAAGTTAATCCCTAAAACAACCCTGTGAGGTAGGTTAAGAGGTTATAACTGGCCCATGGTCACCCAGTGAGCTTCATGATGGAGTGAAGGCTTAACCCAGATCTCCTAGGTCCTAGTCTGACACTCTTTAACTACTACACCACATAGGCTTCCTACAGTACTTCTGCTATGGGGCAGCTACATAAATTATGTAGGTATGTAAATATGGGGAAAGCAAAATGTCATACTGAATCCTTATGTTACCTCACTACAAAGTTTCTGACTGTGAGCCTGATATTCACACAAAGATGCACCTGAAATGGCCACCCAAACATTTTCTGGGGTCTGTTTTGTGAGCAGAATCCTAAATTGGCATCTTTACTCTCTGTAGGATTTCAGTCTCTGTGGCATAGCAAGTAGGAATGGCCAGGGCGCTCTGAATGTTGCTGTGCTCAGCCAGTCCCGCCCAACATGACCAGTGGAGGCCGCCATATTTGCCGGCATGGAATTGCAACATTCCATTCCAGGGATGCCAAATGTTGATGGTCAGAATCAGGCTATTTTGGAGAAGGAAGGTTTTGTAAAATGAAACGGGGATATAATTTAGTGAGACTGAGTCAAGAGTGGTACTGGCACCTGATATGAGAAGAGCAGCTTGCGATAACTGTGTGTCAATCCTGGTGATGGTTGAGTGTTCATATGAGGGAACATCGCCATGGGGGTGATGGTACAAAATGAAAGCAAAAACTCAAATCAGTGGAAAATATTTACAAAGTGAACAGCACACCAGTCATACCAAAGGGTAATTGGAACTGCCATAATTGCAGATTTCTCAAAAACCATTTAGAGCTAAATGGAACTTGAGTGTGCATGGCCTTAAAAAGCTGCAAAAATCCCTTGTTATATTTAAATGGATAATATTGTGTAATATTCCACCATTTCTCCAGGCAGCTCAGGGTGGTGCATTGGGTCTCTTGGGTCCAGTCAGAACAATCCTGTGATGTAGGTTGTCGAAAGAGTTACTGTCTCAAAGTCAAGGTCACCCAGTGAGTTTCATAGCTGGGTAGGCAACAGAATCCAAGGACTTTACAGCCCCAAGTCGAAACTGTCTATTGTACAAGATGTCTGAACCTTTTCAGATTTGGCACTCGTTTTTTAATTTTTTACCATCTTATTTGTGTGAAGCCAGTGCTGGTGTGACTTGCTGTAGGTTGGGCTGTGACCTAGTTGGGGAGTTTTAACCCATCACTGCATAGTTTGATCTGTCACATTATTGGTACAGCCCATTAGTGCTACAGGGACAGTGAAACTCCCTTACGACTTTTTCCACATTCCAACTATGGTTACCAGTTTCCAGGTAGAGGTAGATTACTTTGTAAAAAAAAAAATGTACGAAACTGTCATAAGCAACTTGCATGTGCTTCAGTTTGAACTAAAAAGTGACGTCTCTGGTCCCTGGGGGGCTGGGCTCATACCCAAGCTTTAGATTTCTAGCTATCACAACTAAAATATTTGTCTTGAGTTTAGCTCTGTTCACCTAGTTGGCAGACGTAACACGAGAAAGTGGCAGCACTTTGAGTTCACTTAGGTGAGAGCACTTGGACGTTGGTTGGCAGAAGTGAGGTGAAGTTCGGGTTGCTTTTTCCCCCTCTTGCGCAGCTTGCTGCTGATCTCTAAGAGGATCTGGAATTTTGAGACAAGATCCTGTTTGCTATGGAGAATAGACGTCAGAGGTGGAGGGGGGAGAGAAGGTTAATCCATGTTAGGTAACAGACATGAAAGGGCACAACTGGTGGAGTGATAAAACGGCTCTAAATGGACAAATTAGTTGGAAATGCTTTTCCTATTTTTCATCTATAATTAAACTGCTTACTAGTTGAACATACAAGTTGTGGAGACTTAATTAAACTTTATTTTGTCAGGATTTATTACAGTGTAGTTTTCCCACAATGTAATGTTCCACCTTTATGGTATAATTTGTGTTCATGAGATAATTCTTCCAGACACATGACAACTTTTGTTTAATTCTGCCTCTGAGGCTTTGTTCAGTTTAGTAGTACAGTGGTATCTCAGGTTACATACGCTTCAGGTTACATATGCTTCAGGTTACAGACTCCGCTAACCTAGAAATAGTGCTTCAGGTTAAGAACTTTGCTTCAGGATAAGAACAGAAATCGTGCTCCGGCAGCGCAGCAGCAGCAGGAGGCCCCATTAGCTAAAGTGGTGCTTCAGGTTAAGAACAGTTTCAGGTTAAGAACGGACCCCCGGAACGAATTAAGTACTTAACCTGAGGTACCACTGTACAGTTTTGTTACAGTACTACTTCCTGCTTTCAGCCTTAAAAATGGGTTTAAGCAGAGGTTTGATGTCCATCTGTCATGGATGCTTTAGTTGAGATTCCTTCATTGCAAGGGGGTGGATTAGATGACCCTGAGGATCCCTTCTAACTAAACTTTATGTAACAAAAGTAGGATCCATTTTCCCCAAAGAAAAGGTCTTGGTTACAGCTTGTGGTATGGTTGGAGAGTGATAAGCCATCTACCTGACTTTGGACATAAAGGTAAAGGGACCCTGACCATTAGGTCCAGTTATGACCGACTCTGGGGTTGCAGCGCTCATCTCGCTTTATTGGCCGAGGGAGCCGGCGTACAGCTTCCGGGTCCTGTGGCCAGCATGACTAAGCCGCTTGTGGCGAAACGCCGTTTACGTTCCCGCTAAAGCAGCACCTATTTATCTACTTGTACTTTGACATGCTTTCAAACTGCTAGGTTGGCAGGAGTTGGGACTGAACAACGGGAGCTCACCCTGTCGCGGGGATTCAAACCCCGACCTTCTGATCAGCAAGTCCTAGGCTCTGTGGTTTAACCCACAGCGCCACCCGTGTCTCTGACTTTGGACATAGGGCTAAGCCAAATCAGGGCTTGGTTCTCCGCTGTGTGGTTGGGTGGGGGAGCAAAACAGGCACGGTTTCAGTCCTGTGCACAAGCACACTGCACATGTGTCTTTAAACCACAGTTCAGCTTAACTGTGCTTCAAAGTAACATGTAAACCAGGACACTAACTCAAACTGCTTGTCTATCAAGCTCAGTATTATGTACATGCTGACATGCAGCAGCTTTCAAAGATCTCGGCCAGAAGAGTTTATTCCAGCCCTGGCACCTGAGTTGGCCTTTAACTAGACATGCCAAGGGTTGGACTTGGCACTTCTGCACGCAGCACATGGGCTATACTGCTCAGCTACTGTCCCATCCCACAGTCTTGTGAGGCAGCTCAAGGATCAGAGTTCAGCAATTGTAATTCCATAGCTAGCAGCTGGTTCCTGTCTGTGAATGCTATCTCTAGAATCCTCCTTGCTTCCCCCACAGTTCAAAGTGAATGGCTTCAAAATGGGAAATTAACCATGTTCAGTACTATTTTTCTAGAAAAAGAGGAACTCACCTCTTTCTGCCTCATTCTTTTAGAATGGCAATAGCACCCACTGATTTCCTGCTGAAAAAAGTCCTGACCATGTCAGTGAATTGAGCCTGACACTAGAACTATGGTATGCAAACGTTTGTGTGTACTGTTAATTTGTGGGTGTAACATCCTAATTTCTCTGTGATATTCACAACAGTGTGAGTAACAAATCACACCTCTTTTGCCTGATCCCTCCTCCCATTGAATATTAAATCAGAATATTGTTTATAAAATGAGTTAATTTTTTTGGTAGAACACTAGCCACTGCAAGGTACCCAATGCTGCCTGCAGTATACTTCAGCGCAAACATGTACAGCAGTTGAATGAGTTGCTCATTCTCACCTAGTGGTTCTTTTCCCTTCCTCTTTAGAAAGCTGAAACACACAAGCCACTTGTTTCATACAGCCATCACAGAAAGTGGCATAGCATATCCTGTTGAGCTTACCTTTCATACCTTACCACAGCAGAGAGGAGCTGGGGCTGGTACACAAGCTGGGTGCTGGGTTGTTTTCTAGTTGTTTTCAGGGAAGCTTTTAATGTGTGACATTTTAATGTATTTTTAATCTTTGTTGGAAGCAGCCCAGAGTGGCTGGGGAAACCCAGCCAGATGGGCGGGGTACACATAATAAATTATTATTATTATATAGTGGTGGCATCTGCTTATGAGGAACTCCTTCCCACAGGAAACCCGTCAGGCTTCATCCTTAGTGGGGTTCAGGTGGCATTTGAAATGCCTGATGGCTTTGTTGTATTTTTGTTGCTGCTGCATTAATGACCTGGTAGTGTCCCAAAGTGTTTTGTGTTTTGTCTTAAATCAGGATCAGATTTGCTTCAGTGTGGAATCATCGGTTCTCTTCTCTTCTTCCTCCCTCCCTTTAAAACATTGTCCCCTATTAGCCCTTCCCATACGAATTGATGTACAGATAACAGTTTGGGTGTTCTGAGTGTCTTTTGCATAGGGCTTTCACTCTTTTTCATACCAGTAAAGTAGAACTGTCACATAGCCCTGTCTAGAGCAGCTCTGAAGCCTAGAAGAGGCTGCAGAGGGTTAATCTAGCCTGCCGGGGAAAGTGACGTTAGGGGAAAGCAGGGATTGAGCAATCTGGAGCTGCCTCACACGCACTTGTCAGGAATCCAGGGTGGCTGGGAAGGGCTTGAGAGACACAAGCTTCCCTTTTAAGCAGAAGGGCAGGGCTCGGGCAGCCAATCACAGCACAGCAAGGACAGCTCATAGGCATGTGTCATGAGTCTTGCCGGCATTTCCTCTCAAGCACGAGAAACGAGAAAGGAGCGGAATTGGGTGGTTTACAAGAGAGCCTGAGCAGAGCTGGGGGAAATGCTTTGCCTGTGCCTCTATGTGCCGACTTTCGGCGAGTCCCAGGCAGAGTTTGAGTACTTTGAGTCGCAGCGGCTTCCTGAGAATCTGAAGCCCATCTTCAGACTGAGCCTTTTGATTCCTTCCCAGGAGTTCTCCACCTATCGTCAATGGAAGCAGGTATGAAAGAATGCATGTGAGCTGAATTGTTCTAATCTGTTCAGTATGACCTCCTCTATGCCTTCAAGGAGTTGAGGGTGGCACACATAGTTGCCTTCCACTCCTTTTATCTGGACAACAGGCTGTCTAGGTAAAATTGGTTGAGACTGGGTCAATGGCTCAAGTTTAGTCTGTGAACTTCAAGGATCAAGTGGGTATCTCCCTAGTTTAAGCCCAGTTCTGTTCTGGAGGCAGGTTCTAGCTTGGGATAGTTATTAGCTGCTGCTCTATAGCAGCTTTCAGTGTAAAGAGGGTTGGTGAGTCATCTTCCCTGCCCTTCCTCCACAAGTTCTCATTTTCCTTGCAATGTAAATACAGTGTGGAAGATTGTGTGGAGATGTAATGGGTTTCCAAGGCCCACCTGGTGCATTTCCAACATTCAGCCCTTGTGCTGCCTTCTGCTTCATACTACCTATTTTCCACAAAGCCTTTGGGTGTGTGTTCTAATGCCAGTTCATGTTGGACCCAAACTTCAGTTGGCTGTATATAATCTGAAGTGGGGGAAACCCTCCCTTTTAGTATCATGTATATCAATATGAGCAACTTGACCCAGCATCCTTCTCTAGAACACCCTGTGACAGCAATTTTGGCCAGGTCCTTGATTCTTCTGAAGGATGGAACTGGCTGTGCCTATTGTTACTACAACTGAGCCTACATGCAAATAAAGAGGATGGAGAGGGATGTACCAGGGACATTTAAGGTGAAGAGGAGGCATATCCAGGGCTGGGTGGCATTGTTGGTGGCAGGAAGACGGCAGCATCAGTTAATCTCTTCATTTCCCACCTATCTTTCCTAACATAGGAAGTTCAGCTCAGATAGCCAATGTTCTGTTCAGAGTATGCCCATTGAAATTAATGGACATGGCTAACTTAAATTCATTCATTTCAATTGGTCTACTTTGACTAGAAATTAGTGGGATGCAACCCAGGGTTCATGTGAAAGTTCAGGAGACCGTAAGTTTTTAAAAGCAAGCCTGCACAACTTGTGATCCAATACAGCCCAGCAGTGTCTGAATGAAATATCTGAACAACAGTTTGGCATAAATGGAGCTGTTAAGCACCTGTCAGGCAACAATGCACATCTGCTGGGCTGTTTTGAATTTGGTGGATCATGTGTTGTGCTGGTCTGGCTTAAAACATAAGTACATAAGGGGTGTCATATTTGTTTACATATGGAAGATGGGAAGCTCACACCTAGCTCAATGTTACTGATGCTGTTGTCAGTGGAGGAGACAGGGTATCTTTCCCAGCTCTAGCTAGAGGTGCCTGGGCAGCATATTGGGTAGAGTGTTTGATTAGGACCTGGGAGAAACCCCACCTAATCACAAAGCTCGCTGGGTGACCCTCGGCCAGCCCAACCTACCTTGCAGGGTTTTGGTTTTTTGGGAAACATCTTTACTGAAAGTTCAAAAGGCACATAACTATATGTGCATCAAACATGGTGAGGTGCAAACAAAAGGAGAAAAAGAAAAAGAGAAACAGAACCTGTGCAGAAGAGAAAAGAAAGGGAGGAGTGGGGGAAAACCCAAAACTGTATATTCAAATTCAGTGATATTTGGAATCCATTCTTACAAATAGGTTAAGATCTGGTGAAGAACAGTAACAACCTTGTAAAATATACCTCGTAGGGTTACTGGGAGGATAAAATGGGGAGGGGGAGAACCATGTACTCCACCCTGAGCTCCTTGGAGGGAAGGGATATAAATGCAATAAATAAAAAAATGAAATTGAACCTGGGGCCTTCTGTGTGAAAACCAGATGTGTTACCACTGAGCTGCAGCCCTTTCCTTCTGGCAGTGTTACCAGTCATGGCAACATGCAGTAGTTGCTGCTATAAAGATAGTAAGTAATAGAAGGGTTCATGTGCACATGCAGAGAGGATTTTGTGGGTGATAAGTCGCCTACTTGATTATGAATCTTCCTTGTTTCATCACTGCAGTCCCAACAGCGTTCTGGTATGTTAGCCAGTTAGCTGGTTTTCATGAGGAATATGGGTTCGTTCAGAGCTCTCTTCTCTCTCCTCCCCACCCCAGTTATTTCCTTCATTCTCTTTCTAGTGTTTGAAAGCCAGCATCTTGCACCTCCCCAAACTGAAACAAACATATTATCAGATGCGCTTCAGATTTTTGTTAATGAGTTAATCACTCGTTAATTTGCTTGTGAGCAAAGGCAAGCTCTTATCACTTATTCAACGGCCATGCTTGAAGGAGAGTGTATGATGGTATCAGGGCAATAAGATTGGCCATGTAACATCCAATATGACCCTTCCTTTCACATTGTTCTGTTGGACCTTCACACTAGCAGTGTGTCACAATGTCATGGCTATCAAGGCACTGATGAATGCACACTAGGCTAGAATCCAACAGCCTTGCAGTTTGTAGCATCATGCATTCAAATGTGGTTACCAGAAGTCTTTTGCTGACATGGTGACACTGGATGGGGTTGAGGACAATGATTGAGGGGATACATGGAAGCAGACTGATTTTTTAAATGTAAATATCAGAACTGTAGAAACACCACACTGTTTAGTACAGTAACCTTAAAACCTGCATCAATTGGGGCCTTAGCAGTCTTGCTTTCTCAGTGCAAGAAGATTAATGTGCAGACCCAGTGCACATGTAGGAAAGAATTTCAGCACTGACCATGATGTGAGCCCAGAGTTACAATTTTAGAAATCGTTTGCATCACAGAGATGCGAGTTCAGTGGGGGCAGATTACTTGGCAGAAGCGTTTGGGAGTGCTCATTGGCAGACATTTCCCCCTTTTGCCTTGTATCCGCTGCAGTATCCTTTACAGAAAGGGGAGGTGCGTTTTTGGCTTCTCCAGGACCAGCTTACAGGGACTGCAATGCTTCCTTGCCTCTCCCAAAGGGTCATGTGGTATTGGGAAACCCTGAATTGGCTCGTTAGCAGTTATCTGATGACATGCCAGAGATTGCCTTCTATCTTTAGCTTACAAATTATGACCCCTTCTATCTCTCTTCTTTTACAACTGTCACATGTCTGTCTGCAGATTAGATCCACCTTGGAAGTCTCAAAGGTCACCGCAGATGGTGACCGGCTGTCCTTATTAAGTTTAGGTTAGGAGGGGTATTAAATTATATGAAGGCCTAAGTTTAGTAATATGGGGGACAGGGAAGGGGAGGAAGGAGCATTTCAAATTATGTCTAGCGTAATTCTCAGGGGAGTCGTTTCTTATACAATATGAAACGTTTATTACTTTAATACGGAACATATTTATCAGCAGCCTAATTATTAAAAATGCAGTATGCTAACCCATTCCTCTATTTTTTTCTAATTTTTCATGGTCTTGCAAGTGGAGCTAGGTATTGACAGGTTCTGTTTCTTGGCACTCTAGCCTAGTAGACTGGTGTTTAATGGAGGCATCAGCGACTCATAGCCTTGTGCTGTGTGGAGATCAGCAGGCAGCCCAGTTAGAGCCATTGTGAGGAGCCAGCTGGTCTTTGCTGGGTGCTTTTTGGCATATAATTATCTCACTTAACAAATTTCCTGCTCTCTATGCAAAACAGGTGATAGCAAAGCAGGTATTGACCCAGCCATTTAGTTGCTGTGTCTGGTTTGCTTACCTGCCTATCTGGGCAAGGCTCAAGGTGCTGTTTCCTGCTAAGAGGAATGTTAAGGATGAAGTTTCCTTATTTATTAACAACATGACTTTGCCATCTCTTAATCTCTTCTGTAAATATACACTTTGCTTCTAAAATCTAGTTTCCCCCAGTATCTTGCACAAGTGCATAACTGCAGGGTGACCAAATCAGTTCATGCTTGCCTCAGAGCTGCTTTTTGACCTCTCTCTTCAGCTCGTGTATTTGTATTTGGTGGTCAGTCATTGTTTCTAGTAGCTGGTGTGGTTTAGCTTCCTTGCTTCCCTGTTCAGAGGCAAAGTACAGTGACATCTCTGTACCCAGTGCCTAGCAAGGAGCTTTTACAGAAGAACTAGCGCTCTCTCTCTCTCTCTTCTCACTTCTCTCAAGCCCATGACATTGATCCTGCATCTTAAGACAAGGTGTAGCCTAGCAGTGTTTGGGGAAAACACACACACTGTCTCTCAAAAAACCAGCACAACTGGTATCAAACATATTTGGTTAAATTTAGGAGCTCCTGGCAGTGGGGAGGGGACTGCTGTGCTCCAGTTCTGCTTTTAGGGTTTCCATAGGCATGTAGTTGGCCACTGTGAGAACAGGATGCTATATGTGCCATTGGCCTGATGCAGTAGGGCTCTGGATTCTTAGTTTTTACAGTATGTGTGAGGCTGTTCAAAAACAGGTGTGCTATGTATTCTCCCAGCTCCTGTTCCCTAGCCACAGCTATATAAAAAGGCTACAAAATGAAGTCGCAGAGATCATTTTGTGCAGGGGTTCCGTTCCCAGCCCCCGTCTGCGTCGATTGGGCATGTATAAGTGCGCCCTGCCCTGTTATGTCCCTTGTTCTGCCCTCTTCTGTGTCCAAAAGGATCCACAGGTCTGCAATTGTGTGTCCATTGGGCGTGCCTAAAATGGTCACCGCCTGTAATGTTGTTTTTATGTCTTTTCATACAGAAAATCGTTAAAGCTGGAGATAAGGACCTAGATGGGCAGCTGGACTTTGAGGAGTTCGTTCACTATCTCCAAGACCATGAAAAGAAACTGAGACTGGTTTTCAAGAGCTTAGACAAAAAGAACGATGGTATGCACATTTTGGTTTATTTATTGGGAGCGAAGGGATTCTGTTGCAGATTGTCTGGCAGCTTTGTTTTGTTCATAAAGCTTAGTGCTTACTTGTCATCTTTACAGGCTGCATTGACGCCCAGGAGATCGTGCAGTCCCTTCGGGATCTGGGAGTCAAGATCTCTGAACAGCAGGCTGAGAGAATTCTCAAGAGGTAAGTGTTGCAGGTGGCTCTAGTGTTTTCACTCTGGCGACCATGGTGTAAGGTGTTAGCTTTGTCTCCCTTCTCTTCCTTTATATCTCCCCCCTTATAAATCCTCTGAAGCAACTCTGCAGCGTTTCGTCCATAGCAAAGCATGCTAGAGCAGCAAATGGTGCTAGAATAGCAATCACAGGTGAAGATCCACTGACATCTTTTGCTGGAACAGTAGGGACAGATGGAGGCCAGAATGCATAAGAGCATGTGACATCAAAAGTAAGCAGAATGCTGATTCATGAGAGAGCAGCTTTCCCTCTTGGAAAGGATTCTTCATACTTGCCAGGAATTGATTTACGGTGCTAACATTCCGTCCTGTAAGATAGGCAAGTAGCATGTAGGCCAAGCGGGAACTTGCTTAATAGCTGCTAAGCCAGAGGAATGAATGATTTTTGCCAGCATTCTGGAATTGCTGTCCTTGCTGTATATAATGCTTTTCTGCAGGTTAGATAATCTTAAATTAAGGTATAAATTGAGGTATATGTTCCAGTGCTTGCTGCTTTAATACGTGCATGCAACTTAACATACTGAAATGCTTTCAGCTGCATGCATGTTGCACTAACTTTTAACATTTGTCCCTTTTTTGCTCTTTGTATTCTCCCCTCTGCTTCCCTGTCTGTCAGAATAAGAACGGGACACTTCTGGGGTCCTGTCACCTAGTAAGTACCAAAGTGTATACTCTTGTCTGGCTTCTATTCCTTTTTGTACCAGTTTTTCTCCCCACCCGCAATGAAGTTGGTAATGTGTAGCAGATTTTTAGTGAGCCTGGTGGTGATGGAGGGTGAGTGCACAGGCAGATATACAGCAGTATATCTCATAAAAACATAAAAATTTCAGTATCGATATCAACAAATTACACAGCTAATCAATATAAAGCACTCCTAAAACAGCAGAAAAATATGCAGAATAAGGGGTAACTATTAAAAGCACAGCACATATTTTTGTTTCCAGAAGGTAACTGCAAGCAAGCCAACAGGGCTAAGGTTGAATTGATGCTTATGAGTAGGAGCTGTGTTAAAACGAGCACTTCTATGCCTCATCCTTGGGAATCTTTTATCAATTAGTAAGACTGATTAATTGGTAAGGACGGAAAAACACTCAAGTTCAAAACTTCTTCCTCCTGCTGCCCCAAGGTAGAATCTACTCACACATTTGCCTTCCACAGATGAAGCCACACTGTACAGACCATAACCAGGCAGCAAGGACACAAATTGCAGATGACTTATGGGAGTGCACACACAGTTACACATGCCACTCACTAGTTAATCTGACTCTTTTTATGACTACACACATTAGCCAATCTAGACTCTTCCTATGGAATAACTTATGTCCATCCTGCACAGCCTTATATATTTAGTTTTGGAGGACCCAGTGAAAGGAAGAGGGTGTGGGGAGAGGCAATAGAGAAGCCATCTTAACCCCACACAGAACACAATTTGTTCCTCATGAGCTGTCCTGTGATCCCAGGAAAGATTTTTGCCCTCATGACTGTTTGAAAATTACTCTTCCAAGTATTTTACACTATCTGATACATAAAGCTCTTAAAATTGTGCTTGCATGTTCTTTAGTCCTCTTCTGCAAATATTTATGTTTTGTGTGGTTGGTGTGGAGCTAAAGAGTTGATACGCCAGACCTCCTCCTCTTGGCTCATTTTACCTTCCCAATTGATTCTTGCAGCATGGATAAAAATGGAACAATGACAATAGATTGGAATGAATGGCGTGACTATCACCTGTTGCACCCTGTGGAGAACATTCCTGAGATTATTCTGTACTGGAAGCACTCAACGGTAAGAAATTAAGATCCTTCATGCACAACATATGTGAAACTCATGGTTGCATTTGTGAGGGTCCCGCTCCATGCTCTTGACTCCTATCAGCAGTCTCCATCAAAAGCTAGCTGCCTTCTCGCTCTAGTTGCTTTCTGTTTTTATGTGCCTTCTGGCCTTGTTCTTAAAATTTCTGGCACAGGTGAAAGTGAATGTTCTCAGGGAGTGGGAAGGCAGGTAAGCTGCTTGACTTGTACCCAAGGTATGCAAACAACTGGGTCCTGCTAGTTTGCAACCTGCCAGCTCTGGAAAGTGATACGATGCTCTTTGATTAAATTTGGCTTTTAGTGCTGCATAATGAGATCAAACTAGGCTGTGAACTCCAGAAGAACTCTAGATCTTTCCCCCTGTTCTGTTCCTCTTGGCCAGTCATTTTGAACACCAGCAGATTGCAAGGCTGGCAGGTGGCCCATTTTTGGAACTACAACTATGGTATATTTTCTGAAATACCCTCTAATGAATTTTATTAGCTGCAACCACATGCAGGAGAGAACAAAACTGCTGCAGATACAGATAAAGCAGGTGCAGGTGTTGAAATAGTAAGCTAGTGCTAATTGCTTCCATGCTTAAATTGTTTAATCTAGGTGCATGATGAACAGATCTCTGAGGAAGTCCTCATGCACACCTAGTACAGCTGAAGAAAATTGTTTTACTCATGCTATGCTTTGTTACTTTGCAGATTTTTGATGTAGGAGAGAACCTGACAGTGCCAGATGAGTTCACAGTGGAAGAGAGGCAGACTGGAATGTGGTGGCGACACCTAGTTGCAGGTGGAGGGGCAGGGGCAGTGTCAAGAACATGCACTGCTCCCTTGGACCGCTTGAAAGTTCTCATGCAGGTAAGGGTGGAAGCTCGGCAGAAGGGTCTTTGTTGTCCTGGCTCCATCAACTTTTCCTCTTAGTTCAAGGATATAGGTAGAATACAGTCTTGCAAGACAGACTTTTCCTCCAGAAACAAGAGAGCTGTAAGATATGGTGATGTCATTCTGACACCCAGAGGGAAGCCACTCTCAGCAGTTTCTGTGAGCCCTGCTTTTCTACATATGACCTGTACTTCTGGTTCCCTCCAGAATTTATACTTGTAGTTTTTTGGAAGTTGGGCAGGTCAGGTCAACAACAGCACAGTCCTTGGACTGCGCAGCCTTGGCAGAACACGCAATCCCTTAAAACTAGTCTCGACAGCTCTAGCTGGAAATGAGGTAACCTGTGACTTGCTGGCAGCTCTTCCTGTTCTGGGCTCAAAGGACAGAGAAACACAGCTGTCATTGGAAGTACCTTGTGAAATGGGGAATTTGGACTTTGCATAGGAGTCACCGGACTGACCCATGCCTCCCTTTCGTCATCAGTTCCATTTCCCACTGCTTCCCTTTTCACTTCTTGCTGTTCCATGAGCTACTAATTTTGATAATATTGGACTATAGATAACTGACGTTGAATGAAAGTGTCCCTTTTCCTGCTATACTTGTGAGGCAAGCTAGTTTAAAACTTGTATGTCGATAAGAAAATATTTTTTGCCCGAGCAGGAAAACTGAAAATGGGCCTGGATCCAACCAGAAATGTCTTTCTCCTTTTCAGGTCCATGCTTCTCGCAGTAACAACATGTGCATTGTTGGAGGTTTTACCCAGATGATCAGAGAGGGTGGCACAAGGTCACTTTGGCGAGGGAATGGCATCAATGTTTTGAAAATTGCTCCAGAGTCTGCCATCAAGTTCATGGCCTATGAACAGGTAAAATAATCAGGACCCAAGGCAATGCAAATGAGATGGTACTGCTGCTGTTCATCTAACATCCCAATGTTGAGGCTAACAAGGGAATAAGAAGCAGGTGTGACTGCGGTATCAAATGACATAATTCTTTTATATCTATAGATCAAGCGATTCATTGGCACTGACCAGGAGGTGCTGAGGATTCATGAGAGGCTGGTAGCAGGTTCATTGGCAGGAGCCATTGCACAGAGCAGCATCTACCCAATGGAGGTGAGTTCCTGAATTTAGCCTTTGGCAGCTGATGTTCTCCTTTCCTTTTGCGAACAACAGACTGCTTCCAAATGTTTTAGATGGAACTCTTCCCACAGTGGTGACTTCATTGGTGACATGCCCATCAGAGATACTAGCACTTCACTAGCAATGTGGTCTATTGTAGTGTTCCTCAGCCATGGTTCCTCAGATGATGTTGGGACTTCAACATTGACAAAACTGGCTGGGAATGATGGGAGCTGTAATTAAACAATGCCTGAGGATCCAAGGTTTAAGAACACATAATTTGCTAGTTATCTTTCTTTGACTTGGTTCAGGAAAAGTTTGTATTTGCCTGCCTGTTCTATACAGGCTTTCCTGATGCATCTGTTTCTTCTCTTGGGTTAGGTTCTGAAGACACGGATGGCCCTGCGCAAAACAGGGCAGTACTCAGGGATGCTGCACTGTGCCAAGAACATCCTCACCAAAGAAGGAATGGGTGCTTTCTACAAAGGCTACATCCCCAATATGCTGGGGATCATTCCCTATGCAGGAATTGACCTGGCTGTATATGAGGTAAGAGGCTTGGCAGCTGCTTTGTGGGAGAAGAAGTTGCAGATGTCCTTAAGCAGCCTTTCTCAACCTGTGGGCCCCCAGATGTTGTTGAACTACAACTCCCATCACCCCTAGCTAGCAAGGCCAGAGCTCAGGGATGATGGGAGCTGTAGTTCAACAACATCTGGGGACTGCTGTCCTAAAGGAATGTGCTAAGGAAGGCTAGAGTCCTGACACCAATCTGCTAAATTCCAGTGAAATTTCCCACCTGTGCTCTAGTCTAGGATTTGCAGCATGGATTTTCAAAGTTGTAGTATTGCTCTCTCCCTACTCCACCTCAAATCCAATGCTATAGATTCGTAAGGGTCCTACCGATGCTTGACTTGATTTGTGAACAATTTATTCTTTCCTCCTAGACATTGAAAAACAGCTGGCTGCAACATTATGCTGTGAACAGTGCTGATCCCGGGGTGTTCGTTCTGTTGGCCTGTGGTACCATCTCCAGCACCTGTGGACAACTGGCCAGTTATCCTCTTGCCCTAGTACGCACACGAATGCAAGCTCAGGGTAAGAGCATTTGAGAGGCCCTTGGATGTAACCTATGATGCAGAAAGTCTTGCTGCTCAGCACCTGGTTTTTAGAAATATATACAATCTCTGAACCTGAAGGTTCTACTTAGCCACAATAACTAAGTAAACAATAGACATTATCCTCCATGTTTTTGTCTAAGTCTCCCTTGAAAGCCACCTGAGAATTTTAAATGTTCAAAACATCTTTGAACAGTGAATCCCATAAACAAATTCTGTAGAGGTACTTAATTTTATTTGCCCTGAATCTAATCCCAATTTAAACTTGGTGATCCTAAGCTTCTAGTATATGTGTTGGGGTGGGGAATTTTTTTGTCTTCCTGCTCCCCGCCCCCAACTCAACAGTAGGTAAAGCTTTATAGGTTTATAATGTTGCTAGCATATCTAAGTGCAAACACCTCTTGTTTCTTTGCACTGGGCTGATCTTGGCATCTGTCTCAGGCTGGCACATAGCCAAGTAGTTACAGAGACATAATCGCAGGCTGTTAAACGCCACACAGCAAGTTAAATGTGTGTCTGGTATGCAGTGCCCCTCAGGAATTGAGCTGTGACTAGTAGAGGTTTTCCCATTCACTTTTATTGAAAGAAAGCTTTGGTGCATTAGTCCCTCAAGGCACTGCAGACAATGCACAAGATAAGCCTCTCTTCTCCACAACACAATACAAGCTTTCTAATCCCCTCTTTTACTACCCTGACTGCCAAGCTGTGCTCTAGCTTTAGGAAAGTTGAACCGAACCTGTGCTTTTCCCATTCCCAGCCCCCAATACTAGAGGGGCTGGATGAGGATCATTCTTCCAGGTGTTCTCTCCACCTTACCAGATGAATGAATTAATCTTTATTTGCATCAGCCATCGGCCATAGCAATAAAACAATATGATATACAAAGAATAGAAATAAAAAAGTCAGTTATATAAAATGCATTTTAGGGTTTTGAATCAATAGATAGTGGATCTTATTCTGATTGCCCCAGCTAAAAACCTTGCAACCTTTGCTGTCACCTGCTCATCTTGCCTTTGTTTGCCCTTCTGTTGCTTACATTCCCCACGATTTCTGGACCTAGGAGAATTTGGGGGGCGGGTAATGTCTCTTAGAATTATCCTTCCTCCTGCGGGGCACTCAACCACCATCCTGCCTTTTGAGTGTGTGGGAACTTATTGCACGTTCCTGCTCCCCTCCTTCCAGGAAGGGGTCAGCATGGGAGGTAGGGAGGCAGGATGAGCTTGCTGGTGTGAGGACATAAGCAGGGGGAAATCAAGTGGTACTTGCCTGTCCCCCTCCCTGTCACTACCCTCTGATTCTTCTGCCCCCATCCTAGACTCTGCCAGCCCCTGACATGCTGTATTGTGCAGTCCACAGTCCATGTGATCAGGCTCTTGATGATTGTCCAACGGCTTCTCTTTCAGCTTCAGTCGAAGGAGCGCCACAGGTAACAATGAGGAGTCTCTTCAAGCATATCCTGAAGACAGAGGGAGCCTTTGGCCTCTACAGGGGCTTGGCTCCCAACTTCATGAAGGTGATCCCAGCAGTGAGCATTAGCTACGTGGTCTATGAGAACCTGAAGATGACTCTGGGCGTGCAGTCGCGGTGACCAGGTGGTGCCTGGACCCTTGAACTTTTTCAACAAAATCTTGGGGCTCTGACCCCCAGGGTGTGCCACCATTTCATTCTGTGAATGTGTTGACTGACACTAAGCTGATCAAACTAAGCTGTGAAAATCCCAGATGGTGTTTGTTGGGGAATGATGAGGTATTGGGCCTTTTTACTGTGTTGCTATCAAAAGCTCTATATGTGTTTTAAATAATCGTTGGCAGTTCTTCCCATGTTCAAGGGACCAACTGGGAATTGAAGGAAAGTTTCTTGAGCTGTCAGTGGTGGCCTGGCTTTTAGTCCTCTTTAGAGTCTTTTGCGCAAGCTCACAGCTGGAGAATGTATCATCTTCCAACTTGCTTGAAAGAGCTTTTTTCTGTTGAGTTGTAAACTCTTCTTAGCCATGGTTTTGATTCTGCAAACGACCTGCCTTGGGTAGGAATGGCTGCTGGGCCAAAATACTTCGCTGTTTACATGTTTTCTTTTGGATAGAAGCAATTCATTTTTCTACTTCAAAATTCTGACGCTGCAGTGTAAATTAAAACCAAGGCTTCAGGGTGCAAAGCCAGTCCCTGCTGAGTCTGAGTGTTACTTTCAGGTTAGCCAGACAGAGTTTAAAATATTTTTATTATAGTTTCTGTGCTCCTGTAAAACTGCTGGCAAAATGCACTTTATAACAAAAGCAGCAGCTGCAGTCTAGAGTCTGCATGTCTGTGTTTGCATGCTGGAGTAGCTGAGAGGACCTGGCACGTGCAGTTCTGCACATTTTGAATGGCCTGACCAAGTAACTGGGGAGCTGTGTTGCCACTGGTCCAGTCTCTGCATCTGAGCTCACTGCAGCATGGCAGGGGCTGTGGAGAGGCCACTTCCCAGTTAGCGTTTTGCATGGTGCTTCAAATACAGTTCTGCCAAGTGCTGTAGGTAGCAAATTATTCTTGAAACTTCAAGCCTTGGATTGCTTCATTCATCCATAGAACTTTATAGGTTGATGCTAGTTTGAATTAGGTTAGGGTGGGCTGGTGGACTTGAACTTTGGACAAGGAAGAAATTTTGCTATGGGGAACACACCAGGTTAACTGACAAAGGTGAAAATGGTAGCCTTCATTATGTTATTAGAAGGGAGTGGGGAGCTGCTTGCTTCCACCCACCCACTTCCACCAGGTGCTTATCATAGGGAGAAGGGAAGGTGGTGGCTGCCATATCTCTGACTTCACTGTTTCAAGGGTTCATTGAGTTTGTCCACTAAGACTTATTGGAGCCCAGGGGATCCTTGACTTGGGGACCAGCATCACATTCCATTTTTGTTGTTGTTTTGCTGCTTTCAAAGCATATTTATTTTGTATTTATTTAAAGACAAAAGACGAAACTGTCACACTATTTTTGTAGACATGTTTAAATATAGTTACTTTGTCCTTGGTATTCTGTATTTTTGTACAGGTCTCATATTTATGTTCTTAAAAACGTTTTGCACATTTTCAGTATCGTCTAATAAAAGAATCATTGCAAATTGGACCCCCTCAGAGGTCCTTAGTGCTCCATTTCCTTTTCGTGTTGCCGGTCCTGCATCTGGGTTGACTGAGAGCCTCAGTCGAGAAAAAATCCTTTTGTGGGGAAAAGCCTTAGGAGAGTGGTGGGTGGTGGGGAATGAAAGGCCCTTGTTTGGGGGGTCTGCCTTACTGTGGCATCGCCTCATCATTAGTGACTTTATTTTTATGGGTGTTGGACGAACCACAAACTAGATGGTTTTTGGTTTTTTTTAATGGTTAATAATGAAAAGGGCTGATTGGACTTGGGAGAGAGAAAAATAAATCTCAGGGAGAGAAAAATCACAAAATGCCCATTTTTCTGATGTGCAGAAGGAAGTTGATGCTTGGAGCTGAGCTGTTGCTGTTTTCTGTGCTGGCAGATCTGCCTGCCTGCTGCTCCTCCTCCTCCTCCAGGGTCAGGAAAGTGCACTGTGAAGAAGCAGTTATCCCTGAAGGCTGCAGCGGTTCAGAGAGCGCTGCTGCTGCTGCTGCTGCTGCTGCTCTGTACACAGAAAGCCTTGTGCAGCAGAGAGCAGCTTCCTCTCCCCCAGTTCTCTTTGGGCCTTAAGTTGGGTCCGTCCACTGCTGCTTTGGGGGAAACTGCCTGTCTGCCTTGAGTTCATATCTCAGTCGTGTGTTTTCCCCAACCCTTTGGTGAGTCACTCCACCCTTGGGAGACCTCCCCCTTACCTTTGGTGGCCTAAGGAGATTTCAGCACATACAAATCAATGCAATATGAACTGTCTTTGTAGCTGCAACCTTAATATATGAAGGGCAAAACTAACAAAACAAGAAGCCTGTGATGGTAGGGGACAGGCAAGGACCGCCTCTCGCCATATGAACCAACCCGTACACTGCAATCATTATCTGAGGCCCTACTTTGTGTGCCTCTTCCATGAAAGGTCCAGAGGGTGGCAACATAAGAATGGGCCTTTTCTGTGTTGGCTCCCCACTTGTGGAATGCTCTCCCCAGGGAGCCTTGTCTGGAGCCTTCATTATATATCTTTAGAAACCAGGCAAAAACGTTCCTGAATAACCAGGCCTTTGGCTGATGAACATTTTATGGCCTTTTAAATGTGTTGGGGGGGGGGTTGTTTTTGTTTTAAGTCTTTTGTGTTTTCTTTTTATGTTTTGTGAACCGCTCTGTGATCTTTGGACGAAGGGCGGTATACAAATTTAATAATTATTAATAACAATAACAATAATAAAGGTTTATCAAAGATGCTGGTGGCTTCCTTGTTTTGTGTTGAGTTGGGAGTCTGTGGGTTCAAGGTGTGTGCGCATGCATCCTTCACCCAAACAAATACATAAAGCAAGTTTGCATTTACCTGCACTTGATTACAATAAAAGCTTCAGCCATGGATAAGTTGCACGTTGTGACTTGAATGCCCTTCAGTTGTCTTCTGTGACTTTCTAAAGTGTCAGCCCTGGCTTGAGCCCCATATTTCTGGCATAGAGCTGGACTTCTTAAGGGCACATGGAAGAAAGTTGCCTACAAAAATCATTTGGGCAAGGAAATGGACACATCACACTGCTCCTGTTCACTGGGTACAGTTGAATGAGGTTTGGGATTTGATTGTCATGGGTAGCCTAATTAGTTGCATATGGGAGAGAAAAATCAAAACTCATCTTGTTTCCCCTTTTACCAAAACAGACCTACAGGGAACTAAGCAGGAAGGGGTTGGTTGGCGCCATCCTAGCTGTTACCTCATCTGCTCGGTCAGCCAGCAGGAGTGTGTGTGCTGATCGGCTGTGGTGGTCTGTTTGAGATGGTTCTCCAGAGGACAGTGTCATTTGTTGGGACAACCCCACCAGCAGTGGGAAAGGAAAAAGGTTTTAACATGACCCTCTTTCTTCCACTATTTCCTATTTCATCATCAATCTTTATTATGGTCCAGAGACCCAACAAATCGTTACAAAGCAATGCACAATTCAGACAGCCTACCTCCAGGTTAAACAAGCATTTTGTTCAGACTTAAAGATAGGGATCATTGGTTCTTGCAACCACCGATAAAAACTGCCACTGCTAATGTTCTAGTGTTTGTCCTGTCTTCCAATAGGAACCTGACATAGTGAGCATCTGATTTTCCCAGGAAAGGTACCAACAAGGGTAATATCAGTTCAGCCCTGGCTTGCTCATATTTCGCACAGTGCAACAAAATATGTTTTATAGAATCGATGTCTTGAGCACACGAGCAAAGTCTGTCCTGGTATTTCCTATTTGCTTAACTACTGGATGTGGTGGAGATGCAGCTTGCATTGTGTTTCTTGCAAACCACTGCTTGGGGCAGTGAAGAGAAACAGACATTGTAAATTATAATCTGGTGCAAAAGGGGATTAGAGAAGCTGGTGGGCACCCTGGTGGGCATCTCTCTGAGCCTGGAGGCCTGCGGGTACCACATTATTGAGGCATGGATAACTGGCCAGATCCTCTCTCCCACTTGGCTACTTGGCTCCCTGGTATACTCTAGATCTTGGGGCAAGGAAACAGGTTGGAAGATGGCTTGAACACAAGTGAAGGAAAGTTCTGGTCAAGTGCAATCAAACACTGGTGTGGGCAGCTCTTCAAGCCTACCTCATTACGTCATCTGACAGAGCTCTTTGGGTAGTGCAGACAGCCCCTTACAGTCTGATCCAAAGGAGGTGGTGGAACCAACAGTAGCTCACTATGATTTGTTTACAAAGCATTTTGAGGTTGAGAATGCTCGCACCCACAGAGATCGTGACGTGTCCCCGACCAGAGATACTACCCCTCCCCAATACCCCATACATCACTTCTCCAATTCCAGTACAGTCATACCTCGGGTTACAGATGCTTCGGATTGTGCACCGCTCCGAACCTGGAAGTACTGGAACAGGTTACTTCTGGGTTTTGGTGCTTGCATGCGCAGAAGTGCCAAATTGCGACCTGCGCAGATGCGCGGTTTGCAAACACTGCAGGTTGCGAACGTTCTTCCTGCACAGATCATGTTCGCAACCCAAGCATCCACTGTATCAACAAATGTGGCCAGCTACAAATCCACTTAACAGTTACCTCATGCAACCCACATTTTACCAGTTTTCTCACAAGAATATCATATGCCACATCCACAGTATTGCCCTGACCCACCAAGTTTGTAACTCCGTAAAAAAAGAGAAATTATTCATCTGGCATGACTTATTTTTGAGAAAGCCATGATGGGTCTTAGTAATCACAGCATCCTTTTCTAAGTGCTCACAGGTTTTAGGACCTTTTCTGGTATCTGTCAAACCAGTCAGTAGTTACCTGGGTCTTCTCTCCCTCCCTCCCTTTTTTTGAAGATGCGGACATTTGCAAAACTACAATAACATAGGGGGAGTGTTTGGGTAATGGCACCCACAAGCTGAAGAATGTGAGAACTCGGGCCAAAGTCCAGCATCCTGTTCTCACAGTGGCCAACCAGATGCCCGAAGCAGGACCTGAGTGCAACAGCTCTAGGAAACAGTAAACTAGAAGCTTGTATTCTGCTTTGTCCCGCTGCACTCATAGACCAGCTATATTGCTACACACACACACACACACACACACACACACACACACACACTGGTCGCTTTCCTGTCTAGCCATGACACCAACCAATTAGCCCCCAAATAGCAAGTCTCCAAGGTTGAGCACCAAAGTTATTGTAGGGCTGGAGCACCATCTGCTGTTCAACCCAGCATTTTGCTGATTTCCAAAAGAGCCTCTGCTGTTATACTGGCTGCAGAAAAATGACAGACAGCTTAAAAGCTGAGACCGCTTCCAGGTCTGAAGTGAAAGCATATAGAATGGACAGGTCCTTGCCCACAAGGAGCTTATAACCTAAAACATTTAGGGAGTGATAAAGTCTTTTATGTTCTATACGAGCCACATCTCATTTTGGGCAGCCTTCTAAAGACCACTATCCATGGTGGGCAGGACCAGAGGTAAAAATGGGAAGAAACATAAATTTTACCTTTGCACAGTAGGCTGGTTCCTACCTGCACTCACATACAGCTCTCATCATCTGGATGAACAAGAGGCATATTCTAGCCAGGCAAATGCCCCCAGGGTGTGAGGTGGTCCAGTGAGCAGATAGGTGAACATTTGGAGGGCCAGTCAGAAAGGCCTGGAGGGCTGCATTTGGTCCCATGTAGCACTGTTCTAATTTCTGGACCAGCCTTCACCAACTCAGTTCTCTCCAGATGACTACAGCCCTAGCCCACGCATTATAGCCCAAACAGCTGGAGGGTGCCAGGTTGGTAAAGGCTAGTCTGGGTGGCAAGAGGTGAACTTTGGGGTAACTAAACATGGCTGGAGGAGACTCTTGAGAGTCCCATGGACTGCAAGAAGATCAAACCTCTCCATTCTTAAGGAAATCAGCCCTGAGTGCTCACTGGAAGGACAGATCCTGAAGCTGAGGCTCCAAGACTTTGGCCACCTCATGAGAAGAGAAGACCCCCTGGACAAGACCCTGATGTTGGGAAAGATGGAGGGCGCAAGGAGAAGGGGACGACAGAGGATGAGATGGTTGAACAGTGTTCTCGAAGCGACGAACATGAGTTTGACCAAACTGCAGGAGGCAGTGGAAGACAGGAGTGCCTGGCGTGCTCTGGTCCATGGGGTCACGAAGAGTCGGACACGACTAAACAACAACAAAAACAAACATAGCCAGTGGCCACCACAAATGACAGCTAAACTTGGTTCCCATTCAAAAGTGGCTGCACCACCTACCTTAAAAAGGTAAAGGAACCCCTGACCATTAGGTCCAGTCATGGCCGACTCTGGGGTTGCGGCGCTCATCTCGCTTTACTGGGCTAGGGAGCCGGCGTTTGTCTGTAAACAGCTTCCGGGTCATGTGGCCAGCATGACTAAGCCGCTTCTGGAGAACCAGAGCAGCGCATGGAAGCACCGTTTACCTTCCTGCCAGAGCGGTACCTATTTATCTACTTGCACTTTGATGTGCTTTTGAACTGCTACGTGGGCAGGAGCTGGGACTGAACAATGGGAGCTCACCCCATTGCGGGGATTCGAACCACTGACCTTCTGATCGGCAAGTCCTAGGCTCTGTGGTTTAACCCACAGCGCCACCCGCGTCCCCACCACCTACCTTACCAGAGGGCATAATCTGAACCAATGGGATCCAATAACAAGAAGAAAGGGGCTTCTGACTTACCATTAGGAAGAAATTCTGTTTACCACCCCTGCCAAAAACAGAGGCCAAGGAGAAATTGTG